CAAGAGCAAGGGATAGAGAATCAGAAAGGAAGAGGCCCTCTTATATGGCAAAATTTAGGGCAGATGACATAAGGTTGGTAGAGCCAATAAGGATAATACAAAATAAAATAATGGTGAAAAGGTGGGGCCAAAACATAAATTTCATTTCATAGGAGGTGTTTCCAAAGGAATGGGGATAAATGAATAAGGAAGAGCCAAGTGTACGTACATAAGGGGGGTGTTATTGCTTGTTGCTTTGGGCACGTTCTCCAGCTCAATGCACATGCACCCACATGATTTTTCTCCACCACACCTAATAACCTTCTCTAATCTCATACACATACACACTAATCTCATCAAAACACCCTGGATTATTCCTCCTCCACTTTCCAAATTCAATGCACAGATTATTTAGTATATTCCAATTTTCCAGCTCAAAAAACATGGAAATTTCATTCAATAAACCGCTAGGGTTTTTTAGCCTGTGCATGTTTCTGTACAGGAAACCTAATTATAAAAATCATTACAGGTTGAATTGTTAATTAATTGTCAATGTCAGAGTTAACAAAATGTGGAGGATTTAGATAATGTTGGGATAAGGTGGAGTTTGTGGTGACATATTCATGAACTCCCATTTTGATCAAGTGAATGATGATTGTCCTTTTAAAGATCTTTCGTCAAATCATGTTCTGACATGTTTGTTTCTTATACATTTAGTACTACAACTTATTATACCCAGGCGACAAATTAATTTTACTGGTAATAAAAGTTCATGCATTTTCAAAATCATGTAAGGTGTCTTAATTTTTTTATTTTTGACACGTTAATTCAGAAACGAGTGATGAATAATTTCAATATAAATACGGACTATTCTTCTCTTGATTAAGAAAATTGCATTACTTAATACATAATATATTTAATTTCTTTCCTTCCTCTATTATTTTCTTTCTTTTAGTTTTCAAATGAAACCTTAATCTCTACAGTATATTTTTCACTAAGTTGTAACTCATTATTTCGACTATCAATTATTTTATTAACATAATAAAATTTTTTAAAAAGACCAGAATTACTGAGATTTGAATATATGATCTCCTATCTAATATTTTTAAGGTTAACGAATGATTTATGCGATCCTTTTAGATCAAATAATAACCATATTCACTTTTATTCCACCAGGTACAGTGGTGATGCCAAAACTAAAAATTACTTTCTCACGCCTCTTGTTATTAAAATCTTAATATTATTAATTAGAGAGTTCCAATCCATGGTTTGCTTGCCAGCATCATATAAACATGACCATTTATCCCTATATAAAAAAAACCATATACGCATAAAAGAAAAAGAATGAACATTGTATAATCATTATTTCTTCTACTCTCCTCAAGAGTACAAGGCTCAAGAACATGTATGCACATGCAGTTGTTAAGTGCATGATGAATCAAGTATTGCCTTGCCATCCAAACATGCAGTAGCTACTGCTAAATGTAGATCAGTAGGATATATATAAATATATATTGATATTGAAAATTCGATGAATTTATAGATATAAGAAGTGGGTTTTCCACTAAATTATAAAAAGAATTTAAATTTGGATGGTGCAGAAAATGAAGAACAGGTAGGCAACAATATTACGCAGGAGTTTGTCTTCCTGTCTGTCATCGACTTGTTGTTACCCTTTCATTTTCTTATTACTGGTAGCTAGGCAAGTTTATTTTATATAAAAACAAAATGCTATTACGGCTATGCACATGGATTAATCCACAGCCTCACAATCTCCATTAATATATAGCCGTTGCATTATTATTCTACCTATACGTGCTATGTTTCCATTCGAACGCACCAAATCATATGCCGTTTTCCCTCCAACTTTGTTTTATTTGTTAATTATATTCAACGGCCATCTAAAATTCCGTTTCATCAGAGACTTTCTTTTCATTAATTATTACTACTTCTTTTAATCCTGAGTTGAGCTTAATTAGTAAGATGGAAAACCATAATAAAATGTCAAATAGTTATAATATAAGAAGTAAAAATATTATAGGGAAAACTTTATTATTATAGTATTTATTTTCATTGTATGATGTGAAACCGTAACGTCACGTTTGGTAAGCTGTTAGATAAAAGTGTTTTAAGTGTAAATTTACATTAGCAATGCCCTTAATTACTTTTAAAATTACATTCAATTCACCAAATATATAAGAGGGAGGCCTCTTTTTGGCACATGCAAAGAACATAATTGGACCACTGCCACGTGTTAAAGGATGATCATATAGGGAAAGAGGTACTCAATCAGTGTTCGTGGGCCTGGTGGCCCATAATTACTGTTTGCATCCAACGCCATTTTTGCTTTTGATTTCATTTAGGAATTGAACGGTGTCACGTTCTCCATGTGCCTTGCGAGGACTAAGCCACTTGCTTAATTATTGTTATTGTTATCATTATCTTTAAAATTAAATTAATGGAACCTATTTCAACTAATCTTCTTCCGGATTAGTTTCTTTTTTTAATTGGAAAAGAAAATAAGAAATCCATCGCAACCGCTGCCTATGCATAGGTGGCCCTTTAATGGGCCAGTGTTTGATGAGCCTGCTTACGTGGCCACATGGACAATGATGATTTTAATTTCGTATTCACCATTACAAGACTAAAAAATGTATTTAATTAATGAGTGAACGACACTCTTCTCTTCAATTTTTTTTTTTTTTTTAATCCTTCTTTTGTTTTTATTATGTATGATTTTTAACGAAGCAAGAGGAGTTTCTTCCTAATCTAGACTAGGATGAAAACCTAGATTATTTGTTCACATCAGACGACAGGTCCTTGTACTTGACCTAAATTGTCGTTTCCGCCTATTTTTATTCTGACATAAATCTTTTTAGTTATGGATCCAAAGTTCAGATTGGACTACAGTTTAAATTATTTAATTTCCTTTAGTTTCGTCTTTCAAGGCTTTTATAAGTTTGTGGGCTGAAGTTTATACTTTTTGGACCGATCATAGACGACAGATCGTTGAGTTCGGGGAACCTTAACGTTACTCTTCTGAGCCGAATTTTGGATACTTTGGGCCGTTCGTTTTCAAGGCCTTATATCTTATGGGCCAAAACTTTTATATTTTAAAATGACAATGGACAACCGAACGAGCAAATTGGGCTATGATGTTGCTGCCAATCTTGATGATCAGACGGTGATGCGCATTCTATGACAGAGTTCCTCATCGCTAACCATGTAACGTGACCACACGCTAGCAAAATACGACGAAGCGAACGCGAACTAGGGCATACGTTAGAATCCAGTCCAATCAAATAAAACATTTGGTTGTGAATGGCAATTGCGGTCGCAACTCTCATGACCGAGTCGTCGTCTCTATTTCATTGGCCATCTTCAACCTTTGGTAGATACAGTACAAGAGGAAGAGGCATATTGCAGGTTTGTGCGTGAATCTAATATATAAAATTCGCCAATTTCTATCTATTGGATCGTGTTAGATTCACGCACAAACCCGTAATCTGCCTTTTCAATTTTCCTCGGTTTTGCAATCTTATTTTCTCGAAATCGCATTTTATCAGGGAAGTAGAGATGCCAGAAGATTCTGAAATCTTCCCGTCATCATGGTTGATTAGGTAATACTTAAGTAATTTCAAAAAAAGAAAAAGATAATACTTTAGTGGAATCTGGAAATGGGATTTAAAATATCTGTTTATTTACTTTTGGATTTTTTATTTGATTTCCATTTTGGTAATTAAAGGTGTATATATGATTATGATTATTACTATGCTGAAGCAGAATCTAAAAATATGGTATATTTGGATCAGTGGATCGTTTGAGAAGCTAGGTGCTTCTTCATATTTTACTTTTCGTGGAAGACAACGGAACTGTAAATAAATTATTAATTTTTCTTTTTGCCCTTTCTGAAATTGAACATAAAATTAGTCGAAAGCCCAAATCAATCAGACCTAACAAACCCAGCCCACTTTTAATGACTTAATTAGTTAATTATCAACTACTAATCAATCTAGCAATTAGTTTATTAATGTCTTGAATTGAAAGGATATAGAAATTGATGGGCAATTTTCTGAGATCATGTGCATGTCTCATACATTATACGCATCTATCACATCAAACACAAGTCCATCCTACAAGTTACAGTTTATTCAGTTATTTTAGTTAGATATCTGGATTAAGTAAAACTACTTTTTCTACTTTTCTTCCATTGGGAGGACCACCGTCCAAAGGTATTAGATATCGTCAAGCTCTGAATTTCTTTGTTTCAAAGTTTTCATTTTGGGATTTGATTTTCTGTTAGGATAATGTTGTTTTACTTTTTTGCACTACAAATATGGTCCTGCCGCTTGATTTCTAATGGGGACGTATTTCGGTCAGTAGGATTTCTCTTCTCCCTCGTGTTGAAAGTCGGTTTAGTTAGTTAAGTCCGATGTTTTTAGTAGGTCATTGCATATATAATTGGACCGACCAGAAGAAAACGGATAATCTAACATAAATCCTTAAAAACGCGTGTTTGTACAGGCAAATGACTTGTGGCTGTTTCACTTGTTTTTTTCTAACTACCTTTTGTTTTGTGCTTGATAAGTCTAATTTAATATACAGTACAGGTGTTAATAGTTGAAAACAGAAACTTCACGTCGGTACCAAAACAGAAAGAAAAAGAAACTTCATGTTGCTGACGCATCAAGTATCCTGATGTCTCTTGAAAATGACCGATGATTATCACATTACCTGTGGAATATCCACGACTCAACTGGATGCTTTTGGAATTTGGTTTAAAGCGGTTTTCTCCCTATAATGTAATTAACGTTTTTATATAAAAAATGAATTTCAAGCTTGGGTAAACATAAGCATAGTGGATAATAGTTTTTCAATGAAGAAACAGAAACATTCTTATAGTTCTAAACCTCATAAATTGAAACACCAAATATTTTGCTGTACAGAATGTCGCATTCTATTGTTTGAAACAATTGCGCGAAAAAGCACAGTTTGAAAATAACAACATTAACAGCCTTACGTTACGAAAGAAACTTCGAGCGGTCTGTGTTTTGGATCCAAATCCTTTTGTCCACTTTTGAACCAAAAAACTAACCAAATCTTGACACATTTTAAATTAACAATCTCAGAAATACACATGTTTGCTTTTAAGAAATAATTAAAAGACTTCTTATTCAGACAATACTTCAAACAAAAACAATAAGACACTTTGACTTCACTTTGATCAATCAATACATGACAGCCACATTAGATACACCACCAGCCTCTTCATTCCAAGGAAGATCTAAGCAGAGTTTGCCGTCAGCCAACCAATCGAAACCCACTTCACCACCGTTCAAGAAACATTTCTTTGGAGACACATTTGAGTAGGCCATGAATTTTCCTTCACCTTTAACTTCAATCTTGACACCAATTTCAGATTCAGAAACAAAATACTCAAGTTCTTGAATTGTGCCGCCCATATTGAACATGTTAGTCAGGCCAATTGGAGCAAATTTGATGGTGGGTCCTAATTTCTTGATAGGCACAAAGCTGAAGAGCTCAAATGTAGATGGTTTGAGAGTGACTTGGATTGCATCAGAATTTGGAGTCATAAACAGCAGTTCCTGTGCTTGGCCGAGATAGACAATATACTCCTCTGCCTTACCCATTTGGGCAGCCTCTAGTTTCTGGTCCCATTCGATGTCAGTTACATGAACAGAACCAGACATTGGCTTGTAGCAGTCAGAGTGGCCTTTGATCCTTTGCTCCTTTGGGTCCCATCCTGCTCCTTGGCAGTTGAAAGCTCCAATCACACCTCCATACTGCAAAAATACGTGGCAATCGAGTTTAATTTCCTTCAATGATCGGATAATCATATTAAATAATATTACTCAATTGACATTGGCACAATCTATTGCTTCTGCCTTCAACTAATATACGGTGACCGTGATTTAGATTTTGTAACATTAAAATAATGATAAGTCCTACCTTGTTGAAGTTCCAAATCTTGAGAATAGTTTTCTTGTCAAAAAGAGGGTTCTTGAACAGACAATCTCTAGTGGGGAGGGCAAAGTGCTGGCACTTAGGAATGGTACCATCAGGATACACAAGTTTCTTGAGGAGGTCAAAATCATGACCATCAACAGAGTCACTAACATAAATAGGTCCGCCACAAATGGCCCTTGATCCAGCATGGAACTTGGCACATAGGTGGTCTGATTGGAACATATCCCAATCAGGTTGTATGATCTGTCCCATCCACATGCTGTTATAGGCACAGTGGATCATATGAACTCCTTGTAACCAATAAACTCCCATTGGATCACCATTTGGATCCTGGAACCAAAAGTCATCGCCTGCCATGAATAGAAATATAAGAGCCAGGTACCAGTATTCTAAGAATTGAGTGTCCAGTAGCAGTCTGTGTCCGGATTTTCTTACCTACTCTTCCCATGGATATCTGCTTTGTCCCGAGGAAGAAGAAATCATTGCATTGTTGCATACTAGAGATAAGTCCAGTTCCTTTGAAATTCTTTGAAACTGAATCTGATAGCCCCTTATAGTAAGTCTTTGCAAGCTCAACACGACCTCCATAATCTTCAGACACATATTCAAGTGACTGCATTCGAAAATTTAGTCACGAAATAAATAATAGAATTTCAGACATATATCTAAATGACAAGGACAAGTTTGAACTCAGCAGATGCCTAATTAACTAAAAAATTGCATTATTTTTTTAAAACTGTAAAAAGAAAGACAATATGATAGTTGATTGATGAAGAGCTTACATGAATGACATCAACCTTGACACCTGTAATACCAACATTTGAAAGATAAGAATGCATAGAGTCGTAGAAATCTCCAGCTCGATTAGGATCAACAAGTCCAATTCCACCTTCAACAATTTTGACCACTGCAAGATCTTCCATTGTCCCATCAAGACCAGGAGACAATTTACAAGGAACAATTTTTGAATTCAAATGAGTAGTTCCTGGCCTAACTCCACCCCAAGCACCAAAAATAGCATGCCACACATATATATCATCCAAACCCTTAAATTTTGTTCTCAAATCCCTTGTTAATGCCTTCATTCCATAGTTGTCCCTCTTGCATGAACAACTTCCACATCCTTCACTAGAATAAAACTTTTCTTCTTCCCCAAATATCGCATCCAATTCTTTCTTCAACTTCTGAATTTTACTTTCAAAAATTGATAAATCAGTAACACCAGACTGTTTTGCCTTATCAAGTTCCTTCTCTGCATGCTCAAGTTCAGTTGCCTTAGAAATTAACATCTTAGGCTTCTTTGGGTCAAATTTAGGAGGATTGGGACCTAACATAGATCCTTCTTTGTATTTCCTAAATTTCTCAGATTCATCAAGCCTATGAAGCCTCGCTGTCATTTGGGTACCACCAAGAACAAGGTTTTTAGTGTCTTGGTTAGGTTTTTCACTATCATAATTGATACTTTGCCAGCCATCATCAATGATAACAAATCTCGGTGAAACACCACCTTCAACAAAATCATTCACACCATACCATATACCAGAAGGCTCTACAGTTAAATAAAATGCATCCCAAGTGCACCACCCAAATTTATCTATCAAAGAAGGAACAGATTTCTCTTCCAAAAGCCTAAAAGTGTTAAGATGGACCCTTAAAGCACTATAAGCCTCTTTCATAATATTATATGGATTTTCAGACACATGAACATATGCAATAGCATTAAAAGATGACGCCTTTACTCTTGTAGAGCCACTTTCAGCACAAATCATCACATGGCCATCATTGCCAGGATGAAGAGCAGACCTAAAATTCCCTTCAATAGTAGGAATTATGATGACATAAGATTTTATTTCAGGGACATTAAGGAGAACCCATTGGGTTTCCATTTGCAAATCAGACCCTGAATCTCCAACCCACATAGTAGACCACCATGTTTTGAATCTAAAAACGGATAAAAAATCCCTATGAGAAAATTTTCCTAGGGAGTTCATTAATCTATCTGAAGGTGAATCTTTGTGGAATCCAAGGAAACCTCCTCTGTTAGACAGAGAAAGGACTCGCTGGAGCAGGGGAAGTGGAGCATCAGATTCAGAGGAGTTACAGATAGAAGAAAATGGAGAAAAAACGACATTGCTTGGAACATCAGAGAGTAATGGGAAGCCTGCAACACTAAATTTTCCATTTGACAAATCAAAGTTTTTGTCTAAACTCTCTGATTTAAGGACTTTGGGGAGTGAATTAGCAGGATCATTTGGAGGAGCCATTTCTTAAAGAAACAGAGGAAAACAGGGTATTCAAAGAGCAAGAATATAAAAGGCAGGGGAAAACCCTAGTGTTCAATATTGCAGGAGGAAGAGCTAATGGTTTGTATCTATATATAAGAAATTTCAAAGAGAACCCGACGTAGTAGAAGAATCTTTAGATCCTATATATATACTTAACACTTGAAAGACGTGAAGGAAAGTTTCAAGAGGTTTGATTTATCCTCCGTGTGCAACGGATATGTGCAATAGAATCTTTTATTTATACAATTCACAAATATGGAAACTGCAACCAGAATATCAAACTAGGCAAATAAAGAAAAAAGCAAAAACTGCTAACAGAATTCAGTAGAGGAGAAGAATTGCTTGTGCGGAAGGGAATATGATTATGTAAAGGGTAAACACATGTATTTATAGAGAAAAATTGAACAGTGTCCAGTGTCTGAAAATTTGAATAAAAAATAGAATCAAGTGACCTGGACTGGTCCGTTGTGTCGCTGATGTTATACCGACTCTGTCTTTCTTCTTCCCTTTATGGGTAGAACAAAGCTACCACAGAGATGCTCTGTTTCCATCCATTGACAATGACTAGAAGTTTATTATTCAATGTCAGAAATCCTCGGGGAAATTAATATTAATATCTAGACAATGTAATAAAGTGATGTATTATGTATATGATTATCCATGCGTGTCACTTGCAATGCATGCATGGACTGCATGAGCGTCACTTTTGTTGGGCCAGCAGCTTCGAATCTGGACAAGCATTTCTCGAGGAGCTCTTTTATATAATTTTTTTATATTACGCTTTTTAATGAAAAAATAGCTAGTTAGATTTATTTATTTTTTCAATGTTCATAAATATAAATATTTTTTAATAAATTTTACATCAAGGTCATGCTCGCTGATGTGGTATTTAGTGCTTTAATTTATTTTTATTATTATATTTATATTGGTGTATATTTTGAATTTGAAATATTATGGGTGCCTTTAATATTTGATAATAAATTGCCCAGAGTTAAAATACAAAAATAATCAATTTTATCCAACATGATTTAATAATTTTAAAATTATCTCCAAAATTATAAATATGTAAATAAATTAATTTAAAAATATAAATAATTACAAATTCTAGAATTTCAGTATGTGGGAAACATTAATGGAGGAACTGTTTTGGGTTATATTGCTACGTAATACATTAGAGAACCGGAAAGTTCCACGTGGGAGTAGACGTTATATATTTGACTTTTGGGGAAGACCTTCCCTAACAAAAATTAAGGAAAATGATGATGCGATGCAATTTTCTCGAGTAATCTTATTGATTTTTCACTATATATATAATGTATTTTTGCTCTAAGAACTTTCTTGATATATCTTTGTATATTTTTATGGATCAAAACCCGGCTTATTTTTCGTAAAATTTAAGATTCCTTTCATTTTTGGAATATAATAAAGAATATTCATGATGAAATTAATTATTGAAACTGATTTTGTATTGAAGACTCAAATTCTCAATCTTCCGTGGATCTTGAATCTGCCTTCTTGCCTTATGCATGCATGATATTACTGGTTCAGACTTTAATATTTTTTTTGTGCGCTTTGCTTTCTTAGAAAAATGATTTATTTAATTCCTAAATAAAAATAAACAAAAAATTGAAGCTCACTGATTTTCGTGCAGCAGTTTTATAATAATAATAATATTATTATTATTATTTCTTAAATATATAATAACGTAAAAATACTGTGGAAAAGGAGGTTGGGATATTCTTTCTGGTTAACTGAAAGAGGAATCTGAAAAACAGTTTGTGATGTAGGTCGTGGATCTCTCGGGAACATTATGGGAGGTGGATGCAAGTTGCTATAATAATTTAATTTATAAAGTGGCTCATTATACTTTATCTAATTCCTTCTTTATTAAGATTGATAATTAATCTTCTCAATAAATAAATAAATAAATAAAATCCCACATGAGAAAATATTTGGAATATTAAAAATTGTTTAAAGTTCTAATTCTTCAATAGTACAAAGCCCATTTACAATAGGATTGGTTAAAGAAAAAGAATAGGATTTACTTTCTGGTTCTGTACTGATTGAGTTGGCCTCAGTTCGCTTTTTAACTTTTCGAGAAGATACCCAACTGAAAGGTCTACATACACAATTACAATGAAAGCACTTCAAATTCTCAAATTTTCAAGTATTGTCTATTCCGAATCTGGATAGTGATCACGATCCACTTTAAATATATTCTTGTGAATTCGGTTCGGGTCAGTAATCTGGCCCAGGTGGACCAGGTGCATATCAGTCAACGACACCCTTCTGATCTTTCCAAAGACAAAAGCGCTGTCGTTTCGAGACTGTTTTATTAACATATATATATAATAAAATTTCTAACTGAATTAATATTTTTAACTAAATTAGGTATCTAAGATATAGCAATATCTATATCAATAATTATTTTATTTGCTTCTTTCTTAATTTGATTTCTTTTCTTGTAATGAATCTGTGAATTGAAAAGTAGCTACCATATAATTATTCGCCATATTATATTTAATTTATCATTCTTTCATAAGAAATAAAATCCTAATTTTACAATTTATTTAAAATACAATAAATTGAATTAATTACTGCAAATTGCATAAATAAAATCATGAGTTTCAAAGAAACAATTCAAATAATGTTTTGCAAATCAGAAGATGAATTTCATTCAATGCTAATAGGTTGTTATGATGTGTTAATATTTGTTGTTATTATAATACGTTAATAGCTAAGCAAAGGTTATCAACTATTTCACAATTTGTTATTTTATCTTTTAATTTCTTATTTTATTTTTCTCAAAAAAATTATAATTCTTTTTTTGATACTAAAAAATTGATTAAAATATATAATTTCAACCAATAAAATTCTTTATTTTTTCAATTAATAAAATTAAATATTATTATTATCATAACCATATTTACATAATATAATTTTTTATTTTATCTCATAGAATTTAAATTTAAATAGAAAATAAATATAAGCAATCAAATTAAATTACCTTATATTTTCAAACAATAAAATTAAATCTTAAAGATATTTTTATGAAACCACAAATTTAATAGGGGTATTTTTGATAATTTTAATATTTTCCCATTCTTTTTTTTTTAATTTAAGAATCAATCTCATTTTATGTATTACAGGTCATAGATTATTATAGATAGATTCTTATTATATTTAAAATATATCAATATAATATACAATATTTAGATAATTATTTTTAGTTTCATATGTTTGGTCTAAAAGCGGGGTCATGAACCCGATCTAGATAAGTGTTTTCAAAAATTAATATCTTATTTAATTCGTGAAATGGAATAGAAGAGGGAATTTACTTGTCATACCATTTATGTTTTTCGTAAATTTTGGAAAAAATATTTACTATAAACAAATAAATCATTTCATATTGCAAAAAAAAGTGATTTCATAGAAAATTATTTGGCACCTAAATTTGGACCAAAGCTAAGAGGTACTCTACCCCTCCATATTCCATTTTATTTCATAAATCAAAAAAGGCCTAAAAGATTAGTTAGCGCAGAATCCCAAAAAGGTTCTTACTTACCTTCTAAAGTTCTAAAGTGGCGGCCATTAATTTGAATAACAATGAGGTTAGGGAACATAATTTTCATCTTCACTTGCTCGTAATTGCTGCATCAATTTTTCTCATACGCCATTCATCGAACAAATAGTGTGCATACAATCAAATTCATTGCTCATCAAGAATCCAATTGGCCATAATAGAATCTACATTACAAGTTAACTTTGAAATATTAATTTTGCCTGCAATTACAGAAACAAAATTTGTCTCAAACAATCAAATTCATTCCTCACGGCAGAACTTGAAATGGTCTCTCCTCACAAGATGGTAAGCATGTTTAGTGAACAACCTTTCCCAATTTTCGGCGAGAGAGAGGTGCTGTCATGTCGTTTCGATGATATCGAGTATGATAACAAGTAAAAGTAAACTATTAATTAGACCTGATAGTGCCATACAATTAATTTGCGGTGTGGTTGAAGAAATTGAATGTTTTACAGCTCAACAATATTTTTGAATATGAATTATATGTAGGACAACGACGACTGGATTGCCAATCCCACCTACTGTCTCCTTCTTCTCTTACATACAGTGATAGATAGATTAGATTAGGTGTACGGAACTAACCTTTCCAGCAGTTGGAAATGCGAAGGAATAATCATTCTTCCTCTTCTTGCATATCAAGGACAATTTTTCTGTCCCACCTTCGAAATTTTCCGGCAAAAGATTTCCTGTTCTAATTAGGAAACTTGAACCTTTTTTAGATTTACAAAAAAAAAAAAAGTGTACTTTTTTAGCAATTATGGAGAATTCGTTCTACAACATATAGAAATATAAAGCTCAAGATATCGTTTGCTTTAATTAGCATATAATAGAAAAATCATCAGAGTCAAAGGGTTAAGTACACAAGTTCAACTACACAATGTAACACCAACTATCAACTAACACAGTCGCAGAATCGCTTCGCAGAGCTATTTATATATATGATAACATAAATTATACTTATCTCATATAAAGCTCCTAATCGCACTTGACAGGCCATTAAATAAAAATGAAGAATCTTCCTTCATTTCTGTTCGCCGTGCTGTTATTCGCACTGCTACATTGCTGGAGTGGCTCTGAGGCTTCGGATTGTCAATATTCAAAGAACCACGTCGCGTACACTATCACTGTTGATAAATCAGGCAAAGGAAATTTCAGTTCAGTTCAAAGTGCCATTAATCATATTCCTGAAAGGAATACTCGGTGGATACGTATTCGAATTTCTTCTGGCAAATATAAGTACAACAACAGTCTATTCTGTATATTTAACCTTTATTTACAGCAACATTTATTTAAAATTTAAAGTGTCGTTCTTTCTAATTTTGTTTTTCTCCATTTCCTTTCGGGTGCAGTGAAAAGGTTACAGTTCCAGCGAGGAAACCATGCATTGTTTTTGAGGGAGCAGGCCGCCACTTGACGAGTATTGAATGGGGTGATCACCAAGATACAAGTACTAGTGCTACCTTCACTTCCAATCCTGATAACATTGTAGCCAAGGGCATTACATTCAAGGTGATGAGAACCAATTACTCGTTTTTAAAATTTTCTTTTTTCTTCTTTTTATGGTTTAATAACAAGTTATATAGGGTAATATTTTAATTAATTGATTGGATGTAATTAACAATGCAAAAAATGTTATTAATTTGGAATTTTTGGATTTTTTTTTTTTTTTTTTTTAATCTTCTTATGGTTAGATAACAAGTTTATACTAGGGTAATATTTTATTAATTGATTGGATGTAATTAAGACAATGCAAAAATGTTGTTAATGTTGGAATTTTTGGAATTTTTTTTTTTTTTCTTTTTTTTAATGATGATCAGATACACATAAAAAAATAGGAGCGACATAGCACAAAGAAATCATAATTGAGAGACAAGGCAGATTCTGCAAGATTAAAGGAGGAGATAAATATGCCTTTCTATGACTGTGCTTTTTTCGATTACAGATACTACTTTCATGGGATGAAAAAATGGTCTTCACTACTATCACGGGGACTGTTATGAAGGTTGAAGGTGGCGAAGTTGATTTTCAATTTTTTGGGCAAAGCACAAATCAATTTACAGAGGTTCGTATAAAAGACTTTTTAAACTTCAAAATTAATTTTTCGACAATATATTAAATTGAGACCGTAATTAATAATATAATTTTTTTTTTTTTTTTTTTTTTAATGATTGATCAGAACACATACAACTGGGGAAAAGCAAAAATCACTAATTGGAGACAAGCAGTTTCTGCAAGATTAAAAGGAGATAAATATGCTTTCTATGACTGTGCTTTTCTAGGATTACAAGATACTTTATGGGATGAAAATGGTCTTCACTACTTCAGGGGATGTTATATTGAAGGTGCAGTTGATTTCATTTTTGGGAAAGCACAATCAATTTACGAGGTTCGTATAAAAACTTTTTAAACTTCAAAAATAATTTTTCCGACAATATCTTAAATTGAGACCTCAATTAATAATAATAATAATAATTTTAGTGTTCAATCATTAAATTAAACTTCAAATCTTTAATTAATTTGAAAAATTTGTAGGAATGTGTAATATCAGTAAACATAGGAAAATACGAAAAAGAATCAAAAGGGAGTATAACAGCTCAGAAGAAGGAATGGCCAGAATATAAAAGTGGATTTGTATTTAAAAATTGTGTAATTAATGGAACTGGTAAAGCCATTCTTGGAAGAGCTTGGGGGCCTTATTCTACAGTGATTATCTATAACTCGTTCTTATCAGAAGTGGTAGATCCTAAAGGTTGGGATGCTTGGGAATACTATGGCCATGAGTAAGACTATTTTTCATGAATTTTTTATAATATTTTCAACAATTACTATATAGTGCGTTAATATTTAACAAAAATGTTGTTTAATTGCAGAGCAAATCTTACCTATGTAGAGGCTAATAACAATGGTGAAGGAGCGAACACGTCGATGCGAGTTTCCTGGTTAAAGAAACTCAGTTCAAATGAACTCAATAAGTTTCTGGATATTTCATTCATCAATGGAAATGAATGGCTTGACAAGATACCTACCTCATTCAACTAATATTAATTGATTCATCATTTGTATTTTCTATTGTTTTTTCTTTCATTCAACAAATACATTGTTAGTTGCAATCAAACGAAATAGTAAGGCATTTTCAGATATTTTCTTTTCTCTAGTGTAAATGACCTCTCAAAAAAATTTTTCCCTTATTTAAAAATTGTAAGAAAAAAATATTAAAGAAATCAAACTATACATTCAAGTCTAATTAAGGGGTAAACGAGCTTAGTCAACTTGCAAACTGTTTAAGCTCGGCTCGAAAAAGTTAAGCTCTCTCGAGTCTTATGATATTTTAGATTAGAAGTATATAAGGAAACTAACCTCTCCTGCAATTGGAAATGTGAAGGAAATCATTCTTCCTCTTCTCCCATATCAAGAAAAAGTTTTCTGTCCCGCCTTCGAATTTTTCCATATAGTCAAGGAAAAGGTTTGTGTCCTAATTAGGAAACTGGAACCTCTTTTAGATTTTTATTTTTTATTTTTTGCAATTGTCCACAATTCATCCTACAATAGAATACCAACTACCAACTAACACAAAAAATAAAATAAAGAAGAAAAAAAAATCAAAATCTTCCATCAGTCAAAAGCTGCCTCCCTTGAATTTTCTAAGTACTTACTGGTAATTTGTCAAACCAAGACATTCATGATCATTCACGAGGAAAAATAATATGGATAAGACTGTAATAATTTCTTCAAATAATATTTTTTTAATTAACTTGATACATGAGTGGTCCATACATTGAGTGTAAGCAAACCTTATCTAATTTTCTTTTAAGGACTTTGCTAAATTTCTTTCAACAACATAAATTTTATACTTGCTTTCTTTGCTTATATGTTAATTACTTAATAGTTTTCTAATTAATAAGGAAAATACAGTGTGAAAACACCCGTGTTTTCTCTGTACATAGCTATTTATGTATAAATGATAACATAAATCATACTTATTCCATACTGGGCGTAAGCAAGTCTTCCCACCTTTATATAAAGCTCCTAATCGCATTTAACAAGCCATTAAAGAAAAATGAAGAATCTTCCTTCGTTTCTGTTCGCGTGGTGTTATTCGTACTATTACATTGCTGGAGCGGCTGTGAGGCTTTGGATTGTCAATATTCAAAAAATGGCATCGCATATACTATCACTGTTGATAAATCAGGCCATGGAAATTTCACTTCAGTTCAGTTCAGTTCAGAGTGCCATTAATTCTATTCCTGACAGGAATACTCAGTGGATACGTATTCACATTTCTTCCTGAAAATATAAGTATAACAATCTCTTCTATATATGTAACATTTACTTTTATTTTACGTTGTCGTTTATTCTAATTTTATTTTTCTCCGCTTCCTTTCGGGTACATGGCTGCAGCGAAAAGGTCACAGCTCCGATGAAGAAACCATGCATTATTTTTCAAGGAGCAGGTCGCGATTTGACAAGTATTGAATGGAATAATCATATGAGTATACAAGTACTAGTGCTACCTTCACTTCACTTCACTTCTACATATGTTAATTACTTAATAGTCAGTAATATCAGTAAACATGGGAAAGTACTCGACAGGATTAGAAGGGAGTATAACAGCTCAGAAGAAGGAATGGGCAGACCATAAAAGTGGATTTGTGTTAAAAATTGTGTAATTAATGGGACTGGTAAAGCCATTCTTGGAAGAGCTTGGTGACCTTATTCTACTGTGATTATCTGTAACTCTTACCTTAAAAGAAGTGATAGATCCTAAAGGTTGGGATGCTTGGAGCTACGTTGGCCATGAGTACGACTCTTTTTTTAATGATTTTCGACAATATTTTGAACAATGATTATATAGTGCCATTAATATTTAATATTGTCGTTTAATTGCAGAGCAAATTTTACGTATGCAGAGGCCAATGATAAGGGTGCAGGAGCAGACACATCAAGACGAGTGTCCTGGTTAAAGAAACTCAGTCCAAACGCACTTAATAAATTTCTGGATGTTCAGAAATTCCTTCCCAATATTGAATTTTAAGACTATGGATGTTCATGTCTAATTGATAACAAAAATCAATGAATTAGTGTCTCCAAGACTCAGAAATTTTGTTGGGTAGGCAAGCAATTCAAATGTTTTTTAGCCTAACTTTTACAAAATAATTTTATGAATACATCTAAAATTACACATGAACACCAAGCTATGAATGTCCGTACAGTCAACAAATGTAATCCAAATTTAATATATGCAATTTGCCTAATTTCATTTTTCTTTTCAGTTAAAATGCCATTTTATTTTATGGTTGTTTAGTCAAAGAATCAAGTAATTCACAACTAAAATGGCAGTGGCATACGCAAATTGCACGTCAAAGATAATATTTTTTTTCCCCAAGTGTCTTATTGAATTGGAGTCACACAGAAGAAAATAATCACAAGAAAATTTTTAGAAGTTGAGATTTGATTCTTCTAGTTTTTTTGCACTCAATCCTTATAAAAATAATGAAATAATTATTAAATTGTAAATTTAACAAATAAACTTATTATTTAATTTAAGTCAATCCTCAATTATAGGAACACGTTCTTCTGTGGAAAATTTTATAATTGGGGTTGACGTTCATCTTACTCCTCCTATATTAATAATAGGTTTATTTGAAATTTCACAAAGATTAGAAAAAATATAATTACTTGAAAATTTTCTTTATACCCTAATATTAAAACTTAAAGATTCATATTTCAAAATTATAGAACTGAATGGCAATAATAATTATTTTATTTATTTTAATATTTGATTAACGGTAATATCGTGTATTTTTTAGGTAGAAATGCATATTAAATAGGGGTAGACGGTACATGAGACTCAAAATTTTTTACAAATATTTTTTTTCTCGTGAAAAGACAATAATACCCTTATTAGTTATATGTAACTTTGTTGGATTAGCTCCATACGTTGGATTTACAGGTAGTCATTATATATATTATGTCTTGGTTCCTAAAAGGCAGGGCGTCTAGGCCATTAGATTTCGTTGCATATACATATATTTTTCTGAAAAATATGCAGCTTCTCCATTCATTTTTGTGGATACTGGTTCTCTGTTCCAGTGTATGTAAAGCGTTAGATTGCCAATTAAACAAATCAAATAGCTTGAAAGTCGCATATACAATTAGTGTTGATAAGTCAGGAAAAGGAAACTTCACTACAATTCAAAGCGCCATCGATTCAGTTCCTGATGGGAATACTCATTGGATACGTATCCAAATCTCTCCAAATACATACAGGTAAACGAAAAAGCTGTAAACTTCAATATTTGCACTGTTAATTCATTAGTTAAGTGTCTATCTTGTAGCTTGTGATATGAAGAATCCAAATCCTGCCAAAAATTACTATAACCTTTTTAGAATTTTGCTCTGATGTGACAGAAATTGTTGGGTTTTGGCTGCAGGGAAAAAATTACAATTCCTATGAAGAAACCATGCATTTTTCTGGAAGGAGCAGACAAAGAGTTGACGAGTATCGAATGGGATGATCATGGAGTGACAGGGACTAGTGCTACCTTTAGTTCCTATTCTGAAAATCTCATAGCAAAAGGCATTAAATTCAAGGTATTTAAAAGTAAAAAAATCCCGAAGTTACTTCTATATATTATTAGCTTTTTTTAAAATTTTTTGTTTTTTTTGTTTTGTTTTGTCAGAACACATATAACTGGAATTTACCAGTTAAGGCAGAGAATTTCAGCTGGAGACAAGCAGTGTCAGCTAGAATAAGAGGAGATAAGTCTGCTTTCTATGATTGCGCTTTTGTAGGAATACAAGATACTTTCTGGGATGAGAAGGGCCGCCATTACTTCTACAAATGCTATTTTGAAGGTGCTGTTGATTTCATTTTTGGCAAAGCCAAATCTATCTATGAGGTAATTAGCCTATGTATTAAAGTCATTATACATAAGAATATTTTTAATTCTGGAAATTTTTTGAGCAATCACTTTTTTGAATTTATATACAGAAATGTTTGTTATCAGTTAACAAAGGAAGATATGATCCAGAAATACCTGGATATATAACAGCACAAAAAAAAGAATGGGCAGAGCATGAGAGTGGTTTTGTTTTTAAAAATTGTGAAATCAATGGAAGTGGTAAAGCTTACCTTGGAAGAGCTTGGGGACCCTTTTCTTCTGTAGTTATTTATAATTCAACCATATCAGAGGTTATAGTCCCTCAAGGTTGGAATGCTTGGGACTACGTTGGCCACGAGTAAGACGATCTTATTTCATAATTGCTTAAAATGTTCCAATAAATTAGCAATAAGACAAAACAAATGAGCTTTAATCTTAAGTGAATACCAATTAAATTATTATTATGTCATCAGGAAAAATTGATTAAGGTTGTTCTGATATTAATTACAGAGCAAATTTTACGTATGTGGAGGTTGATAACAGAGGACCAGGAGCAGAGACTTCCAAGCGGGTACCTTGGGTGAATCAACTCAATGCCAGTGAACTTAGCAAATATTTGACTTTGTCATACATCGACTCAGATGGGTGGCTTGCTGCGTTATCCAATATCTTCTGATTTATTTGGAGGGTTCAGTAGAAAATTTATACTCTGGTTAAATTTTTACAGTTGTAGTAAATTTTATCCATAATAATGTAATAATGTAGCATACACTATTATACGAAATTTTCATTTCAAATTAGCTGGAACTATAATTTAAATGATCTTTTTTAATCAAATATCAATCTCTAGTGGAAATTGTATAAGAGTTATTATCATGTCAATTGGATTAAATAATTTTAAAAAGAAAAAAAAAAAAAAAGCAGCTACTATATTAAATAAGATTTACTAAAACATTCTCCTTAAAAGCATTACCGAAAATGAAATCCATTAGATGAAAAAACAAAAATAAATATTAGGATTTTGACATTGATTACCGAATTTACGTTGATTATAGCCGAAATAATGTATGTTCAAAAAATTAACATAGATACGTAAGCAAACATATAATACATTCCTCTTCTTTTCTCTCCTTTTTTCTTTTTTTTTTTAATATATACATATAATTAAGTTGACGGAGATTTCGGGCAAGGAATTAACGCGAACATGTTACAAGCGGGCAACAAAACATTTGCAACCTCATACAAATAACTACAAAGGAAGCATTTGTACATTAGAGATTTGATCAAACCTCATAGTTTCGGGATGAGTTCTATCGTCGTGAAGTACAAGCAATTTTAGTGTGCCAGATTCTTTTAACCAGGCAGCGACAACTGATCCTGTTGATGTAAACCGACCTAAGTTGCATTCAGCTAATCGAAAGGGTGCACCCATGCTAGTAAGAAGCGCCTCGATAGCTCGCCTTAGTGTGCTATCACCAACTACCTTGCTGTGTTTGCCCCATCCAGTTAAAATGCTGAAATAAATAGATGGGGTTCAGATATTTTCTGAAGAAAGTTAAATTCAAGTAATGGAAACCATTGTATACCTTAATAATTTTGGCAATTCATGGCCCTCAAACACAATAGAGCGAATGTTCAGCAACCATGCATGAACCATTGCCCGAGCAGCACCAGAAGACATCAGATGCAAATCTAAGCAAGAATTAGACCACACGTTCTCCCATACTTGTCGACGTTTCCCTTCAAGCACAACCAGTTGGGCACCTCGTTTCTGAAAAGAATTTAGTAAGTATTGCACATGGTACAACCCAACTGAGCAAAAATAGGCTTCAATCAGCAAAAGCTAGTGGTCGACAAACCTGGCCAAAGTGCCACAGCATGTCAGTCAAAGCATTATAAAAGGCAGATGCTGTTGAAGAGTCCATCAACTTGACTTCATCAAATAGGGACAGTGCTTGCATCCAAACATTTTCTCTATAACCCATGAGAAGTCCATGTGCCACACCATAGACCTGGTTATCAAATAATCGAAGCTCCTCCAATAACATTGAAGCATCTTCAAAGGAATCACACAGACTGCATCCAGAGAGACACAAATGAAACTTTATCCGCATTTGAAGTTAAGTATCCATAAAAGTATCTAAAATAGTCTAGCAAAGCTCCACAAAATCAGGCATTTATACTTCTTCTAATCCTTGTTAAAAGAAATACCAGTACTTTCATCTGCGTGCTTTATTTTAAAATAGATGAACTATTACTTAGGTATAAGTGAACAAAGAACAAAGAAAAAGTCAGATAGGATGAACAGTGACCTTCCATTCACCATTACTCCCCGCAGAAGTTCATATATTGATTGATTTAGCATCAACCACAGGCCACATGCATCATTAAAGAAGAATCATGGCCCTGAAACCAAACACATTATTTCTTCCAATAAGCTAAAAACATTACTTTGATAAAATCTGATAAAAATTTTGCCACTGATAATTTTGTTTGATCTAATACTGCATTTTCCCCAGTCCCAAAATCTAAAGATAATGGAAGTCACATCAGTAACAAGTTTAATGGCATTGCACCAAAGCAACAGGATTAAAACACACTAAGTTCTCATTTCTAAAATGCATCAAATGGCAATTAACATTACTATAGCAAAAAGACTCCCAAAAATGGCATTTAACAGTACCTGCAAGCATTTAAAATGGCAGAGAATGTGACAACATTTGGTTTGATTTCCAGTTCATGCATCTTCTGAAAGACTCCCAAAATGCACAAAATTTCCTGCCTGCCCTTGTTCTTTACTTGACCTGAATTCTCAGCAGCAAGCTGCCCAAAAATCTTTATGATCCTATTATCCTCCCTATCCACAACTTCCTTCTCAGTAGCTTTCTGAACAACAGTCGAATTTGAAGATTTAACTTGCAACTCACAGGCTTCATCATTATCGTCAACCACACATTGTGGCGTTGCTGACCGGCCAAAAGCATCTATCACAGAATTATAAGTGACAACATTAGGCTTAATTCCCTCCTTAGTCATCTCATCAAGCAAAATCACTGCAGACTCCACCAATCCATTCTTGCACAAGGCATCTATTAGTGCAGAATAAAGAACAACATCAGCCTTCAGTCCTGCTTGCTTAAACTCCCTAAAAACCTCCATAGCTTCCTTATACCGACCACCTTTTGAGTAAACATCAATCAAGGTTGAATAAGTTAATATATTAGGTGATATACATGCCCCTTTCATCTCCTCAAACACTTTCCTCACTTCATCATATTTGCATTGTTTCCCATATCCACCCAAAAGCGCATTATAAGTCACAACATCTTTCCTAATACCAGAATTCTCCATCTCCTTACAAACATCCAAAGCCTCCTCAAACCTCCCGAGCTTAGAATAAATAGAAAGCAAAGTATTATATGAAATTCTATCCAAACCAATCCCCAAAAACTTCATTTCGCTAAACAAATTAAGAGCATCATCTAATCTACCAGCTTTAGCATAGCCATCAATCATAGTACTGTAAGTAACAACATTAGGCAATATATTCTTGCCAGGCATCTCAGACATTATCTCAAAAGCCAAGTCCATTTGCCCACCTTTACAAACTGCATCCAAAAGGGTATTATAAGTAAATATATCTTGAGCAATCCCTCTATTCACCATTTCACTGAACAAACCCCTTGCTGCCTCCCATAGTCCTCCTCTACTACATACAGCAAGCAACGAATTAAATGTAATTCTATCTGGTTGCACTCCATTTTTCAACATTTCATCAAAAATCTCCACTACTTTATTAAATTCTACACCCCCTTTACCACAAGCATCAATCACAGCATTGTAAGTGACTAAATTTGGCTTCAGCCCGTAATCTTTCATTGAATCAAAAACCTTAATGGCCTCATTACAATAACAACTCCTCCCATAAGCACTAATTAAAGCAGAGAAGGCATAAACAGTGTTACCATAACCCTCACTAAGAGCAGTCTCAAACACAGCCTTTGCAAGCTCTACTTTACCCAATCTACCGAGGGTAGATATCATAGCACTAGCTAATTTCCCTTGCTCGTTCTTCCTATTTTCTCTTCTAACTGCAAACTGAAAGCATCGAATCGCTTTAGAAGAATCTCCTCGGTTTCCAAGCTCTCTAAGCAAGTAAATATAATCATCTGTGCCACAAAACCGAGACTCGAAATTGAGTAACACATCCTCAAGGGCTTTATCGTCTTTCCCATACAGTATCACCTGCTGCAAAGCTTCCTCCGCAACTGAAGTATGGCGGGTGCCCATACTGGTTTTTGGGCGCCCGAAGTGAAGCTTTGACACAAATCGGGTGGAGCGGCGACCTGAGAAATCGGCTGCGAGCTCGGATTTCGAGGATTGGAGACGGGAGAGAGAAGGAAAGTTGGGGTTTTGGGTATGGGCGGCCGCGGCGGCGGAAGCCCCTGCTTTTGTTACATTGCGAGGCGAAGGAGAGATAGGGGGTTTAGCAAGAGAGACATTTTGGTTAGTCCAGCGATGGTTAGGGTTGTGGTGGTGGCTTTGACGGTGGTTCTTTAAATGGTTTTGCGGATAGGGGTGATTTTGATGATAAGTTTTCGTTGTCGCAGTGATTGGTGGCGTTGACGCCATTCAATTTCTTGATAAAGTTACAGTCTTTAAAGGTCAATAATTTTAGTTAGGGACAGAAAGGCTGTGATTCTTAATGTTAAAGTAGGTTTTTTTAGGGGAAGGAAGAAGGAGAGAAAAAGGCCATTGTTTGTATATGGTGAGAAACAGAGACTGTAGTTCTTAGAGATAAGAGAGAGGGGCTACTGCCATATTAGATGATTGAGCTGGCTGACTCAGTTGAGTTGAGTTGAGTTGCGACGTTTTGTTTTTCGGTTCAGACATTGGAATCTTCGCTTAATTTCCTTCTTTTTTTTTTTTTTTTTTTTTTTTTTAAGTCAATGAATTTTAGTTAGGAGAGAGAGAGTATAGAGATATAGTAGGTTTATATTAGAGGAGAAAGAAGAGAAGATATAGAGATGTATATGGTGAGAAACAGGCAGAGTAGTTCTATAAAGATTAAGAGAGAGGGCTTACGTGCCATATTGTTAGATGATTGGCTAGATATAGATACATGATATAGATTTGCGACGTTTTGTTAACATCATCGGTTCACGACACACTCTCGGAACATCATTCGCTTTTCTTCTATCTTCATATAATATATATATTATATAATATTATAATATTGATATATATATACCTTGTCGCCATATATGTCGAGGGTTTATATAGCTGACTTATATGTAGGACAATAATCTGCACATCGAATCTTACTTGGATATTACGAACGAGATCTCCTACAAAGACAACGCCACATTTTATATCAGATCTATCACCAGCTGCTTGGGTATCCCTGAATTAAGGTAGGTCTCATTGAACTGAATTGTGTGGCGGGAGTGTTGCTTGGCTAACGTTGGCTAATTGCAAACTTTTTTTTTTTTTTTTTTTTTTTGTTTTATACCTGTCGCCATTTTCAGGGTTTTGTTTATATGTGGCAAAATTCAATGAATCTTACTTGCACCCCTACCTAAATTGCAGAGATTTAACTTTTTTAGTCAATCACCGCTGCTTGGGTCCCTGAAATTAGTAGGTCATTTGACTCATTGTGTGCGGAGTGTTTTGCTTACGTGGCTAATTACCAATGGTCAGTGGACTGAATTTTATCACTAACAAGTGACCGAATGATTCCTCAACTAGATGGCCCGCGTGTCACAACTTTTCGTAGATTTGGCTACAAAGATGGATTTAAACGCATTATAAATGTATATTTTCTTATGGGATTTTTTTAATTTATATTTGGTAGCCAAATTCACTTAAAACTGATTCTCTTACGAAGAACTCGTCTACATTTTTTTAGTTAATTTTAAAATATTCCTTCTCTTTTTTTATAATTTTCTATTTCTATGATATTTTTAGAAAATTAACATAATGTTTATTATCTTATTTTAATTTTATCTTTTTTTAGATATCTTCATTAAAGGATTAATTAAAAAATTTAATCAATTATCTTTATTTTTTTTCTACAACTAAAATAGTTGAATTATTTTCTTAAATTTTATTATACAAAATCCAAAAAATGTTTAATTGAATGGAAAAAAAGTAATAGTAATTTTAAGTTTAACTCTTACAAGGTTGATCAAAAGTCGATGTTTTTATATAATTTAACTTAATAAACATTAACAAAAAAAATCTTCAAGGTGTAAAAGTGGCATTTTAGTATACGAGAATAGAGGTACCCCATAAATACCGGAGCGAACGTTTAGAAGCTACTAGAACAAATACAGAATCCAGGCAAATTTCACTGGGGCCCCAGCTACTGCAATGACTTTCCCCAAGACAAATTAGTGCAATCCAGGCAAATCCAGTGTAATTAGTGCGACTTCCCCAAGACAAAGAATGGGTTAAGGAGGGTAGGTAACTGGGGTGGATAATGACTTTCCCCTCAAGTTTAGATGTTGAAGAAGAGAGTGCAATCCAGTGTAATTAAAGCTGACCGAACCGAACCAATCCAAAATTAGTCGGTTCAATTTGATTTTCAGATCAGATCCAAATATTGCTCCAACAAATATACATCGTAATTGCACTCAGAAAGTAATTATAATTTTTTTTTTCAATTTTTATTAATATTTATTAAATATTTCATAGCAAAATTAAATAGAGTGTTTTCAATTTTAAAAAGAATAATTTAGATATTATGCTATATTTTTTAAAAAATCAACATGTTCCAATCATTTTTTTTAATCCTTGTAAAGAAATCAAATGTTGCTAATCCTCTAGAAAATCAGAGTTAGTTATTATATTTAATATATAAGAGTGATTATTGGCAGGCGTGCAACGAATACTTCTTTCAAGCTTATATAAACAAAGCGATAATCTTAAAAAGAATGATGACACCCAAAAGTTAACACCATAAAAGGAAAGAATGAAACATTATTTTTACTAACTGGATCTGATTCTACAAATTACAATACTTGCGGAACGTCCAAGACAGACATTAGTTGGCACTGGCCAGCCACGTAGTTCCTTTCAATAGGTAGCTTATGAGCTCAAAATCCTCCTCTGCTAACTAAATGAAAAATTAAATTTTCAGGGAGAGAGAGAGAGAGAGAGTTTGAATGTTGGGGGAAGGAATAGAAAAATACTCGAGATAGTGTGAAAAGGTGCTAACAGTCTCCTGTAAGTTAGGTATCTGACTGACCAAAACTTGAAAAGTTCACTCAAATCTGCGTTCCACTTTCACGTATAGAAAGGATCTTCAATATGTCTTTTTTCTCACGGCTGATTTTCGAGGTTCCCTTTTTGCAGTGGTCATAAATCCTGGTGTTGGTATGTCTACTGCAGTTTGATAAAGATCCTTTAACCTGCAGATGAGACGTAGAGATATGCAAGGAATTCACAATGGAAGTTCCATCAAGCAGTAAACAAACCCTAGAGAGGATTACAGGTGAAAATAGATTCCAAGTTACCTTGGTATGCTGATGAAAAGGGCAATCACTGCAACCCCAACAACAAGAGGGAATACTGGTGCTGGAGTCAACTCCTGCAGGTGAGGAAGAGGAAAAGTTGCTTGTTTAATAGCGTGGCAGAACATAGATTTGGGAAAAGGGTAAACGTATCTCCAGGTCATTCACATTCTGAACTGCTTGTGAGAATTATTTAAAAATGCTGAACATATTACTATAGCACAATAAAAACCTGTTTTTGATGATCCTCCTCAAAGTTGTATCTCAGTGGACCCACATGAATTTGGGCAGTCTTCTCTAGGTCAACCTCAATAACATCTGACTCGAATTTGAGACTGCTCGATTGGAGACTTGATCTAAGCTGCAGGAGATGTTTACCCTTAGGTAAGTTCTTCACCTGGAAGAAGTTGGACAGTGGTAGTGGGAAGACAGACTCGATCTTAGATGTGTCACTGGCCGACTTGATCTCTACCAATAGATGTGAATGAAATTCTTCCATCTTCTTCCCTTCAACGTTACAACTTAAAATGGTCATATCTGGCTGTTCAAAGACAACAAAATTCAATTCCCTGATGTCCTCAGATCCAACCTACACAGTCAGCAAATATAAACGTCAGAATCCACATTAATAGCAGAAATGGCTGAAATTATATGTAGGAGTTGAAACATTTGAGCCTATCACATGAATTAAAAATGAAAAAGGAATAAATTTTGAATGATGAAACCAAGGTAGTTTTTTATAACACAATTCACCACTTCAAATTAAAATTTTCGAAGTTTTTTTACTTTTGAGTTGTTCAATAATAATTCATTCAAAAAAAAAAATGTTAAATTATTCTTATCTATATATCACTTAAAAATTAGTTAAGCTAAATTTTACTTAAAATGATAAGTCAAAATTTTTAATTTAAAATTTGCACTAAAGAAAAAGTTATGGAGCTTTTAAACAATTTCATATTTAAAAATTTCAGCACTAGGAGTTTGAAATTGAGCTCCGAAATTTGTAGCAATTAATTTTTCAATTTTACAAAACACCGTCTAAGTTGGATGGACAGTTTCTGAAAAACAAAAATGAAGAGAATAACCTTAACAGGAATCGATTCCGGCGATGCACGTTCAATTCTAGTGGTACCCAAGCCATGCTTTTCAACAACTTTAATTACATAGGTCGTGTCAGGAACTAGTCCCCTCAGCCGATAATTTCCAGATGAATCAGTTACGGTTTCCTCGTAGTAGCCTTTTGACTCTGACCGGGCTTCGACTGAAACACCTTCTTTTGGCTGGCCAGACAAAAGTGTGACAACGCCTGTAGCACTGTAAAGAGGATAAAAAATATTACGATCTCATAGCATATAAACATTTGGAAATCTATTCTAATTTCAATAGCATTTCAATTTAACGAAGAATGCATAGCAGCAAGACGTCAAATCAAGAAAAAGGCAAAGCAGAAGAGTATAACATTTCACACTTGGGCTTCATTTGGTTCAGGGAATAGAACAAGAATAAAGTAATTACATGCTGAATAGTTATTCTCAACTACAATCCAAATTTTAAATGTGGAGAATATTTATTCCACAATCTCAACTTTTAGTTGAAATTTTGATGATTAGGCAATATAGATATTCCACAAATTTGTAGAATAAAAATGCCACATATGATTGATGAAATTGGCATTCCATGACTATGGAATAGTTATTTCACTCTCACATTTTATTCTAATCCACAAACCAAATAAAGCATTAATATAAAAGTTTCTCTTTTGAATTAAAATGGAAAAAATTATGAAGCAATATCATATTGCAGAGAACATTAAAAAACATGTTTTTCCTTTCCATTATAAACCCAGAATTAAGGAACTCTGACTTAATAAAATTTATTATGGAGTTCCTTCCCGATAAAATTTTTGGTTTTTTAATATAATTTGGTCCAAGAAAACAAAATAAACTAAAAACCAAATAAATTATAACAGATGTCTGCATGTAATGGAAGCAAAATGAAGATAATAGATGACCTGTAAGCAACACGGGTAGCCTGGAAAGTGATTTCTGTAGAATCACCAGAACCAAGCTCTATTGCCTGTGCTGGAGGTAAGAAAGCATACTCCTACAGAGGCAAAACAAATCATTTGATGAGATAAATCCAACAAACCATAATCTCAGCACAAAAGAAAGAATGTCCTCGCAGGTACCTTTAGCAAAGGGCGCAGATAGAAAATGCCAGGAAATAAGTTGTCAAAGATGAAGGTACCACCAGTTCCAGATATAGAGTTGTTTCTATACCCATCATCTCCACTCAATGATAATAGCACAGAAGGAATAGGTTCATTAGCATCTCCCTCTGAGTATATAAGCACAGAAATTTGGCCAAGCTTCTGGCTAGAAAAAGAATGAGGTCCCACACGTTTAAGATAATAGCCAGGCTGCATAAATTCAGAGAGACATTAGGCAACACAGTACAAATGAAGACAAGCAATAGAAAAAAAGTTACGAACAGTATATACTTTTAATAATCAATTTAAGTCATTCAACAACACACATCCCAAACCTTTAAAGCCTCAACATTGTATGTTATATCATCATATAGAGGGCCCCCAGTGAAAGAACCATCTGTTCCTGTGGTAGTTTCAAGTGCTATGTCATCTTTCTTCAGTACTGTGATATGGCTATCTTCTGCAGCAATAATCTTAATATAAACATCGGAAAGAGGGGGAGAAACTGATCCTTCTAGATACAACCCAGGACGACCAGAAAAAAGAGGAATTGAAGCTTGACAACCGTCATTTGTTACCAAGACCTATCAACACGAAAAGCATCTTGAGTACTAAGCTCCACAGAAAACCCAGAAAAATTTAAAAAGGTGAAATTCTTCATTAATTCTTACACTATGTTCTTTGGGGTAAAACAAGATCTTCTTCTCTCCATTAACCCTGAAAGATGTCAAAGTTCAAGTTAATGGAATAAATGGGACAGCTTTAAGCGATGGAACTTTCATAACAAACCTGAGGAAATTAACAAAAATTACATATCAATTGAATAAGAAACATGAAAGGGAATATATTGCAAGTCTGCCTCTTGCAACTAGCATCACTCCAGAGCATTGTTCACAACCAACTAATTCATAGTAAGTAGTAACTGATTCATATAACATTATAATCATAGTTATTTCCTAATCTATAATCCAATGAAGGAAACCTAAATTCTCAATTCAAAAATTCTACAGAAGATCAGTTGAAAAATTCTACAGCTGAGTGTAGCTCCACCAAGTATCTGCTGTTAAATTGTCAGATGAAGGTGAACAGTCCCTTGTCAAGATCAAATAATGCTATTTCAAGTTTGAAATACTGTTATAAAATCTTGCTAGTGTTCCATGAAAACAGGAGCTATGGAGTGACACTGGTAAAAAAAATCCACAATTTACATACCTAGAGTCTCGAGGAACAAATGTAAGTTTCTGTCCAAGATTAGCCCAAACAGAGTATTCATACAAAGCAGTGCTTGTTTGATCACTTTCATTAGATGCAAGGTTTGCAGTTGTACCATCAAAAACACTGCTGTCGCTATTTAGAATATCCACAACAATAACATTAGGCAACTCGAATGCACCACTACCTGAGCTTAACCCAACCTTGATTTGTCCTTTGAGAAGATATTTCTCTGCTCTCAGATAGATAGGCTACATCATAAAATGGAAAAATAAGATGAATAAACAGGAAAAGATTTGTTCAATTTTTTCTTTTAAGCAAGAAAAATTCAAGACGCAAAAAAATTAGAAAAATAAAGGGCGTATTGCATGATGTAGTATTTACCGATGGTTTTGATGTATCTATCTTCATTGGTGTGCTTCCAAAGAAGATGCATGACTTAACAAAATGGAGCTCATGCACTCCAGGAGATTCCACACATATGCGCTGGGAACCTTTCTGCATTTCAAATGATAGTGCATTTAAATACAGATGAAAGCAAGTAGATGTCCGCATATAGTTATATGAACGTCAAAATTAAGATATTTAAGGAAAAAACTACCTTAATTTTCAAATTAACAATCGAACTATCTGACTGGGGAATGTAAGCATCTACATCATGAGTTGAGAAAACATTGACCCAGTAACCTTTTTGAACAAATACAAGTTCTTTAACATCCTCAGCACCAACATCTATATCAATGGATCTCTGCTCCCAGCACCAATTATCTTCACTGGGCAAGGCTTCTGGGGAAATATGTTTGACCTGAAAAAAATACATTAAAGACAGAATTAAAAGCATTCAGAACCCTTCAAAAATGTCACTAATTTAAAAAAAAAAGTTCATTAACATAATACAAGCATTATACCTCAAGCCTGTATTTTCCAGGTAAAACACTTGGAAAGAGAAATTCATCACTTCCATCTGTCAAACTAATAGACTTCCTTTCTTCATTATGCTTACCAGCTAATCTCACTAGGTCAACAGAAACAGATGGACCACATTTCTCCTTGCAAGTTACAGACCCAAGCACATTGACAAGAGCCTTTATCACAAGAAAGAAAATCATTGTTAAGTAGTAGTTTGGCTGAGGAAATAAGCACAACTAGCATTAAAATCTAAGGTTCACTGAGTACCCTTGCAATCTTAATGATGAAAGAAAACAAAGAATGCATAGTTTTAAACACTATATTAAGTTAGTTCTCCAAGCAGAATCTAAAAAGTAGGACATTTGTCTCTGATTCATATGAAAAAATTGGTTTTCATCCCAATATGTGTAACAATATTAGAACACTATTGTTCCACAAGTAATCTAATAACTTGATGCTCATTATGAACCATGGTGTTGAGGAGATTAAACCTCGTATAATTTTAAGCCTCCAAGCGGCAACAAGACATAAGATAGAAATGGGAATTCCAACAAAGCCCATGACTTTATTAAATACTGTATCATTGTTATTTAAAAGAAAAAGATAGAAACAAGAAGACTTAAATTTCCATTTCATACAAATGACATGTTACCTGAGAAAATTCTACATTTAATAATGGACTTTTGACCACAACATCAATATGAGGTGGTAAAACGAGAAGTCCTGGAGAACTCTCAGGAGTAGCAGAAAAAGCAGACAAGCGATATTCACCAGGTGGGACCTAAAAATGATGATAAAGAGGAAAGATGAGACTTCAATAAATAAAGCATTAAGACATCAACGTATAAATGGCTAATGCAAATAAAATATAAATATAACATGGCTGAATATTTTGAAAATTACAAATAATTTGTCTTGAAAGTGATAATAAGTGTATGGTTTTGTGTCCTGTGTCATTGACTACATAACCTTGTTGAAAGACCTATGGGTGTCAAAGAATTAATAACACTAGATTCATGAGCTCACACCTCTCCAATTATTGTCTCATGGATCACAATTTAGATAATTGAATTATCAGCTTAATAGCAGCAGTTTCGCTTTCTCCGTTCAGTACCAGATATTCATACAGTAAACCAGAATTGTCATCAATCTTAAAGCAGTCACATGTCGAAATATTGAGAAATGTTTCAAGACCTCCTTGAAAGTGCATGTTTCATGAAATTCCGAGTGTAAAAGCCATAAATAACATAATAATGGACAAGATAAATTAAAAGGAGTACAAAAGGCTGCACATTCTTACACAAAAAAAGCAAGAGGTTAATTAGTATAAATGGGACAAATTCATAAGCCAGTGAACAATTCACTTATTTGAGGGAAAGCTATTTTGCCATTTCTCATATATATAAGTTTGTGCAACTGTATGTATATCATCGGTAACTAAAAGTGCCGTTACATACCTGAAAGCAGAAATTTCCACCTCCATCTGTCTGTCTAACTTGCGGTTTGACATTCTCTGGTCCATGAGTCAAAGTTACCTAGAAATCATATGTGCCAAATATTACAACCAATAGATATGCAAGCTTATAGCATCTAAAGAGTCATAATTGCAGGTTGCAAAAATACCTTTCCTGCATATTTCAATTTTAAAAAATTACCTTTGCTTTGTAACCAGTATTAACCATCCTAACCACACCACAAACATCATAGGAGATTGCCTTAATATCTGCCACTGAAGCCATATTCGGCAAAACCTGACCAAACAAACAGGTCAAGAATAAAGATATTTCAAAAGTGTAATGAAAATCAGTACAACAATGAATTATACATAAAAGAATCTTTCCCTTTCTAATTCTTGCAAAAAAAGATTAACCTTTAAAAAGATTCAATAATCCAGAGTCAAGATACAAAAATGTAAAATTTCTTTTATATTCTTTACCATGTACTCCTTCAAGCTGTTGAACTTGTAATGCTCCTTCCTGGCCTCTATTGTATAATGATTTGATGTAACCTAAGGAAAGCAACGTTTTAGCAGCTTATATGAAAAAAATGAAGCATACAAACTTGCAATTCTCATGCCTGGCCTCTGTTGTATACTCATTTGAAAATAAGCACAATACTTTAGCAGCTTTATGAAAGAAAGAGAACTGACTGTTCATAAGGTACAATGCAGAAGCTTGGCTTGTAACTCTCAAATTTCTACAAGAATTTGGTTCAGTTTGATTCCCTCTAACAAACAGCAACCCAATAAACTCCTAAGCATGTGAAGCAGCTATGGCATACACAACCGACCCCCCCCCCCCCCCCCCAGGTACAATTGCAGAAGCTTGGTTTAATCTCAAATTTCTACAAGAAGTTGGTTTCAGTTTGATTCTCCTCTAACAAACAGCAACCAATAAAGCTCCTAAGCAAATCTGAAGCAGCTTATGGCATACACAACCGACCCCCCCCCCCCCCCCCCCCCCCTCTTCAAAACCACATGCTAACAAATTGAAAAGCCAACTTAGTGTTCTTTTTAACTGTTTTACAAATACCCATAAAGGGCCAGTTTGGAAAACTAAAACTTTTATTGGTGTCATTACACCAGCTAAGAATATATGGTGCAGAACAAGACTCGTGATGCAATACCAAGATGAAATGCTCCAAAAAAGAGCACGTAGGAAATGAGAAGCAAAAATTAAAAATTCACTTTCCATTAAATGAATAAATACAGATTCAGAGAAGTTGAAGTGATCATGAAAAATCATTGGCAACAAGACGCTCAGATTGTATACATGATAATACCTGGTCAAGCTTGTAGTAACCCTCCTTATCAGTTCTAGACCTTTCATGACCATCAACAATGATTGTGACACCCTCAACTCCCATTTCATTCCCATCAAGCACTCGCCCTCCAACAGAAAATCCAGTGACCTACACAAATCAACAAGAGCAGGGGATGTTATAGCTGAATTAACGTGCAAGTGATGGAAAGATGGGAAGTTAGCAACGCTGAAATTCCTGAAGATGGTTCAAAAGAACTAAAATATAAGGATCGCTCTGCATGAAAAACTGATAATGCTCTACAGCTACTTAGAACAAGAATATGAACAGCCAGGCTGCATGATTAACACCAAGCAATTGGCTAGACAAGGACCAGCCAGAAAGATACATCAACCTCGTAGTAAAAATGTCCATGATTTGCTAAAGCCATGATGATCATGTTATTTAGGTTTTTTTTTTCCCCTTCAAATCTACTGTCAGCAATTGAACATGTAATCATTATCCATTAAAATATCAAGACTATTTAAAATGGCTTGATGTGGTTCCAAGAATTAAAATCTTATTGCAACTATCAACTTTAGCTAATCATTGCTGAAGGAGCTGGCTAAATGAGACGCATACAGACAAATGCATAGAAGGAATACTATGCCTCCATGAGGATTGTTATGTTTCCATCCTTTACACCATGTTTGGTTGAAAGGACAGAAGAAGGTACAGGAAATAAGTGTTACGGGGAAAGGAAGAAATACAATCTTTCCCCTTGTATGTTTGGTTGAAAAGAAAATGAAAGAAAGATTCCTATCTTTCGTATTATGGAGATGATAATTCTGGAAACTTATAAGGAGAAATTGTCCATGTTCTGAGTAGAAAGATTCCTATCTTTCATATTATTAGGAGAAATTGTCCATGTTCTGACCATGTGGGGAACCATATATACATTACCTGAAACTTTTGGGGAACTGTTACATGCTGATGCTCAACAGAAACTGACACAACAGGTGGTGAAACATCAAATACTGTATTCTCACCCTTGTAAAATGGGATGAGTTCATAGCGCCCTGCAAATGATTTCAAATGATAAAACAAGAAATTAGTCTTGAAGTTGACAACTGCCCAAACATGTGTGTATACACACAACCATCTACTATAACAATGAATGAACACAACTCAAAAGGAGAATTACCACAAGGAACTGATTTAAATGTGAATATCCCATCGGCATCAGATACAGCATGACAAAGAGGTTTTCTCTGTCCTGTGGCATCACCAGAACCTTGGGGACAATCTAGTTCTACAACATCATCTGAATATAGATAAATGTGCACTCCCAATATTGGATTTCCCTACCAAACAGTTAATCAAACCCCATATATCAAAGAAAGCTTGAAACATACAACAAGAGATTTACACGATAATAGAAATCCAACGCCAAGGATGAACTAGAATAAACTAGAAATATACAAGTCCACTCCAAAGATCTGGCCTGATAAAAAGCACACTTCTCAAGCATTCATTTTTATCATGTCTCAAGTGAAATGGCGGATTAGATATAGTAATTGCAGCCACAAACCAAGGAAAAGATTTGGCTGTTTCAAGAAAAAGGGGGGGGGGGGGGATTTTGGCTGTTTCAAGAAAAAGGGGGGGGGGGGGGGGGGGGGGAGAGGAGGGGAGTGTGGTGAACTTTTCCACAAAAATAATAATATGTCAAACGGGGGGGGGGGGGGGGGAGAGGAGGGGAGTGTGGTGAACTTTTCCACAAAATAATATATGTCAAACACAGACTTCGACTATAGAGACACGACAAAATAAAGTTAGAAGTCATGCAGTAGTCTAAATCAATGGTTGTCTTCCCTGTGAAGTATGAGCTTTACCTGAGCAACAACATATCCATGGAGATCATAACCAGGGACAAAGAAAATTTCATCAATTATGCCATTTGCAAAACCCAATTCTACCTGAAACAAGTGTCATTATATATACGAAAAAAGTGTTAATAATCATTTACATATAGGGAAATAGAGAAGGAGGGCAAATAAAAAGCATAAGAAACACAGAATAAGGAGGGAGTGAAAAGGCAAGCAACCTCTGTGGAACCTTTAACTTCCACTTTTAGATCAGGATGTGAGGCACGAATTTTGTATTTTCCTGCATGGTACACAAGTATAAAATGTTGTAAGGTAGTGTTTTCTGTTGCGCTAAAAAAAATAATCAGAGAGAGAAATAAGAGAAAATATCATTGATTAACCTTAAGATGAAAGGTGAAATACAATTTCATGATTGGAGATGGAGAACAATGTAAAAATAACTTATGCATTGACTATGAACTATGTCTAACATTTTGTTTTTTCATTTGTGAGTGTGTATATAAACAGTTCATATATTCAATTATGCTTTACCTGGAATAACATTATTGAACAAGTAACTCCCTGTAGGTGACGTTGCAACTGAAGAAATGAGATCATCGCTGGGAGACAACAGTTCGACATTTACATTTGAAGGACCCCCATTTTTAACAGAACAGCTCTCTCCACCTACTGCTCCCACAATTCTACCCGATAAAGTGAACCTAATGTATAAACATATGGAAACTGAATCATCCTATCACTGGAAAACTTAATTTGCATATAAAATTATGCTTGAATTAGCTAAACACAAACAATAATAGAAATCATCTAAACTAACCCTGTGAATCGGAAGTTAATATCTTCATTGCGATTGCAGCCAGTATCATCAACAACAACAGGAACTTTTTCTGGGTCCCATGACCATCCTTCTGGCCCATTGATTTTAATTACAAAGGAACCCTATAAATTATAAAAGACAATGATGATAACAAAGATCAGAAGAACTGAAGATTAATGTCAAGGGAGTCCAACACCAAAACATGGAACAAGGTGATGTTTTTCCTGAGAAATTGATTACTAAAAACAGCAAAGCACAAATTAACAGAGCTGAAACAGCGCATGATAGAGTTGTAGAGAGCAAAAAGAGATTGAGAAAACAACCCTACAACATCAAGAAAAAAACTAGCCCATAGCTAAGCAAGGCTGGATAGTATTGAGTTGGGCTCCAGTTGGTCTTATAAATGGATTGTTGTCTGCCAAATTTTACGAAAGGAACCATTTCAGGTTATTAACCAAATAAACCACTGAACGCTACCACATTTTGAAAATACAAGAAATAAAAAAATATATATATAAAACTTACACAACCAATCTCAAGGCATGAATTCAAGCCAATGCAGAATGCTAAAAACATCAAAATATCGAATGGTTATCACTTACATAAATATTAATCGTTGAAACATCTCAAAATTACATGTCCCATGAAGAGAATAAACTAACAATCCATCCATCGTTTCAAACATATGCTGCCCAATAAAACACTACCTTGTCATATACTGGAATGAAGTAGTAACCGTTTGGAGCACACTGAGTTCTGTCCTTCACCAATCCATCTACTGTCCGAAGCTCAACCTAGCGTTGCACGAGTAGGTTTTAACTTTCACAAAATACCAAACAACCAGTGGGATTGGAAAGGTAGCTTATAGCTAGAAAGAGCGGAAATCAGGATGTGAACTCGTACCGTGACGTGAGAATAATCCAATTTGGAATCAGAAGGCTTCCTCGACTTAATCAGGGACGAACTAGCCTGCACGTGTAATTGAGCTCAGTAAACTCGTCCCAACATTAAAAAAGAAAAAAGGAGTTAATGAGTGATAGAGATTGAAAATAAAGGTTAAAGGAAATAAGCTATCCGCCAACTTAGATCTGCAGTCTTTTACAGTGAGACTTTGATACATTAAAGCTCGCTCGAATTGAATCAGCTAGTTTTACCAGGCTTCGTCATCGTATATTATTTTGATTCTTACTTCTTGTAATTTCTACGAAACCAAACGCTCAAAACGAAGGTTTTAGCAATCACCTCGACGAATCCGCCACAACCGTGGATCGAATCAGCGGAAACATCTGAAGCTAAATAGATTAAAATCGAGATGTATAGCCAGACGTCCCTGGTCTTCATTTCCGGCGATGATTTGGAGCTTCGCAAAAGTGCAGCCAGAGGACGGATCTGTTACTTCATACGAAGTTTATATCTGAAATTGGTGGAATTGCTTTTACCTGAGACTGACTCTGCCAGAAGGGAGGGTTTATGGTTTTAGAAATTAAAAAATTATTAATTTATAAAAATAAAAACAAGTTCGATGGTTAAATTATTCTAAGTGAAATCGGAATTTTTTATATTTTTTACTTAATCGACCGAAAATGTCAAATTTAACCTTCTTTTTATCCTGTTGAACCAATTCGGAAACCAAATTTAACCTTTATTTCTTTCTTTGATTTAGTTCATAGGTGGATGGATAGACTGGTCTAAATAAATTTAATACATAAATAATAAAAAGTCAATCTAAAAGGTTGTAGTATTTATTTAAGGGCATTAGATTTTGCTGGTTGAAGTTTTTTTTTTTTTTTAACTGAAATAGGACTATTAGGTGTGTTAGTTATATGCCGTCGGCTTAGATAACCGGTCTGGTGTTGACATCCTGATTTAAAACATCTTACAAGGCCATCAACTTGGGAGACGTTACTCCTTCTTGTAGGGCCGTAGCATTGTTGTCCTCAATCACGACCGTAAAGTCCAACCTAAAACAGCTCACAAAGTGGACTATAGCTGTTAAATAATACAGATATAATGGATAATGGGACGCTGTCGATGACCAAACCTAAATTAAGCAGCGGATTATCAACGTCTTGGAGGTTAATTGCACCCAAGTTTAAATTAAATTTAGGGATCAAAGTAACAAATAAGAAATGCGCGTCCTACAACTGAGTTTGAATGTACATGTAGAGATTCTACGGCAATTCTCAACAGAACGCCAAGTCGTGTTTATTCTGGTGTTATATATTTTCAATTTTTCACTTCACAGCCTTCTGCCCGCCAATGAAACGACAGGATGTTTGCTAAGCAGACGAGGTGGCACGTGCAATTAATGTTGATGATTCGTTGCTCCATGTCTCCAACGACAGCCAAATTTGTTATGGACACTTGTTTTTGATATTAAACGGCCCAGTATTCATTCTCAGTATAGCTGGCAACCAAAGTCGAAAAGTCTATAATCCCAAATAAAAAAGAAAAAAAAAATATGCTAACTAACTAACATGATGGTTCACATCGAGTTGAAATAATATGTACGCATAGCATTTTGGACTTGGAATTAGGACTATAACTGAGTTGAACTTTTAATAAGCTTGAGTTTGATGTCAAAACCTATTAAATCAAAACTACTTCGTTTTGATTTAGGTTTCATTAATCTCATCTTCTTATGCACCTCATCAACTGATTCATAAGTACAGTTCGATGAAGCTAACTCGCGATCTAATAATCTTGACTTATTTATTAAACAAACTTGATAGTTCATTTCAAAAAATTTATGAAGTGAGTTTGAACGATTTTTATTAACTTAAATATCAAATAACTTACGAATAGCTTAACTTATTTATCGTATCGAAAATAGAGTAATCTATCAACTAACCTTGAACAAATACTTATTTTGCCCTTGTCCTTTTATTCATGCATAAAAGCTTTAATTTTTTACAATATTTACAAAACCCAATTTATGCCAAAAATATTATAGAATAATTATATTATCATAACAAATATACAAATATTTGTTTATATTTTTATTATTGGTAAATTGTTATAAACATAATAAAATAATGAATGCCTTATTTAGTTATTTATACTTTCTTTTTTTACAAAAACAAATCAAAATCTTTATTATAATTTTTGTTTAGTTATACTACAGGCGTTCTAAGTCCATTGACTTTAGTCTAATTCTACTCATATTATGTCAGACCAATGAAAATTTTCTCCATTCACAAGTATCCAATATTTGATCTCTTGCTTAAGAAATCTAAATCATTTATACTCGAACCAATCCGTACTCATTTTCTTAGTTTTTTTAGTTGTTAGGTTACATTTATTTTCAAAAGATAATTATCTTTCAAAAATATGTTTTCAGTTTGGTTACAAATATTAAAAATGAATTAAAAAATAGTAAAATATTTTTTATTTACAATAGTAAGAAATATTTAAATTATAGAAATTTCATAATTTAAAAAACTACTGCTATATATGAAAAGCAAATAAAATAATAAATTGCAATAGACATTACTGATTAGTGATGATGGCCACTAGTGGCAAGTGGCAACTGTGGAAAATTTTAATAAATTTACTAGAGTCCTGAAAATATTTGCACATTTTGAAAACGAGAAGTTATTACCTTTCAAACAGTTTAGTTCTTCCTTTTAACTAAAAATTAATTACTGTACCTCCACCTATCAAACATCAAAAAAATTCAGAAAATATATTCTAAATAACATATTAACAGATTCAAAGAAAAACAATTCTGTCACTTTACTTTTTTTTTTTTTATATTCTCCCTTATTTATACTAAAAATTAATTACTGTACACGCTCACCTATCAAACATAATAATAAAAAATTTTAGAAGAATATTTATAATGTCATAAAATAATATATTAGACCAGATTCAAAGAAAACAATTCTGTCACTTTAACTTTTTTTTTTTATATATCCACTATATATATACATACATTAGTACAAAAAATTATCAAACTTATTTTTTGTCTAATAAATAATGTATTATGAAATTTTTTATGACAACACTTAATTATAATCTATAAAAAATGATAATAATTCAGTTCTAAAGTAAACTCATGTCTCAATTCACGCCAAAAAAAAAAAAAAAAAAAAAAAAAAATGGAGAGATGAGATGAGATGGCATGAATCTCCTTTCTCTTACCAGAGTCTCGAATTCGAGAAATGAGATAAAATAACATGAATACCCTCTCTTTTAATCCGAGTCTCGAGTTCGAACTTTAAATATATAGTCCATTTAAATATTTCGGAGGAAGTGTTCTTTGGGTGTCTATCCGGTGTGGATCCAGATTATGGACAATGGACTTCAAATACCGAATTATTAAAAAAATATATAAAAACTCATCTCCATCCCACGGCATTATTCTCTCAATTACCTGCAATCTTGCATTATTTTACCAAAATCATTATTTTTACTATAACCCCTGAATTTTAACCTTTTATAACTGTTCATCCCTTAAAAAGCAAAAATGGTTGATCATATTTGTCATCAACAGGAAACAAAAAAAAAAAAAAAAAAAAAAAAAAAAAAAAAAAACAAAAGAGAGGAATCGTACAACCTTCACTTTTTTTACTAAAAAATATCGTACAGAAAGTCCTCCTCACAATTGGCGGCTTCGTACAAACTTGAATGAATTGGACGCTCGCAAACCACAAAAAAAAAAAAAAAAAAAAAAAAAAAACAAAAGAAGGGAATCGTACAACCTTCCACTTTTTACTAAAATATCGTACAGAAGTCTCCCCTCACAGTTGGCGGCTCGTACAAACTCTGATGATGGACGCTCCAACCCTGCAACTGGTCAAATTAGACGGCGTCTGCAATTTATTTCTCAAGGGAAATTTCATTCTTCCAGGCTCCACCAATAACTAAAGAGGATAAAACATATTTAAGCTAAAAAAAAAAAATCAATTATATATTTAAATTTTAATAGCCTTTTTTCTTACACATTTGACCGATATATCAAGAAAACATATCCACCATTCAACACTGAACATTGAGCAAATTAAGATAATATAAAAGGGTAACTTTTTTTAATAATGAGTTAAATTAATAAAATATAAAATATTAATGTATTTCTTTTATTTTTTATTTATCACAAATTATTATCCCTTATTAAATAATATAAACTATTACACTCTATAAATGGGAATTATTTATTCATGGACTATTAAGAATTTCTCAAATAAAAAAAAAAAAAACTGGTATGTGAAGCTTATCCAGGCATTAAATAATTATTTATTTAAAAAAACTTGCCTATATTTGTCCATGTTTGATGTTTCTATGTAGCGGACGTAACTGAAAAATTAGTACAATATATTTTAACATCAAACTATTTTCCAATTGTCTTTTGTTTTTTTTAACTAATCCAAAGTCAAGCGCCAATATATCGCACAAGCTTAAGTCGGCCAGGACAGAATGCAGCCACTAAACACGCCAAACCATTTCCGTCTCTGTTCAGCAAGGAAACTTCTTCCCTTACAATGGTTCGAGCCTTGTTGGTGCTCTTGGTTCTTGGCTCCGTTTTAATCGGGTGGGCTAGCTCGCACCAGGAGTCGGGTGACTGGAGCTGCGAGTCGGACGAGGAGATCCGAGTGCAAGCCGATTTCAGGCCAGGAATCATCACTCTCGATGGCCGCGCCGACGATTGGAAGGACATTGATGGCTTCGAGTTCGCTCTCCTCCCTGCTCTGGACCCGGATGACGATAAAGAGTATAAAAATGGAAAAATGACCGTTAAGGTAGGTTCCGATTCAAAAATTTATATTGTGTTCGAATGGTGTCCTGCATATATAAATAATATCTACAGTAGGATGTTTAAATCAGTTAAATTGCGGCTATGTGGATCCACTGTTGAATTTGTCTTTTTTTTCTTTTTCCTTTTTATGATGATATGCGGCTGTGGTTTTAAAGGCTTTGCACGATGGCAGAGACGTGTTCTTCTTGTTGCAAGTTGACGGGGAGTATGCTTACACGAAAGGGTAAGTCTCCTTTCGAAAGAAAGATGCAGATTATAAATAATCATGTGCATTGTTGTCCAATATTAAGCATGTAGCTGGAGCAGGATGCTCCTTGAAGTGTATTGCAATCTAATCCTGTCTATAAATGAATAAAATTTTGATTTACATAAAAGGCATATTAATGAAGATTTGATTTGAGGGAAATTATTTCCCGTGCTTCCTGATTCCTATACTATTTAAATTTTTGCAGACAGATTTTATTTTGCCATGGTTAGACTTTTGGGAGTTGGGAATAATCATGGGATACATGTTTAGTTAGATCACATAATCAAAATCAATCACTGAAACTGGTGCTTTGACTTATAGACTTAGAAGGATTGTATTGGATTCAATGTATTTTGTTTACTGCAGCAATAACAAAAAATGCCCATCTGTGGCCCTCATGTTTCCAATTGGTGATCATGCCACCTATCACAATGTAAGTGAACGCCCCACTGATTATTGTACTGTTGTTATCACAATTTAAGGACCATCATCATCTTTCATTTATCTTAAAAAGTTCTTGTTTCTTTAGATGGGTGGTTGTAAGGAAGAACCTAGTAGTTGCACCAGCAAAACTTGCAAAGGCCACGAAGTTGACATTATGCACTTCTCAATTGGAAATGCTATTCCTGGACGGCTTTATGGTGGAAATCCAATAGACAACAGAGATGGAAATGGTGGTGACAGGTGGTAGAATATTTTACTTCTTGACCATCAAAAGAATAGACTGTTTCCTGGTGATGGATGCTTTGCGTTATGTGCTTAGTTTCTCTTTTATGATATTTGTCATGCTTTCTATGGACAGGTTTGGCCATTTGGTTGATCTTTATGCATGGAATCCACACTGTAGATACGTTGATGGACTTGGTCCTTCAGGTATTTCTAGCATTAAGTTATTCTACTGCTCTTTTTCAATGGAATGGAAATATTTATATATGGTGAGAAAATGATGGGACAGTATTTAAACAAGAGCAATAAAGTGGGATAAGGCACTAGTAAACAAGTTGGCGTTGAATTTACCATGTGCTCCTAGAAAATCGAAGCTTGCCTTTTTCTGATATTGTCTTAAGCTCCATAGATGTTGACATTTAGCCCAAGCACTTTACAAAGATCTTGATATATTTTATCACTTCATCCTTATTTTTTAATGTTCTCTAAGGACATCCATAGGTGTCGTAAATCCATTTTCAAATGTTTTACTATCTTTTATTAATGTTAAGTACTTGTTGTTCAGTGATATAACAATACTCTAGTAGATGATTTTCCTTTGAGCCTTGAGAATTAGGGAGCCTTGGGTACTAGGAATGCGTGTTTTCAGGGTCCAAGCTAGAACTTTCAGTTAAGGAGGGAGCAAAAATTTAATTTTTTGAACTTTATTTATCGAGGGGTCAACTTTATTCAGCAATGGTGGCAAATTTTTTTTTTTTAGCTAAATGGTACGATTATAAGTTTTGCTTAAACTAAGGGGTGCAGTTTCCTGCTTTCTTCTAAAGGTAGCTTCATCCATCGTGTTTTTAATTCTTTGATCATGAAATTCTTTCATTTTTTCAGGTTGAACTTATTACGAAAATTAACTTCCAGTTCCTTTGTAGTCATATCACCTACCAAACTAATTCGAGATTAAGGCTTAGTTGTTGTTGTTTCATTGTAGTCATATCAAGTTAATTTATTTTACTGCTTCCTCTTCTTGTGTAAGCTTCAGTTTGTTCTTTTAGTTAATCTTTCTTATAATTGGTGAGTAATATCCAAGGTATTAATGGTTGATCCTTTTTCCATTTCAGGAAATGATTCTAGTGCACAAAATGACTGGAAAGGGGCTTGGTGGCACACTACTTTCAGTGATAAAACAGGTAATTTCCTATCTATCTATCTATATATATATATACAATAACACATGTCCATTTGCATGATTAATGATACTTAAGGGTGTTGTGTCTTAAATGTGGTTTGATAAGGGTACAAAAAATAACAAGAAATATTTATTTCTTATGAACTTTTATCCGAACAACATGGACTTTGGACGTGAAAGTTTCACATTTGTTTCTGTATGGCATTAGTGTTCAATCTGTTTTTGGATTTTTTCTGGTGCTTCCAAATAATTCTTTTTGGGGATAAAGCATACATCATTCTTCCCTATGATATTGATCTTTTAAGTTTGAATATTTTCACTAACAGGTTTTGTAGAGGAAGAAAGCCCTTATGCTTCAGATGGTCAAAAAGGCACTTATTTTTTTGAATTCTCTAGGACGTTGAGAACCATGGATCGTCTCCAGCAGGTTAGTAACTCATCCACTCTACTAATTATTTTGGCCACCTTGATTAATTTAAAAAATTTGAAAGTTCAATTTGTGCATCTGCCGAGGACATTTTAGTTCATTTTCAGCATTGTTTGGACCAACTGTTGCTCATAGCTTGGTCGTGCTGTGATTCATAGTTATTATTGGACGGTACTATGTCAGTATGATAGAGGGTATCCGCACTGCAGTTTCTGAATTTTTGCTGCAATTGTTATTGCGCGATCTTGCTTCATGTTGACAAGTCATGTACAATTACTTTAATTGGAATACATATATTGTGTGAGGTGCCATTGTATTATATACATAAGTTTATAGTTGAAAGCAGTACCTTACGTTGCAGCAGAAGCAGAGCCTGAATGGTTGTTTTTTCTAATTTCTGCAGGATGCTCAGTTCACAATCAGTGGATCTAGCAAGATAGCTGTTGCATTCTGGTATCCAGTTGATGGGAATCCATGGTATGCATCTGGTCACTATTCTGTCAACTGCGAGTGGGTACCCTTAGATTTCTCGCCTGGTGGTTCAACGCTAACCGCTTCATCACCAGGCAGCTCAGGAGAGACTATCAGTGTCTTTGCGCTTCTAATTGCAGTAGTCTCTATATGCTTTTCTATTTTTCTGGGATATAAAGTTGCTAGACCCAATACTGTAAATTTTACACCCATGGGGGAGGATCTTTAGAATAGTAAGTAGTATGGATCTGAGATTGTACTATTAAGTGAGACTTGTACTTCTTAGTTTTGTACTTTGGTCACTACCACGTCATTATTGAATACAAATTTTTAATTGTTTGTCTGGACTTACTACCTTTGTGATTAGTTTTATCACTTTGCGATTCTTGGTTGGTGCTGCATATGCTTTTGCTTAAAGCGCATTAGGGAAATGAAATTAGAAGAGCCACTTGGTGTAGTAAATAAGCAATGGCGAGACATTGTCCCAAAATGCAGCGCCAAAAGAAAAAAAAAAAGAGCTCTGGAGTAAGAAGAAATTATAATTGATTGTAATTTTATCTTGATTATGCAATAGAGGACTAAAGGGGTTTGAATTGATTATAATTCTCCAGGTTTAGGAGATTATCCCACCTTATTCGGCTTTTTCCTATAATAATTTAAGTTAATACATAAGCATTTTTCTCTTCAACTAAAAAAAACCTTGACTCGATTCATTTAACTCCTCAAATTAGATTAACGAAATACTTACTGAATAGTTAACAAATATAAAATTATTATTTAATATTTTCATATAAAAATGTTAAAATCCTAAAAATTGTTGTTCCATAAGTATATAGTATTTCTAAAATTTTTAACTTTGGAGAAGTGATAATTATCCTGTAAAATTTGAAATAGAACAAAATTTTTTGTAAAAAGTATAAGAGTAAATTTATATATTTCGGCATAGGCTTTTGATTATAGAAGTGACAGTGCTGAAATAATCATTTTCATAATCTGAATCAACCTAGTATCCTCTGCGTTTTGAATGCATTTAAACACGGCAGTCCAACGACATTAAGCAGAAACGGCCAAGTTTAGAAGGAACAACTGTTTTCAAACGACCGGCCCTCCTTGTGCAAATTTGAAACGATTAACCGCGGAAATAATACGCAGATAGTTTGCTAGTCGTAAAAGAGAGATCAGTCCTGGCGGTTCAATGCCAACATTTATTAGCTGGCTTGAGGCGCTAGAAGCAAGAGAATATTGGGCTTAACCCGGCCCAATCAGTAGCCTCTTTCGTCGAAAATTGAAAAATATACACTGGACCAAAAACTACAATTGAAAAATCAACCATCGATTTTCACTAAAAAGAGAAAACAAAAATAAATTAAAGATTACGAACTGCAACTTATCCTGCTCGAAGAAAGAATCGTACAGGTAATTCTACTTTTTTATTTCTTTGTTTTCTAATTGTTTTCGTTATAAATATTATAGATCTTCAAATCCTGTCTCCAAATCTGGCATCTTGAAAACATTCTGTGTTGGTGATGGATATTTTGGGTTCATAATTTCTCTTAAACACTGCACTTTCAGTTTGGTTTAGAAGATTTTTGTAGATGGCAAGGATCAAACCACAAGCTCTTCTGCAACAGAGCAAAAAGAAGAAGGGACCGAGCCGAATAAGTGCCATTACTATTCTGCTATGCGGCTTGATTATTCTATTGTCTGTTTTTTTCTTGTATTCTACGTACAGACATTGGTCCCTAAGGTTCATGCACATCATGATTTGCTTGTATTTTGATTATACTCTCTGTTTACTTCGCTTATAATATTGCTCATTTGTTTCATTCTATTTTAGGTCAAGAATCCAGGCTGAGAGTGGCAAATCATCAGATTTTGGGGTACATCTCTTTTGTTATTATCATTATTATTTCTGTTAATTCAAGGAAGATTTGTAGTTAATTTATCATATATTGAATTTACGTCTTGGTGTTTTATCATTTGATCATTTCTAAAAGCTCAATGTTCCTTTTGTTGGTTTCAATTCCTCTTGCTTTAATATATTCAATTTTTCTGTCCTGTAGGTTGAGGTCGATCATGCATATGTAGAATCAAAGAAATCCAATATCCCTGGATATGCTGTATGTCTTTTTCCCCCCTCCACTTTGTAGCTTATGTTACTCTGTTTCCTATGATATGCATTTTGCCAGGGTGAGCATTGCTGTTGATAATCAGTTTGATATGGTTAGCGTTTGGGTAATAAATCTTGGGAGCTTTCATCAAAGTGACAAAGTGGGGTCTGGTGCTGTTGTATAGTATACTAGGGGCATGTTTGGTTCACTTTAAAAATGGAATGAGAATGGGAATGGACGTATGGATCGTAGAATTCTTGTGTCAATTTTATTTTGATTTTTAACATAACATTCATAATTTTGATTTTATTACTAGATTTTAAATACATCAAAAGGCTTCATTACAGTGGAACTCTTCAAGGATGGTTCTTTTGAAGTTGTTGACAAGTTTGTTGACTTATGGTGAGTACTTACTTGAATAACCACTTTTTTCGATCTTAAGTTCCTAGTTTCATATGTGGTTCATGTTGCTAATGTCCTCTCATGATCTCTAAAGCTGCTGCCATCAGACAATGCAAAATTTTCAAAGTTCTCTTATTGGTGCTGTTCATGTTAATCGCAAACTTGTGCATCTTAGTTGAGACACCAAACTTCTTTTCTATTAACAAAAATCTTATGTAGTGGGTTAAACTGCAAGGTACATTGTAGAACTGGGTAACCATAAGTCTTATTTGGGATAAGCCCAAAATGGTGGATTCTAAGCAAGGATTTTTCTCACTTATCTAACATGTGTTAAACCATATGTAGATGCCTATGGCTTTATGAATTGGTTTATTCATTATGAGCACTTGTATCAAACATATTATGGCTAGTCTTGTTTCTTCCCCATGTTGTCTCTTCGGCGTGTCCATTTTATCAATTTGATTAGCACTCTTTTAATGGGAGCACTGATAATGAATATGCCGTTACTTTGCAGAATTGATGAATGAGTTTTTCTTTTTCTTTTTTTCCCTTCTTTTTAATATATTATGTTCTTCCCGGGTGGGTGGAGAGTTTGCAGGGTCAATATAGAACAGCTAGGAGTTGTAAACTATGGGAAAAACTATGTAGGACACTGCAGAAGGGTATTCTTGAATTGCAGTGTTGTTTCGCTACTTATACAGAGTGCTTCATAAAGCATCAAATGTCTTATGCAATTGCGATTGAAAGGTTTAGATCTGTAAAATATACTAGGATCAATTTAACTTTTGATCAAGGTTCAAAGAACATGGTTTATATATGGACTGAATCATCTACAAGAAGTATTGGTAGTAGAATGTACTTGCAATAGCTTTTATATGGCAATTCTTCACAACTTGCTTTTTGAGTAGCTACCTCACAAAAAACATCTCGCAACATTGCTTGTTCAACTGTTGCTCATCCTGTTGGATTAAAAGTCCCAATGTAATTTGTTTTGCAGTGAAAAGGGGCACTTCAATGGGATGCGATTTCGTCATGTAATAAAGCATTATGTGATTCAGGCAGCTGATAGTGATAGTCTTGGCGCTGCAGAAGATTGGACATTGAAGGGGAAACATAACAGTCAACTTGATACAAGGTTAGTTCTCAGAATCATATTTTTATTCTCCTCCATTCTTCTACCATTCTATGAGAGTGTTCAGTGTTTGCACGTTCTAAGTTTTAATTATATTTTGGCATTCAATCAGTTTGAAACATGAGGCATTCATGCTTGGAACTTCCAAGGCAAAACATGATGATAAAAGATTTGAGCTTTACATTACAACTGCACCTATCCCAGATCTAACTGAAAAGGTTATAGTTTTTGGACGCGTCGTTAAGGGAGAGGATGTTGTTCAGGTGAAACTTCATTTTTCTTTCTAGTTGTTATGCTGCATGTGGAGATTTGACCTAAAATTCGTATACAGCAATGTCCAAATGCAGTAACCAGTATTTTGAACACACTGCTATATGCCATTTGTTCTTGTAATACCTTTATGATAGGTTGCTGTCCTTGTCCAAGTTGGGATAAGTTTGCTTGTGAAAATGAAATCATATCCTTACTAGTTTATGCTAATGACTTGTATTTCTTGTTGTTGCTGATTAATTTATACTCTCGAACAGGAAATTGAAGAGGTGGATACAGATGAATATTATCAGCCTAAAGCTCATATAAGGATTATTGACATAACTTTGAAACAGGAAATCTGAACTCTGTCCTGCTGATTCAAACCTTTCCACATTGCTCTATTCCTCAATTTCACCTAACATTTTACTTGTTATGACACATTTGCGGACTCTGTGCACTGTAAGGCATTACTCTCAGGGATCTGCACAGTAGGGTTCAAGCTATATTTTAAATTAGATGTGTAATGATTGATATCAATTCTGTTTTGGTGTTCTTTCTTCAGGCTGGATCATAAGATAGGGCTAGTTTTGGTAAAGTTGTAATAGAATGTAATCCAATGTAATCAATTGCATTTATAGTAGTGTAACAAATATAGTCCTTACTCAAGTATTGAGACGAGAGAGTATTTTGCTGATGGTCTATCTTTCCATTGTTTCTGATTCATGAGCTTTTTTTTCTTTTTTCTTTTTTCTTTTTTTTTTCAAATTTGCTGCATAAATAAGAACAATGATAGTGAAATCATTACAATTATAGCAAATTGTGAAACGCAAACTTGTGTCGTTCACATCGTTCACTGCCAAAAGAACATATAAACAAATGAATATCTTTTAAATTTCAAAAACATTGTAAATTGGAACTCTCCATGGCTACACGTAACGTAACCAGAAATGGCTTGTAGTCTTCTATCTGCAGCTAGTCCTTTCAAGCAAGTCCTCAAGCTCATGGCTTATTTGAATATTATCTTCCTCCAACCTCTTACGCATGTCAGGAGCCAATCTGTCAGCAGCTATATACGTCTGTAGAAGCAAACTATAAGCATTGGAATCGAGACAATTAATATGCTTCAAGATCTTGCAAAACTTCTCCGCACCATCAATATCTTTCTCTTCACAAAAATAACTAAAAAATGCACTCACTGTTTCCGCTTTTGGTTTCCACTGATACTCCTCAGTTTCAGAAAAAGCTACTTTCATATGCTCCAAAGCCAAGTCCAGCTCATTAATCTTCAAGAAGAAAACCATGAACATCTCTCGCACCTTGAAGAAAGGTCCTTTAGCTCTCTTAAGCGCTCCATCAAAGATCAATTCAGCTTCTTCATACATGTCCTGCTCTAAATATGCTTTTATAGCTGTATTTGCTAATCTCATATCATAACTGGAGCAGCTGGATTCCCACTCCTTGAACAATTTGGCTATACCATCGACATCTTTTAGTTTTGCAAGTGCCTGAAGCATCACCAGATAACTCGTATTGGTGACTGTTGTGAAACTTTTCTTCAAGGAATTCCACACTCGATTAACCTCGTTCAGGTTTTGAGTACCAGAATATATGCTAATCAGAAAATGGTAAGCCTCACGATTGCGAATTCCCATTTTCAACTCTAACTTTTTAAGAGCTGATTCAGCTTTCTCAAAAAGTCCTGCCTTGAGATAGATTGTGGCCACATTACTGTAAGTATTCCATTTGCAATTATCTTCACCATCTTTTTCGATCTCAGCTAGAACTCTTTCTACTCCTTCAAAATCATTCAAACATCCATAGCTCTGCATCCATATATTATAAGAAAAAGAGCAAGGATGGATGTTTCTCCGCTTCATATCATGTACTAAGGCAGGCACCTTCTCAGGCTGGCCTAATCTCATATATAATGACATTAGATTGTTAAAAGGTAAAGAAGTTGAGAGAAGATTCATTGCATCCAATTTTTCAAAAAGATCCAATGCTTTGTCAGGCATAAGTCCCTTTGTATAACAGTTCAAAAGAGCTCCATAAGTAGATCGAGTTTTTGCATTTGGTGAGAGGCTACTGAAGTAACTTTCAGCTGCAGATACCCCTTTGGTTTTGGCTATAAGATCTAATTTAATCGCATACTCTGCTCTTGAAAAGTTCATTTTTCTCTTCTCCATCCACTCCATTATCTGCATCACAGTGAACATAACAGATAGCTTATAGAACCTAAAAGGAAGTTTATTTGTAGAGGAAATACTAATTTTTAGAGAACAAACGAGCGTTAAGGAGCAATACAGTTTAATAACAGACCTCAAGGGCATGATCGAACCTCTGATACTTGCGGAGCTCTTTGATGCATCGAGTGAGCTCGGCCTTCCTTATAGTGTTTCCTTCCATTACATATTCATTTAACGTCATTGACACGCTCCCACCCTTCGCTCCTAGAGCCGACAACCTCGGGTACAGCCTTACTGGTTTATCTAATGAACCCACCGCTGAAGGAACCGCCTCCGCCACAGCCTCGGCCGCCGTGCACAGCTTTCTCGCTAACCATGACGCTTTCGACAGCAAACGGCTAGGATCCTTCGCCATCATACAATTCAGGTTCGGTCTTCTCGCAATCACTTGAACGATAGGGTTTGCTTTGGGTTTTTTATTTTCTCCCTCTCGTAGTCTTTGCAACAGCGGTAATATTATTTGGTTAGATTAAAACGATGTCGTTAAATACAGAGCACCGTTTTGCTTAATGGCCGTTAAGTTTTAGTTGTCTACTCCAGGTGAACGACAGAAAGTGCAGCCACATGAAGCGAGGATGAAAATGAAGCCAGTGGTGCTCCTTCGTCCTCTCTCCATATCTTCTTCATCTCCTTCATGCCTTCACTTTCCATCCAAAACAGTTCACCATTGCCCAATCTTTCGAGTCTCGTGCTCCTCTCCTCGGTCAGAGCTGGTTAGTTCCTCTCGATTTTTTCTTCAATTAATAGCTTAATCAATCAATTTCAAAACCTATCTTTGGACTCTAATTTCCTTTAACAGTAGCAAAAATTTTACAGGTAAAAGCCAAAGATACAGGCACAAGATCTGAATACGAGCCAGGACTATTGGATGATCTGTTCCTCACTCTGTTTCGAAACAAAATGGTCAAGGTGAGTACGTAGATAATTGCATCAGTATTTATAAAATTTTGATTCATTTTTCAGGATCCGTTAAAGTTTTGTGTGATTATTATTGATTTTAAGGACAATAACAGGAAGTTGGATGGGATTCTGATAAACCTGGATATGACGGATTAATTCAAGTAGCCAATCGCCTCATGTTAACAGGGAGAACCAACGCTGAAACCAGAGAAGCAGCAGTATGTTTTTATTATTATTATTATTATTATTATTTATAAATAATTTAATATCTATATTATAAGCCTTATGTTTTGAGACTGTTATTATTTGGCCTAGAGCAGGTTCGAATATTAAGATCCCTGTTTCCTCCACTTATATTAGATCTATACAAATTGCTCATATCTCCTTTAGGAGGAGGAAAAGCAGCTGCCTTGATGGTTGGTGAGTAGATTTTTCATTTAAAGTATGTTTCTTTTCTGTTAAAATCGTTTGATTAATGATTATATACTAAGATTTTGTAATTAAGCTCAATGTTTGGTGTTCCTGAACCACTTGGATTACATGTTTATACAGCGAGAGTTACTGTACTCACCTGTCAGTGGCTTATGGGTAAATGCACAGTAAATTCTATAGATCTTCCTGATGGAACCTCATTTGAAAGTGGGGTAATTATTTGTACTTATCCTAAAATTTTCTTTCTTATGAATCAATATTTTGTCTTTTCATTCATGAATCATCAAGATTGTTGGTATTGCATGAAGGTTTTTGTAGAAAGATGCAAATATTTAGAAGAAAGCAAATGTGTAGGGATATGTGTCAATACATGTAAACTTCCAACACAGGTAAATTAATTATCCACTTCACGTTCAAATTTCTTTTGTTAACAATTTTTTTTTCAACTTTTTGTCATTTGATTATGTAGACCTTCTTCAATGATTACATGGGAGTCCCCTTACTGATGGAGCCAAACTTCACAGATTATAGTTGTCAGGTATTCTATCGACCATTTCCTAGTTTTAACAGAAGAAAGCTGGTCTGTCTGGATAGTAAGTCAGGATATCCAATCCCTATTCTTCGCTTGGATATAATATTCTACTGATTGAAAATTAAAATGATAGCTTCTTAAGCTCTAGCTAGACCTTGAGTAGTTCTGACCTTTATTGTGGCAGTTTAAATTTGGGGTTCCTCCTCCAAAGCCTGAAGATGATAGCACACTCAAGGAGCCTTGCCTTGAAGCATGTCCTATTGCAAGTCGAAGAAAGCAAGTGGCCCAAAACGTTGACATAGGACAGTGCCCCAAAGCGTAATTGCTCAGAAATTATATATATATATATATATATATATGAGCTAATCAACTACACCGTAACACAATAGAGATTGATTCTATATGAGCTAATAATAAGCTACACAATAAGTATAGCTAAACAATATTGTGCCATCCTGTCCTTACTCCACTCGGACTCGTATAAATCTACCAGCCATCCCCTCAGGCATCATTTGGAAAAACTTGGTGCAAAAGTTAAATTTAATTCTATTGAAAAATTGAATTGAATTTTTCTAAAAGTATTATTTAAAGCACCATATAATTAATAATAAATTTATTTTTTTATATTATTTATTAATTGTATATATTTAAATATAACCAGTAATATTAGAGCTTTACAGACTGAGATATAAGTTATAATCATACATAATTTGACTTCAAGTTCACTCTAATTTAAATATAATTCTTGCAGCAATGAACTCAAATGGCATCTATTACTTAAAAATTATTTATTGTCTATGAACCATAACATTTCCAAACAAAGCTGAAAACTGATAAAATAGAATTCCTTAAAAGAGAATTCTGGTACCATTTTTCCTTTGCGAAGGAGCTGGTGGGGACTGAAACCATAGCGTCGAATCACGGATAGTTACGTTATACATATCTATAATTCACCACGTCAAAAGTGGGATACAATAACAATTAAAAATTCTACCACTATCAGACTTATAAAATATTAGATTCAAATAATGACTTAGAAAATTTTACAACAAAATTCACTGGAGTTATTGTATGGCTCATTTGCTAAGAAATTTACTAACTAAAAATCTAAGTCTCCCTGTTATGTACCATTGCCAGAGGAAATAAGTCATCTTGAAGACTATTAAGTAGATGTAACTCTCTATGAACTAAAATATAAATTCTCACATAGTTAGTAACTAAACAACAAGCGCATCAAGGAACTCATTAAGCACAAATAATCATACAGAGAGTTCAAGTCTCGTCCTAGAAGATAAGAAGTTCTCATCCATGTGAGTGTGGCATCAGTGGTCCCAACCAGATGGCCTCCGCCTTTCTCTGCCCCTATCTCTGGAACTGCAAAAAAAAAAAGCAATGAATAATCTGGCCAGCGTCAAAACTGAATCCTAGCAGAAAAATAAGTAAAGAGAAAAAAAAAAAAAAAAAAAAAAATCCTAGCAGAAAAATAAGTAAAAGAGAAAAAAAAAAAAAAAAAAAAGAAACACCAGTGATCTGAGAGACAAATTACCTTTGCGTGTAAAAAAAAAAAAAAAAAAAAAAGAAACACCAGTTGATCTGAGAGACATTACCTTTGCGTGTTTTGAATAGGATTCCCAATGGAGTTTTGATTGATTGCCTGAGTTCTATTCGCATCTCCGCTAATTGAACCACCAGAGACAAAACCAGGTAGGCTGCTGGTTGTCTGAGTTCTATTAATGTCTCCACCAATTGAACCACCAGAGACAAATCCAGGCAATGCCGATCTCTTGTTGGCATAATTATTCGAACTTTGAGAGTTTGATGAAGCTACAACAAAATTACTCTTGAATTGAGTCATCGCCCCTGTCCTTACTGAATTACCAGTATTAGGTCGACTTGGCGCAACATTAGAAGTAGTGCTATTGGATTCAGGATTATAGCCAATGCCCAGACCATAATCCACACCACGCACGCCTCGACCACCTGCACTCCTCCCTTTACCCTTTTTCCCACCTGCACATATAAAATGTTCATGGGAGGTTTAATACACTAAGCAAGACTTAGCTTAAGAAAAACATTCTTCATATGACACGTTAACAACTTAACATGCTCTGCCACCAAGCATTTTCTATCCCCTGATGGAACCTCGATGTGAGATTGCAAGAGAGATTTCAGTTTACTTTTTTTTTTTTTTCTTTTCCCAAGGAAAATAAAGGTCCTGGATAAATATTTTCAGAAAAGGGTAATTACAAGACACGCAGACACCAAGAACCTTATAAGCAAAAAATTGCAAGCACATCATATATTGCTAACCAGCAGCCATGTTAAATGCAAAATTGAGAAAAGCATACCTCCTTTTCTTGCATCACGTTTGGACCTGAATCTCCCATCCTATTGATTTAAATGGTAAACATCACTCAATATTCTTAGGTACATTATAAGAAACAAGATATAACAGAGGAAAAGTATGAAATGGTGCCATCCAACATTTTGAAATTAAATAGTGATAACACCGAATAAACCAGAATAGAAAAAACAGGATCTCAATTAAAACAAGGATGCAATAGAAAATTCCTTAACATCAAGGGTTCCAGCTCTATAAATCTATCAATCAATGAGATTCCTATTTTGGATATTCTAAGCTGCTGAAATTGTTCACCTAAGACTTGTGCAGTATCCTAAAGGACAATTTATTTTTTAGGAGCCAGTTAAATTTTGTATCTTACGCAGCTTGTGAATAGGCCTTGTTAAAGCAAGTTGCACCAAGAGAATCAAGAAAACCTATCAAATACTAAAAAGATCTAGTTAAATATATTTTCCTAAGGCAACTAGGTGTCCCAGTGAGGTGTGGAGCACGAAGGAGGGTTTTAATATCCCTTCCTACTCTTTCGATATTAAGTAGAGTACTTTCCAACTACCTCATATTTGCAGGAAATATAAGAAAAAATAGCATCATTGTCATTGTAAAGCATTATATTAATGAATGGCAACTGTTACCATCATTTAATGAAACAAAATTAAGCATTGCATCAACTGAAATAAGGTTTGAAATACCTCTGCCAGGGGTCATAAGATGAAAACAAAGCTCTAATGCATCTGAACATATGCAGATGACATTAACAAGCATAAAAAGAAAAAATATCATGCAAAAGTTTACCTTCATAGCAAGATCCATAAGTTCCACAGAGACATTCTGACCAGCAGCAATCAGACTGTTAACCAATTCACCAGCAAAGCGTGCTTCTTTCTGAGTAATAATGGTATATGCAATCCCATCTTTGTCACCAGCACGACCAGTCCTACCAATACGATGCACATGCATGTCCATCTCTCTTGCAATATCAAAGTTCACAACGGACTTTATCGATTTGATGTCAAGTCCACGAGCAGCAACATCAGTTGCAATAAGAACATGATAGACACCTGATTTAAATTTTTGCAAAGTCTCCATCCGAGAAGCCTGATCTTTGTCACCATGGAGAGCTGCAACTTTAAACCCCTTCTGAGCCAGTTGCGATTCAATCTCATCCACAGTAGCCTTTTTAGATGCAAAAACTAGAACGTCACCATCATCAATCATCCCTGGCAGCTTTTCAAGAAGCCAAGGTAACTTTTCTGCATCAGAAGGAATTACTTGAACAACTTGAGTAATATCTTCATTGGCCATTCCCACATCTCCAACCGTAACTCTTACAGGATCTGTGAGAATCTCCCTAGCTAATTTTTCAACCTTCCTGGGCATCGTAGCTGAAAACAGTAAAGTCTGGCGCTCTGGCCGAATCTGACCAACAATTGATCTTATTTGTGGCTCAAACCCTAGGTCAAACATTCTATCAGCCTCGTCAAGTACCAGGTAAGTTGCCTTCAACATATTCAGAGCCTTCATTTTCAACATGTCTATTAATCTCCCTGGAGTAGCAACAACAATGTCGCATCCTGCCTTAAGTTCTTTGAACTGATCAAGCTTCGACATCCCACCATAGACAGCAGAGACACGTATCCCATGTGATTTAGCAAATTTCTTTGCTTCCAAATATATTTGGTGGGCCAATTCTCTAGTGGGCGCACAGATGACCCCAATTGGACCTTCTTCTTTCTGAAGTTCAGGCTGATCCATAATATGTACAATCATGGGAAGCACAAAAGCAGCAGTCTTACCAGAACCAGTTTTTGCTATCCCGATTATGTCTCTCCCAGAAAGCACAATTGGCAAGGCTTGGCACTGAATTGCTGTGGGCTTTTCATAAGCTTGTTTCGCAATAGCATTCATCAGTTGTGTTGAAAAACCACAGTCCTCAAATGTCTTAATTGGCCTGGGTACATCGAAACCTGAAACACGAATAGCTAAACTTTTGCGATATTCAGCAACATCCTCCTCACTCATCCCTGGATGAATTTGAACATCAAATTCACAATTTTAGAGTTATATAACCAGGCAAAACAAAATCACGCTTGCTAGTAACAAACCACAAATAACAAGGAAACAAACATTTTTAAGTTAATTAAAACCTCACCTGATATAGAAGGCTTCTCTTCGTAAAAATCCTTATTGAACGGTTCATACTCAATCGAGCTATGATCCAAAGCTGGAATGGGCTCAATCTTCTTCTTATCAACAACCACAGGATTATCATCGGAGTCATACTCCAACATCCCCGCATCCACAGCTTTTGCAGCAGCGTAAACCTCCTCATCCGAATCATAGCCTGCATGTAGCGCATCGGCCGCCAACGTCAAGCCTAAATCCTTCTTCGCCTTCAAAAAGCTCTCCATAGGATCATCATCTTCGTCATCCCTGTATTTCTCCGTCTTCTCCTTCGGTTTAGGCGGCGGGGCTGCCCTCATCTCCTCATGTATCCCCTCCATAAACGCGTCCAGAGGGTCAATTTCGTCATCTGCAGCTCCATTATCTTTACTATTATCAGCTGAGGTGTCCTTGGCGTTATCATTTTCTTCATAATCGATATTGTCGAGGTCAGTATCTTCATAGTTGTCGTGGCCATGGCGTGAAGAAGGAGGGACATAGAGCCGTTGCGGAGCTTGAGACCGCTCGAAATTGTAAGTCGTTTGGCGGTTTATCCCAAATCCTTCAAATCCGAATTTTCGCTTTGACATGTTTTCCGGTTCTAATATGATTATTAAAGTGAAGACGAGGAAAAAAACCCTAGATTGGCATGTGAAGGAGTAGGGCGAGATCGATATATTAAACCCTAACTGAAGGTTGAGGTACCGTTTTAGTTTGGGTTTTTTAGAGCTTCAAGGATCAGAACTTGAATCCTGTGCTATGGCCTATGGGGAGGAAATTGCGGCGCGCTGGTTCATGAGTCACTGAGTTGCAACCGAGACGGAGGAGGTAATGAATTAATGACGGATACTGTAGTCTGTAAGATTATTTTCTGTTGCCCGACCCAGAAATTTGGGCCTTCTCCGGGTCGGTTTGAATCGAAGATAGGCTCATGGCTCAGCTGTAAAAGACGTAGCTAAATGTGAAACCGGGCCTGGGCCTTAGCCTACCGGACGTGACTAATTTATTGAATATTTTCCATCAGAAGCCGAAAGCCCAACAGGGAGGAGTGAGCATTGGCAAGTTGGGCATAAACTACTCCAATTTTTTATTTTGATTTAGATCAAAAACATTTTTCGTCACTTTTTTTTCTTTTTGAAGGTATTTTTCATCACATTTTATCATACACCATTTGATTTACAAGTGAATTTTATAAATATATATATATATATATATAAGGTATTTTTCATCACATTTATCATAACCATTTTTGATTTACAAGTTGAATTTTATAAATATATAATATATATATTATATATATATATATATATTATCCTATCAATATTAAATTGTTCTCCATATTCATTGTTAAGATAAGAAAAATCTCACATAAATATCTATAAAAAAGAATATTACAAGTTATTGTAAAATTTTGGTTTTTATTTATTAACATTCTACAGTATTCATTACTTTTTTTTCCATTTCAACTATTGATAAATATATATTATCCTATCAATATAAATTGTTCTCCATATTCATTGTAAGATAAGAAAAATCTCACATAAATATCTATATATAAAGGAATTTTATGACAAGTTATTGTAAAATTTTGGTTTTATTTTATTAACATTCTACAGTTTTATCATACATTTTTTTTCATTTCAACTATGATAAAACTGTCCATGGTAGATGCTCATGAACCCCTTCTGTTCTTTTTATTTTACTGAATTTTATATGAATATTATTTAGTTTATATGTTAACTGAAAATACAAAGACTGCCACAAAATATTTTAAAATTTCAGCGATATTGTAATTGAAATATTAGTATCTAAAAATCATATATAATGATAATAATTCCAAAACCAAACCAATAGTTAAATCACTTGCACTTCCTTTGATATAAAGATTTTGTAGATTTAACAGATAAACATTGCAATAATTGGAAATCATGTTCTATGATTATTTTGTGCAGACAGAGAGTTTCCGTCCGTTGATTTCTGCGCTCAGATTGAGAGGAACGACTACAAAGCTGTATGTTTTATCCTGGCTTGTATAGAATAAACGATTAATATAAACTCGATACCACCGGAAGATATTTTATATATATATATATATAGTGGGAAACTGCAGGAGGAAGTGTTTGGTACGCGCAGAGTTAGGTGTTAGGTGACCGGATCACACCCATGATGATTCTTATGGCGCCTCCCAGACGACATTATACCAATGGGAGAACACGAGTGGGGGCAATCAAGTGGGACACAAAATCTGAAATCATGATTCATGATACCAATCACAAAACACCGTTTATGCTATTGGTCATTTGTAATTTTGGTTGAACTTACTATTTTACACCTCTAATATTTGATAAATTTACTAATTCATCCTTAATTTAGTCTAATTAAATCATCTAGTCATTTATTGTCAATTTGATTGATCTTTTTTTACATGTGTGAGGAGTGAGAGATTTTAAATTCGAATCATCTAAAAGAGTTTTCACTAATTTAATAAATTAAAGTAAAATTTACCCTTTATTGTAGATTTCCAAAATAAATCATTTAGCCATTTAAAAAGAATGTCAATTTTTTTTATACACATGAGGCCCATGACTAAAAATATGTGTGATACATAACGAGAGATAACATTACCATTTAAATAAGGACTGCATAATTAGAGTCATAAGCATTATATTTAATTTCACAAGCATTGATTGTTTTATACACCATTTTATAAATTTGTTTAAAATGAAATATAAAGTGAATTTTAAACATTAAAGTTGAGTATTATATCTACCAATACTCAGTTTGATATTTAAATGTTTTCGTTGGTAAAATAATTTTATGAATGGTTATTGTTATTTTTTACATCTGCAATCGCATTATCTAATGATGCTTAATTCTGATGGAACATGAGATAAAAATTCTTGAACAACGATGAAGTGACTGACTTTACCAACGGAATTCCGAGAGCTAGTGTGTAGGTTAAAAAGTGAAAAGCACAAGTTATAATTTTATTGACTCTGTTGATAGCATGATCAAATCAAAGAACACAACTTCACCGTTGATTGGGCTGACAACTAAAAAGTAAAAACGTACAAGTAACAAAAACATCTTCCTACTTTTCTTAACCATTATTCACCTTAGTTAGCGTGATTTAAGTATAAAGTCCTCATAAAACTAAAAGATAACTAAACTTTCATGATTGATTGTCAATGTCGTTACGAAAACCACATTTAATTAATTGGATTAGTGCCTAATCACTAGGTTAAAAATTGTGCGAGTATATTTAATACATATTTAATTTAATGGAAAAAATTAATAATTAATGGATAAAATTGATATGAAGACAGCGACGAGTGCGGAGGGCGCCACGTACATGAATTTCGGTGTCCCAGATTTGCGGTAGGTGTCCATTCATCCCTTGTCAATTATCACGTGTACAGTTTACTCAAAATATGTATTGTATCCCAATTCATACGTATCTTGCCAACATATTACGCATCACACCCTAAAACGTCTTTATCAATTGATTCGGATACCCGCAATTGGGGATTTGATATTCTGGATATCGATGGCAATCCAAAATGCCACATCACAGCTTCCATGTAATTATTTGCAAAAATAAATGTTTAGATACTACATTTGTGTAACTTCTAATTCTAATTATATATTTAAATTATTTTATTAATTAGCATTTATATTTGTAATTTTTTATTATATTAAATGATTACTAAATTGAAAGTGTTCTATTAAACCAATAATTCAACATAAAAAAAAAAAGAAGAAAAGAACTCGATTGAGGTCAATTTAAAGTTTCAAGTCTTGAATAATTTCATTAAGTCAATTTTTGATAACAACCACCAACCTAAAATTAAATAGTAATCCAAATGGCATTCTTGAAATATGCTATAATTAATTGATTTAGAATATTCTTATTTTTGCTTGGCCCCAAATTGAACCATTATCAATAATATTTTAAGTGATACATATGAAACATGCTAGTTATCATTTGTAGTATGCGGAAAGCAAACTTTTTTTTTTTCTTTTTTAAATAAAAGGAGAAAAGCAAAACACGATTACATCAAACTTATTTATAACACACATGGGATGGTTATATCGATATTCATAGTATTTGAGTAATTATTTATTTATAGAGCTTTTATTTGGGAAAGAAATGAAGAAAATTAATTATTTATTTGGTATATGAATCAATTCATATATTAAATTAATTTAATAAAAATATTTGACATAATCGAGGTATTGAATATAATTTATTAAAAGTAATAAATTAATGATATTTTTTTAATGGCAATTAATTAGTGATTTGATGAATGTGTAATTTTTTAGGGATGAAAATTGCATTTACATGTTGTGAACCATTCCATCATGAAGTGAAACTCTATGAATTTGTTAATTTATTAACATAATTTGTTATTTTAATTGAAAATTTGACCGTTAATTATTATTTTTTCACTTTTCTCCTTTTTTTTTTCTTTTATCTCACCTTGTCTTCTTAAAATAGAGATAGAAGTTAGCAAATATTGTACTAAAATTAAATTCGTAGCATATAATAAATATAAAAGATGTTTAATTTATTAGTTACTTCTAATTTTGAATTAAAATGTACATTCTATTTTATAGTTCAATTTAAAAATAAATAATTGGATATTTTATAAAATAACTTAAAATACTCTTAAGCAGTTTAAATATGTGGTTAACAAGTAGTTAAAAATAACTTAATTTATCACAATTACTAAAAAAAATTATATTAAATAAATACGAAGCATAAGTGGAGTATGTCAAAACGAAATTATTTATCTATAATTTTTGGTTTATTTTAATTAGATTTTTTAACTTATAAGTCAAATCAAATATTGTTATACCATAAATTTTTACTTAAAATACATTTAACCAACAAATTAAAGAAAAATACTTAATTAATATATGAATATTAGCGTGGATGTATGTTAAGAAAAAAGAGTCAATTGACCCCTATTTTTTTATAAATTTTCTTAAATATCTATGGATATTTTTCAAATTGACCACTCATAAATTAAAATTAAACCTTTTTCATAATATTTTATTTTTATATTGATCCTGAAATTTTTTTTTTTTCTAAATCCGCAAGTAACTTTCTCCCTTTTCTCTTTCACTTTATTTTTTTAACAAACCAAAATGTTTAAGCGACGTCGTTTGCATTTGCATCCCGAATTTAGCTGTGACAGTCAACGGAATAAACCAGAAGTGCACTGTAGAGAATCTACTCAGTTCACGCTCAACTGAGCAAATTAGTCCACTTTCTTACCGTTAATTTGCGCTTTACCGTTAACGGCGCACGTTAGACATTAATAAAAGCCAGCGCCCATTCCTGCTTTTCACAATCACACCAGCCATCGGATCATAAAAGCAAAAACAGAAATAAAACAAAACAAAAAGAAAAGCAAAAAAATATTTCCAATACAAAGACCTAAGAAACGCCAAAAGCTTCTTCAATACTAATGATAGAACAAAACCAACGATATCTCTACCAGCAGTCATAAAAACAAGTCTCTCTGTTTCTCCTCTTTCTTAGTAAGCTCCAGTTCTGCGAGTTAAATTCTTTAACTTAACTCTGTAATGGAGGTTTTGGCACTGAGTTATCAGCTCCGAGTTGCGGTTTATATGTTGATTTCTCCACTGTTGGATCCTCCTTCATTTACTTTAATAAACAAGTCCTGTTTGTAGTGCTTCGCTTTTGCTTTGGATTCTTATGCTCACTTTAGACTGTGATCTCGACGTTGATTCGCTGAAATCTCGCAGATCTAACGTGTAATTTTATAATAATCAACGGCATCGGTGATGTCGGTGCTTGCAGCAGCGAATACCACTGGTAATTTTAGTTTTTATTGCCTTGTCATTTCTCTTTGCTTTTTTCTCTTTCTTTGTTAAATCTATTCTTTATGCTTTTCTCGGTGGTAGTTGAACTCGAGTTACTATTTATCAAAGCTGCTTTTTGGTAGCTGAGGAAGTTTGGGATGGAAATTGGAATTATAGTTTTATCGTCTTTGGTCTTTTAATTTCAGAAGCGCTAAAATGGAGATTTTAGGTTGAGTTGAGTCTTTGTTAGTTTTTGTTGCTTAATCATTCAATTATTGAGAAATTACGACTCTATTGGCTAATGTGATAAGTGGTTTTCTTGAGATGGGTTTTTTCCTCGTGTGGTTTATCTGGCAAAACAAAAGAAAAGCTAAAGAAAATTTGGCCGTTGAGGTAATGAGTTTTCCCTTACCAATGTCATCAACCTAAGTCGTGGGAAAATTTTGAGAACTTCAAAATGCTAACTGCATAACCTGTGGGGCAATAAATTGATTGATCAGTAGGTATTGCAGTGGTCTTAATTGTAGGTCAGTAAGAGATGTAGACATATATGCACATATATTCAAATGCCTTTTGCATGACTTTCAGGAGCCAATTGAATTCAAAGCCATCCAAAAATGATTTATTTATTTATTACAGTTTATATTCTGTTTCTTTACTTCTGGAGGGAACAGTTCATACTTTCGTTTGTTTGATTTTTTGCTTTTGTTAGATTGAGACTTTGTTCTGAATATGGTGTGCAGAAGTACCAAGAAAAGTCTGCAGTCTGTTGCTGCAGCTTTTGGTTGTTGCATGTTATGTAATTCCCACCACCGATGCCGATTTGGTTGATAATCAATTTTTCAAAGAATGGATAGTACCTCCAAGTGGAGCGCCTTTGCCTGCACCAGCTATTCCAGATCTTCCCCTCCCAGCCAACTTGCCACTGTTTCATAGACCACCAAGAAAACATTTAGCGCCAGTTCTTGCACCATCAATTGTGGTAGCACATGCCAAACCTCCTAATTATGATCCACTAATAGCTTTCAGTCATCCCCCTACCAGTTCGCGTTTGTCGAAACCATCAATGAAGAAAAATCCATTACTGCCTCCTGGTGTTGGATTGATAGATGTTGCACCAACACAATCCAGCGCTGGTGCAAATGCTACTGGTTTAGCTCAGCCGCCATTATCTCCTTATGTCTCTGGTGAGACAATTAAAAATTTTACAATTTCTATTTTTATACTTTCATGTTTCATTTGCAAAGTATTTTACTGTCAAAAATAAAGTGTAAATATCTATTAATGCTTCCTACTCAAACTACTAAGTACCAACCAAGCAAACTGAATTTTTATACTTTCATATTTCATTTGCAAAGTATTTTATTGTCAAAGATAAAGTGTCAATATCTATTAATGCTTCCTACTCAAACTACTAAGTACCAACCAAGCAAACTGAATTTTTATACTTTCATATTTCATTTGCAAAGTATTTTATTGTCAAAGATAAAGTGTCAATATCTATTAATGCTTCCTACTCAAACTACTAAGTACCAACCAAGCAAACTGAATTTTTATACTTTCATATTTCATTTGCAAAGTATTTTATTGTCAAAGATAAAGTGTCAATATCTATTAATGCTTCCTACTCAAACTACTAAGTACCAACCAAGCAAACTGAATTTTTATACTTTCATATTTCATTTGCAAAGTATTTTATTGTCAAAGATAAAGTGTCAATATCTATTAATGCTTCCTACTCAAACTAGAGCAAATTTCTGCAAGAATTAGCTTCTCAGCTTGATTTGCTCGTTTCTCAAATTGAGCTGATCAACTTTTATGTACTTAGCTTATCAAGATTAAATATCTCAATGGACATTACTCCTCATACGGGAATCAGCTTCTCCGCCAGTGATGTGTTATTAATAAACTCTTCACTGGCATTGCACAAGGTTCATTTCGACTCAAGTCTTGTGGGTGATTACAGACTTCTCAATTTTACCTGGTTTGAACCCCCAGCACCTTCGCAAGGTAAATTTTTATAATGACCTTCTTTGAAATAAGGAAGTTTTTTTCAATCAGATATGGTTTTTGCTGTGTTTGGATTTTTTTTGGAATAGGTGAGCTTTCATTAATTATATATTATCATTGAAATTTTATGGATCCATGTTAATCATCTGTGTTTTGTCAGTCTATCTCTGCCTATGTGCATGTGGCTTTTTTTCTTTTTCTTCTTTTCGCAATGACTAAATGATGGTCACTTCACACCCATTACTGCTTAAATTATGTCTTTTTCTTATCATTTAAATTACTTTTTCCATTACTAGTTGTCTGTGAAATGTGAAAGGGCCTAGTTGGATGACTGTATCATTTTAGGATTTGTATGTGGTGAATATGCTTAAGAGAGAGATGGTTGCCAACCGAGTGAATAATGGTGGAGGCCAACTAATTCAGTAGACAACAACACACTTAAGTCTCTGCTATCTTTCAAGGCATTTTGTCAATTTTTTTGTTATCACCAAGTTGCTGGGGGCCAACTGATTCAGTGAACAACAGCACCTAAATTGTCTGCAAAGAACATCTTCTAGTCTTTCTTGATGAGACATTGAGCCTTGCTGTTTTAATAATGACAGTCATAATAGTAATAACATCATGAGAAAGGCGTAACCCTAATGGTAAAATGTATGAATAAATACAATTAAGAAAGAACAATAGAAGTCCAACTATATTTGAGTTAGTTTTAAGATTTCAATAAAAAGAAGAAGAAAGAGAGTTTCAGATCAATATTAGTATTCTGTTTAATATTTTTTATTATCATTAATTCTGTTGACAACTTTTGTAGTTTTACTAAATTATTATCTTTGTTCGGGTATATACAGTGGTGGATCCACAGTTTAAAAAGAGTGGTCAATTGACCCCTCTTTTTTTTTTTTTTTTTTGTTTTTTTTCTCTTTTTTTTTTTTTTTTTGGATTTTTTTTTAATATATATGTGTATATTTCCTCTAAATTAATTCATAAAGTTATTTTTAATTTATTGTTTGACGCCTCTTTTTTCAAAAAATTATTATATTGACCCTGGTTTTTTTTTTTTTTTTTTGGATTTTTTTTAATATATATGTGTATATTTCTCTAAATTAATTCATAAAGTTCATTTTATTTATGTTTTTGACCCTCTTTTTTCAAAAAATTATATATTGACCCTGGAAAAAAATTGCTAGATTCGCTACTGGGTATTATATATGTATATTTTTTTGAATAAAAGATTTATAGTTGTGAATATTGTATAGATGGTTCTCTTGTTTGTATGTTGAAGTAACTTTGCATCTCATAAACAGCTCCTACTATTGCTCCATCACCTTTGCAAGCACCAGCACATCAATCTGTGAGTTCCACATCAGTTGGTGCTTCGAACAGCGGCAAACATACAAATTTAATTGTTATACTTGCTATTGGTGCTGGCATTCTGATCATTGCTATAATATCTATGCTTATAATTTGCTCATGCGCATTTCATGGACGGAAGCCTAAAGGAGGATCTCCTAAAGCAACTGGTATGTATCTTACTAGGTCCAACATTTTTATGCTGTTTCTCTCTGATTAATTGTATCAAGAAACTTAATCTGATGAATGTCAGCTTAAGATAACACCTTTGGAGCTTGCAGTTGTGGACATATTGTAGATGGTATTGAGAGAAACATCAATCAAATTATCATTGCTGGTGTGGCTATCCCTCTCTAATTAAAAGAGTGTGCTTGCTTGGATTTCTACATTCTTCTTGTTTATTTTTTGAAACTTGAATATCAAAGTTATTTTGGTGACATATAACTTCATGGTTGCTGGCCCTCTTGAGACGCTTAAATGATTGAGGAAAAGACATTGATGTTGATAAAAGGAGGATGCTTGAACCACCAATGTGGAATCCAAAATAAATTTATTTAGCTGTTTTCACAGTTGTGCCAAGCATATTTGTCTTACTTTTTATATGCTTGAGCAAAACTAAAGCTTGTCATTGCATCTTACGAATGTAAATATTTGTTGGTGTTAGATGTCAGTTTATTGTTGCAAAAACTTTTAATTGGTCATTTCTTCTTACATTTAATCTTTTTATTTGTTATCCACAGTGAAGCCAAGGACTGTAGAAGCAGTTCCAGCTGGAGGATCTCTTCCACATCCTACCAGTACACGGTTTCTAGCCTATGAAGAACTTAAAGAAGCAACCAACAACTTTGAACCTGCAAGCATACTTGGAGAGGGTGGGTTTGGTAGAGTTTTCAAGGGTGTCTTAAGTGATGGTACTGCTGTAGCAATTAAAAGGCTTACTAGTGGAGGGCAGCAAGGGGATAAAGAATTTCTAGTTGAGGTTGAGATGCTTAGCAGATTGCATCACCGTAATCTCGTCAAACTTGTGGGCTACTATACCAGTCGCGACTCTTCACAAAATCTACTGTGTTATGAACTTGTTCCAAATGGAAGCTTGGAGGCCTGGCTGCATGGTAATATGAAAGAATCTTAAAACAAAGATCCTCTTAGCATCTAGGAGGATCTAGAGGATTGTTATTTCCTTTCAATTTGAGCATCTTTCTATGAGAAATGCTTCACTAAAGAAAAACTAAAGTATCACCTATTTTACACTGATTCTATATCTTCGTCCAAGGTTCCTCAATTAACACAATACTTGGAGGCCTGGCTGCATGGTCATATGAATAAGTCTTAAAATAAAGATCCTCCTGGCATCTAGGAGGATCTAGGAGTTGTTATTTCCTTTTAATTTTAGCAACTTTCTATGAAGAATATTTCACTGAAGAAAAACTAAATGTTACCTATTTTTCATTGATTCCACACATTTGTCCAGGGTTCCTCAATTAACAGAATAAACTTGGTGTGAGACTAAATACTTGTATCCAGTGACTACACCTGGGATCTTATATTTTCTGAACCTTTTTTTTCCCCCAATTTTGGGCTTTGGATATGCACCCTGGAATGTGAAGAAACTGGAGAATATTCTTTTCTATTAGTTCGACTTTCTTTAGTAGTGTTCATTTGAATACTAGTCGGCATTTTACACTTGTCACTGAATAGTAGTCGGCATTGTACACTTGTCACCGAGTTAACGCAACATAGGATATTTGATTCTGTGTCTGTGGTTCACAATATTGATGCTGTTTTTATTTTTGCCTCAGGTCCTCTTGGTGTAAATTGTCCTTTGGATTGGGACACTAGAATGAAGATTGCACTTGATGCTGCAAGGGGACTTGCATACCTGCATGAGGACTCACAACCCTGTGTTATCCACAGAGATTTCAAGGCATCCAATATATTGCTTGAGAACAATTTCAATGCTAAAGTTGCTGATTTTGGATTAGCCAAACAGGCACCTGAAGGCAGAGCAAACTACCTTTCCACTCGTGTGATGGGCACATTTGGGTGAGTGTCAGTCCCTCTTTTTCTTAATCTTTTTATTTTATTTTTGGATCATTGAGAGAGACATTGATGTTTAGGTATGTGGCACCTGAGTATGCTATGACGGGACATCTACTAGTAAAAAGTGACGTTTACAGCTATGGAGTTGTCCTCCTTGAGTTGCTGACAGGAAGGAAACCTGTAGATATGTCACAACCATCTGGGCAGGAAAATCTGGTCACTTGGGTTAGTAAGCCTAATCTGGTTACATATTGTTCCTTTGTAATGATTGAAAAATATTTCTTTATCATATATATAAATATAAAATTGGGCTAGTTGAGACAATTGGTTGCATTTCCAGGCCAGGCCGATCCTTAGAGACAAAGATAGGCTAGAAGAGCTTGCTGATACAAGGCTTGGGGGAAAATATCCAAAAGAAGATTTTGTACGCGTTTGCACCATTGCAGCAGCTTGTGTTGCTCCGGAGGCAAACCAACGACCGACAATGGGTGAAGTGGTTCAGTCACTTAAAATGGTACAGCGTGTCACAGAATATCAGGATTCTATGTCAGCTTCTAACACCCGGCCGAACATGAGACAGTCGTCTACTACCTTCGAGTCCGATGGAACATCCTCAATATTTTCCTCGGGTCCTTACTCAGGTCTAAGTGCCTTTGATAATGACAACATCTCTCGAACGGCAGTTTTCTCGGAAGATCTTCATGAAGGACGATGAATGCCTTCTTTTGATTTGAAAAGCATTCTTTTGATCGACCAATATACGATTTGTGGATAAATTTGAAGATGGCAAGATGCTGATAGGAATTCTTTTGAGGAAATGGCATAGATTTCGCAGTTGTGATTGGTGGAGTTGGTGGGTTTTTTTGGGTTGTGCCTTGCGGGATGTCACTGCAAAATTTTCCCAAAGGCAGTGGTTACCTACATGGTTGACGAAATTTTGTATATAGTACTTTCTAGAGCTTTGTCTTACTGGATTATTTTTCAATGGTCTTTGCTTAAATCTTCTTTTCTTTCGTCCCATATTTTTCACATCCAAGCGATGGTATTTTCAATGCCTTTCTGTCATTTTTCTCATTTCTTCGAGTTTATAAGTTCCCATTTTTAATAATTTCTGATATCATTACGATTTAGCTATCAAACATCCAATAGAAGTATCCATTTGGCTCGTCAAAATGATTATCAAAATATTATTTGAGAGTTTAGCATTTAAGTACCTTCTTGACATTGGAAAAGTATAATTTCATAATTATTCTTAAAAAAAAAAAAAAAAAAAATCATGTTATACATTTGTTAATTGTCTTGTTGAATTAAAAATTGAATCGCTGCTTTAGTCAAAATAAAGTATATTAAACATTTTATTTGATCAAATAAATTGGTGATCTAATCATTAATTTAATCCTGAATTTTATAGGTAATTCAGACAAGCACATCTTAAAGTGAGAGTTTCAAATCGTATCAAGAGAGGTATTTAATATTTTCAATTTGGCTGCTGTCATTGATTTCAAGGATTGTTAATTTGTACTTGTGTGTTTTTCTTTTGCAGGAGAAAGATCCATTCTTTAGAAGAATGGTGCTTATGGATTAGCCCATTTTAGCGTCCCTGAAGTTAAACCACTCATGCGCAGTTCTATCATTTTGCATACCCTATAAACAGCGAGGGAGAGAGAAAGTGATGTAAAACCTCCTACATATTAGTGTACAAAAATGGAAACAATTCCCCCTAAAAATAGAAACCAAATTGGACGGTAACTAGCTAACCATTCCTTTAATTATAAAATCCAAACCCAACCCCCAGTACTTTCATCATCTCCTTCCTCCCCTCCAATAAAGAGAGTTGGCATATTTATAAACTTAAACAAAAAAACAAATAAAAAATAAAATGGAGATTAACAAATCCATTGTTCTTGTCATCTCTCTCTTGTGTCTTCTTTCATTTTCCGGGGAGGCTATTCGCGACGTCTCTGCCTATGCCGAGTATGTATTTCTCCCCCAGAAAGAAAAACTGGCACCAGCCAAACCGCCAACTCAGCATCATTCACATCACATTGCTCCTTCCCAATCTGCAAATGGCGCTAAAGCTCCCGGATCTGGACCCGTCGAGCTTTATGTTAACATGGAAACACTCCAAGCCCGAATCTGGCAATGGTGGCCTTAAACGGCGCGGAACGTGTCGTATTGAGTTTACGCTTCTCGAAGGAGGGAAATGAGCGAGTCATTCTGAGAAATGCATTACTGGGCTTGTGTGCGTATAGAATTGTGGTTTTTTCAAGCACCTTATCTTTCTGGATTATTTTTTTTGTTTATTAATTTAATAATATTTTCATTCTGGACTCTGTATCTTTGTATTTTTAGTCCGAGAAATTAAAATTAATATTACATTCCCATGATGAGACTCCATTTCTCTTCGTTGAGAGGTTGTCAATTCCTGCCACAATTCTTCATTTAAGACCGAGTATTTGAATCCATTGAATTAAATCGAATCAATTCAGTTTGATCCAACTGAATATATTTAAATAAATATAATGCAACTTTAATTATTATTCTATTGTTTGCATTTAATTTTAATTATTTTGGATATAAAATAAATTCAAATGAAACTCAATTATTTAATTTTATTCGTTAAACTCTGCAATTTACAACGATTGGTTGTTTAACTTCTAAGTTGACGTTAAAGAAAGCTATTACCAAATTGCATACTGAGAGTACACGGCTTTTCAAACAAAATTAGCCAAAATGGAATATAATGAAGAATGATAATCTTTAATTGAAAAAAAAAATACTACAGTAATAGAAAAAATAATTTTTATATAATAATTAATTATTAGCTGAATATACCAATGACGAATACATATTGAGAATAAATAAGAGTTATTTCAATTCCTATAAGTTTTTTTTTTTTTAATTATATTCTACAGCTGAAAGCAAATTGATTATTTATTACTGATTATTAACTATATTAAATAAAATCTTCACATGTAATGATATGTAATAAAAAGCTTTAGACCTACGTAGTAAATAATTAAAAAAAGAAAAGTTACCATTTAACCCAAAAACTTAAACTTATTTCATCATTAATCCAAATACTAACAATTTAACAAAGTATTAGCCTAATTGTTAAGGTGGATGCACTCTTGATAAGCGTCGTGAGTTTAATTTCTATCCCACCACCAATTATCATGTAATATTATCATTATATAATATTATTACAACAATATCAAAATTCACTATGACCAAATCAATGTATAAGGGGCAAAAAATCACAATTACAAATTAATTATAAGTTATTGCAGCCACGAAAATTAAACCTGAGAACTTTGAGAGAAATTTTATGTAAATATATTTTTCAATGAGAGAATTACATGTAAGCTACAAATAATTAATATTACGAGTTTTCATTTTGAATTGAATACTCCGGAAACGAATAACAATAATTATTGCATTTATTTACATTATTAATATAAATTTTCTTTTTGATAATTGTATTTTCATCGATCAATCTACAATTACATAGATACTATTTAAAAAAAAATACATATAAATGTATTTTCAATTATTAAGATTTAGGGATTTCCTTATTTAAACTGGATATATGGTCTCACCTATTGATTAAATCAATAAAAAAATAATTATTTTAATTTATTTGGTTCATAAACAAGTATTTTCTTAAGATATATGTATATCGTCCATCCCATTTAATAGTTAAATGAGATATTAATTTTTTTTTTCCAAATAGAGAGTTATTATATTAATTCAATATTAATTAACTAGAGCTCGTATGTTCACTAATTTCAGCTGGCTAGCTTTAATTTGTCGTGAAACAATGATTTCCCAATATAAAAATAGTTTGCACTAAACATAGAACATAGCCTGAGCCCTCTTAGCTCGCATTACCATTAATTATTTTCTCCAAACACGCCCATTTAAATTTCTTTCCCAGTCTCCAAATAATAACTCCACGCCCTCCTATTGTCTCTCCTTTTGTCCTTTCTCACATCAATAAAAATTAGAAAGAAGATGATGGAGCTTAAAAAATTCCTCCTCATCTTCATCTCCTATTCTCTAATTATAACATCACCGTTCGCGGAGGCAGGCAACGACGCCTCTTCTGCTCCCTCTGCTTCTACCACCACCGCCGCCGCCACAGCGACGCCTACAACAACTTCATCAACAAAAAATAATTTGAACACTGACACGTCATCATCTTCGGGGTCCTGGCCTAAATCTTCTCCCTCAGGTTCAACGCCTTCTAAGCCGGTCAGTCCTGCTCCGGCTCCAAGCGGCTTGTCGTTGCTATTCTCAACGGTTCCGTTACCAACTAAAAATCCAGTCCTGAAGAAAATATGTGATTCCACTAGTCATCCAGAGGAATGTATGAGCTCAATCACTCCTTACCAAACTGGCGAGTCGGATCCTGTTTCCGTACTAAAAATGGAAATGCAAGCTCTTCGTAAAGGTTTTGAAAAAGCCATTGCTAAAGCAGATTCTTTAAATGAAGATCCTTCAACATCAGAAATGATTAGAAGCTGTATCGATACATGTCTTGAAATTTATGATACTGCCCTTTATGACCTAGACGATGCTCTTGAGGCGGTTTCTTCTCACGACATTGATAAGCTTAAAACGTTCCTGAGTGCTACGGTATCAGATATTAGCACGTGCGAAGAAGCTTTTCAAGAGGAGCCAGGTGCAGAATCACCCTTGAAAGAATTTGACGATGAGTTGGATAAACTAGCTAGCAATAACTTGGCCATTGTTAATGCCTTACTCCGCTAAATTAATTAATTAATTAATAGTTAATTAATCCCCTATTTATTGTTCATAACAAGGAGAGACATTAAGAAATTGATTCATTTAGGTTTTTTTTTTTTTTTTGTGTGTTATGTATCATCCATGTGGTGTTAGAAAGTAGTCAAAGCTGCCCGTTATACAATTGAGATAATTGTACATCTTATTGAAATTATTTGTTTAATAGCATCATTAATATTTAAAACTTAATTTAATATTTTTTTAATTTTAAATTATTTGATCTTACTACGAGTACTCCATTCATTTTAATTACAAAGACTATTAACATTTTAGAGTTTATGATTGTCTTCTTTCGTGAGTATTTTCAATTTCGAAGCAATTTGTATTTACTTTCCACAATTCTATTTTTTTCTGCAATATTATAGATTTTTCACTATATATTTCTACACTTTTTTAAAATAAAATGTAAGATTAATCTTGTTTCCCAACTTTACATAAGTAAATTTTCACATATTTAATACTATAGTGAAAAATAGAATACTATTAATTAACAAAAAGATATTACGATCAGGTTTCAAAATCATTTTTACTGTAAAGATGCATGATAAGCTACATCAGCGTTTTACATGCCCATAAGCATCGTATGAAGTTTGACAAATAAACAAAGAGTTTTCTTTGAAAATAACTTTTAGATTAAAATGTTAGGCGTTATTTTTTATTACAGTGTTCGGTAACATAAGTTAAAATAGGTTAATTCCTGTAACATTTTTTTATCTTTTAACTTTTTATGAAAAATTACTCAAATAACAACTAACTATTCAAATACCTAAATACTTTTAAAATAGCTAATAATTATAAAAACAAAACTGCTCAAATAACAATTAGATATTTAAATAATTAAACACCGTTAAAATAACTAACAGCTACAAAAACAATTAATTTACGCTTGAGGTTGAAAATGATAAATTGCTATATCTATTCTACCTGGTTTACAAAATCAACTATTTAATTTTTTCATCTTGAGAAAATACAAAAATATGTACTTTTTACTGTTAATTTAAATAAAAATACAAAAAACCTTTGTGTTTAATAAAAATCCATATTTACTTATTTTTTTACTAATTTGAAAAATAAAATGATATGCCAATTAATAATTATTTTATGTCCTACTACCTTTGTTTCTAAATAATTGTTATATTTGAAATTTTAACTTATTAAAACTAGCTTGAAATTTGTTTAAACTAAAATAAATTATTAAATAAATTAACTATATTACTTTTAATTTAATAATCTAAATGCTAAATTTTTTAATAATTAAAATAATGATTATTGATCATATATAAAAGCTAAATATGATAAAAAAAAATTTATTACTCGTTAAAATCATAAATGTGATAATTTTTTTGAAATAAAATACTTTATCAAAAATGATAAATATTTAGGGACAGAGGCCGTATTATTTAGCAAAATATATATTTAAACTTTATTGTGAAAATTAAATTTATTTCTTTTATGATAAATTTTCACATTTCATGTTATTAGTAAATTTGACAAAACTCGGTAGGTTGGTTTAAACATCTGTTTTGCCATATTTTGACTACTTAATGCCAACGCTGGCAAATACTAAGGTCGGTCAAAAACTAACTTGAACGCCCGGGTGCGCAGCGTCTTAACCTACGCACACATTTGCAGTGTAACCGTGTTTCGAAGAAGAGGGAAATAAAAGGAAAGGAAAGAGAGAGGGAGAAAACTTCTAGAGATAGAATGAAAGGAAGGAAAGAGAGAGAAAGAAATACAATGAGTTCTTTCTGAGTTGGATCAACCGAGTCGGGTGACCGAATCAACATTGGAGACACAACAACAAAGGCCAAGGCTAAAATCACCCTCTCAAACAAAAAGAAAAAAAAAAAAAAAAAAAAATGCGCAGCGTCTTAACTACGCACACTATTTGCAGTGTAACCGTGTTTCCGACCAGAAGAGGGAAATAAAAGGAAAAGGAAAGAGAGAGGGAGAAAACTTCTAGAGATAGAATGAAAGGAAAGGAAAGAGAGGAGAACGAAATACAATGAGTTCTTTCTGGAGTTGGATCCAAACCGAGTCGGGTGACCGAATCAACATTGGAGACACAAAACAAAGGCCAAAGGCTAAAAATCACCTCTCAAAACAAAAAGTAAAAAAAAAAAAAAAAAAAAACACAGGGCAGGTGTGGTAATAGCCCAAAAGATGGAGAAAAAAAAAAAAAAAAAAAAAAAAAAAAAAACACAGGGCAGGTGTGGTAATAGCCAAAAGATGGAGAATGGGAAGCGGATTATTAGTCATCCTCTAAGCCTTTACCTGTCTCATTCTTATCATTGTTCTCACCCTTCCTTCTCTAACCCTAATTCTATCTCTCCAATCATCACTAAAACTAAAACTACAACCAAACAGCACCAACAAATATCTGTACACAAATTATTCTCTTTTTCTCTATTCTCTTTCTTTTCTTCTGTTCTTTTGTTCTCTTCTTTTTCTTTTTCTCTTTTCCTTCACTTCTCTGCTGCGAGAACGTCTGATTTTGGTCTGGGTTTCGAATTTCTTCGAGGTAACGCATATGTTTGTGTTGGCTCGTTTGGATTTTTGTTGGGTTGTTATTGTTTTTATGGCTTGATGAATGTGCGATTGGGTGTATGTGAATTTTAGCATGTTTATTTTTGGGGTTATGTTTTGATGGATTGATTGATTATATCTGGTATTTGCCTTTTATTTTCTATTATTTGGTTACGGGATTCAGCAATGGGTCTGTTCTCTATTGGGTTTGTTTAAGCTTGATGTTTACTTGACTGGTAAAGGGCTGGTTGCTATTCCTGAACTGGTAATTTTAATTGCTCTCTTTTTTTGCTTGATGTAATTGCATACAATTTTATTGCTTTGGCTGAAATTTCGATGCTGAGATCATATGTTGCAATGTGGATCCGGTTGTTTGTATCAGTGAGCTTGATGTTTCATTTTCTCTAAATCAAGTAATTGGCAATGGACGTGGTTTTTATTCTTATCTTACACTGTCTCATTTTAAGCAATTCTTCTTCATGATCTTCTTTCTTTCATCAATCGATAAATGTTTCATATTTCTTACTTCTTCCTATAATCTATCTGATTTCTTGTTTATTTTAGTGCAAGAGATAAGTAATGTATGTTTAGTTCTTTGCTCGGATTCATTCAATTTAAGTACTTAGCTTTTTTGTATATATTTGATGTAGAAATTTCAAGAGTCTTTGTAGCATATGCTTTCTGTGGGTTCCCTTCATCTCATGATCTGAGTGGAAGCAATACATAAACTGGGTTATAACAATTTTTTCTTCATGGAAGAGTTCAGTCGCGCTCGGTTTGATGGCATTGGAAGTACTGCAAGAAAGAAAAGGAGTCAAACATCTCGGCGGCCTAAGCCTGATGCACGACAATTCATTGACAGTCATGATAATTCACTCTCATCAACCCCACCACCTTCAGATGATGTAAGTAAGGCCTCCAGTGATGAGAATGATACTAATTCTAGGAGGAAAGAGTTCAATCTTAATCAATGCATGTCCAAGGTTTCTTCTGCTACTGAAGTTGAAGGTGAAAAGTCTTATATTAGGAATAAGGAGTTTGGAGGACTCAATGCATTTTCCCACAATGATCCTGGACGAAGTATGATTAATAGTAAACGTGCTAGTGAAGGTGTCCTTGCCCCTGCTAATTGGAGAAGCACCAGTAAGGTAAAGGAATCCTTTGAATCAGAGTCAAGTAGTGCAGATGTCTACATTGGAAGGAATGGTGAAAGTTCAGGGCAGTCTGGAGTGATTTTAGATGGATTAGGAAATGAGAACAAAGTTAAAAAAGTGAAGCTCAGGGTTCGTGGTGTCACACACACAATCCATGCCGACTCAACGACTAATGGTGCAATTTCTACCAAGAGCTCTCGATTCTCAGAAACTTCCAGATCTCGTCAGAAGCAAAACCTTCAGGTACTGTTGTCAGCTTGACTTGTTCAATCGTTTTATATATTATATGCATGTATGCATAAAGTCGAAGTCCATGTTGTGCACACATAACTTTTGTTGCTGCGCATGTGCATATGTATAGCTACTATACAAACTTCTCAGAATTTTTAGGTGAGAAATGTAAATTGCTTACTTGAATGTTTTGTGTTCTCATCTACTAGCAAGTATTGCGTAGACTTTGTTCATACATAGACATTTCATTAAGTTGCATTGTTGAGTGGATGCTTCCTTATACAACTGTTTTCTTTTAGTTTGTCGTATTCGTATTATTCCTTCGAATCTTAGTGTCAGTTGTCAGACACTGATTTTCTGCTTGCGCACATAGATTTATACACTTGGAATTGTTTTCTTCCGGGCATATCTCAAATCGTACTTTACTTTTATGGAAGAAATCTCTTTGTATGAATGGGCATTGGTTTGCCTAATTATTGTTCTCTCCCTATCGAGTAATATCAGAATCCTATGTAATCATGTTATTTGAATTGTTTTTATTACAGTGCAATCTACAGGAAGACAATTCCATTTTAGATAAGAGGTCTGGTTTGCAAGGAGTCCCTTGGAAAGATTTCTCCAAAGGTGGTTTTATTCTTGGGAAAGACAGTACTTCTATGGGGAGGATATCCGGAAAGAATACATCAGGAAAGCAAGGAGAGAAATCTGAACCAGTTCGTAAGAGCAAGCGGGTGCCCAAGAGACGTGTGCTAGATGGGGACATTGGTGAAGAGTATGAGGATGATGAGATCCGGTACCTGGAGAAACTTAAAACTCCAAAGATTGCAGCTGCATATAAAGATTATGAAGAATCAAGCACGAAACAGCAAAAGCTGCTGAGCGTGGAAAAAGTTGGTGCTTCAAGTTCAGTGAAGGATGGGAAGAAGAAGTCCACTTTAGAGAGGGCATCAGAGGACACAGATTATGAGGACGAAGAAGATCTGGCATCTGAGGGTGAGGTCGAAGGTAATAAGAAGAAGAAGCAGAAAAGGGAATCTGTGGATGCATTGATGGATAGTAAGAGGGAGATGACTCTGACCACGCGTCAACGTGCCCTTCAGTCAAGCAAAGATGGCTCTGCACCTGGTTCTAACCTAATTGAGTTTCCGAACGGATTACCGCCTGCGCCATCAAGAAGTGAGCCTTAATAACTGCCATTACAATTTTTACCTTTTCTGAGGATTCTAATTGTATTACCAAGTACTAATTATAGATACCTTCCCTGCTGTTGTTTTCATTTTATACAGAGCAAAAGGAGAAACTTACTGAAGTGGAGCAGCAACTAAAGAAGGCTGAGGCTGCCCAGAGACGTAGAATGCAAGTTGAGAAGGCTGCAAGGGAATCTGAGGTTTATTTCTCTCTTCATTTTTGAATTTTCGTTTGCATATTTTAGATCTGGATAACTGATTGAGGAATTATTTAAATTAATTTTGTAGGCTGAGGCTATTAGAAAAATACTTGGTCAAGATTCCAGCAGGAAGAAGCGAGAAGACAAAATAAAGAAGCGCCAGGAAGAATTGGCACAGGTATTAGGAACTGTCTGATAAACTTTTTTCTTTTTCTTTATATATGATGATGAGCTCTTTGTTTAGTTCTCTTGTTTGCTTTGTGCAGGAGAAGGCTGCTAATGCCCTGGTGCTTGGAACAAACACAATTAGATGGGTCATGGGTCCTACTGGGACTGTTGTGACTTTCTCCAATGACATGGGCCTCCCCAGCTTATTTGACTCTAAACCTTGCAGGTTTAGAATTCTATCAGAAACTTGAAATTATTTGTTCCAATTGATCCTGATGTTCATTTTCTGAGTCCTAAAGTTTTAAACTTTTCTGTGTCAACATGCAGCTATCCTCCTGAGCGTGAAAAATGTGTGGGTCCTTCTTGTACTAATCCATACAAGTATAGAGATTCAAAGTCAAAGCTTCCGCTTTGCAGCCTACGCTGCTACAAGGCAGTTCAGGGACAGCTGGGAGCTGAAGCTAGCTGCTAATTTTGTCATTCCTGATGCCCGTCAATATTTTTGCACAGCTATGTTGATATTTCTGTTAACTATAGTATAGGCTAATGAAAGATAATTTTTAACTTAGTGTTGAAGGGTTATACAAGGATGTTGGCTGATTTGCTGTCATCTACGCCTTGAATATCTATAAATGAAAATTTGCCTTCAATGGCTGAGATATGTTCTAGGTATTTATGCAATGCAACTGAGATTTGTTCTAGATACTTGAGTTCATTCAAGCTTTTAAAACTGAAAAAATAACAAATTTGACAAGTTTTTGATTGAAATCTCCAAAATTCGCACAAATTATAATTTGCTCACTTAAACCAAAAAAAAAAAAAAAAACACAACCATATCTGGGCTGGCCCCAAAAAAAGAAGGCCCAGATAATCCAAAACCATTTATAAAGAATAAAATATCAGACTAATCCGACCCTTTAATGAACAGATCGGGTTAAACCGAGATCCAAATCCAGATATTCATCAAGTTCCTGTTATTGACAATTAAACATGTTCCTTGCTCGAACACTCTACCAGTACCTCTCTGCGTCCCTTATCGCTCCCAGTTTAAGCGCCGTCTAGCCAGGATAAGGCGCTAATATTTTTCCAACTTGAAAACGTATAATCAATTTTGCTTTGAACGAGCCAAGTGAGGCAATAATCGGCGAAGAATGGCGCATTCATTAGTATCCTCATCGGCCTCTTCCCTCAGATTCAGCTCTCTCGTCTTTTCTCCAAACCCTAGCACTACTTCCGATTGCCAGAAGCTTTCTTTACCTTTTGAGCCTCTTCGTTCCAGGTTTTACTATTTAACTGTTTACTTTTTATTTGGTAGCATGAATATTTAGTGTTTCGTGAAGGGTTCAAATGAAAGGAATCGAAGTCACAGCTTTTGAGTTTTGATTATATTTCGGTTTCTAAAGTGAAAGGATAATCTTAATGGGCATGTCATAGAGTTCTTGCATTCTTTCTTTGATTTTTTTCTAAACAACAACTTAAGAGCGAGAAAGTAGATGTTTTTGAGATGGCTTCTTGCGCTATATGAACTCCTTTCTATTGGAGTTGGAATCTTTACTTGGTAATCAGAAATGAAGTTTTGAATGTATTGCAGGAAAGTGGGAAAGTTGAGTAGTTTTAGAAAGAATTTTCAGCCATCTCCAACAAAGGCTGTTTATTCTGGCGAGTTTTGGGCACCTCAGAGAACTTCTCGAAAGGGGATTTGGTCTATAAGGTAGGTTCATTTTATGAGAGAAGTTATGTTTGTTTTCCTTGTTATTGCCTATTTACTTGCTGTACTCACAGAAAATTGGAAAACTTGCTACTTTTCTTTTGTAGGGATGATTTGGAAATCCCATCTTCACCTTATTTCCCTGCATATGCCAATGGACAAGGTCAAGGACAAGGGCCACCTCCAATGGTGCATGAGAGGTTCCAGAGTGTTGTTAGTCAACTTTTTCAACATGTCAGTGATTGGATTTTATTTCCTTTCTGATTTTCCATGTGTCAAATGTTGCACATTTTCTTTTTCAAGAGTTCTGATATTGTGTATTTTGAATGGTTAGATAAACATGACATGAGGGAGTTTGAATCTATATTGCAGTATAAGAGTGGGAAGCGGATATTTTTCAGAAAAGAATTTTCAAAGCCATCTCCAACAAAAGGCTGTTATTTCTGGCGAGTCTTAGGGCACCTCAGAAGAAGAACTCTCGAAAGGAGGATCTGGTCGATCAGAAATGAAGTTTTGAATGTATTGCAGGAAAGTGGGAAAGTTGAGTAGTTTTAGAAAGAATTTTCAGCCATCTCCAACAAAGGCTGTTTATTCTGGCGAGTTTTGGGCACCTCAGAGAACTTCTCGAAAGGGGATTTGGTCTATAAGGTAGGTTCATTTTATGAGAGAAGTTATGTTTGTTTTCCTTGTTATTGCCTATTTACTTGCTGTACTCACAGAAAATTGGAAAACTTGCTACTTTTCTTTTGTAGGGATGATTTGGAAATCCCATCTTCACCTTATTTCCCTGCATATGCCAATGGACAAGGTCAAGGACAAGGGCCACCTCCAATGGTGCATGAGAGGTTCCAGAGTGTTGTTAGTCAACTTTTTCAACATGTCAGTGATTGGATTTTATTTCCTTTCTGATTTTCCATGTGTCAAATGTTGCACATTTTCTTTTTCAAGAGTTCTGATATTGTGTATTTTGAATGGTTAGAGAATTATACGCTGTGGTGGAGCTGTTGATGATGACATGGCAAATATTATTGTTGCTCAACTTCTTTATCTTGATGCAGTTGATCCTAATAAGGTTTGTTTTATGTCTTTTTACAGTGGCTAGCATCTTATATATCATTGCCAATTCACTTCATCCCAATATCTAGTTTCATAATACCCATCAAATTTCTTCTATTTCTCTTTTGCACACTATTTTTACCATATCAGAAAAAATTTCCAGGAGATTTACTTGTTTATGGGTTCTTTTCTTTTCTTTTCCTTTTTGAAACAGGATATTGTAATGTATGTAAATTCTCCAGGAGGATCAGTTACAGCTGGTAATGCTCTTTTTTACACCTGTTAACTTTTGAATTGCCACTTCTTTCTTTGATTTCTTTTTCTAATCATTTATTACTTCTGTTAGGCATGGCAATATTTGACACAATGAGGCATATCCGACCTGATGTATCCACTGTCTGTGTTGGGCTTGCAGCCAGGTACAAGAATCATTTGATTAACTGCTTCTCTCTCTCTTTTTCCCCCTGTCGTTGATACCTTGGGACCTCATAAAGTTATTGTAGCCAATGTCTTGTTATTTTTATTTCTTCTTAGAGACTAAGCCTCGACACTCTGATGTTAGCAATGATATCACTTTTGAGAATTTTTGACATTGAATTGTTGGAAGTAATGGGCAATAAATTCATTGGGACATGTGAAAGTTGGGTGCATCCTAGTCCATAAAGATAATACATGATGGACCCCAAAAAATAGGTAAAATGAAAGGGAGATCCATGAACTAGCTTTCTCGTCCAATCAAGTTTATGGCTTCTGTTCATTTTTAGCTAGCTGTTTTATAGTCTAAATCACCTATGTTTGAGAAAGATATCCATATGTTAATATTGATTTCATGCAGCTGAGCTGCTGCTTCTTTTCTTTTCTTGGTCATAATTATCGTCTAAGAAATATGCATATGGTTGATGTTGAAACTTCAGCTAATGAATGATTAGTATCTGGTAATGCGAACTTAAGGTTCTTAGGGTAGAACATTGAATGGTTGAGCTGAATCGCATCACTGTACTTAAAATTAAAGAGAATGGTACTTACCTTGGATCTCATACCTCAACTTTTGGGTAAAGAATAAAAAATAAAACTAATAACTTATCAAGGTTTTGGATTCTGCTAATTGCTTGTTTTATCTATGTCCAATTTGGTATGGTATCATGTGCTATATACATGGTTCTCAAGTATTGCAGTTTCAAATATAAATTGAAGCCTGTGTCGCGTGATCTCTCCCTTGAAGAATTTCAGGAATTTGTAAGCCAGTGTGTGGTTTTAAAGTTTTATGATCTGCAGTAGATTTTAAAGTGCTGCTGCTGCAGATCCTTATATTAGGCTAAGGATCGTCATTGCACTAAAATCTTAGGTTAATCTTTTTCTGGAACTAACTTTTGAAGGATGTGGTATATTGAAGCACTATCATCTCTATGTGAGAGAAGAGAGTTTTGAAGTAAGAATGCAATTAACTTTTAAAATTGATCTTTGGACAGTGAATATGTAAGCAAGAGGAAAACATTCTTCTGAGAATACTATTGATTATCGCCTCATTAGTGATGCTTATGTTTTCTGTTTTTTCTTCTTTATTTCACAGTATGGGTGCTTTCTTGCTTAGTGCTGGGACCAAAGGTAAGAAGGCTTCTTTGTAGCTTAAAGTTTCAATCTACGGTTTTGCTTCTAAGTTTACTGAACATTTTTCTCCCTTGCCGTGGGACTGAAGGGAAAAGGTACAGTTTGCCAAACTCAAGGATCATGATCCATCAGCCTCTGGGTGGAGCTCAAGGTGGGCAGTCTGACATTGATATTCAGGTAAACCATATCGTCTAGACTCTATTTTCTATGTACTCGAGGTAGTGATTGTTGGTTCAAATCTAAAGTCATTCCTCTTTCTGCACAGTTCCACATATATGGTTTTTTTTTAAATTGCTACTGATGCACCTTTAGAATTTCAGATAGACATTAATTTCTCCGTTTGTTTTTATTTTGTGAAAAACTAAACAATGTAGTTACACTTCCATAGAAACATGTATACACATATTTGGTGGTGTTGGGACTGTTAGGTTTATATTTGTATATTTTTTCTTTTGAGCATGGTTGTAACTAATGAGCATAATTCTCAGGCAAATGAAATGTTACATCATAAAGCAAACCTGAATGGGTATCTTGCCTACCACACTGGTCAAAGTCTTGAGAAGATCAACCAGGACACAGACCGTGATTACTTCATGAGTGCAAAAGAAGCCGCAGACTATGGGCTTATTGACGGTGTTATCACAAATCCTCTCAAAGCCTTCCAGCCACTGGCAGCTGCAGCAGATCAACAATGAGCAGTCTTGTGTAAAATTCCTCGAGGCATTGCATACTTTTTATTGTAGAGTAAATCAGAAAGATCAAATTTGCTATTCTTAGTTAACTCGGATGCTCATTGGTGTACTGGAGAATAAAGAGCATTTGTTTGCTGTTAGTCCTAACAGAACTTGCACCTCCTTAAATTTTCCCCTTCTAACTACCCCCCTTGAAATTTTTGGATGCGATTTCAAATTTCACAATCAAAGCTTGAGAAAGTGATCAGATTTTAGGTAATGCTGGCTTTTGTCTTTTGAATCTCCAGTCGTCTTTATTTATCATATAGTGAATGATTATTTCACGCCCTCAAGTTATAGAAGTGAGGGGATGAGTTAAATGAATGGTTTTTTGTTACTACTTTCAATATTCGATTTGAGAGTTGTCGTTTTCTATTGATTACAAGGAAAACTTTGTTCTCAGCGACAGAAGACATCTGACAATAAATGTGTTAATAAGGCTTAATCCAGTTGTTTTTCCTTTCCTCTCATTTGTAAGCGAACGAGAGAAACTTTGACAAGAAAAATTTTCTGTTATTTCTTTCCCTTTATGTTTTAGCAACTCATAGTAGGTCGTATTTATGATCGCAAGCCCAACTTTTAAGTACGAAAAGGTCAAATGGGCCTAAAAAAATAGACCTAAATCGAGTTCTTTCGCCCTGACATTGAAACGTTAGTGGACTGCAAAATGGGCCACAGAACCACTATTCCCCGACCGACAAACCTCCTCAACTTCATTAATATTAAGGTAACCAAAGAAATGGAGAAATTAGAAAATAAGATCAGTGAAGTTGAAAAATGGGCATATGGATTGTGATCTAAAGTTAGGTTTGAGCTAAGATGGAAGCTCATTGATGACTTGATCTCTCAATTTTATTGTCTCGTATATAGGACAAAATGTACTTTGATGTTATTCCATTCATATCTTTTTCTTTCTTTTTTGATTTTTTTCTGTGTCACAAGTACAACATTAGATACACCCTCGTTGCATGAGCTGACTTGTTGGCTTTTCTTGATCTTCATTGCATGATGAGATGAGTTGTCGGCTTTTCTTGGTAAGTGAGTTGCACGCACGCCTGAGATAAAATATGACAAAATCAAGGGTTTTTGGGTGTTTTTTGGAGACCAGACCAGACCTGACCTGACCTAAGGCCAATACATTCCCACTCAAAAAGGGATACTTGTTGGCTTGGCATTTTCAACAACACAGAATCTCTAACTGTACACTACTCTATACAAAGCCAACAACCAACACCACCTTTTAGAAGAGTGATACTTGTACCTATACCTGAACCCAAATTCCTCAATCAAAACTTCAAAACATCCAAAAAGGACAAACATCTCTCTTCCACCAAATCAACCACTCATCCAAAGTAAAAGAGAGCCTTATCCCCTAAAAGATCTTTGAGCACTCACTCGTGAACCTCGTGCATTTCTTTAATTACACATTTAAAAAAAGAATACAATACAACCACCAAAAGAGGCCCCCTCCAATGTCTCCTATCTTCTCTTTCATTTCAGTCTCAATCTCAAGAAGCCCAACAAGGGAGATCACATGATCATACATCTATCCACTACCTCTGTTGGTGCAACCTTTTTAGCTATTTTGTACTGAAAATAAATAAGAAAAAAAAGGAACAAACACTTAATTACTACTAGTAGTGGCCAAATATATTTAATCTTATCATAAATATTAACATTTCTGTTCTTTAAGTACATTTTTCAAGAACCTGCAACTGCAGGCCCCCAAAACACCAAGATCAAGAAGGGACAACAGGAATCCTTTCATCGTAAAAATTGCTCCTCATGAAGAAGCTAGTGAAAGCTGAATATGTGGGTAGCTCTTCTAGTTCATCAAAGAAGTCATTTTCTTCTGATTTACTTGGTGTTGAAAATGTCATCAATGTTGGGCAAGAAGAGACTATAGGTTCTTCATCCAAGAGAATACCCAGTGTGTCATTTTCATGAGTTTGCTCTGCATCTGGTTTTTTTTCGATAAATGGGTCTTCTTGGCTAATCATCATATCTTGTGTACAACTTAGTGGAGATGATTGCAAGTAATGAAAATCATTACCATCTTCGATATTGTCATTTTTATGAATAATTTCATTTTCCACAATGGGTTGATTCTGATTCTCCTCTTCTTCATCTTCTTCTTCTTCTTCTGTAGTTGTTGGACTATGATCTTTAGTAGTACTGGGTTGTTTTTGGTTTTGGGACTCTTTTGGTTGTTCTTGCTGGTTAATTAGGTTGGTAGCATGAAGGTCAGGACCTGGATGGTTATGTGTAGAGGTATAAGTGATTATCAGAACTGAAGCATCTGTTCTGCATCTTTCAACTTGTTTCTTGGCTGAACAGCCTTTTGATGTGCTGCACCTGTAATACCCCCTACATAGAAACCAATCACAAAGTGGGTTTATGTTAATTTTTGGTGAAATTTAGGGGCTAAAAATCGTAAATTAGCTTTAAATATAAGAAAAGCTGCGGAAATAAGTAATTCTTTATGGAAAAGAAAGATTATCATTAAGAAGAAATAAAGAAACCTTGGATAAGGAGATCCTTTGATAGGTTTTTGCCCATATTTCCTCCATGACCAAAAATCAGAAGGTGGCCCTTCATTCTTTAATTTCCCAGCATTTGCTCCTATCTTTACTTTAACAACAGTCTTCTCAACCACCTTCCTACAGCAGCCATGCGAAGAAAGAAAAGAAAAACAGATCATTCTTAGGTATCGGATAAATTTGGATACAAAAGAAAAAGCCCAGAAAAATAAATTATATATCTTTTCACATTGCACCACTTTCTAAAAAGAAATTATATTAGAGAATAAATGAATTAATTAGAAAGGGAAAGGAGTGTAGTAATGAAACCCACCCACCTTCTTTTTGATGCCTGAGTTTCTGATTTGGGTTCTGAAACTTTTGAGTCTAGTTCTAAAGAAGTACCAGAAGAACCGTCCATGACTACTTTTTGCTGCTATAGCTGCTTCTTTACTATCTTGAGCCAAAAAGCTTTAGATTAGACAGAGAGGATCGTTATGAAGATTTTAACTTGGAGAAGTAGTGTAAAGGGTAACAATAGGATCAAGATATGCTCTCATTGATTATGAGAGAGAAAGAGAAAGAAAAGGAGAAAAAAGCAGTTAGGCAATAGAAGACAAACAAGCCCTCAAGTTGCTTTCCTTCTTTTCTTTTCACTCATTAAATATTAGGCAATATACAAGAACAAACATAATGAGCATATATCAGCAACCCACCTTGCAATAAAATAAAACCCACCCTTACAGTTGCAAAATAAATGTCTAGAGATATTTCTTATTTCCATATCTGAAAAAAAAAATCCCCATTCATTTGGTTGGCTGGAGCAAAGCCTTCCCAATTCGCATAGCCCACACTCCTTTACTCATTTTAGAGCTTGCCATGTGGATATTATTATGAGTGTGAGTATATATATTTATGTTCATACTTTTATATTTGTGTGAGTGCTGACACACATATGGCAACTTCCAAGCATATAATGGTAAAATGAGTTTCTTTTTCTCGTTGGATTTGGTGGGAAGACCATGTCATTGCTCTTGTTAGATATAAGCTTATGTCTTCAAATCGAAGGGTTTAAAGATACAGCTGATATCATATAATCAAAGGTGGTTGATTTCACCCTATATTTAATAAATTTTAGTATTTCACTAATGCAGAGAAGAGCTTTCTGTACAAGTTCGAAAGCTCTCTTCCAATACTGAAAAAAAAAAAAAGAAAAAAAAGAAGAAGAAGAAGAAGAAGAAGAAGAACTTGCTGTTATCTAATACCTATATAGGTTAAGTAAACTAATAACTGCTACTTTGAAGTTATACGGAAAGTCCTAGATTGATAGACATTAGTGTTTTACTTTTTGTCACGAGTGACGCAGAGATGGATATAACAAATACTAGACAAATTTCCAAAAAGGCCAATGAGTTTCACTCTCAGATAGACATTGACATTTATTGGTATTGGAAATGTTTGTTGGTGTGGTGGTTAAGTTGGCCGGTACCACTTAAAAGCTAAGTATGAGCACTCTAAATATCAATTTTTTGAAAGATAAACTGTTACTATATTTTAAAAAATAATTTTAATTATTTATTTTATTTAATACTGTAATTTATTTCTTATTATTTTCAGTTGTATTTGATTCATATATTAAGTAAAGCTCTTCGTATCTGTCGGAACCAACCAACAATGAACTGTCCGGTTTTTAGTATCAGCTTTTACTAAACAACTTCACTTTTTTATGGATAATGAAAACATACAAAGCCGTTTATAATAGTCACGCGATTCTTACAATCATTTAATATATATTTATCCATATATTAATATTTATCTATATATATAATTAAAAAATGAAGAATGCTTCGTCTCCAACAATCAAAATAGAAGGTACTTTTATAAAATATAAATTTTCCATTAATTGAAATTGCTTACAAATTTCGAAATGTTTATGTTGAAATTTTATAAAATTTTATAGTTTAGCCATATTTAGACGAGGGCCCATTTAAATCTTATGATGGATCTATAATGGGCCTTAAAGATTCTGGCCTCTCCAAGTACCCAAACGTAAAAAATGCATTTGACTAGGAGCACAAACGTGGTCGTCCTGCAGCTCCTCTTATGAAAATGGATTTCTAATCAATCAGCGGCTGTGCTATCTCTATGTATAGTTGGTTACGATGTTGACTTGCACCTTCATCGTAGTTCATAGAATAAAATACAGCCTCAACAGCAAGTAAATAATAAGCTGTAAGGAGTATTGTGGGACCCTTGCCAATTTGGCCCAACCTAACTGTAACTGAAAGGGATAGATTAGGATTAGTAACTTCTTTCTTTGACAAACTCAAAGCTCAAGTTATTCTCAACCCTACAGTACTCCTTCTTATTATTATTTTTACCTTGTTTTTTTCTACATTTAATGGAGCTTTTGCATCAGATTTTCCTAAATTCGATTCTGGCGTTTTGTAAATTATATAATTTATCACATTGTAGCATTTGTAAGTAAAAAAAAAAATGTATATATCAGATTGAGACCACAAATCACAGTTTCTCAGACATAAACATAAACAACGGAACGGAATGCTTTGTTATAGTTTATGAGCATTATTACGGTCTGTTTTTTTTTTTTTTTGTAGTTTGTTTTTTCTTGTGGCTTTCATCTCCTAAAAAGAACCATAAAAATTAAAAATTAAAAATGTTTTTCTTGTATTTTTTTAACGTTGAGCGTGGGTTTATATTGGAGTTTTTGACTAGTTCATCCAATGCATTCTTGTCTCCATTATATATACATATTATAAATAGAGAGAGAGAGAGAGAGAAAAACAGGCAAATTTCCAGCAAACAAAAGCGTATAGATTGCACGAAACAGGCCAAGTTCCAATAATTTTTTTTTTTAAAAAGGAAAGAATATCATAAGAGAATGACGGAAAATTAAAAATAGATAATGTATCTCGATCCATCAATAATTAATAGGGAAAATAATCTGTTGACTCTGTAATAGATAAGACATCTTTGAAATTATTTCATTTTTTTTTTTTTTATAATTGTAAATAGCTAGTTGACATCACTTCCTCTCAGCAACGTATTTCCAAGTTTTAAATTCTGTTCAAAATCAAGGCAAACCTACTGCTTGTTATATATATACCTTTGACATTGATTTTGCGAATTTTCCTTTGTTTTAAAGTATTGATCGATCAGCTCAATTTATTAATTAAACTGCGCATTTTCCACCAGGAGATGGATTAAGTATTAGTAATTAATTATCAAGTTGTTAAGAAAACAATTGATTAACAATAAAAATGCATGAGCCGAATACTTAAGACCATGTCTAAGTGTCAACTAACTTGATCAATGGACGTGACAACCACTTTATAATTATATTCCATTGCCAGACAGCCATAGTTATATAGGCTTCATTTCCTGTCTCTTATCTTGTAATCAAATTAATTTTGCTTCAAGAAACATAAAATGGGTTGGCAGAATTGGCAGAACAAAGCTAAAGAGCTCTTTGCAATCTGCACCATAACCCTCCTCAGCATTTTACTTCCTCTTTCCTTTCTTCTTCTTGCAAGACTCTCTTGTTACAGTTATTTATTAAGCCTCGTTGGATCTGAACCTACACAACCACCTTTGAATAATTTTTTTATCTTCTCTCTTTTTCTATACGGCAATCCAGCAATTCTGTATTTTCTTGTTTCAATATTTAGCATTGTGACGCTTCTTCATGCCTTGACGGGTAAAATTACCATTTTAACCGAGTCATCAGGTGAATTTCACCGTCCACGTTTATACACTGCATGGATTTTACTATGCACATTACAGGTATGTGTAGGGTTAGGTATTGAAGGAACCATAACTGCCGGAATTGATGGTTACAGTTTTGATACAGGGATACATACTTTATTAAGTAGGGTTATATTTTTCTTGGGTTTGCATGAGACTATGCTTTATTGGTGTAGAATGGTGGTAAAACCGGTGGTGGATGATACTATTTTCGGGGTGGCTAAAGAAGAGAAGTGGGTTCAGAGGGTGGCTGTGGCGATGAGTTTTGGTGGGTTGTGGTGGTGGAGGTTGAGAGATGAGGTTGAATCGTTGGTTATTGTGGCTGAGTCAAAAAGAGAGATATCGGTGGGAATTGCTGTGGGCGACTTTCTTGGTTGGTGGCTTTATTATGTTACTGTAACAATTGGCATGATAAGAATTGTAAAAGGGTTAATGTGGATTTTTATGATTTTGCTTTGTACAAGGGCTAGAAGGAATTCTAATGAGCCTTGTGAAATTGTAGACAAGGTCTGACATCTGAATGGACTCTTTTCACCGTAAAAAAAAAAAAAAAAAAAAAAAAAAAAAAAAAAAAAAAAAAATTCTTTTCTTTATTGCGATAAAATGCACTGTACTACTTAAAAAAAAAAAAAAAAAAAAAAATTCTTTTCTTTATTGCGATAAATGCACTGTACTACTTTTCTCATTGTAATTAAACATTTTCTTTTGTTTTTTTTAGCATCCGAACAAGATTTAAATCTAAATCCATTATCAGATCATATATGCACTTATCACTGAACTATATTTTTATATTTATTGTAATTAAAATTGTACCAAAAATATTGTATCAATTTTATAACCTTATTATCAGTTGTCACTTTTTAGTTGTTTAGTCAATCATAATCTCAGAAATTTATTTTGGAAGGGAACGATCCATATTATTTGCATGACAGATATCTACTTATTGCCAAATTATAAAGAGATGTAAATGTGCACATATAATTTAAAAATTTGTGAAACTTCTTTTGGTTAACCCTACATTAGATTGTTAAAATATCACAGAAAATACTTTAAAGAAAGAAAATTTCAATTTTAGTTAGTATAAAAATTCTATATTTTCAATAAATTTAATTTTCAATAAAATAATCAAACTTGATCTAACTGAATAATCGAACTTGATCTAAATCTTGATAACATTCCTCGTAATTCGATTTTTAATACAGCTTGATCATGGATGAAAAGTATCTGGCCAGGCACGGCATCCCCATAAAACAGATGTCTCAAACCCATGTATTCTATTTTACTTTTTGGTTCATCTTTGTTTTCTTCAGTTAAGTTTAATTTGTCCAATCTTGTTTGGCTGAACTTTAGTTTAAATTTATAAAAAATAACAGTTGTAATTACTAATTTTGATATCATATTCATTTGGAGTTTAGCCCTGGATTCAACAAAAATGACACCAGAAAATATTATTCTATTCTGAATTCTGCTTAATCCAAGCAGGCCTTGATGATTATTTAACTTAATTTGAAATGTCACCATCACTGTCACAATCCTTGCCATGTATAATTTTTTTTCTCATATTGTTCGGATTTATCTATGATCTAATGTGATGAACCAAGAAACTAGAGCAATTTCTACCTGCGTTTATTCACTTGTGTGTGAATTTGCCGATTGATCAGCTTCTTTTTCTGAGATGGCAAATGCTTTGTTCTCTTTCTCTCCATTCGACTTCAGCGGAATCCAAGGTGATTGTAGTCCCTTCGAAGATTATAGGATGAAAGAAAAGCAAGACCCTTTGTTTTCAATGGAAGAATTGGGGCAGGTTTATCCTTTATGTACTGAATATGGTGCTTATCAGGATAAAGGTTTACATTTCTTTAAAGATCAGCAGCCGCCGCCGCCGCCAACGCTGCCTCCAAAATCAAATTGTTTGACATTGGATGAATATTTTGATTCTTGTTTCCCTGTACCAGCGCAACAGATGCAGGAAGTAAAGAAGTCTGAGAATATTGCCAAATCCGGTCATCCATTTGCTCTATCCTCATCTCTGGAGCTTCTCAACAATTATGGAAGTGGTATCAAGAAATTGAACCAGAACCAGAATCAGAACCAATTCAGCAATGTAAGCAGCGAAACTATTGTAGAGGCTCGAAAAAAATTATCGACCGAGGAGATTATGAGAGTAGCTGGAGCAAGGTATATACAATTCTCTGATCAAAGAAATGATGATTTCTCTATGCTTATGCACCCTTTTGGCTATGCTCTCTCTGGCCTGTCTGAAGAAGAATCTAGGGATGTTGAACTGGCTCATCTTCTTCTTGCTTCTGCTGAGAAAGTAGGTTACCAACAGTTTGATCGCGCAAGCCGATTGCTTTCACGCTGTGAATGGATTTCATCTGAGCGAGCTAATCCAGTCCAGAGAGTTGTGTATTGCTTCGCAGAAGCTCTTCGAGAAAGGATTGACAAGGCGACCGGAAGGTTCACACCAAAGAAGAGAAGTGCTAAATGTGATGGGTTAATTAGTACCAACCTTGCTTGCCTTAGTGTTCATCAAAAAGTTCCTATTAATCAAATCACACAGCTCACATCAATCCAAGCTATCCTCGAAAACATGGGATCAGCAAGGAAACTCCATCTGATTGACCTTGAAATCAGAAGTGGCGTTCAATGGACGGCTATGATGCAAGCTCTGGCAGAGCGTGAACAGCGCCCACTTGAACATCTCAAAGTAACTGCTGTGTGCTTAGCAAGCAACCAGAAGAATACAGAAGCCACTGGTGGGAGGTTAGAAAGTTTTGCCAAATCTATGAACTTGCCTTTCACATTCAAGTTAGTTAATGTAACAACCATGAACGACATCAAGGAAGAGCTATTTGAAATCGCAGCCGATGAATCCCTTGTTGTCGTTTCTAATTCGTTTCTAAGATCGTTTATCCCAAACCCCGATTGCTTGGAAAATTTAATGAGAGTGATCAAAAATCTTAATCCATCAATGATGATTGTTGCTGAAGTCGAAGCAAATCACAATTCGCCTATATTCGTGAACCGGTTCATTGAAGCATTGTTCTTCTATAGCGCATATTTTGATTGCCTGGAAACCTGCATGGATCAGAACCTTGAGCATAAATCAGCAATCGAAGCATTATTCTCTAAAGGGATCAGAGAAACTTTAGCATTGGATGACAACGAAAGATTGACTAGAAACGTGAAGATTGAAGTTTGGAGAGCATTTTTTACAAGATTTAAAATGGTAGAAATAGGATTTAGTGAGTCATCTCTGTACCAAGCTAGTTTGGTTCTTAAGCAATACCCTTGTGGGAGTTCATGTACTCTTGATAAAAATGGGAAGTGTTTAATTCTTGGGTGGAAGGGAACGCCATTGCATTCCCTTTCAGCTTGGAAGTTCTCTAGAGAGAGACTAGGGAGGTTCTTTGCAAATTATAGATTCTGAATCTAAGCCTGTATTTTATTAACTCTTTTGTGCTTTTGAGATAATTTCGAGTCTCTGTTGAACTGAATAAAAGGCCTTCCATTTTTTGAAATGGGATCATTAAGATATTCCCTTAATCTCTGAAATGTAGCCTTTTTAAATGCCATGTCAACCATAAAAGTAATGAAATCAATTATTACTAAAAAATTACCATAAGGCATCTACTCTCTTCTTGATATTAAAGAAAACAGAATATTTATTTGAGAAAAAATATACTATTTTTGTTTCATAATATTTTTCACATTTAGAATTTTACATCTTTAAGAAAACCATTAAGCTTGTTTAAGTTACAATAAATTATTGAGTAACTTGATTATATTATCTTTAATTTAATATTAATTTTCTAAAAAACCATTAAATTGAATTAATTTAATATTAATTTTCTAAAAAACCATTAAATTGAAGTAATAATTATTGGTTATATATAAAAGGTAAATATGGAAAAAAAAAAGATTTATTACTCGTTGAAACTACATATGTGACAAATATTTTGAAATAAATTATTTTCTCAAATATGAGAAATATTATTAAATAGAGATAATAATTGAGAAGAAAACACTAACTTGTACGTTAACTCAATTCCATAACACAATTTGGGAAATAAATAAGGGTATCTTTTCATTAAAAAGTACAATAATTTTTTAAATAATATTCATAGAGGATTGATTTGCGTAGATCGAGTGTGAGTCCAATCCATTCATTCATAAATTGATTAGTGTATAAATGGCTCGTATACCAGTTATACGGGAGTATTATCTTTCACCCTCTGTTTGGGAAGAGTGGATTTTAAGGGAGGAAAGAAAATGTGGATGGAAAATATCAAAGATAACTAACTTTCTCCTGTTTGGGCAAGGAGAGAAAATTTCGAACGAAGGAATTTGGGAAAGAAAATGTGGATGGAAAATATCAAAGATAACTAACTTTCTCCTGTTTGGGCAAGGAGAGAAAATTTCGAACGAAGGAATTTGGTCTTTATTTTCCTTCCGGGACCACCTAACTGGATTCTCTCCAAACCGGAGAGAAAATGAGCAAATGAAGAGGGAAAATTTCACTGTGCAACGGAAAATTACAGAAATACCCAAAATATCTTGCTCTGAAAATCGGGCCCTGGGTCTTTCCCCAAAACGAACATTGAAAACATTGCCAAAGGAGATAGCCAAGGGACTTCGCGTTACTGTCAAGCTTACGGTGCAGAACCGTTTGGCCAAGGTAACGGTGGTTCAATCGACCCTAGGTTTAAATGATGAAAATTAAACAAAAGCCTCCAACACCCGCCCATCAAACTCCAAGGTTCGGTCTGGTTGGGCCGAACCCAATTTCACATATTATAGGCCCCGTCATCCACATACACGTGTTAATCCAGTGCCCGAATCGTTAATCCTTCCGTCGTGTCTCTCTTTTCTCGATCGAGTAGCAGTGCGCAGCAGAGCACAGTTGCTATGGTGTCGAAATCAAGCGACTCCTCTGCCTCTAAACTCAGAGTTAGTTCCTTTCTATATCTTTCAATATAGCTTTCCTTTGTACCTGGACAATTTTTCGTTATCCTTTATTGCCATTTTTTTTTTGTTTGGTTCAGTGATATACTTAGGATCATAATTAACAGTAATTCGCTGTTCTTATCTCAATACCAATGGAGATTAGTTTAATTTCTGAGTCTAACTGTGTTTCTAAGCGTTTGAAATATGTAATTTTCATTGATGACTTAAAAATAATATTGTGAATTGGTTGCATACCCTGTTTGGTTGCTGATATATTACAGGGAAATCTAATTTAATTAGTTATTTTTTTTTCTAATTATTCTATATGATTAAAAAACCATGAAGAACTGCTTGATCACATTCTTTTATGTCTTGTTATTTTCTTGGTTAGATATATTAGTATATGTTATTAATCTTTATTGATTCTGTTATACATTTGCAGAAATTTCAAGGAGAACAGTCAAATCAGGGTATTGGAAACCTGTCATATAAGCTGAATCAGCTGAAAAGGAAAATTCAGGCGGAGAGAATTGTTTCAATAAAAGTAAGATCATATGATTTTGATTTGTGGTTATGCTCTTTGGACTTTGCTAGCATTGTGCTTAGACAGATCATATCCATGTCCTATTAAGCTTGCTTAAAGCATTTTGCCAAAGTTATACTGCTCAGTTTGCTTAAAGCTTCTTTTTGTTGATGACATGAAATTGTATGAAATGTGAATTTTTGCCTTTGGGCATATTGTTAGATATACAAGAGAGTCTAGACAGTGCAGAGTGTTCATAGTTAAATTGGAATGAAGTGTTAAGAATTTAGAGTCGGTGGTGATTGATGTATGAATGAAAAGATGCAGTAAATGAGAAACTGATGCTTAAATATTGCGTAGGAAAAAGTTGAAAAGAACAGGAGGAAATTAGAAAGTGATGTTTCTCAAATTATGTCAGCTTCAAGGAAGACCGCTTTATGTATGGGGCATGCTGGAGTTGGTAGCATTAATTTTTCAAGAATGGGAACCCCTCTTTGCAAGTATAGTGGCTTTGCTCAAGGTTCAGGGGATAAAGATTATATTAATGGTCATGAAGTTATACCCTTAACAAGCACAAAGCTTCCATTCATTGAGAAGATACCTCCATATACTACCTGGATATTTTTGGATAGGTATGACTATCATGGATGTTCCTCTTCGTCATCTCAACTTTTAACTGAATAGGTGATTGTACATGCAAGTCAAGTGTCATTTGATCTATTACAAAAAATCCAATTTAATCTTGAAGAAATTTATCTTCATGTTGGCATATAATGAAAAGCTTTTTGTGACCTATGTTTCTTTTCTCATCTCGCTTCATTTGAAGAACTAGTTTTGCTGTTTTATCTTAATTATTCCTTACACAGCACAGAAATCAGAGAATGGCTGAAGACCAGTCAGTAGTTGGGAGGAGACGCATATACTATGATCAACATGGCAGTGAAGCACTCATTTGTAGTGACAGTGAGGAAGACACTGCAGAACCTGAGGAAGAGAAACATGACTTTTCTGAGGGTGAAGACCGCATTCTATGGTAAATTTAGATGGCATACCTAGTCTAGGGAAAAAAAAAAAAAAAGGAAAACATAGTTCTGATGAGCATAGTATGCTTTATTGCATCGAATTGCATTTTCTGTTAACCTTTCTTTTTCTCCATTTTTTTCATTCTTAAATTAGCTAGAGAGGCTTAAGCTGTGATATGGTACAAAATGTCATTTCCTCCCCTCAAGAGAATTTATCAATTACAAGGAAGATCAAATTGAGGAACAAGATTTTAAGAAGCTATAAAGCTAATAGTGTTGTTAGATTTACTCATCATATATAACTCAAAATATGTATGAATTTACCGCTTCTTAATTCCGGGCTCTTACAAAATTTAGGTTTAAAGCAAAAATATGACTGTCAATCATGCTTTTTCCTGGCACATTTTCAAGTATTTCATGGCGTATGTTTTGAATTTTGCAGGATGGTTTTTCAGGAACATGGATTGGCTGAAGAAGTGCTAGACATTGTTAGCCAATTCACTGGAGTCTCCACATCAGAAATCCAGGTATTTCAAATGAGATTCTTGACATTTTTATTCTGTTTGAACTTTAAATTAATTTTCATTATTCGTTGTTTCCTAGCTCTTTTTCTTCATTCAAAATGTCCTTCCTGTGCTGACTGCTGATGATGTATTATGTTTGAGCTCTGCAGGAGAGATGTAGCATGCTCAAGGAAAAATTTGATGAGGAACAAAATGAGAAAGATTCTGGGGATTCCATGTCTAATAGGGGCATATCTCTGGATAAAAGCCTAACTGCTGCTTTAGATTCTTTTGACAACCTATTTTGTCGTCGTTGTTTGGTATTTAGTCTTATCATTTCTTGCTCTGCATTAGTTGTTAATAAAAATCATGGGTATGAAATCATCTTTGAATTACTTTAAAATTAATGTTTATCTGCTTATGTCTATCAAACAGCTATTTGACTGTCGCCTACATGGTTGTTCTCAAACATTGATCAATCATGTAAGTAGAAATACTCATTATATATTTTCCACTTATTATGTCAATTTTTTTTTTCATCTAATAGAAGGCTTTGGTTGACAGAGTGAAAAACTTCCTTACTGGTCTGAATATGAGGATGACAGAAAACCTTGCAGTGATCAATGTTGCCTTCGGGTATTTTTTTTTTTTTATCTAATCTTTTAGCTGACATTTGTTTTTGCTTTGATTTCTTTTTGTTTTTCCTATCCATATTATCTATCTAAACAAATTTCATATTTTTGATTAGTTAGATATTGGACCTTGGTAATCAAAAGAAAACTAGCAGATTAGATGACATGTTGTAAATATGTTTTAAATTACTGTACATGGAAAATCATGGAATAAGAATGATGAATTTTTTATACGCTGCTTTATTCTCTACCTTTTTTCTTCTTTTTACATAGTATGGTCTTATGTTGTTCTTGAGGCTAACTTTTCTCCCAAGTATTAATCTTTTACATGAGATGCACCCACTTGTGCTTGTAATTGATTATTTCTTTTCAATTTTTGTGTGCACATTTATGTTCTATGTATGTTCAGTTAATATGATCAGATATATTTGTAGCATTCAGGGATTTTATGTATTTGGTGAATGATTTAACTCTATTGACTTCTAGTATGCCACTTCCATGGCATCTGCTTCTATGTACATTCCTCCAAAAGCTGCAATTGCTTCATCCAAATTGAGAATCTAATATTTATGCCAAAGCCTTGCAGCTTAGAGTTGTCAAAGACTTGCCAGAGGGTTCAGTTACCAATGGCTTGCATCAGACGAAAAATACTAACTTAGAAGGGGAAAAAAACACTGCTCTCGCCTCAAATTTTGAAGCACCTCATGATGCTGATGGTGCCACAGATCTGGCCCAAGATGATATACTGTTTTCAGAGAAAGAGATATCTGTTGCTCCAGGAACTATATATCTCTCAAAACTTGCTTCTGAAGCTTCAGATTTGGATATTCCTGCCACTGTGATGCACAATCAAGAACATATGAGAAAGCGCAAAGTATCACGTGATACAAATGTAACCGTTGGTGACTCCACTGAGATTCCTGATGATCTCCATGATTCTTCTGGTAAGAAGCAGAAGAAATTATTGACTTCGGATGTAGTTACCGAGGATGTTGAAGATATCTCAACTCATGATAACATAGCTGGTACGGAAAGTACAACTGTTAAAAGTGAGCTTCAGTTGACTCCCAAAGGCACAAGGAGTCATCCCAACGAACATTCACCAAAAGAACTTTCTTGTTCTGGCACCGAGGTGGCAAGTCGAGATAAAGTCGATGATATCACTGAATTGCCTGAATCAAATCTGTCATCCTCAACAGAAAGACAACTAAAGGCTGCTTCAAGCAGGTGTGAGTGGAAACCTATTGAGAAAGAACTATATTTGAAGGGAATAGAGATATTTGGGAAAAACAGGTATGGGGTTTTCCAGTATAGATTACCATTACTAAATGCATGCAAATAGTGGCAACTTAGGCCTTTAAAGTATCTGCCTTGTTAGCACTGAACGAGCTTTGTACTCATAGCCTGGAGAACTGCCATGCAATCAAGTGTTTCAGTTGCTGGGCATATGGGTGTAACACAGACTTCATGTGTTGCTGCTCGGTTGTTTTTTTGATATGATGTCATTTCTGCTCGATAAATTGCAATGAATTGTTTTATTTTGTCTGTTGATTACTGGAATAATCATGTGTTAAAATTTACAAGTAGCTGTGGAATGTTACTGAATTCAATAACTTGAAAGCATGTGTGTGGTACTGTCTTAATTCTTACCTACCTGAAAAAGTTCAACCTCTAACACCAATCATAATATATTCACTGGCGCTACGCGATTTAGGGTATGCAAAACCTTAAAAGATCTCTCCTTAGGTGATCATGGCGTTTGTGCTGGAAGAGAAAATGTTTAACACAGATTTTTCTTTTTAAAATCAGTAGAATTTAAAATGATATAGGTCAGAAGCATATATAGGATGAATTGCGTTTGCATCTCCCTGTCTGTATCCTGATTTACTTGACATTTCCACTCTTGAGAAATGAAGTAGAAAGAAGTTGAGGAATAGTGGCCAGATGAGTATGATTAAATTTTATTTCAAATATTTCAAATATTTCAAAACTGACCCAGTTAAGAGTTTTTCTTTTTTCTTATTTTTTTTTTCTTTTTTAAAGCTTTTTCTAGGTGTTTCTGCACCTTGGGGGTGTGGGGAGGGGTTGGAGGATAGTTGTCTCTTTAAATCCCCGTTTGACCAAAGCTAATTAGAGTTTTGTAACTTTCAGATAAAAATTGTTAAAATTTGGATGCATGCAGTGCAAAGTTCTAATGCAGTAACAGACTAACTTATACAGATTATATTGCTATTCATTACACTATCAATTAATGTACAAGTTTGTGCTCTGCAGTTGCCTTATTGCTAGAAATTTACTTTCTGGGTTGAAGAGTTGTATAGAAGTGTCAAAATACATGTGTGAGAGTGGAGCAACAATGCCTCATAGATCTGTTGCACCAAGTTCAATTTTTGACGATAATGGAAAGACTGATACAGATTACACAGTATGTATCATAATATAGATTACAAGGTTTTTATTGTCTCTTAAGAGGCTCTGCTTTTATTAGCCATACATGCAGTTCTGCATTTGCAGCCTTCTTTCTGATTACCTTCCATTTCTTGTAGGAGCTGGAGATGCCAACAAGATCACGGTTACTTCGCAGGAGAGGCAGGACACGGAAACTTAAATATTCTTGGAAGTCTGCTGGACATCCATCAATGTGGAAAAGAATTGCCGATGGAAAAAGCCAGTCCTGTAAACAGTATACACCATGCGGATGCCAGTCAATGTGTGGAAAGCTATGCCCTTGTCTACATAATGGAACATGCTGTGAAAAATATTGTGGGTATGTTGAAGTATCACTTGATAAGGTGACCAACCACTGAATAAAATAAACATATAGATCATGCTGATAGCTCCCTGCACACTTGTGGGGAACTTATGTATTCTCATTAAATTTAGCAACGGGAACCTGCAGCCAATAAAGTGGTGAATAGAGGCTTAGTTAGTTAACGGTTGGCTATAAATTTTTCAGGTGCTCAAAGAGTTGTAAAAATCGTTTCAGGGGATGCCACTGTGCAAAGAGTCAATGCAGAAGCCGACAGTGTCCATGTTTTGCTGCTGGACGTGAATGTGATCCAGATGTTTGTCGGAATTGCTGGGTTAGGTAATGAATTCTACATGCTTATTGTCAATAATTAACCTTTTTTTTGGGTTTGTGTATTTCAGGCATTTGATGACAGCTTACATTGCTGACTTTTCAGCCATCATTAAAAGCTTCTTTAGTATTTTGTATTTTTTCATAAATGTTTGTGATTTTTACAGTTGTGGTGATGGTTCATTAGGTGAACCATCCAAACGAGGAGATGGCCAATGTGGGAACATGAGGCTTCTTCTAAGACAACAGCAAAGAGTGGGTTCAGAACTCTCATATTACCATTACTAATATTATGAGAATAATTTTGATCGAAATATGTTCTGCTATAATTGTCTTTATATTTTTCTTCTTCAGATCCTTTTGGCAAAGTCTGATGTTGCTGGATGGGGCGCCTTTTTAAAGGTAGAATTGTATACATAGTGTTTTGCTTCAATAGTCACGTACTAGTTTTGTTCATGGATATGGTGATTTCAGAACCCTGTCAGCAAAAATGATTATCTTGGAGAATATACTGGTGAACTGATTTCCCACCGAGAGGCAGATAAGCGAGGGAAAATTTATGATCGTGCCAATTCATCGTTCCTTTTTGACTTGAATGATCAGGCAAGCAATAGTTGCTAATCTTTCTTTCTTTTGGTTTTCTGCACTTCCATTTGGTCCATTAGTAGGCGACTAGATGCTGGCTGCTTGGTGGAGGTATTGACCTCTATATCAGTGTCAAACAGTTACTCCAAAAATGAACTTGAAAAACACATATTTATAGCCATCATCTTCATGGCTTAATTTCGAAATGCCTCCTTCTACAGTATGTCCTTGATGCTTACCGCAAAGGAGATAAGCTGAAATTTGCAAACCACTCCTCCAACCCCAATTGCTATGCAAAGGTATAAATCTTGTGGAGATCTTGCCGTTGATATAGCATTTCTTGAATAAGCTAATTTATTGCGTTGTTCAGGTGATGCTGGTGGCAGGAGATCATCGAGTAGGAATCTTTGCCAAGGAACATATTGAAGCTAGTGAGGAGTTGTTCTATGATTATCGATATGGACCAGACCAGGCTCCTGCTTGGGCTCGGAAAGCCGAGAGTTCCAAAAGAGATGATTCAACAGTCTCGCAATGTAGAGCAAAGAAACATCAATCCCATTGATGAGTTGCTTGCGTGGTTTGATGCAGTTACAGAGAATATTGCTCTAATTCTGCAATCGCCTTTTATCCGTGTTCAAAACTACTACGAACATAGAGCGTGACTCATGAGAAACTATACCTCGGATCTGCCAACAATTACTTGTATATAGATGTATAAGTTCTCTCTTAGATATTTTGATTGTTAAATAAAATCACACAAATCATGATTGGCGATAATGATGAACCTTCTCTAGAGGCTTCCTGTAATTGGCAACAGTTATAGGATCAATAATATTGCTGCTCTATCTATGATCTTGATTGTAATAAATGGAATTTGTAAACTTATAAAAGCATTATTCTTTTGTAGTTCGTATGCTATTGGCTGACTCTCTCTCTCTGGCAAGTTTATTCAGTTCATACCAGACTGGTCGCAAGCAGCTCTAGGCTGGAGCCACTGTAAATATCTCATTTTTAAGTCTTACACCTTTAAATATAACAAACAAGAAAGCGAGGGAAAAAAATTTTTCATTTGACGACAGCATATTGAATTTTACTTACATTGCCACCTACAAGATTTGAGAGGCGGAAAATGGTCAAAAGAATATAAAAAACGTAAACAAATGTTATTGAAAACTGCCTCCCTGTTTGCTTTGCAAGTGAAAATACAAAAATTCATTCCATGTATCAGGAACGCCAGGAAGACACCAATGGCTGCAATCTTGTCCATTTGAACCTCTGCGCTTTGCAGATATTTTCCCGTACATGGACGGATGACCATCTATCCGAAATTCTGATAAACTAGTAATATTCAACAAAGTAACTGGAGTTCTCATGTGCTTGATGATATCTTCTGTGATCATATTCTTCTCAGAGAAGCCCATATGAGAAGTGTCATTTAAGGGTTGCCTTGCTTCCTCACAATGTCCACCTGAATTCCATTGCCCACCCCTGTATGATAGGATAACGGTCAAGACATTGACCATTTGGCAGTTATAACTTAAAGAAATATTTATGTTTGGCAGGATTAAAACCTGAAATGGGAAGGTGCAGAACTTCGAAAGAAAACTTGAGTCTTTCTTGGATTGATGTGTCTATCAACCCATGATGCCCAAGTCATTAAAGCTCTTCTGAAAGCTGTGGAAACATCGAGCTTGGGATGAACTATGCTCCCTTCCTGGTAATAGTTGATCCTGTTGCAATAGTTGCAGATATTAAAAACTGCTTTATCTATAAAAGTTCATTTTTCCATTCCAAAGCAGTTTTATTTTTCTCAGCTGTAGTTACCCATTTGAATGAGTGCTTCTTCTTCAGCTTGAATAAGCAAAGGTCTTCCAATTGTTTTTTTAGTCTTAAAAGTGAGCAATACCATTTAGTTTTTTGAAACAATAGAAAGTTAGAAAGAATAGAACTGTGCAGTTAAAATCTCCGGGCAAAATCATACTAGATGTGTATTCACTTGTGTTCTAAAGCCTAATAGTTGAAGAAGGAAATTGGCACTGACCCAGCTTTTGTTTTGAAATGAGACCACCAATGGGCAGTGTTGAAGATCAGAATATCAGCTCCTCTCCATCTCGATGATCCATGATCAATGGCGTCAATTCGCAAGGTCTGCACCCTCTTCTGCCCTACTCTTGCTTTGCTCTCATGAACCAAGAAATGTGATACATAGTACTCAACAGTACACTTGTAATCCTGAAAAACCAATTTCAAAAATCAGATACGCACATGAGAATTGAAAAAGAACACAGCAAAATAACTTGGTTTTTAGCACAATAAAGTCATTACCACAAATTTGAAACTATAGTTGCCTTTCTCCTTGGTGATTTTCCTTCCATGGGTCTCATACACCATCTTAGGATCCTTAACACCTGCCATTAACATACAAAGCATGGATTCCCATTGATTCCTGTTAATTGAATCACCAACAAAAACCAGTCTTTTCCCTCTGATTAGATCCAACATTCTGGTTGCATTGAACCTAATAAAGCATCCGATTCCAAGAAGGACCAGAATTATTTAAAGCCATATTGAACTCTAGATCAAACTACAATATCTAACTAAATAGATCAGCAAAGTTAGTATTTAAAAAAAAATAAAAAAATAAAAAAATAAAAAAAAAGGAAAAAGAAGATAGTGTAGAATACCTTGGGATGTCACAATCTTGAGGTTGCCATCTCCACTTCATATAATCTTTATCCAATCTCCCATTGCCTACACAATCAAACCCTTCATCTATGAAAGGACATGAACTATTCATGTATAGAGGATAGCGCTCATCATAGACCCACCTCCCTTTTGCAATGTCGCATTCTCTTGTACTCCTCTGTTTAACCTTACCTCTACTTGAAACACCAATACTCTCGACTGAACCCTTTCTGTTCTTCTTTTCTCGAGTATCTCCTTCACTTGTAGCTTTACTATTTTCAAATGAAATTGCTTTAGTCTGCTCTGCACTCTTTGCACTCCTTGAAACTTTACTTTTTCCTGTTGAAATTGCTTCTATTTTCTTCTCTTCGATCTTTTCACCACTTATGACTTCACTTTTCCCGGAAGAAATTTCTGGTATTGGTGCACTCTCTTGCACAATAGTAAAATTACCATTTCCACCATTTTTGTCTCTTTCATCATTTAGCTTTTCATATTCGTCTTTGTCTCTTCCAATGGGAATGCTAGCAAACCCAGAAGTATTTTCAGGCATCGCGAAATGGGTATCTATCAAAATTGAATTTTGCAAGCCACTTGGTGAGAAATTTCTAGCCAAGCCGGGAAAGGTTTGTACAGAAACGTTTTTGTGACCCACAACAAAAGAGCTTCTATTGAACTCAAATTGTGCTTCTTGAAGAATCGAAGGGCTAGATTTGAATAGCCAGACAGTGAAAATTGTAAGAAAGATTATAGAAGATGAGAGCGTAAAAGAAAAGACCAGGAATCTTGTAGATTTGAAGGAAAAACTTCTCTGCCTCTCCATCCAACTGAGCTCTCAGTTACTCTGTTCAGTTTAAGATGTGAAATTTACTTCAGAAAAACATAAAAAAGGAAGTCAAAGACAGTTTGTTGAGATTTGGTTTGGCATGGCATGTGAAGAAGAGAAAAAAAAGGTAAAAAATTGAAAGACATTAACAGAGAATGCTACCTAATATTGTTGGAGCAGGTTGAGGTTCTATGATTCTTCAGGTAATAGGAAAGACAATGTATGGCAGTTAAATTCCCTAAACGTCCCTACCTTCAACCTTTCACTAACTTTTTTACATTTTCTTTCATTAAAGGGCCAAAAAGAATAATTCCAGTTTGATTAATAAGAAGAGCAAACCCATGGAGTAATTTTCAGCTAACAAACAACACAATGATTTTTATTTATGTTAAAAAAAATGTACTTTTTATTAGCAAAATTGCTCTTAAATGAATTAACAATGTAGTAAAACTTCCAACAGTTTTGGTAAACAACATTAATGTCACGATGACAAGTAAGTGGTTTAATACCTTTCTTCGTCTGTTTGGAGAATAATAAAGCAACAGTGTGAATCTTTTTTACTAAAACTACCTTACTACAGTACATAGCAGACTGAGAGAGTTGAAAGGATGTATGAGAAGAAAGGGGTATATATGCCATTTTAGTTAGGAATGCTATACTGGCTGTGGCTGTGAAGCGATAGCTGGAAGTGGACAATTACGTGCGAAATCATGGAAATGGAAATAAATTTTCTATTAGGAAAGTCATTTCTTTAATGCCATGCCAATGACATGAGCTGGCGGTGTCTCAAATAAACTACAAATAAATGGAAAATTATTAAAAATCATAATCTAATAAAAAATATACACAATCCAATTAAGTATCCATTTAGCAAAAATAAAAATTTTTTCCAAGTGATTTTTTTATAAAATTGACGCTTATTTTGGTAATTATTTTTAAATATAACTTTATCTTCGTGGGTCAATACATTTTTTTTTTTTTGGCAAACTTAATCGACAATGTGATTTATCATAAGGTGGTTACAAATTTTTAAAAATGCGAATTGAGGGAATAACGCTTATTTAAAATCTAAAGTATTTTTAAAAGATATTTTATTTTCGTTAGATTATTTCACCTTATTATGTTGACGTGATATAATAATTGCATTATATAATTACTTCAAATAAACAGGAGTCATTTCTTCAAAACAAAAATAGGAGTCAAAATGACGAGAAAATCAGGGGTCAGCTTTGCCCAATAGGCAAAAAAAAAAAAAAAAAAATCTAAAAGTTCAGATTTTTTTTTTTACAAAAAAAGAGGACTACTGGGTTTGATAGTCGCTCGTTTCCGTCGGTTCGGAACACCGGTTTAGGTGTTAATGTCCCAATGTGATCTCAGTCCACCACAGTATAACCTGGTCTAAGGCAATAGAGTTAATATTTACAATTTCTTTCGGACAATGATATATTCACTTGCTTTTTTTTTATTTATCCTTAGTTTACCCTTATATATCGCAATGGTACCTCTTGCACTTCCAGTTCGAACAACGGAATATCGATATTCCAGTGAGGAATAGCAAGTGGTAACAAAAGTACCACAGCATGTTTGTTAAGAATAGTTGGAAATTATACATATATCTATGTTTGCCAATACCAAATAATAATAATCTTTTTGAGCTTTAAATAAACATTGCATATATAACTGCTTCACACAGTTCTTATAGCAGAGAATACAATTGTTAACTAACACCTTAATTAAAATGGTCAAGTTCAATTAACCTTTTAAAGGATGAAAATAAACATAAACTGAAATTTCTGCTCTAATGGTACAATAAAAGGTGCAAAACCCACAAAAATGGTGAGCTTTTGCTGTATGAAACTTCAAAAATATTTATTAACCTGTTTTCATTTAAGCAGAAAAAACTGCCTCAACAATGGCATGTTTCTTCTTTGGGTATCCCATACCAACAAGATGGCTAAGATAAGCTTTACCATCCTTCACAGTTGCTGCTGTAGACAGCCGGTGTACAGGGCCTACAAACTTGGCCACAAGAGTAGCAGTTTCCCAATCATCAGAGCTCTCCACTAATCTCCCAGAAGGATTTCCTGCAACCACAAGTGTAGTTGGCGACAATAACTCTAAACCATCTCCAAATAATAGTGAGCCTCCATCTACCTTGATTAACTTGACTTCACCGCCCTTAGTTAGATCAACCTTGAATAAATTTCCAGTTATAGTATGAATTACTATCAAGAAGCCATTTGGGTGGTAAACAATTCCATTTAGTCCAATCAAGTTTTTGTACCACTGTTTTTCAATGAAGAGGGGATTTCTGATAATTGAAAGGAACTGGCCATCCTTCCCAACTTTCCAGATTTTACTGGCTTTGGCATCAGTGACATATGCATTACCTTCTGCATCAACTGCAACATCATCTGCAAAGGATTTTTCATCACCTGCAAACATTGAAGATAGCAAGTTAGACGACTACGTAACAAGCAACAAATGTCAAATCTGGGCAGAATTGAATCAATTGATTCTGATTTCAGTGTGTTGCTTTATTTCATGAACTTTGCACTTAAACAACTCAAAATGGCAACATAAGACTAATCACAATGAATTCGGTTAACTCAGAAAGGAGGTTGATAGCCTTAAGAACCAATTAGTCATATGATATGATCAAACGGCCAAATAATTCACTAGTCAAAGGTTGGTACCATGCAAATAATTCCGTCGATTAAAATAATATATATATACTTGCATAGAAAGTAACGCAAAATATCAAAATGAATGGGCTGGAAGTCGTTAATCACGATAAAGATGCAGCCGACAAAAATGACCATTTTTATTTTTATTTTTATTTTTTGGGTTATTTTAAACTTACTTGGGCCACCAAGTTGGGTTAAGAACAGACGCTCCCAAGTGGACAAATCATAAGCCGCGAGTGCATTGTATTTGTTCCGCAGCACATCGGCGACCACCGCAAGCAGCCGATTCCTTGGCCGGTCAATTACAATACCAAGCGTTGAGTTCCCGGCCAAGTCAGCCTCCTTCACCACAGTAACCTCCTGTAAAACAGTATCCTGAGAGTAATCATCGGGAACGCGAATTTCGCCGACGCCACTATCCATGAAGGAGACGATGAATCGGCGGTTGAGATCGTCCCACTTGGCGGACTCGCGGAGGAAGCCGGAACTGTGGTAGTGGAAGACATGGGTGGCGGGTTTGGCTAGCTCGAGAGAGATGATAAAGGCGATGGGGATGGCTGAAATTAGAAAGAGGAAAAGGAGGGATTTCGTAGAGCAGAGTGACAGAGCCATTGTAGCACGCAGAGAGGGAGAGATAGAGAGAGGATTAAGAGATGGAGAAGAGAAGGAAGGAATGTGTATGTTTATGTGTGGGTATTTGCTGTGCTCTTGGTATATGTTGTGTTGTGGTGGCTGCGAATGCGAATTAGGAGTGAGCGAGAAAGGAAGAAGAGACCGGCAAATAAAATTAAATGGGTGCTCGACTTAAGAGACGTTGTCACCTACCCTTGTGTATCATGGAGCTATAAATATACTAAATGCGCCAAATAAAATTTTTCATTAATAATTTTTTTATCATATGATAATTAAGTACATGAATTAATTTCTATAATTAAATAAGTTTTGCCAAATTTCTCACTGATAATCAAAATGAACTATTTTACTCTATTTCTTTACTTTACTTTATTCATTTCGCTCAATATTATTTTTTTTATTTTTTCTACTTTTTTATATTATTTGGATTAAAAAATTAAAAAGATTTTTTGAGATTTTTTTGGAGAAAAAATATATGAAAATTAAAATAATGAAAAAAAGAGATAAATTAAATGAATATTCATATTTTATATTATTTACTAAGTAAAATCATCTATTTTAATGTTTCTAAAAAAAATCTGACCAAATGCATTCAATTGCATTTTTTTTTTTTAATTTAGACTCTCAGTTGTAAATTTTTCTAGAAAATTAAAAGTTAAGACACCATAATTAATCCTAATTTTTTTTGAAAAAATAATTAATCCTAATTTTTAAATTCAAATGAAATTATTTATGTTAATTAATGAAAAATAGCATCAAATTATGACCGTTTTTATTGCATGGAAATTAATAATTGATTTAGCATATGGGTTAACACTTACGTGTGGAGGAGGCAATATATATATATATTTTTTTTCTTTAGATAGAAACAGAAGAAAATGTCTAACTAATGTTTGTTCAACTACCTGCCAAATAGGCTTGTATCTTAATTTTTTTTTTCCAATTATATAGACATATTTTCCTTTTAAATAGATTAATAAATATCACACCAGAATATAGTCTAATGGTAAGTGTATATACAGCTTGACACAAGCTATAGGTTCAAATTTCACTCTCTCAATATTCAAAAAATATATTAATAGATAGATTATTTTAGTATAAATATATTTTACTATAAAATTTATATATAAACTTATAGTTTTCATATTTACTATTATTTTTTATTCTTTTTAATTTTATTAAATTAATTATGTTTTCAATAAAAAAATTAATTATATTTTGGCCAAATTTTGTTAAATTAGTAAAAATTAATTTGTTAGGCATATAAATTAGTAAAAAAAATAAATGTTAAATATAAATTAATTAAGCTATAAAAACTAGTTAATCCTATTGTTAATCCAAAAATAAAATTTATTCTCCAATAAAATGAATTCTATTTGACTGAATTTATTATAAATACTGCATAATTAATCACTTGTAGTTTGGCTTATTGAGTTGTGCATAGCCACTTGAAACAAATAATTGCGTGGATATTACTAAATTTGTTAATTAATATAAAGAAAATTTTACTAATTTGATTCCGTGATATTCCATATATTGCTCTATTATGTTTAATGAGTAACACTCAGATTACGTATTTTAGTTGAAATTGAAATTGATAAAAAAATTAATCAACATTGAATTATTATATATATATATATATAGTACATTAGATTTAATCATAAATTTATAAATTATTCCAAAAACCATTTTCAAAAAAGAAAAAAAATTATTTATTCCGATTTAATTTCTTCATTTTTTTTTTTTTTTATAACAAGGAGGGGAAAACCCAATAAACTAAGTGGAGGAGGCCACATTCAAAAGCCTAGGAGTAGACGCTTCTTGATCATCCAACGAGAGCTGACCATGAACCATAGCAGGAGCTTGCATACAACACTGCAGACGTTGGTGAGAAACCAGAGCAGCATTAGCCAATAAATCTGCAGCCTTGTTAGCCTCACGAAAGCAATGACGAAACCGAAGTTGCCAATTCCGAGCTCGAAGCTCACACACCTGCCACCACAAACCGTGTAACCGCACACAAAAATTCATACTGCCATTAACCATATTCACCAATGACATAGAATCCAGCTCAACCTCAACTTTACGAAACCCAAGATCCCAGGCTAATCTCAAACCCATCAACATAGCCTGAAATTCAGCTTGCATAGAAGTGCAGATACCCAAATTCAAGATGAACCCTCCCATCATTATTTTATCTCGATTATTTCTTCATTATTTTATCACTTCCTTCTACATTGAAATTATCGATTTAAATATAAATTTATATAACCTTAAAAAAAACTATACAAACGTATTTTTTTTCTTGTCTTAATTGACTTCTGAACAAAATCACCAATTCCTCTAATTACATTTATAAAATCATCCCTAAATCACATATTCATAATATAAGTTTGAGGTTAATTATCAAGGGCCATATAAATCCTACGACAGAACATAAAACTGAGCAAGACTAGTTCATTTCTCCCCATTCGAAGTTCAAAATGCATTAATAAAACTCAAACAAGCATATAAAGACATAATAGTTTCCTTGGAATTTTTTTTTCTTTTGAAATTTTTATCCTCTATATGAGCATTTGGTGATTAGATTTGTCTAGACCAATCGAGTCTATATAGGTTCACTCGTGGATGAATTTTGTTTTTCCATAACTCGTTTTACTACAAAATTTTAAAAAATAAACATGATACTAAATTTAGTGAGTGTATGATTAGTTAATAGTTTTTTTGAATCCCAACAACAACAGCTAGATGCAACCGACACCGCCTTCACATGCCCACAAATTGCAGAAAATCAAACCCAACCACTCCGTTTAACAATCAGTATCACAACTCATTATTGTCAGGATTCTGACAAATATTTTATGCACGTGCAAACAGTACTACTAAGAATTAGAACGGAAGGGAAGGATCAAATCACGGATTTTAAACACAACGGTACTGTACGTGCAGTGATGGTGGATTGCTTTGCCCACCAAACGAAACCACACAATTGAAAGATATATTATCCAGAGGCGATTTGGGTGCATAAAAATGAACGGACAGGGAAGGAAAAATGAGTTTCTTTTAGCTTTCAGCGGTACTTCTTTTTTCATATTTGAACAGGGATTACTTTCTTTTAGCGTAAAGCTTTTGCTATATGAAACTTCAAAAATATTTATGAACCTGTTTGCATTTAAGTAGAAAAAACTGCCTCACCAACGGCATGTTTCTTCTTAGGGTATCCTATACCAAAAACGTGGCTAAAATAAACTTTACCTTCCTTAACAGTGGCTGCTGTCGCCATCCGCTGTGCAGGGTCTCAAAACTTAGCCACAACGGTAACAGTTTCCCACCCATCAGAGCTCTCCAGTAATCTCCCAGTAGGATATGCTGCTAGAGCGCGTTTGAGCATCGGTTGCGAAGCTTTGGGGGGTACTATGGGTAGGACGACCCTACCTTCCAGCTCGACTCGGACTAAAGAAAGATCGGTCCGTTAGTGCAGCTGCGTTTGGGGGGCCCCGAGCGATCCTATCATATCATTAAATTTGCAACCACAAGCGCAGTCGGCGACAATAACTCTAAACCATCTCCAAAGAATAGTGACCCTCCATATACCTTGATCAACTTGACTTCACCCTTGGTTAAATCAACCTTTAACAAATTTGCAGTCAAAGTATGAGTTACTATCAAGAACCGTCTGGGTGATAAACAATTCCATTCAGACCAATCAAGTTTTTGTACCACTCTTTTTGAACGAACAGTGGGTTTCTGATAGTTGATAGGACCTGGCCATTCTTCCCAACTTTTCAGATTTTGCTGGCTTTGGCATCGGTAATGTATGCATTACCTTCTGGATCGACAGCAACATCGTCCGCCAAGAATTTCTCATCACCTACAAAGATCGAAAAGACAGCTTAAGAGTTAAGACAGCAACAGCAAATAACAAGTTTCATAAAATAATGCTACAGGTTACCATTTCATAATGAATTAAGAACTGCATTATCGTCAAGAAAGGTCACCTAAAACAAACACATTTAATTATTGATTAACTAGCTTATTAATTAATTAATTATTATAATTAAGGACCAACCACCATCCCTCCAACCACAAGTGGAACTATTACAAAGGTTCGTTGCAACCACCTTAGTCCTTCGCCTTATGTGCTGTTCAGCATGTCCTTTTCTATCCCTCGTTGACTGATTTAAGCATTTGGTTGGAGCAATGCCTCTCTGATTTAATATATCATTATTATATCTTGGGAGAGAAAGTCTTCTCCATTAATAAAAGAAAATGTCTGTTTAATTGGTATTAACTTAATAGAAAGAAGTTGAAGATACTGTTATAGATTCCACCATATGTCAAATACAGTCCAAATGGTTCGATTAAATTTGATCTAACACGTATAAGATTCCTTTTTCATAACCAAAAAAAAAAAAAAAAAAAAAGACCCTCCATATAACCTTTAGATCAACTTAGACTTCACCCTTGGTTAAAATCAAGCCTTTAAGCAAATTTGCAGTCAAAGTATGAAGTTACTATCAAAGAACCGTCTGGGTGATAAACATATCCCATTCAGACCAATCAAGTTTTTGTACGCACCTCTTATTTTGAAAACGTAACAGTGGGGGTTTTTTCTGAATAGTTTGATAAGGACCTGGCCATATCTTCCCAAACTTTCTCAGAATTTGCACTGGCTTGGTTGCAATCGGTAATTGTATGCATTACCTTCATGGATAGCGAACAGCAAACATCGATCCGCAAGAATTCTCATCACCTACCAAAGAATCGAAAAGACAAGTCTTAAGAAGTTAAGGACAGCAACAGCAAATAACAAAGTTTCATAAAAATATGGCTACAGGTATACCGTAATTTCATAATGATTAAGATAACTGCATTATCGTCAAGAAAGGTCACCTAAAACAAACACATTTAAATTATGAATTAAGCTAGCTTATGTGAATTGAAATTAATTAGATTATAATTAAAGGGACTCATACCACCAGTCATTTATACGCTCTGCCACCACAGACGTGGAATACTATTAATAGGTTCGTTGCAACACACGTTAGTCCTTCGCGCTTATGTGCTGGTTCAGCGGATGTCCTGTTTCTGTAGGAGTCGCCTTCGTGTGACTGTTGTAGAGCATTTTTGGATTGGAGCAATGCCTCTCGATGATTTAGATATATACATGTATTATTCTTCGGGAGAGGAAAGTCTTCTCGCATTTAATAAAGAAAATGTCTGGGTTTTGAATTGGTATGTGAACTTAGGTAGACAAGAAGTGAAGATGACTGTGATAGAGATTACCACCAGTATGGTCAATAATACAGGTTCCTAAGATGGGTTTCGAGATTATAAGGTATTGGATCTAAGCACGTATAAGAGTTCCTGTTTTGGGTCAAGTAACGCAAAAAAAAAAAAAAAAAAAGTCAAGCAAACCCGCACCCAACAAGGAAATAGAGAGTTTGGCAACTTTTGTCCTCAAAGTAATTCGTGAAATTAAAATAAGAATGTAGAAGTGGACTTTAAGTCAAGTTTTTTGGAGGGGTTGGCAAAAAAATCCAATCCCAAATATAAAATGGAATGAGGGCAGTATGCCGGTGATCAGAAGGATGAGAAATCACAAAGAGTAAAAATGTTTGACTAAGATCCTGGTGCGGTTTGATTCGTTGCCCTTTTATTTTCAAAATCAGAAAGGCTATGCATTTAAAAAAAAAAAAAAAAAAAAAATCAGCAAAACCACAAGAATAAGTTGGCAACTTTCAAATAATTCCGTGAAATAAAATAAAAGTGTAGAAGTACTTTATCAATTTTTCTGTTGCAAAGAAATCAACCCAAATATCAAAATGAATGAGGCAGTATTCGGTGATCAGAAATGAGAAATCACAAATAAAAATGTTGACTAAGATCCTGGTCCGGTTTGATTCGTCCCTTTTATTTTCAAAATCAGAAGGCTTGCATTTAAATAAACAAGACAAAATTTTGAATATTAGAATTGAGTGGAATTAATGCTTAAAACATTTTCTTGAATATTTTCATTATTTTGATTATTTTGAATATTTTGATTTTGTTGTAGGATTATTTTCATTATTTTCCATATAAAAAGAAGCATTTTCTTTCAAATTTTTTCCCATTTCTCTCCAATTTTAATAGATTGTTGTACAGTTGGCCCATAATGATTTTATCTTCCTTCAAAATTTTACATCCCATGTCCAAAGGAAAATACCCATATTTTAAACAAGGGAAAATAGTCTTCCATTATTATTTTTTACGCATATTTTCTTTTCTCCGGTAAAATCATTTCTTCCCAAGAGAGAGTGTAAATTGAAACCTAAATTGATAAACAGACTATCACTAACAAATATACGGTACTATATATATTAGATTTCACTACTTGCTTGGCTTTTATTCGCAATAACCATTCGAGCAACCGACTAGCTTTCACCGACCCACAATCTGAAATGGCAAAGTCAAATCCAACAGGTTTCTTCTTTTAGCAATCAGTATATCAGCTCCTCGTCAAGATTCTCATGAATATTCTGCTCTGCGCATCGCATGTACAGTTAAGAACTAAACAATCAGATACTCAGAAGACGTGCAGTGACGGTGCACTGCATGAAACCGTCTCATGGATTGTGGGAAGCACACAATTGAAAGAAGATTTTCAAGATATCTTTTGAAGGGAAATTGTTAGAACAAGCAGTGAGGTGGGTGGGTGCGTGCATATAGAAATTAAAAGAGGCTATCTGTTGGTTTACTTTCTTAACATTTGAGAGTTTCCTCCTTAAACTTCATTTATAGATTTGTTTGTGGTTGTCTGGTTGAGGTTTATAGTGGAGTTTAAGACAGAGCATTATTTGTTCAAATTGCAGCAATGGGTTTGTTGATTTTATGCATTGACCATTTTACCTTTTATCTCAATCCAAGTAGAGGTGAATAAAGTTCGGTAATAAAAAAAAACTAAATTAATTTAATTTTAAATAATATGTATTGATTTCAGTTTAAAATTTTAAATAATTTTCGTTCGGTTACATAAAATTTTTAACAAGCTAAAGAAAGAATAGATAAAGAAATCAAAATGAAAGGAATAAAATAAAGGGCAAAGAACCCTCTTAAAGGGCAAAAATAGTTAATGTATTATTATAATAAATTCATTGATTTGGTTTTAACAAATAATGCTCTATTCAAATTTAAGAATAAATAATTTTATTATAGATATTAAATAATAAAAAAAGAAAAAACATTATTTAATCAATAATCACTTCTAATTGTTTACTGCCTCGTGAGGGTGAAGGAAAAAAAAAAAATGAAACCCCGTAAAGCCCATAGAATGGGTGAATCAAAAGCCCATTAGCCGCTTTCACTGGGCTCATTACCCTCTGGCCGAGGCCGACGATTCCCCTCGGTGCCATTGGACCTCGCCTTCTCATAAGACCAAATCAGAGACTTGCACAACCAAGTACAAGTGTAAAAGCAAAGAGAAGGCTTCATTTTCCTCATCGGCGAGTTGGTCGGATCTTTCTCTGCCTCGCTCAGGTAAAACCCTAATATCGATATTTGATCCACTCTATCTTTAAATCTACGCATTGATGCTTGTTTGCGTACCGTTGTTAGAGTTTAAGTGGTCATATTCGACATCTTTATTGTATACGGAGATGGATTTTATTGTTCTCGAGTTGTTGACGGTTTTGGAGGCCGATTACTCTTTTTTTCTGCTGTTCTGCCTTGTTACCAAGAAAGTCTTGAAAAATACAGGAATAGAATAAACATGGTGGTATTCTGATACGTTTGGGTCCAAACGGAGGAATTTGGTTTCAATGTTTTTCTCTTATTCTTTTTGCGTGATGTCCTCTGTTGGTATTCAATTCAACGATGAATAGTTTGAATTTTCAAAATTTGCATGCCTGGTGTAGATTTGTTTGCTTTTTGAAGCATTGTTTTTCTGGTTCTGAACCATATTTTGACACAGAGGGTCCGTAATAAACATATGAATTGAAGGCATAAAGTGTCGAATGAGCAATACAGATTGTGTGGAAAAGTGAGAATCGATACTAATTTGTTTCTACTGTGTCAAGTAACAAATGAAAGATTAATGACCGAGTGATGTTAATTAAAGCTCAAAATTAGGCAAAAAAAGTGTGGCATCCAATTATAAATTCCTAATTTGGTTTAGGAGTTGTATGAAGTAATGGTATTTTGCTTGTTTTACTCCCCTTCTATTGTAAAAGTGAGTCTCTGATTTCATAGTTTGTATTTAGTGGCATATATTGAAATTGATTTAACCGATTCACTTGTTAAGTTATTAATTGTTTATGCATGCTAAAAACAAAGAAATATTGATTGCAGATTTATCAGCTTTAGCTAGAGAAGGCAAATGGCGGGCGGTAGGATTGCTCATGCCACCTTGAAAGGACCAAGTGTTGTTAAGGAGATATGTATTGGGATTGCACTTGGCTTGGCTGCTGGTGGTCTTTGGAAGATGCATCACTGGAATGAGCAGAGGAAAGTTAGAGCATTTTATGATTTGCTAGAAAAAGGTGAGATCAGTGTGGTTGTAGAAGAATAAATTCTGTTTTTGGGCATCAATTTTTTTATGAACAGCTTCAGCAGTGTTTCAGACCTTTTTTTTTACCCCCTTATATAGCTCTTAAATGGAGCTTAAACATCTTTGAATAAATTTCTTGTTTTGAGTTGTGGAGTTACATCTTGGTTTGCGTACGCGTATGAAGTTTAATGGATTTCCATATCTTTTCTGGCTTCTCTTGCTCGCAATTTCAAGTTCCGAGTTTTAATTACTGCCTTCATACTAATGGAAAATGCTTAAAAAGGACATGCAACCCCATGCGCTGGGGAATTAATGCAACTGTATAACAGTAGAAGAGATTTCCATATCAAGTTGTGTGTGTGTATATATAAGGAAATTGCATTTTAACTACTCGGCTATCGCAAACAATTTTGACAAGAAAGGTTGTTAGGTAGGGCTTGTAGACTCGGACCAGCTAAAATCCATCAATCAAAACTTAAAATGGTAGGATGAAAACAAACATATATTGAAATTTTCTCTAGTAATGGTACGATAAAAGGTGAAAACCCCACAAAAGTGGCAAGCTTTTGCTACATGAAACCTCAATCAATATTTATTAACCTATCTTCTTTGAGCAGAAAAAACAGCCTCAATATTGGCTGAATTTTTCTTCTTTTTATTACAAATTGTAAAATAATAATAATAATAATAATACCTCAATATTGCTGAGATTTTTTTCTTACTTTATATTACAAATTGGTAAAATAAATAATAATAATATAATAATAATAATAATAAATAATAATAATAATAACTCTCTTTTGTTTCCAATAAAAATAACAAACACGTAAAATAATTTATAGGAAAAAATGAAATTTACTGAAAAATAATAATAATAATAATAATAATACTCTCTTTGTTTCCATAAAATAACAAACAGTAAAATAATTTATAGAAAAATAATTTACTGAAAAATATTTTTTAAATGACTTATTTTCCGCTATTTGGTTGTAATATTGAAAATTAGTTAAAAATATTTAAGTCATTATCTCATTCGACCATAAAAAATATTATTAATAATAAAATTTTTATTGTTAAATGTAAAAACAATGCAAAAAAAAAATGTACATTAGAAAAGCTGCTAATGATGATGGTGGCTGACAGTGATGACTGATTAATAAATTAAAAAAATATAAATTTATAAAGTTTGTCAACGTCCAAAAATTGTTTTACTCTCGAAAATAAAAAATTATTTTCTTTTAAAAAATGATTTAATTTTTTGTTGATCAGAAAAATATTTTCCGTTGATTTATTTTACTGAATAACCCAAATAACAAAAATTTATGAAAAATATTTTCCTGCAAGTTATTTACAGAAACAAACAGAGCGTAAGTTTAATTAGTTTTTGATCAGTTAATTATTTTACAATCCCAAAACAATTGCTAGATGCAACCGACGTAGCTTTCACAGACCCATATATGAGTTCAGTTGTGATCTATGCTTTACTGTGTTCCGAACAAAATTTAAACCAAAGTTTATTAAATTCATTCATAATCTGATCAAAAGAATATACTTCACGGTCGATTTGTGAATGAAAATTGTTAAATTGATGCACATCTCCATATCCAATGGGAAGGGTATTTACCCTGTTTCAACATCCGTTGCATCTCACTGATGCTGCTCCTGTTTTAGTCCTCAGAAGAGATACAAGTCTGCAATTCAATCTACACAGCACAGTTGTGGTATTCAAGATTAAAAATTTGAAGTGAGAAATAGGTGAGGGAGCAAAATAGATCTTTATAACTAGACTAGGAAAAATCTTGGATGAAAAGGGGAGGCAACTGTATCAATTAGCATCTAGGGCTTGGAAATTATCATAGCAATGATCTTGGCATATACTGGAATTCTTCATGCTCAAAATCTGCTAGCTCTAGGCCCCCACCTCCACTGGCAGCAACTGCTTTCCCTTCAGGGTCTGTGACTCCTTTGCTCACATCATCTTTGGAATCATCAAGCTCTGCATTTACATCAGAAGTGTTCGACACACAATATTTCTGCAACCATCTATCTGTTTCCCAGAGAACATGCATGATGCTCTCTCGTGAAGCATACCCATGGCTCTCAAATGGAAGAATGACAAGACGACAAAGTGCACCATGACCTTTTAGGGCATTGAAGAAACGATCTGACTGCATAATATAAATTCAAATTAGCTGCAGGTAAACAAAATGCCAATAAAGGTAATGACCAGCAACAAACTGCAAAAGCACTTGTCCAGAACTAAAATATAATATCATTCAGCAATTATTCACCTTAAGGTTATTATAGTTATCAATGAGTGATTGCTAATGTAAAGTTGAACATAGCATACTTTAAGAAACAAAAACGAGTAAAAGAAAATACAAAAGAAAGAATACCTGCATGGTTAGTGTTCCTGGATTATTATCTTCTTCTCCATGGATAAGTAATATTGGCTTTTTGATTCTATTTGCTGACATGAAGGGGCTCATCTCAACGTAAGTATTTGTGGCCTCCCAGAGTGTTCTATCTTCATTCTACACCAATATATTAGAAGAAGTAACTAAACCACCCAAACATAAAGTACAACATGTGATAAATGGGAAAGGCAGAGCAATGTGAGATTCATTGCACACTTGCTGGTAATCATTGAGCTCATTAAATGATAATATGCACCCATTTCAACTAGTCTGCTACCTGAAAACCAAAAGGTGTAAGTGTTCTGTTGTAAGCCCCGGAGCGTGCAATTCCACAAGAGAAAAGATGAGGGGCATGTGCCAAGAGGTTTGCAGTCATGAATGCACCATATGAATGTCCTCCCACAGCAATTTTTCTAGGATGAGCAACCTTAACAAAAGTGTGACATCAAAAAGATTCCATCACAAATTCATTCATTATATTAACACCATAGTCATATGCAGAGCAAGAAAGTAACTTACTCCACGTCGAACGACTTCCTCAACAGCTGCCTCTGCACTTGCAACCAATTGTTCTACATACCTAGTCAAGGCATTTAGTTTAAATTAAAATTCTAGGCTATATGCGTGGTGTAGTTCCTTTTCTAATACTTTATATGAACTGAAAAGGGAAAACAAGAATATGATTAAAAAATAAGGTATAAGGAAGGGATGGCCCCTCAATCAATGCAAACATATGTTCCGGAGAAAAATATGTCACCACCTGATATTTTGGTTTAATATGTAATATCATTGATTATATGTCACTTTCCTGTACGGACAAGATATACACATAATAAATGGTTTGTGCAACACTCTTTAACTAATAACCCAATATAAGTTAGATTTACACAAGTGTTTGTGTAACTTATAACCCAATTCCATCAAAACCCAAAAATGAACCCACCCAATCACATTTATATGATTGTCCACAATAATGGAAATTCTACAACATTCTTATCAATTACCTGTCATTTGCTTCCTCATCACCCTCGCCAATAATAGGAATAGTTGGCCCAGATAAAATGGCAAATCTACAAGATATAAAACAAGCCAAGTAAATCTTAAATAGCGCAATTGGAAGAAGCTGTAAGAGACATACTAAACATCAATATAGATAGTATAAAGAAACAGAGGACAGCAAGTTCAAACCTCCTAGCCAGCCAAAGAAGAGCTGATGTTGGACCTATGCCTGCAAATTCATTAGGAGAACCACGAACTTGTCCTGCAGCATCTTTGCTTTTAAATTCTCCAGGATAAGACCATACCAGACATGGAAGAGGGCCATCTTTTGATGGATCATAGTCTGGTGGCAAGTATAATGTTGCGGTAAGCTGAACTCCATCCTTCCTCTGGTACCTAATCATCTCTTTCTGCAATGATGCCAACTGTGGGTATGGGTGAGGAAAATTTGTAATCTGAAACATTTTCTTATCTGGCCATCTCTGGATATAATATTGGGTATTTTCAGTTTTTGATTCCTTTGAAGTCAAAATTTTCAACTGATCAAGATATAGATCCCCTTCCTTATGATCAGACATCAAAGCAACAACGGTCTCATAATATTTTTCCTTGTCACTTTCCCAAATTCGTTCTTTGTTGCCTGTATTTCTGAAAGAATTTGGTTTAGAACATTGGCACCAATAGGTATCAGGAAGCAGGTGAGGAACACACATTAGTGAAAAGTGGTTCTAGAATACTCACATGTCAAACAGATCAAGGAAAGGGATATTTCCTTCAGGTGTAGCACCATTTCCATTCAACAAAACATAGGTGCCATCATCATTTTCCTTCTTTATCTTTGCAATCACATAAGTTCCAGAAGGAGTTCTTCTCATCATAGGGGAGCCGGGATCAGAATAAACATCTTCTGATGACCTATCAAATAATATACGTGGACTTACATCTGTAGAACCAGGAGATATTATCCAGGTTCTCGTTCGCCTAGTCTTGTACCATGATTCATAAACTAGAGCTAGTGAATCATCGCACCAGGAAATTCCACTGTGAAGATCAAAGAAAGAACATATCAAGATAAGATTCTAGATTAAATCCTTTTAGGCGGTTTTAAAAAAGCAGTGGTACAGCTGCCAACAAGTTATTACATATTTCATATGGATAATTTGTACATATCTACTAACCTATATTCTGTCGAAACTATCACTAACCTATATTCTGGTGAAACTATAAATATCAGAAGTTTTAACAATGAAGTAGTTGCCAAAGCAAGGCAATCAAATACATACATGCATTCCCTGCATCTCACAGCAGTATCCAAGTATTCCTGTAACTTAAAAGGCATTAAGCTTGTAACAGCACCATAAAAGAGATGAGCTAACCAATTATTCATTGTGCAAAATGAAAAATGCAAAATTGCACAACCTATGCCCTATTCAAGCTAGTTTTTGAACTATTCTAAGAATACCAGTGGAGTGCTATTCAGGTTTTGAGATTAAAAATCAGAAAGAAGAAAAAGCTTTTCATGCAGTCAGAGAATCATAAAAAATTAAAAAAAAAAAATCTAATTCAATATTCCCACAGCACCATTGAATATTCAGGTACCTATCTGAAGCCAATTTTGCAGGGAAAATAAATCAACCATATAGCTTGCATTCATACCCATAGCGAAGATCGAGTTTGTGCAAAATTTCTGGCTGTGCACCTTCAATTGGCTCAGCAGGTTGTGTATAAACTATATCTCGTGGAGAAACTTCCACTTTTGCATCACCACCATCTTGGGTCTCTGCCCTAAAACCTCAAAATCAAACAGAGAATTAAAGCAATATAAACAAACAAATTAATAAGTGATTAAACTCAAACTGTTGCCACCCATAACAAGAAGCATAAGTGCACTATATACCAGTATAGTGTTGAAGGCTTGTCAGCTCTCCAATTAATTGACCGCATTCCTTTGCGCACACTATTGAATGCTATGGGAATGTCCTCAGCAAGTGGTAAATCGCAGAGTTCCCTAACAAACTCTCCATCAGTTGTCCATATTTCAACTTTTTTTGGAAACCTACCACACGGTACAATAAAAGAGTATGGCCTGTGAAGAGAGCTGATTAAAAGGTACTTCTGGTCTGGGGAAGGGTCCATTGAAGTATACACAGCTGGTGGGCCAATCTTCTTCACTGTCCCATCCAAAGAGGCCAATACAAGTTGTGAGGTGGCATAATAGTCAAATAAATCTTCATCATACTCATCTTTCAGCAAATCCTGGAAGGTTCGAACCTGAATAACATTTTTCATCTCATTAGATTGAATCTTTGGACCAGAAGGAACCAAAGGTTTCTTTGGCGGATCTCCACGAGATGATGGAATGGTGCAAACTAATAAAGAAGAATCATTCACCCAGACAAAATTATCAAAAACAGCATTTAGATAGACATCCTGTGACTGAAACAAAGGCCTAGCTTTCCCTGTTTCCACATCAGCAACCCATACTCTAAGCTTACTGCTACCATCATCTTCCTCATCCACTCTGATGCTAAAAGACAAATGACTACCGTCAAGAGACCAGGTAACAAAATTGATCTTAGCACCATCTGGGAAGCCATATACCTCCTTCTCTGGCCCCAAAGTACCATCAGGAAGTAATTGATGAATACCAATACCAGTATAGAATGACATTCTGCTCCTAGTATTGCATTTTCCATCTATACGCGTACCAGCCAGCTTTTCCTCTGGTCTAGATAGTTCTGCCAGGGGAGGTAAAGCTCTCCTCTTAAGAAACAGTATTTTGTCTCTTTGTGGTGAAAATGACAATGCTGGAAGAGGTGGAGCATCAACAATATCTTTAATCTCTGGTGGAGGAAGTCGATACTTGCCTTCTAATGCTTCTACATATTATGAAATGAAAGAAACTTGGTTAATTAGAAGCAATGATCGATCTAGGTCAGGTCAGTCCATCATGAGTATCAAGATACAAGAAAAGCAAAACCTTTCCTAAGATCACGAAATTAAATCTAAAAGGCAAATATTGTGTGCATACAAGAATACTTCAATGCCAATCAGTAAGTTTCCATATTCAATATAAAAGCAATCCACTGGATAAATAAGATTACAGTTACAGGAGTAATTGCACTGTCACTCTCCTAGTAAAATAAGAAAGAAAGAAAACAGAAGGCACCATTTAGAGAGATAACTATACTGTCCAACGAATAAACTACAAGGGAAGAAAGGTAGCACCAAAAATACACAAATTCACGACAGACACGAAGATCTGTTATATAGCTAAATAAATCAACTGTAAGTAGTTTGAGACTTCAAAATTCAATTGTTTAAAGCTCCGATATCCACCGGAATTCAACTTCCTCAATATACTCGCCTACTAAACTAAAAAAAAAAAAGGACATAAGAAAAACAATAATCAACAAGCTTCAAGCAAGCTCAAATGATCAATCATGTTTCAAAATGAAGATAATATAGCCGAAAGAAATATAAAGAAACAATCAGCAGAAACTAGGAACTAAAAATAGAACAAGAAAGAAGACGATGAACCAAATTGAGTACCGTCATCTTCAGCGGTATTATTTGAAGAATTAACGGAGCCATTGGAGCCACCGCCACCATCTTCAGCTGCAAAAGCGGTTGTCGGCACGAGATTGCCGAGCCTAGAATTTGCAGCAGTCATGATAGGGCAAAATCTGGCGGTGTTCGAAGAGTGAGTTCCCAGGTGGCCTGGCCTTCGAAACGAAGATAGTCTGGCAAGTTTGAGAGAGAGAAAAGGAGGAGGAGGAGTTAGAGGGGAGAGAGTGAGGAAAGAAAGCCGATGATAAATTTTGTAAAAGCGCATCATTTCATTGATTTGATACTTTTCTAGTTGGGTAGTCGTGTAGTGTTGTAATAGTAGGGAAATATCCAAAGTTAAAAAAAAAAAAAAAAAAAAAAAAAAAAAAAAAAAAAAAAAAAAATTTCAGTTTTGGTTCCTAAAGTGAGGGTTGTCGCACGGAAGATTGCTGAGGGCCAAACGAATTATGCAGCAGTCATGATATGGGCAAAATCTGGCGGTGTTCGAACCGAAGAACCAAACCGTGTTACTTAGGGCCTCTAACCTCTCAAAAGGGTGGCCCTGGCCTTCGAAACGAAGATAGTCTGAGCAAGTTTGAGGGAAGAGAAAAGGAGGTTAATGGAGTGGAGATAGAGGGAGAACCGAAAGGTAGTGATATGGACAAAAAGGATAAAGTCCGATGCCATAAATTGCTTTTTGTTAAAAAGTCCGGCTAATACATTTTTTGTCATGTGATTTGATACCTTTTCTAAAGTTGGGTAGTCGTGTCGAAAGTGTGGTGTTTAAAAATAGTAACAAGGGAATCATATCTCTCAAATGTTTTTTATAAAAAAAAAAAAAAAAAATAAAAAAAAAAAAAAAAAAAAAAAAAAAAAAAAAAAAAAAAAAAAGTCCAAGGCAAATCGAATCTTAGAGGCCGAGATCTGGTGCTGCGCGCGTTCAGTTTTTCGAGCCTGCGATATGGATTGGACCAACCAAAAAAAGGCCGTGACCGCGGTGTTAGTTACTTATATGGATATATTTTTGACAAACAAGATTTGTTCGCGCCTTGTTTAGGATATCATTGCATTATTTGTCTATATAATTGTCTGTCCGATCCTATTACAAGCGTCCTTAGAGATAACTATACAATATAATTAACTAAATCATCTTTTTATCAGTTTTCTAAATATTTATTTAGGGGATTAAAAAAAAGTAAGTATTGATGCTAATTCTTTTTATTATTCATTATGTGCTAAGGATTAACCAATCAACTACATCACTTAAATCATCACAAATCAAAAATAATTTGATAAAATTACATTTTATCTCAAAATTAAAGTAATTTATAAAAATAATTATTGTATTTATTCTAGATAAGAGTAAATTGAAAAAAAAATATTTATTACTTTTTAAAATATTTAAAATATCTACAAATAATCGTTGTAAAATGATTTATATTTTGATTCAGAATGAGATATGTTATTAGTAAAATATAGAAATGTAAAGATAATTTGAGAGCAATTGATAAAAAGAGAAATCTATAGTTTGCTTTCCAGACAAAATAAAAGGCACAATGAAAGCATAGTAGCATAATAACTGAAAACGTGACATTTAATATGCATGACATTGAAGAATCAATGAGCCAAATCAATCAATTGACATCAAATCTGGGGATTTTAGTTCGAGTTGTCTTAGAATGGTGTTACAAACAAGTTTGACGTTTGTGCTATATATGGGTGGATTCGCAAAAACCAATACTAGGATACATATAATAGTGTGTCATTGAAGAATATAAATGACTGCAGAATCTGTATAGTTGCTATAAATGTCTATTACACTACAGAGAAATGATAATATAATAAAGAGAACCCTTCCCTTTAACCAGAATTTTCCAATAGGACTCTTTTTATGAAATTTATATTTTGGCTTTGTGTGCTCTATTATAGATATCCTAGACGTCTTTTTACTAAAATGGGAATTCATTATAAAAAAAAGACAGTGCCTTCTTACACTTAATAGAGATCGTTTTATTGATGAGAAGTATATGTTAATTTTGTGACTAAATCCTTATTTTATTCTCAGTAATCGAGGATCAGAACAGTGGTATAATGGAATAGTACTTTGAATATATAAATATTATATTAATATATATTTTATTTATAATATTACTTAATCTAAATCAAATTTAACGATTCGCTAGAATCAACATCAGATGAATAATTTATTCATTTATTGAAAAAAGACAAAAAGTAAAAAAAATAATTGGCCACCTGTGGAGGTATTGTGTCGACGCCAAATACGTTGCTGTGTCCCAATATTTCTAGAGGCGATCCCCACTTTATTTTTCAAATTTTAGGGCCAAAACGTTTTTTCTTCATTGATACGGTATATCAATGTATAGTGCAAGTATATCCTGCGAGCTATTGGTTATGTAGCTAAGCTGTTCTCCCTGTCCCATGGTTATCTTTAAGTTCAATAATACCTTCACTTCATATATGGATTTATATTAGATATATTGCAATTGAATCGGTGATTTATTATCGGGAAGAGTCTAAGTAGGTGGAATAAAGTCAAATATGCTCCATCTTACTGATGTAGTTTCAGGTACCATACTGTGTGTTGTTGTGATGACATTGTCTTCTCTTTGCCTGTGAAATTTGTATTGTTTGGTCTTTCTTAGTATGAAATCTTTGTAGATAAAGAAAATGGATAATAATACGAGAGAGCATCCTTATCGATGACGTAAGACAATACTCGATAGAATAGGAGTACATAAGAACGTATTAGTTGTCTTCAAAACTTACATTTGATAAGTATTAGAAGGCAGATTCGAGGCATGGAAAATGCTCCGTCAAGAATAGTTCCAATTCAGAAGAGAGATAAGGTTCAGCCGAAATGCTCTCATACAAAGTTTACCTTTCAAATTATATTGAGAAATCATAAAGATGATTTCCTACTGTTTCATAGCATAATAAGTCGGATATGAGCCGTCAGTTGATTGGGTAGCAATTGAGTGTATGTTCAGACATATACTCGCCGGTACTTAGATTATCGCTGTAGAAGCATGTATTTGTAGCGTTCGATATCAATCAGTAATCCCTCGGGCATACGGTGACATCATTGGAAATCTGCCATAAAGACTGAAGTTCACTTAGTCTCTATACTCATAAATATGCTCAACTATCATGAGCGATATAAACTCACTCAATATACGAAAGCGTTCCACGATCCTCAGTGTAACAGTGGGGATGAAACAGTATAATCTCGAAGAACTGTGTCTCAGACCGTTATGTAAGACCAGAAAGATATGTAGATTGTCTTTCAGAGAGAATAGATTCTACATTTCGACAGTGACTGTATAGATATATGCTTACAATAGACAGGAGGAAGCCGAAAACAGTATCATGGAAAAATCTGTGATAGTGCGAACTACATCATGTCTAGTCATTGCGAACTTTCCACTTCTGCGAGGAGCATGATTTATGCTTTCTGCGCTCTATGTTTGACTCCCCAACACTCTCTCGTATAGTTCAACCATATCTCGTGGTGCCTGAGATACACACACCCATATAGCAATTGTCTACACATAGGTCTGACAGAAGTGCCTAGTCAACCTATAGTTAACCTGAGAAGTGTTACCTGCATGATAACTCTGCACTCTCGTCTATCTCCATATCTCTAGAGAAGTTATTCATCAGTACCATCTAAGGGTGCGCAACAAGGCACCACTTGAGACCGTGAATAATGAACTCAAAGCTACCTTCACTTCTCTTCTAGACAGTAGAAAGTGCCCACTCCACTAACGAAAAATGTCAATTGAGAGATCATGATCACATATGCTAACATGATTCTGCGTTGATGATAGCGGTGATCCGTTTACCGTAACAGCGGACTTTACGCCACATAGCACAAATATTCACTCAGCGCGATGTGAAGCTCTAGGCGTCCTGACAATAATTGGAGCATTACTATGAAAGTGATGGTAGTGCCTAGTGAATAAAGCTGATGTTTTCAAAGACTTGAAGCTTAGAAGGAAAGCTATATAAATCAAATTTAAGATTCGCTAGATAACATCAATGAATAATTATTCATTTATTGAAAAAAGAAAAGAAAAAAAAAATTGGCCACCTGTTGGAAGGTATTGCTGTCGACGCCAATAAGTTGTGGCCCAATATTCTAACGATCCCCCTTTTTTAATTTGTGGCCCAATCTAAACGGCATGTGAGATCGATCCTGGCTATGTTTCTGCTAATAATAATAATAATAATAGCAAAAAATTATGGTATAAATAATAATATCACTACTGATGATTCTATCTTATGGTTTATGGAGGCTTCCTTTTTTCTTATGATATTTTTATGATGATAAACAAGTCATCTTCTGCGAGCCTCAAAAGAAAAGATGTGAAGCGCTAAAAATATCAAGGATTCTATTGTAATTTTCTTTTTTCTCTAGGGATATTCAATGGAAAGCATGACATAATTATTTGTCTTCATCTACAACGATATTTCATACTAGTATTTTTTAATTTCACTTCTGCGAAAATATCTCAACCTCGTCTTACGTGGAAGCATATAACTGGTTCTCACGTGATAAGAAATATGTGTTTCAAATATTTCAGTGAAAAGAAAAAAAAAAAAAAAATCTGTGTTCAAACTCTATTACAACCCCCAATGATATAGCTCTCCGTTATCACCTTCCAAGTACCCATTCCTATACCACAGAAGCAATTACAATGGCAACACTAACCAGTCTCAACCTCTCAACCCCAAGAGTCGTAGCCAAAGCTACAGACGCACCGAAAGCTCAACCCATCTTCAAACTAAACCATCCGTGGAATAGAACATATCAAGTCGGGTCGGGACGAATGCGAATGCAACCAGCAAGAGCAGCTCCTGACAGAATATCAGAGAAGGTGGAGAAAAGCATCAAAGAAGCAGAGGAAGCTTGCGCAGGTGATCCGGCGAGCGGTGAATGCGTGGCGGCTTGGGATGAAGTGGAGGAGTTGAGTGCTGCTGCTAGTCATGCCCGCGACAAGAAGAAGGAGTCGGATCCTTTGGAGGAATTCTGCAAGGACAACCCGGAGACAGATGAGTGCCGTACCTATGACAATTGAAATGGGTTCTATTACTATTATTTTTCGTTTTTTAGCAATCAACTTTAGATGTTTACTATGGAAGTTGGATTATGCGAAGAACGTCGTATGATGAATTTTATCATGGTGGTGTTATTTATCAGATACATATACCATATACCATATACCATCTTGGATTGGAAGAAAAATGGGATTGTTCATTAATTATTACTTTATATTCTTAGCTTTTATCATATTATTATTATTATTATTGCAATATTCAGCTATTTGCTAGCAGCTACTATTTTTCAGACATGTTGAACCAAATTGATGAATTTTTATATTTTAATGTAAATAAAATTAAAATTGCAAAGGAAATCCAATGTAGTTCAAATCTGCACCTCTAAAATCAACTAATGCATTTTTTTTTATAATTATATTTTTTAATTATATTTTAAATTCTAATTCATTTTATGTGATGATTGAATCCAGTTTGATTATTGAATTTAGTTTAAATAGTTTTTTTGAGGAAAAAAAAATTGTATGGAAGAAATCAAATGGCTGTTTCCTATAAGGGCTCCACACAGCCCTTTAGATTGTAGTCCTCAAACTATTAAGCTATTGAAATAACTCTTTGATATATCCTTTTCAGAAAAAAAAAAAAAAATCTTTGATATATCTTATTAAGGCATATTATATAATGGAGAGGAAATTTACAAATCAACCTAACTATTTGCTTTGAGTTAGCACATTGAAATAATGTTATTGGTTTGGTTTTGATTTTAATAGAATAAAGGTCAAATGTTTTTTAAGTTTTATTTTAATAATCATTTTGTCAAATAAGTAAACCTAGAAAACTAAAAATCGAATAGAATCAAGTTAAAATTGAAAAATCCAATTTGATTACGTTTGATTCAGTAATGTAATCTAATTATTTTGATTCTGTTTATATCTTAAAGATATAATACTTTTTGAGTTATTGATTCAGTTTTAGTATAATTTTAAATAATATAAAGTGTCCCAAAATTTGGAATGGTCCAAATGATTCAATCGATGAAATGAAAAATTAATAGTAAAGACATTTTGATCTAACTCTAAAATTCATTTTAATTTAAATCTTTTGAGAATCAATCTACCCAGTTTAGTGGAACATTAACTCAACCTGGCTTGAAAAAAAATTGGCATAAAATTAGACACTTAAATTAAATAAGTCGATTGAATTTATAAGTCAAAATGTTAAAGGTTAAATGCTACATAAAAATTGTTGTCCAAGATAGACCAATTATAACTATATAAGATGTATTATAATTAAGATTTTTGTAGGATTCAACCCAAACAAATGTTGAAGAGCAAGATTTCATATTACAAATGACAGGTCCATCTCTCAAGTTAAATAAAATGAAGGAGGGGTAAATTTCCCAGGAAATTGGAAAAAAACAAAAATGAATACTCTTCTTTTATCTTCCAGAGGGTTGCTTGCAAATTTTACCATAAAGAGACTTCGTCCGTCAACCACAGATAGCAGCCTAGCTGTTATAACAGCACACCACAATTTATAAGATAAGAATAACGTCATTTTTTAGGATGGACCAAAACTTCTAGATAAATCGCAGCAAGAATCAATATTCTCTACGCAACATTTTCATCGCCATCCGGCTGCAGGCTAGTCAAAGGAGAATTTTGCAGAATTTGTAATTCTGTCGGGCTTTCATACAAGATAACCTAATTTGGTACCCACATTCTCAGTTTTGCGATCATGCACAATAAAGGCTGGACACCAACCGTCTATCAAAAAAAAAAAAATAATAATAATAATAATAATAAAAAAAAAACCACACGTTATCAAAAAAAAAAAAATATAATAATAATAATAATAAAAAAAAAAACCATTCTAAACTTGCTAATAACAAGATCGTGTGCTTCCAGAACTCTATGTTTCATTGCTCATCACTCTATTCAACTTCGAGGAAAACTTTGATTTTTTCGAAACCATTCTCACATCCTATCTACCACCAATCACCTAACATATTACTTCGAGAACTTTGATTTCTAAAACATTCTCGAATCCTATCTCACCACCAATACCTAACTATCCATAATAATAATAATAATAAAAAAAAAACCATTCAACTTGCCTAATAAAAGATGTGTGCTTCCAAGAAACTTATGTTTCATTGCTCATCACTCTATTCAACTTCGAGGAAACTTTGATTTCGAAACCATCTCACATCCTATCTACCACCAATACCTAACATATTCAACTTCGAGGAAACTTTGATTTCTAAACATCTCACATCCTATCTACCACCAATACCTAACATATCCTGTTCCTCATGAATCAGGAAGTAAGAAAGGAAAATATGAAAAAGCACAAAACACCTACCCCACCCACCTTAAAATATATCGAGGTCCAAATCGTACAACTTTGATAAGAACTATGGAGCCTCATAGTTATCCAATTCAGTCTTCTTCGAGAAGTGATAACCATCTTCCCTAATCAACGAGGTGAAAGTACAAACAAACTTAAACCTATCAATAGAAGACTAAGTATCAAGAATCCAGCCATTGTGCCAATCAAAACCATGCGTTCATCTGTTCCCTAGCTCAAGGATGCAATCCTCTAATATGCAATACCGAGAACAAATTCAGGCCACAACATTTAAATGCACAAAGCCACATGCAAAAGACTCATCAACTAAGGAATCAACATTGGCACAAAATCTCCCATAACCTACACAAACACTGAATTGCAACATTCAATAAACAAATCTCCTACACAGAAAACAGCCACATTATCATAACGCATTACAAAGATTGATAGAAAATTTCGTACAGAACTACACACCCATTCCCATCAAAGACAAACGACACCATTCTAAAACACGACAGAAAAGAAAAGAACTTCAAATAACAAAAAGCTAGTACATTAACTCTCAAGCCAGCAAAAATACCCCTAAAAGAACAAACATATCCACTCCAGATTCCACTAACTCGATACAGATGCCATATCAATACTGAAACATATCGGCGGATGCCATGATGGGCTGCACGGTGCAGGGGAGTTGCCATGGTTTCAGCAGAGGATCTTGTATTTCCGGGATGTCCAACTCAAAGCCGCTAACATCGTCCACTATCTGGAGCAAAGAGTTCAAGGACTGAAGCCTATCGGTCAATTCCATAACTTGAGCCCTCAAAACGTTGTTGGCATTTTCGATCTCCGCATACCTTTGGCTATTAACATTGATACTCTGCATCAATTGACCGTTCTCATTCTGCAAACGGCTCGCTTCATTAATCAGATCCTCCATCAGCTTCTGTTTCCTCATCCTGGATCGCCTGGCCGATTCCCGATTTGATATCATCCTCTTCCTTTTCCTCTCATCGACGATATTCGCATAACGCGGATCGGAATCGGATCCTGAGCTAGCTGCCTGCCTTTGCATTGCAGATTTGAATTTCTTTTCCAAACAAAAAATAAAATTCTAAAAAAAACTTAGATTAGCTAATGTTAATAGATGTTTGTTCTATCTAACAAATTTAGTTAGAATATGGATAAAATCAACAGAACGTGCAAAGAAACTAGTTCATGAAAACACGTAGAACCAGTAAAGAAACACAACCGAAAAGGAGTGGAGGATTCGAACTCGACGCATGAGTATGGCGCAACTCATAGAAAATCTAAAATCATTGTATATTTTTCAGAAAACGAATATCTTAGATCCCCAAATCAAAGAGGAAGATTAAGATTTACAAAGAATAGGAAACCCAAAGCAGGGATCGAAAACCCTAGATCTAAACCAACAGCAGACTATCAATCTAGTAAAGCAAAAATTTACAAAAAGAAAATCAATCGGAAGGGAAACAGAAAGCAAAAGACGGAGGCCACAAAGAGACAGAAAAGGAAGCACTTAGCTGATAGCTAACGAAACCCCGAAACGCGAGAGAAACGCAGAGAGAGAAGAAACCCAGAAGTAAAGCGAAACGAAAGAAGGTCTATAAGGCTGCGAATTGGGGATTTTATAGAAAAGTTGAGCTGGATTCCACTAGTAGTTGGGATTTTAGAATTAATTTTTCTTAATAAAGAATTAATTTTTTAAATTGCAATTTGTTGAGAATTAGTGGCGTCGGTGCAAATTGCTGGCGTAAAGAGTGACGCCAGCTGTGTTTTAAAAGGCACTCCAGGCTCCAGCAATTGTTTTCGAGGGAATATTCTCCGATTCTTTTACTCGGTCGAAACCAGCACAACAAACCGATATCGGTAAATAACTATTTAGTCCCTTATGTTTAGATACAATTATAACTTCATCCTTCTTATTTGGGGAATATATTAATTAATATCTAAAAAATCAAATCACATTAAATTATCTAATCATCCCATTTAAAAAGATGATTTTAAATTTTCATAATATTTAACTGTTTTGTCTTTCACATTTATTGGAATATTATACTATTTAACTCTTCATATTTATTATTATTTAGTTATTAATAAAGATAAAAATAACATTTTTTAATGGACATGAAATGCTTTAAATTAACTAAATCTCATAAAATAGTTAATACATTTACAAAATAAAAGAGATAAAGCTGTAATTATAAATAAATTTGAAATACTAAATAGTTATTTACCCAATCTATACTGTCTGCCTTTGGTTTAGTCATTGGCGGGCGTGACGAAATTAGAACACGAAGAAAATGTGTTTATTTTATCCAATTTTTGGTTTTAATTAATTCCTGCTTATATAAGATTTAAGTTGTATAATTCTATTTCTACGTATGACAGCAATAAAATTCATATTTTATTAAAACTCTGTCTCAGACGAGTCATGTAGAATCATTTATTTATATGTTTTTCTCAAATATCTAAAGAAATTTTATTTTTTTGCCAATCGGATCGATCTTTTTCACACAGTCAAAGATCTCGAATTTGATTCATATCTGTTATAGTAGCTTTTATAAATTTGATAAGCCAAAGGAGGCTACTCCTATTATATAGCATGTAATATTATTTCAGACATTGGATCTTTCAATATTTATTTTCTAAGTCACCCTAATAATATACTCCTTCCGTACTATTTTGTTTGTCTGATTTGACAAAACACTCGTATTAATAATTTAGTCAACAAAAATTATTTTGTTATACTTTACTCTTAAAAACTCATTAATATATTAATAAGCATTTCATTTAATGAACAATTATAAAAGTTATTATGAGAAAAACAATTGTTTGCATATATAAATTTAAAAACCTTAACATTTTGAGACATTCAAAAAATGAATAACAAGGAAACAAAATGAGACAGAGGGGAGTATATTTTTTTTGTGTAAATAATCGGTATCGAGACGCTATTATCAAAGACCACATAATCCAGATCGAAGCATAATCACAATTAGGCTCTTTAGCCCTCCCTACCAGCGGGTTTAGCAGGGATTAAATAGGAGCGCTTTTCTCACGTGCTCCCTACTAATATATTAGTAATTCACAACTTATAAATATATATTTTTTTTCCAGCGTGAAACAGTGACATACTCATGGGTCGAAGGCAACTTAATTTGACTTGTAAACCCACATTTCAAAGCATGTCGATCTGTTCTGCAAGCAAAATAAGTTATCTATTTATTGTGCTTAATTAGCACAATTAAGCTTTGACTTTTCGTATGATTTTTCTAGCTATCTGATTTTTTTTTTTCAAGGAATACACTTTTTTGTAAACATTATCATTTTAATATATAAAAATTAAAAATAATTTTAGTTATTTTAAGGTTTTATGATTAACAATATCACAGTTGGTTTTTTGAAATTAAAGTTTTTATATTTTAATTTGACTATAACTTAGGTATCAAATTTTTTCTTTTCTTTGTTTTTTTTTGGACTTGCATTTATTAAATAAATGCGAAAATGTTCCCACGGAATAAAAAAGAAAGTAGGAAAATGTTGGGCTGGACCTGAAACAATAGAGTTGGGCTGATGTTTCACAGGATGGGCTCAGCGGCTGAATGTTTCAGCCCAAACGGATGCGCCAAAGGCCAGGAGTAACCGGCCGATGCCGTCATGCGTGCACGGTTGAACGCGAAGGCCAACTTCAGATGTCCCTCTCTTTTTCATTTTCTTTTCTCATTAGAATCAGTTAAGCTGGTTTTTCAATAAACCTCGAAGCTGTTGGCCTCTTGCTACTGGTAATCCTTACTGAAACTTTTTTTTTTTTTTTTCCGCGTCAAATCTTCGATCTGTAGAATCAATTCCTTCACCAACAATATTTTGATAAGAAGAAATAGCTAAGCAGAGATCCAAGAGGAAAATGGGGATAGATGATGCTCCATTGGACGATAAGGCGAAGAGAATGAGAGATCTGCTATCAAGCTTTTACTCTCCCGATCCTGCAGTGTCATCCAGCAATTCTTCAAAGTTCGCTTCCTTAGATGCTATCAACACCTCCTCATTCGACGCAGATCAGTACATGAATCTCTTGGTAAGCACCATAATACATTGACTCTGATTGAATTGAATTTGATTTAGTGTTGTTTTGAGGTTTAAAACTGAACTCGGGGCATGGGCAATGGCAATTTAAGGTTTGTATTGAAATTTAAAGTATACGAGGAAGAGAGAGTGTTAATTAATAGTTTTAATGCAGGCGCAAAAATCAAATTTGGAAGGGCTTTTGCAGAAGCATGTGGAAATGGCGGCTGAGATAAAGAATCTTGACACTGATTTGCAAATGTTAGTGTATGAAAATTACAACAAGTTCATTAGTGCGACTGATACAATCAAGAGGTATTGCTTCCAATCCTTTTATATTCTCGATGAACCTTTGCTGAGAATCTGTTAGAAGTTCCCTTGAATGCTTTCTTTTTCATTTCCAAATCACATTAAACTTTGTTGGAACCTTATGAATGACGCTAGTATAATTTTGTTTATTTACAGGATGAAAAATAACATTGTAGGCATGGAAGCAAATATGGAGCAGCTCCTTGAAAAAGTATGCACACGACTTGCATCTGAATGCTTACCCAATCTGTGCTTTTTGTTTTTTCGTGCTTGTGTATCTATGTGCGAGAAAAGAATGGCAAAGAATAATATAAACTCAACCAATCATTGCAGATAATGTCAGTGCAATCAAGGAGTGATGGTGTTAACACTTCACTTTTTGAGAAGAGAGAACATATAGAGAAATTGCATCGCACACGTAACCTCCTTCGTAAAGTTCAGGTACCCATATCACTGGCACACCTTTTTTATGGTTTATCTATATTTTGGTACATATTTTACTTTCTTTGACCTTCGCAAACATACACTTCAGCAAACCTGAACCAAGATCAAGTATTCTTTTTTGGGGGATTGACCTTGGAGAATTATGAATCAAATTAGAACAGGGGCGTAGTTCGATTTGTTGACTCATCTGAGAGCTTGTTAAATAGTGTCACCTGTTACTGTTAAATTTTGAATGGATGGATACTATGATGCCTATTTCTCCATTATATCAGTAGTTGTTTATAGCAACTTACGAGTCTCACCATTTCCTCTTGTATGGAAAAGGGCAGTTCATATATGATCTTCCTGCTAGACTTGGGAAATGTATTAAATCAGAGGCATATGCTGATGCAGTCAAGTTGTATACCGGAGCAATGCCAATTTTTAAGGTTGCTATTCTTTATCTCATCTTCTGATGGCTGTATCACAATTTCATTAATATTTTATTGTTAGTTGCTTTTGGAGTCTATTTTTCTTGCGTATGTCATACATTACTTCAAAAGTGTTAATTGTTCAATAGTATCTGTATTAGGCATATGGGGATTCATCATTCCAGGACTGTAAGCGAGCATCTGAAGAAGCTATGACCACAGTTATAAAAAATTTGCAGGTAATTTTCAAGCCAAACTAAGCTCGTAGGTGGAGGGCTAGTAAATTTTTTCTCTCTTACTCGTTGTTTAGCAATTTATATTCCATTTCCAGAGATTAAATTTGATGGTAATTTGAACAAGATGCTTATTGTGAAAAAAAGTATTGCAGTTCACCTTTTTATGTGTTCTTATTGCTAATGCGAAGTCTGTCTCATTGTATTGTGCTTTTAAGGGAAAGCTATCCTCAGATACTGAATCCATACAGGCAAGGGCTGAGGCTGCAGTGCTTCTTAAGCAGTTAGATTTTCCGGTTTGTACTTTGAATTTATCACTTCTGGTTATGTTTTAGTTGGCCAGCATACTATAGTTGCATGAAAAGAAGGGAGTGTATTCTGGAGTATTTGCAGAACAACTGTCAACTTTCATTTTATAATGCTTGAATTCTTCTTATACATGCAAATTGATTTTTCTCTGTTGTCATGCAATTTTTTGAGACGGTAAACTTGTGATGACGAATGTCTTATTGTTTTGACAGGTGGACAACTTAAAAGCTAAACTATTTGAAAAACTAAAACAATCTCTTCAGGACCTTCACCTAAAGACAGAAGAAATACTCAATGTTTTGCCTAATTCTAATGATCCTTCAAATCCTGCTACCACAGTTGATGTAAGTGAGGAAAGAATTATTACTTTTCATTTGTGCTTATTATGACAACAACTCTCTGCTTTCAGTTGGGTGTCTGTATGTGCACTCTTTCTTTCCATTTCTCTTTCACTGTTCATCAGTTCCCAGACTGAGAAGTTAAATTCTATCCTTGAAAATGTAACCTTAGGGTTCTGTTCATGAGTTTGCGGAAGCTATCCGAGCTTATCGAGTAATATTTCCAGACTCAGAAATGCAACTAATTAAACTTTCACAAGACTTGATTACCAAGTAAGTTAGGGTGTGCGCTAGAGTTTGGAAAAAGTTATATATTATTTTCGAGTAATATTTCCAGACTTAGAAATGCAAACTAATTAAACTTTCAACAAGACTTGATTTACCATAGTAGTTAGGGTGTGCGCTAGAGTTGGAAAAAGTTATATAATATATATATTATATATATATATATAATATAGTATTTATAATACTATGTCTGGATGACAATTGGGTTTCAATATATATACTAATGCTCCTGGATGACAATTGTTTCAACTTAAAGTTCATAAAAGCAGTTTATTCATGTGACTGATTGGCATTTGTGGCTATAGGCACTTTGAAATCACTGAACAATACGTAAAGGAACGGACTTCTGTTGCAAAATTTCTGGGTGTTCTCCGTAAGTATCATGAATCCCCTAACGAATAATATCTTTGCATTCGTGATTTTTGCACCAGAAATCCTTGTTGCACTTTAACTAGTTATTCAATCTTTATTCTTTTAGCTTTCATTCCTTACCCTGCAAATGCTTTCACTTACCATCAAGTGACTTCACTTGTGAACTTGCACTTGGGGTGTTTGTTTCCACCTTCCATTGTAGGATAAGAACTTAGCTTACTTTATGCAGCTAAGATGTAATATAGCGTTCTATTATGGGATGTGAGTGACCTGCAGTATGATCTTCTTCTACTTTGCTCATGATTTCTTTTCCAATTTTTTCTAGAATTTTGTCTCAAGTCTTCTTCTGAGTTCATGTTTGTGATTCTTACGCTTCTACTCCAGGATTAGCATTCTGAAAGTAGGCATCTCTATTCTCTAGTGCTCTGCTAATATAAGAAGCTTGCTTATCATTGCTTACACCTTGTGTTTGGCTGCTTGGCTTAGCTATTCTTGTAACTAGCAGTTTTCTTTTCTTATGTGATATGCAAAACGAAGCTTCCTCACCAAGAAGGTGGTGAACTGAAGTTCTTATCTTGTCTACATTTGCATCAATAAGTTTTCTTCATAGGCAATGGTGTTATGATGTTAAAAAAGGATGTCTGTTGGAGTAGGCCCTACAAGACTTGTGGATGCGCCCAATAGTATTAAACTTATCTTTCACCTGTAGACTATTGTAGTATGCTTGATGCCATTATTGTTATCTTTCATCTGATAAATTCATTATTCTCATTTTCTTATTGTTCTTAAAACTGTTTTCCCTGGTGATTTTAATTTTGATAACTGTCATTTGTTGTTCTTTCTAATTTGGCAGCATCCCATCTTATTTGTTGAAATTCCTTGACAAGTGCAGGACTCATATGGAGAGATGTAGACCTGATAGATGAGGTTTTGCATGAGGCTATTCTCCCTGACTATTCTTTGGAGGTTGTCCTTTGATTTTTATTCTCATACTTGACAACAATCTAAATCTGCATTCTGTCACTCTTATTTGAATGACTGACAATCTGCTGCTAAGTCCAATAAGGAAACTTGTTATGCTGATTAATCCTACTTGGTTTCAGGCTGCCCAGGTTGTTGTCAAGCAGTATGTTGCAAGCACATTTTCTCACCTTTTGCGTGATATCTCAGGTTACAGTTACTATTTTATTGAAATTTTAGTTCTATAGTTACATATCATAAACAGAAAAGGAACTTGGTCCTTCTTTTTTTTTTTTTTTTTTTTGTGTCCTTTTCCCTTTTGTTTTTTTTTATTTTATTTTCCGCGTTTCAGTCTTAGTCCGTTAAGAAATGGATAAGTAGCCAACTAAGAATCTTGAGGAGTGCCATACTCTTATATGATAGTTTTTAGGCAATGGCAGCACTGTTATTCATCTGAAAAAGCCTAAAGCGAGAAATTAAATGATATATTCTTAATATATAATTCCCTTTTTATAATTAACAGTTGACTTAACGATCTAAATTACATCTGCTCAAAACTGGCAGATTCCCCTTACTGTTAACCGTCTATATTGAAAACAAAGGAGGATAGGAAGAGCATCCCTTGCAGGTTGCCTCTGGAACCAAGCAAAAACACAATGCTCAAAGGAAGCATGGATCTCTTAGAGCTATATATGAGACCCTAAACTAGTCAATGAACAAGAGCAGTCTAATTTCCTGTGTATTAAAATTATTCTAAAATATGTCTACATATATGCTCATTCATACTTGAAATAAAATTTCTTTCATTATAGTGGATGTGCCCTATTGGCGAGTACCTAATTGATATATGTCTAGGATATAGGTGTATTCTGGTAAATGTTTGGTTTGGAAAATTAGGTGTGTTTTTTTTTTTTTTTTTTCCGGTTTCAGTTCTTAGTCGTTAAGAAATGGATAATAGCTCAACTAAGAATCTTGGAGTGCCATAAACTCTTATAATGATAGTTTAGGAATGGCACATGTTTATCTGACTGAAAAGCCTAAGGAGAAATTAAAATGATATATTTCTTATATATAATTCCTTTTATCATTAAGTTGACTTAACGATCTAAATTACATTCTGCTCAAACTGGCAGATTCCCTTACTGTTAACGTCTATATTAAACAAAAGGAGGGAGAGGAAGAGCATCCCTTGCAGGTTGCTCTGGAGACCAGCAAAAACACAATGCTTCAAGGAAGCATGGATCTCTTAGAGGTAATATATGAGGGACCCTAACTAGTAATACAAGCAGTCTAATTTCCCTTGTGTATTAAATTATTTAATATGTCTTACATATTGCCTCTATCATATTGAAAAATTTCTTCATTATGTGGATGTGCTATTTGGCGAGTACCTAATTGATATATGTCTAGGAATAGGTGTATTCTGGTAATGTTTGGTTTTGGAACATTGGGTGTGGCTGTATAGTCATAAGGGTCTCCCTTTTTCTCCCTTGTTGTTGTCTACGTGCGGCTCTTGAATGCTTGCGCTTTGACATCTTTTTTTCACCCTTCAACGCTTATTGATACATGCACATGTTCATCAGCCGTTTTGAATGTCTATCTGACCTTATTCATTCCAGGACTTTCGCCAACTTCTTGATGAAGATATAGGATTGCTTCTTAAATTGAGAGACTCGATTGTTGATTGGGTTCAAGAAGGATTTCAGGACTTCTTCAGGGCTCTGGATCATCACTTCCTCTTGCTTTCTGGAAGAAATAAATTAGCTACTCAAGATCGAGTTTTGACAGAGGGAATGCCAGTTGACAAAGTGCTTGCTGGTCTTGTCCTGGTGTTGGCTCAACTTTCTGTTTTTATTGAACAAACTGCCATCCCAAGAATTACTGAGGCAAGGAACCACAAAATAGATTCATTTAAAATTTCTTTTTACATAAGTTTTAGCACTCTCCATAAGTTTGGGGTTTGCCTCAAAACTTTTGTTCTAATTGCCAGGTAATAGCCACTTCATTCTCTGGTGGTGGTGTTCGAGGCTTTGAAAATGGGCCTGCTTTTGTTCCCGGTGAAATTTGTCGAATTTTTCGGTCAGCCGCTGAAAAGTTTCTGCACCATGTATGAGTTAAAATCTTTAGATTTTGAAAGTTTTGAATTGAAACCTCTATGCACCATTATTATTATTGTTGTTGTTGTTGTTGTTGTTGTTGTTAATTCCTCTAGTTGTCTGAAAAGCCTACTCCTCCTTGGCATTAGTGCGGATTTTTAGTTATGAATAGAATAAAATGAAAACAGAGGATACATTAGCTGATTCCAACTAGTTTGGTATTAAGGCCTGGTAACTTCATTATGACTATTACAAGGCTATTTATTGGAACACTTTGCCTGATGTTGGAGTGATAGAATCTCTGAGCCTGTTTGTAGCCATCAATTATCTTTTCTATTGCTTATAGAAACTGCCCTCAGGATGTACACTATACATGCTGCACTTAGAACACCTAAATCATGACGGCACTAACTGAGTTTATGAAGAAATGCATCATGAAATGTTTTTATGGTTATGAAAATCATTGCTGCACTAGACATGGTAACTTTAGCAGTGGCAGAGTTGTGATTTCCACTTTGTGGGGCATAGATAGACGAATCTGTACTTGCAGATTACCTTTTAATTTTGATACTATACAAGGAATTTATCCACAATGCAAAAGCTATTTTTTGTTTTTTGAGGTTGACCATGTGGGTCTATGACGCTTCTTTTTTTTTTTTTTCTCTCTTTTTGGAGTTGTTTAGCATTTATGGTGGCATTTTGTTATTTTTAAGAAATTATTAGAATATCAGCAAGGGATTTACTGTTATGGTATCCTTTGCTCTCACATAAACATCTGCAAATTTTGTGGTTGCCATATATACTCTCTGTAATTTGGACATTGACTTTTCCAGTCTATATCTGAAACTTGGTTGCATTGATTTTTATCCAGTATATAACTTTGAGAACTCAGAGAGTGTCAGTTCTATTGAAGAAGAGGTTTAAAGCTCCTAATTGGGTCAAGGTCAGTATGACTGCCCAGGTTCTGTAGATTTAAAAGAATTGCTGGAAAGGGAGTATATAGCATTGAATTTATCTAATATTTTTGAATTTTTTACAGCACAAGGAGCCAAGAGAAGTTCATATGTTCGTTGATTTATTTCTTCAAGAGGTCTGCTCTTGGTTTCTTCCCCTTTCTGTTATCTCTTTAGTAATACTGAGAGATGATATTAGGATTCCACTGTTTTTTGATTCGGGTCGTTGTAATTACGGGTTGGATGTCTAATTATACACTTTCTGACAAATTGCAACTTACAATTATATGAAAACTAGTAGATTTGTAATGCATGGGCATGTGCCTTTTAGTGGTGAAAAGTTGACCAACTTTGATTTTGTCCTCACCAGTTGGAAGCAACAGGTACTGAAGTAAAGCAGATTCTACCTCAGGGAGCTATTCGCAAGCATCGTCGTTCTGAAAGCAATGGAAGCACTGCATCTTCTCGCAGCAATCCATTACGAGATGATAAAATGAGTCGATCGTATACTCAAAGGGCTAGGAGTCAGCTCTTGGAAACCCACCTGGCAAAATTGTTCAAGCAAAAAGTTGAGATTTTTACAAAAACTGAATTTACACAGGTATCATATTAGGATTGCTTAACTTTACTAGGGAGGAATAGCTGCAAGTGATGATGAGAATAATGTGGACTGTGTCTGGTTATAATTTGCAGGAATCTGTGGTAACTACTATAGTAAAACTTTGCCTTAAAAGTTTGCAAGAATTTGTCCGACTCCAAACTTTTAATCGGAGTGGGTTTCAGCAAATTCAGTTGGATATTCAGTTTCTAAGGGCTCCATTAAGGGAAACTGTTGAAGATGAAGCAGCCATAGACTTTTTGCTTGATGAGGTAATAGAGGGATAGCTCAATTCAAGAATTTGAGCACTTGTCCTGAAAGCTAATATTGGAATCTATGCTTGTTTTATTTGTTTTGTCTTTTACATGAAAATGCACTAGATATCTGGAAAAGGTTTGGTTGGAGGGAGGGAAATTGGGGTTGGCTTTACTTGTTTTTATGCACTCATTTCTCAAGAGTTTTGATCTTGGGGAAACATGATGTTCATTGTTACTTTTGAAAGTTTTTGGCAACAAATGATACGCATGCTTTTGTCTGTGGAGCAGGTGATTGTTGGTGCTTCAGAACGTTGTCTTGACCCAATTCCTCTTGAGCCTCCCATCTTGGACAAGCTAATTCAAGCAAAGTTGGCCAAAAAGAGGGAAGAGAATGCAATTGCTTCATAACTAGGGAGTGTCAAATAAGTGATTGCATTGTTTTTCAGTCATCAAGAAGTGGCAACTCAATACCTGACTGGAACGATCGAAATAAGAAGCTTCACTGGCATCTTCGGGCATATTTTGTGTGTTAAGTTGATTGGTACAGTCGAGTCTCAGGAGGCTTCTAACACTGGAAATATTTGAGCTATTACTGCAAAATGACTACAAATAACCTTCAGTCTGTATTCCTGCAACAATGAAGTTCACTCTTGAAAGTTTTGACCTTTGATTGAGCCTGACCTGATTTGCATTATTTTTGTCTTTCTGCTGAGCTAGTTACCAGCACACGCAAGCCAAGATGCAACTTGTATGGAATGTTCAATGTCCCCTATACCTTTGGGATCGTATAGCTGAAACATTGGCTGTGTATATGTGATTACATACATGTAAAATACGCCAATATTATTTATGAGGCATGCCTCTTTTATTTTTTTTATTTTTTTTTTTTCCGGGGGAGGGGGGAATTGGTAGTGCCTGTGGGGCCTATCAATCATTGGTGGACCTTCCCTTGCTTGTAATTCAGTGTTTCAGGAGGATTATGGCGCGATGTTGCAGTTTTTTCTCAATTGTGTGTGAACTTTATTTCCATTTTTGTATTCAAAGTGATAAATTACATGGGGGGAAGGAATTGATAAGTATCATTTGATGAGAATGTACAGACATTGAAGCCAATGTCATCCACGATGGGGTAATTTAAGTTGACTGAGCATAAATACCATCCTTAAAAGAACTAGTTGAAGTCCTATTATATTGTTGGTCAATGAAGCAAAATGGAAGAAAAATGAAAATATTGCAGAAGGCACTTCTTACCCGTGCTCCTAAAACTGGTAATGGAAGAACTGAGATTAGGTGGAATTTGGTATTTCCACTCTGCAATTCAGAGACAAGGATGGCACTAGAAAATTAAAAGACAATGGATACTATGTTTTATAATTTTATTCCTTTATAAAAAACTTTAATGAATGTCAGTATTACTGTCATTGAATGTATATAACGAGTCTTAATACCATGAATTAATATTTAAAGAAAAAGTTGGTTAGCAAATACTAAATTTATAACATTATAAGGTTTTACATGCTCATAAATTTTTAAGTCATATAAATTCCACTTATGGAGAACGTGGAGAGTTATTCATTAATTTGATAAATATTTAAAGGGAAGTACTGTCTGATATGTAATCTATAATATTATTATAGATGATTGAATTGACAGATAAAAAAAATAGTAATAATTTTCAAAAAAATTCATGGGTCGGCTTGGTATATGAACAGGGGCATTCGGTGTATGGCAAGTCCTATTCATTAGATAATAAGCAGAGTGAAAGCCCCTCGTAGAAGTTATTCAAACATAATTAGTAGTTTAATGGGTTTCGTACTTTATTCTTTTTATAATTTTTTAGCGGAGACAAAAAGCATCGGTGGCTGTAGTTTAGTGGTAAGAATTCTACGTTGTGGCCGTAGAGACCTGGGCTCGAATCCCAGCAGCCACACTTTTCATCTTTATTTTTCCATATTTTGTTCATCCGATCCCGAGCGTCCATCATCAACATGTCATATTTTTTCCCCTAGTTGGGTCCCAAATCAACGGTCCATCATATATTATGATATATTCTATTTCATTCCCTCCAAAGATGCGCCGTCCTCGTTATTTCCCGCCAAAACTCTTCTTACCTCTCATCATTTGGCGCCAAGCCAATCCCCTTCTGCGGCTCTTTCTCATCTACCTATTTTCATTCTGTCTCTCTCTCTCTCTGTGCTCTATCTCCTTCTCTTTCTGTGTCTATCTCTTGTTGTTGAGTCATGAAAGATTTAGACCTCAACGCAGACAAAGGTAGAATCTCCTTTCTTTTCCATCTCAATCACTTCTTTCTCTTTTTCATTTATATAATATTGTCCTCCTCTTTCTCCAGACTTGACGAAGGATTTTCTTTCGAATTTCGCCGATGCAATTGGCGAAGCCAAATATATGAATATTCTGGTAAGTTCCCTCTATTTTCTTTTCACATTTCTCCATCTGATCTCCAAATAGTAATACGCATCAAAAAGATAGAAGAACCCTATACACTGGTTGCTCAAATTCGACTGCTGAAATCTAATTATTTATGCAATCTTCAGTATCAGCTCTAACTGTTCTTTTATTTTCAGCAAGATGTTGCAAATCATAAGATTCGTGCAGTTCAGATAGATCTCGATGACCTTCTTAATGTAAATTTTTGTTCTCCTTCACTTCTATATATGATACTATTATGTTAATAAAAGTTCTTCGTTTGGTCTTAACTTTGAAATCTAAAACCCTAATGTGCTGTTAATTAACTGTTTTGAAGTATAAGGACTTGGATGAAGAATTCTTTAGACGAGTTACTGAGAATACTCGCCGATATATTGGGATTTTTGCTGCTGCAATTGATGAATTGATGCCTGTCCCCACTGAGGCTTTTCCTGATGATGACCTTGACGTATTAATGACACAAAGATCTGAGAATGACAATGAGAATGCTGATGGTTCTGATCCGCAGCAAAAGATGCCTGCGGAGATCAAGCGTTACTAGTGAGTTTCTCGAATAAGTACTCCTTTGCTTGAAATGCTGTTGAATTTACTCTAGACAATAGTTTTTTAGATTTTTTGGACAATATATGCAGCTGAATTGCTGGATTGTTTCAATTTGAGGTTTCTAGCATTTATGTTGCTAGACCTTTTGTACCATAGGATTAGAATTGAAGGTAGAGATAATTTATACAGCACGAGTATGTTTATTGAAAAAAGAAAAAAAAAAAAAAAGGAAGAGAGTTATCTTGTGAATTTAGCATCCTATTTTTGAAAAATTCTAGTAATTGTAAACACTGTTATTCGTAATCCCATTTCTTAACATGTTTGTTCTGCTTGTAATCGCCAAATGCTGAATGTTAAACCCTGCAGATGTTACCAGTGCTTTATTAATTAAAATAGATTAATGGCTAGAATGCAGATTATCAATAACCTTTAACATAATCTCCATTAATTTAAACCTCTTTATCAGTTTTTGGGATCTTAACTGATGTTTTTTTGAGCATGCAATTTGTCACTTAATACAATGCACTACTGTCGTTTTGCAAAGAATAAGTCTAGGCTTCTCATATATGTTAACACAGTTCTGAAAATAATTTGCTGTTACTTCGATGTAGTTGATTTACTTAGTTGCTTGCTTTATTGATTCAGTGAAGTTTATATCAGAGCACCTTCAAAGGGACGGCCATTTACTATTAGAGAGGTTAAAGCTTCATATATTGGGCAGCTTGTAAGGATATCTGGTATTGTGACCCGATGTTCGGATGTTAAGCCATTGATGCAAGTAGCTGTCTACACCTGTGAAGACTGTGGTTTTGAAATATATCAGGTATTAAGCATTAACCATCAAGACATTACTGAAATTATTCTTGTCAGATTTACCGGCCAGTATGTTCTTAGCAAGTTTCAAGTGAAGGCCGTGATTCTTGAATTTGTTAGGAATCTTTTCTTTCATGATATTAGCGTTATGTATTTATTATCTTATACACAAACAGGAAGTAACTGCTCGAGTGTTCATGCCCTTGTTTAAGTGCCCATCTAAGCGTTGTGAAGTAAACAGAACAAATGGAAATCTTATTCTTCAACTCAGAGCATCAAAGTTCCTTAAGTTTCAGGAGGTAATTGTTTTGTTCTGCCTTTCAGTCAAATGGCAGTTATTGATTTTGGTTTTGTAATACATCCATGGTTTTCTGCAGGCAAAGATTCAAGAGTTGGCGGAGCATGTTCCAAAAGGTCATATTCCACGGACAATGACTGTTCACTTTAGAGGAGAACTCACAAGAAAGGTTGGTCAGTTCATGATTTATCTTTTTAGAGCACGCTTAACTTTCAGATAAGGAATGGTGCCTGGATATCAGCTGCTTATGATATGATGCCTCACAGTTTTATCTAAAGCACCCAACTGTGGCATGATGGACACCTACTAAAAACGGAATAGTTCAATCAATTTGGATAGCCTTTTTCCTGGATAGATATGCAACTACCTTTATGGCCTGCTTTATTTTGAATTGCCACCCAAAGAAAGAAAAAGCAATTGAAATCAAAGCAAGTAACTAGATATAAAGACCGCCGCCTTTTGATTCACCTTTGAGCTTAAGTGTTTTTTGTACTTTTCATGTTATTATGAGACATATCTTATCTGACTGTTTTGTTGATATTCCCAGGTAGCTCCAGGTGATGTCGTTGAATTATCAGGGATCTTTCTCCCAATTCCTTACACAGGATTCAGAGCACTTCGTGCTGGCTTAGTCGCTGATACATACTTGGAAGCCATGTCTGTCACTCATTTCAAGAAAAAATATGAGGAGTAAGCAAGTTTTCTGTTCTCCATAATTTATCACAGGGCAATTCGGGTTGCTGGAATTCTCCTAAGTGCTCTTGCTCACCATTTGCCAATTTCCAACTAACATTTTTCACTTCCCATCCTGTTTTAATTACTGAAGTCAATCTGGTAATTTATTCTACAACCAAAGGCTGTCATTTCAGAAATAAAACCATTTTGCTAGTATATGTTGCTCTTTTAATGGTAGATGATGTAAATTGTCACCTTTTCTTTCTTATAGATAAAACTTATATTTGTAATGAATGGTGGAATCTTGGGCTGATGAAAGAAACTATGCAATTCAGTAAGCTAATGTAAATCTGTTCAGTTTCTTTGGCATTTTTGGTTATTATATTGGGGAAAACAAATAACATCAGGATATGCAAATTGCAAAAGGATAAGAAAAGCAAGCACTGAAGTTTTCTTATCTTTGCTCTTTTTGTACCTTTTCCTTCTATGTGAACTAACTATATAAATTACAATGTATTGGGAACTTTTCGCATGTTGTATTAGTATTCAAACCCATTGATGCATGTTATTCTGCTTACTAAAATTGGGAAATTGACAATCTAGAATGAATAAGATTTTATTCTAATATTGGGTTATATTGTCCTTTGAATATTCCAGTGTTGAATTAGTGATTTTCTTTTGGAATATGAATTATGACTTAGAAGAGAGGATGGAATCATTTCAGCTGAAAAAGATATGGGAAGTTCCCCATAAGGTGTTTGAGAGTCCAAAGATCAAAAGAGTCGTGTATGGTATCTAATTATGTGCTTGGATAAAAGAAAATTCATTTACTCAGTTGTGCTTTATCACAGGTATGAACTCAGAGGAGATGAGGAAGAAAAGATTGCACGCCTAGCTGAGGATGGTGATATTTATAATAAGTTGTCGCGATCATTAGCACCAGAAATATATGGACATGAAGATATCAAAAAAGCATTGCTTCTTCTCCTTGTGGGTGCTCCTCATCGGAAGCTGAAAGATGGCATGAAGGTAATGCATACAGTGCTACGTGGCATTCCTATGCTTCTTGACAAATCCATTTCTGCTATAGTTTCTACAGGCGGTAAAGTTAAATTAGATTATGTCATTTAATTAGCTTTGGGATGAAGTGGTTTTCTTTGCTTTTGCTGTTGCTTTTGTGCCATGTTGTTTTGAAGAGGATACCTTATCTTCCTCTTTGTAAATCTTTTTGTTACTTTTTCCTTTTCCAATATTATATGCATTTTCCTGAAGAAAGCAGTTGAGATTCTTTCTTCTTGCCATCGTTTTTTGTCTGTGTATTGGGGTTGGTTTTGTTGCCTATCACCAGCTTACCTTTACATTTAGCTGAGGAAAGTGATTTTTTGTGATTCAGAATCTTCTGTCAATGGATAAGGTTTCTCTAGTACATATTTATGATAAAGTTAGTGCTTTCTGTGCAATATTTCTATGTAAATGCGGTGATAAAATACGGCAATTCAATTAAATTGCAGATTAGAGGAGATGTACATTTATGTTTGATGGGTGATCCTGGGGTTGCCAAAAGTCAGCTTCTGAAGCACATAATAAATGTAGCGCCTAGGGGAGTATATACTACTGGCAAAGGAAGCAGTGGAGTTGGTCTAACAGCTGCTGTCCAGAAAGATCCAGTTACAAATGAGATGGTCCTAGAAGGGGGAGCTTTGGTGAGATTTCTACTTCTTTTTGTCGTGCAACAGTTTAATCTGCTTAAATTGATTTACTCTTCTAATTCTGATTATATCTGTGTTTGAGATCCTGATGGAGAACTGTTATCTGTTTCAGGTTCTAGCTGATATGGGTATATGTGCTATTGATGAGTTTGACAAGATGGATGAATCAGATCGGACAGCTATTCATGAAGTTATGGAGCAGCAGACAGTTAGCATTGCCAAAGCCGGGATCACCACATCTCTGAATGCAAGAACTGCTGTCCTAGCTGCTGCCAATCCCGCCTGGTATTCCTGGCACTATCAATTTTTACTTTACATGCCGAAATCATTTTATGCTGTTTATGCATGTTTTCAATACATGACAACGCTTTTTTTCCCCCAATCTTACAGCAAAAGAAGACCTTCCCATATCTTTTCATGAATAAGTCTAAATGTAATTTATTGATTATGGAGGTCATTTAATTTTGTTGTAGGGGAAGATACGACCTAAGGAGAACTCCTGCTGAAAATATAAATCTACCTTCTGCTCTTCTATCAAGATTTGATCTCCTTTGGTTGATCCTTGATCGGGCAGATATGGACAGTGATCTTGAGATGGCTAGACATGTTGTTTATGTGCATCAGAATAAAGAATCTCCTGCTCTTGGTTTCTCTCCACTTGAACCATCTATTCTTCGGTAAATATCAGAACTTCAGGGAGAAACCAATTAAATGTCTTAAAATTGACTGCTTTTTCGTTCAATGCTTGCAGAGCATATATTTCAGCTGCTAGGAGATTGTCACCTTATGTCCCCAAGGAGTTGGAGGAGTATATTGCTACTGCATATTCCAGCATTCGACAAGAAGAAGCTAAATCAAATACCCCACATTCCTATACAACTGTTAGAACTCTTCTCAGCATCCTTCGTCTATCAGCTGTAAGTTCCCATAATCATTTGCTTATTCATAATAATTGCTGGTCCTAGGAAGGCAATCAGATTGTTCTTGGTAGGGTGTTACCTTGAATGATTTCAGACCTGGATTCTAGTCCCTCTAAAACCATCTCTTTTTCAGTTCTTACACGACTTCTTGTAAGGAAGCATGAGAAAGACGATAAGTATGAAAAAGGATTGTATGCGGTCTAATATTCTGTAATAAAAATGGCAGCATAAGTTCTCAATACATCTTTGGTTTTTGAGTTACATCAAAAAGCTTGAACTGATTTCATTTGGTTGCAGGCTTTAGCAAGACTTCGGTTTTCAGAAACTGTAGCTCAGAGTGACGTGGATGAAGCATTAAGATTAATGCAGATGTCAAAATTCTCTTTATATTCTGATGATCGTCGGAGATCCGGTCTGGATGCCATCTCTGATATATATTCAGTCTTGCGGGATGAAGCTGCAAGGACTAACTCAATGGATGTGAGCTATGCCCATGCACTCAACTGGATCTCTAGAAAGGTTAGTACATGTAATAAATTTAATATAATTTAATTTGTCATTACTCCGTGGTTTCAAAACCAAAAATGCATAACCGAGGACTAATTATCTCCAAATGTTGCTAGTATCTGATAAGCCATTTGGAGGTCCTGGTGATTTTATTCGAACTTCTTCTCTTTCCCTCAAAATTACATGCACTCGAGTAACCTGATTGCTTGAACTTGAAATGCTTGTGTTTGAACAGGGGTACAGTGAAGCTCAGTTGAAGGAATGTTTAGAGGAATATGCAGCCCTAAATGTGTGGCAGATCCATCCCCACACCTTCGATATCCGGTTTATTGATGCTTAACAGGCTTCGTTGTAAATTATTGTAGTAACTTTTCCATTTTTGATTTGTAGTTGTCAGATTAACTAGCATTCCCAAAAAGATTCAGTGGACAGTTCAGATTATATATTGTTAACTTTTGTAATTGGATCAATTTTTAAACTTACCAAAATAGCATGGATTGTTAATGCCATTGTTGTTAGTTTTGTAGACTTAGGATGCATTATTGGAAGTTACAACTTTATTTCTTCATTTCCTAACATGACCAAACTGGAAGAAGGAATTGGACTCCGGGGCTTTTATTCCACATATACTTACCAAACCAGTATTTTTTTTTATTATTTTTTTTATCTCTGAGATATTTTTAAATTTAGCAACGTTTCGAATCAAATTCGCTACTTTTTTTTAATAAATTGTTGATTTTATTAATTTTATGCATGCAAATTAATCACTCCATCTTACAAGAAAAGTAATTTTTCATCTCGTAATAATAATATATAAATAAACTCTCTCTCTATACATTTATCATTAAATACAATTGATTATTTTTTAGGTTAATTTAAATAAAATTACTGAATTAATTAGGTTCGAGTAACAGTTATGTATTGTACACACTAAATCATATTCTAATGGCCTAACTATTTATTCAGATTAGAACTTTTTTCTAATATTCGAAAAAAAAAATTATACATTATTAGTTTATTTTATTAATTATTTTCCTTTAATTCGTGAATTAGTTTTCGGGCAGGAAGCAGCTGCAAACCGGCTTACCGCTACTAGCCTACTACCTTGTAAAGCAAGAACGCTTAAACCGATTCCACTTTCTAAGACAAATATAACCCTAGAAAAATCCTTCAGGCTCGAGGAACATTGAAAAGTATATTGGGTGCATCAGTCATTTCATAATGTGAGTGCCCCATTCATCTAATTTGTACTTGTAGCACCCAAATCAAAGCCCTCTTAATCAAATCCATTTTCCTATATTACATCTTAATTAATCTCCAAAAAAACATTATTCCCTTCTAGATTAAGCTTTTTTTTTTTTTTTTGCGAAAGCAGCTTGCAAACCGGCTTTACCGCTACTAGCCTACTAACCCTGTAAAGCAAGAACGCAAACGATTCCACTTTCATAAGAACAAATAAACCCTAAAAAATCCTTCAGTCTCGAGGAACATTGAAAAGTATATTGGGTGTCATCAGTCATTTCATAATGTGAGTGCCTCCATCATTCTAATTTGGTACTTTAGCACCCCAAACAAACCCCTTAATCAAGATCCATTTCTATATTACATCTTAATTAATCTCCAAAAAACATTATGTCCCTCTTAAGATTAAGCTTTTTTTTTTTTTGGTAAAATCTCCTTGTTCGTTTTCATGTTCAATCTCCCTTCTTACGCCTGCACAGGAAAAAAAACCGACTAAAAGAAAAACCTCGAAACGTGATAACCAAAATTTTCAAACAAATGTAAACCTGATGCTATTTCTTTCCTTCATATTGCATCCTTCTCATGTTCCATGTCCCAAATTATATATATATATAGTAAATATATATATATATATATATTTTTTTTATATATTATAATAATTAATTTTCTCCTTAACCACTCTGGGTCGCTGCTTTGAGTGGAAGAGGCTTGGAGTTTCTTACCTAAATCTCAGGTAAAAAAGAAAGAAAAACAAAAGAAAAGATCATCTTACCCTTTCTATTAGATCTTATCGTTTAATTTCAATGCAGCTATATAGTAGTTTATGGCTTGATTGATTTTGCTCCTTTTTGGTCTCTATTTGTTGTTTGAATTTATCCTGATCTCAGTGAGTGTGATTTTGAAAAATGTCATGCACTTTTAGCTTGGAGGAAATAAGGTTTCTCAGTTGGAAGATTTGCTTATTAGGTTTTTTCTTATAATATTAATTTTGTTCGTTAATCAATGTTTAGTGATAGTATGTAGCTATAAAGCATCAGAATACCGAGTAGTTGTACACAATTTAAGGTTCTAATTCTCTCTTGAAGTACATGTTTAATGTTATTATTCTTGAAGGTTGTTTGACTGATGTTTGTTAGCAACATATGTTTGTTGAGATATTATTTGCTAATTTGGACAATTTTAGGTTATGGGGTTCATAGTTGTCAAATTGATAATTGAAATTTTTATTTTTATTTTTACGATCTAGAACGAATAGAATATTCAGTGTAACTTTTCAAAATTAACTATACATATAAATATGGATTTTTTCCCATTAATTTTGTCAAAAGATGCTAAAAATTCAATTGCAAATAATGTATTTATGTAAATTTCAATTCTAAATCATTTACTAAATGCAAACTGAAAGAGAACTTAATAACTTGTGTAGTTTTCAAGTTTAAAATATCAAACTATGAAGTTAAAACGAAAAAAAAAAAAAAAAGCTTAAAAACGAAAAAAAAAAAAAAAAACAAAGTAAATATCAAGCATTAAAATTCCTAATCCAAATCCTTAATTTTATTTATTCATTATCATTTCCAAATTCAAGTCTTTCATTATCTTCATCTTCTAATATAACTGTACTCTCCCGCTCTTCTTTCTCTACTTTGACTTTCATTGATGAGAATCTACTCGAGATCGTAAGATTCGAATCGTATGAATCATAAGATTCACGATCAATACTGATTCACCCATAAGATTCAAATCGTTTAGCATGGAAATTTATTTGAATCTTACAAATTGCATGAATCATAAGATTCACGATCAATACTGATTCACCCATAAGATTCAAATCGTTTAGCATGGAAATTTATTTGAATCTTACAAATTGCATGAATCATAAGATTCACGATCAATACTGATAAGATTCACGATCAATACTGATTCACCCATAAGATTCGAATTGTTTAGCATAGAAATTTATTCGAATCGTAAGATTTGAATTGTTAATCGTAAGATTTTGATAACACTTGGAAATAATTTCATGTGGTAATGGTATTCGTAAACAAAGAAATGACATTAACAATATAATTGGCTCAGATTTGTGTGGAATTCTGGAGTGTAACTAGACTGTGCTTCTAACATTGCCTTTTGCATTTAGTAGATTATAATGTTAATGTCCTTCGGGTAAACTTTGGCACTAATATCGTGTTGCCTGCTGATTAAGCTCAATAAAATGTATACAGAATTTCACAGAAACAGTTGCTGCAAACAAATAATCCCCTTGTTGTACTGCTGTTCTTCCCTTATGCCTCTCTTCTGTTTCTGTATCTACCTCTTTGTGCATTTGGTATTGTTACAGTGTGGAATGCTTTAGCTTTTCCTAAAGGTAGATGGAAAAGCAAAATAATGAACTTTAGCGCCAAATGGAGGCAAACTCTCTCCCAAATCATAAAAATCTTCCAAGCGTCTAGATATCTATGGTAGTGGGTTGTAGTTGAGATTGGATTGGATCTTAAACCACTGGTAGGACACTTTATATAGTGCAGCACAGTTAGGAGGGTTATGAGAATAGTGATTGGTGAGAAAGTGACTTTTTAGACAGTGTTCAAGACATTTAAGGCAGATAATTGATGCAAAAAGATTAGGAATTGTGTTACTATGGTCAAGATTTTCACGGGATGCAATAGAACAGGGAAGAACCAGACTGTTAGGTCTCTATGAATGAGATTCATATCTGGATTATTAACTAATATTTTCACTTTGCTGACACATGATATTGAAAGGATCTCGTAGGCTTGTGATTTTTGAGATAGTTGGATCATTTGCACTTGCACCATGTAGGCCATTTTTCAATTGTCAACGTCAGCTGTTTTTTTTTTTTTTTTTAATGGTGTACTACATGATGCGAGTAATTCATTATTTAGTTAAGCTGAGCTCGTAGTGCTGTCCCTCCAAATGGTGCAAGCAACATTTATTCTCAAGTGTATGGTTTGAGCTGAGACTCATTGATACCTAATGCTTTATACAGCTTGTGTTCTAATAAATGTACACTTAGCAACATAACTTTAGGAGGTCCTGAGATATATTGTATAATGTGTATATAAAAATAATTGTTGAGTGGTTTTGCATAATTTGGGAATTCTGATGCATGAGGACAGTGTATAACAAGTATGTATGCTTATGTTGGAATGTTGCCTTGTGTGGCACCTTGTACATGCTTTGTTTGGGCAGGTTCATGTTCATGTATCTGGAGGTTCAAGCATGTTCTATGACAGTTTATTTTCTGGCTGTGGTTGTTAATCCCAATTAATATCCATCATTCCTTTGGATTGATATTATTTTTCTGATTCATTTTCAGATTTCGGTAATTTTTTTTTTTTGCAAACTGTGTCTTATGTAGAATGCTTTATCTGTTACTTCTGTTTTTAAATGCTGTGTCTATAATGTGAAGTCACTGAACAAGTGCTTATTTCCTCAGGTTGCACTGAAAAGAAATGGACTTGTGGAAGTGTGCATCTTCTATTAGTAAGGCACCTTTAAATACTTCAAATAACATGGTGGAGAAGGCTCAGTTTGAACAAGGAGAAAGGAATGAGATAGATGTAGACCTTAGAGAAGTTTACTTTCTGATTTTGCTTTTTCTATCCTCTGGGCCTTGCCAAAGGAGTTATGGACAATTTTGGAATGAGCTTTTGGAACATGAACTTCTGCCAAGAAGATATCATGCCTGGTTTTCAAGAAGCGATGCACATAGTGGGAATGATGATGATGATGGCGTCTCTCTTCCATTAAGTTATGATAAATTGATGGATAGGTACACATGCTTCATCATTTTTTTAAAGTAAATGGGATTTTTTAGTTTTGATATCAGTTAATATAATTTACGATCTTCCCAAGGAAACTTTATTTCCATGAAATGGCATCGCTAGATCGCGTAGCAAGTGAAATAGATTTGATTTTTTCACGTGTTTAATTTCATTTAATTAACTTTTGAAATTGTAAAAACTTTTAGAAAACCAGCGGTTGAACCTTAAATTTATTTTCACGATTTTAATAACTTTGGTTTCAAAAGATTAGTTGGCCTTCTTAGGACCCCCCCCCCCCCTTCTTTTCTCCCTCTTTTCTTTTTTCTTTTTCCTCTTTTTAAAATAATGCTACTCAATGTTTGCATGCTTCCCCAGATATTTTTAGAAATTGATTAACTGGAGAACTGCTTTCCAATAGTAAAATCTAAGCATTGAAATTCTCCGTTTGGAGTTCATCGCCATTTTATGGATTGGTCTTCTCCTTCTCAATCAAGTGAAAGTGAATATTTAATTATTCTGATAAACAAATATTGATAGCAAGACTCAAAAAGTTATTAAGTCATAAAAGGGAAGACTGCTCCTGTCAAAATATTGGATTGCTTTATACTTTAAATACTTTGTTATGTTGTATTTTTGCTTTATTTATCTGTAATGCTAATGGGACATGTCTTACCATTTGAGTAACTACCAGGTATCCTCATATTGAGAAGGATCATTTGGTAAAGCTTCTGAAGCAAATGCTGCGGCAGATTGCACCTCCTGTGCTTTGCAAGGTTCGAGACATTACACCAAATGCAGCTGCCATTCCTACTTTACTGGGATCCGGTTCCTTTTCGCTTCTGGATTGTATGTGATTCCACAGTACCATATAGTTTTATGAAATTCCTTTTTAAGATGAATCTTAGCAACATGCTTTACTCTGGTGTACATTTTTGTCCCCAAACAAATTCAATGTTTCCATATAAAATTGTATACCTTCAAGAATATTGCTTTTTTGCTGAAAATGAGATACAAGCATGAGATTATAGGCTTGATGCGTTGTACAACATAAAACTATGATGAGGGATAGGGCCAGTTTTGTTGTTCACTGAAACAAGACAGGGCCATGCCCTTAGGGAAATGCCCTTCTTTTCAGGTCATAGAGTTTGCTAATGTGGAGGCCAGTGGCTTTATTTTTCAACTCCTTTGCCATGGCGTTGCTTTCATAATGCAATAACATGCTTGGAAATTCCTGACACTGGCATGTTTTTGTTTGTAATTGACATAATAAATGCTTTCAGAAATTGTCGAATTTCATTTCTTACATTCACTTTATTGTGATGTTTATGTTGTATAATGCTTTAAATGTGAATACGAAGTGCTCTATGCTTCCTTAATAGTACAAGTAACTTTTGAGCAAAAATGTCGCCAGATTTTCGGCAAGAGTAAACTTATCTATCATGTGTTCATTTTCCATATTTTTGGTTTCTTTAAAAGATATTTTTCTTTCTGTGTCTCCCCTCTTCTTGGTCCATTTTCATTATTAGGTTCTTTTTGATTTATGTTGTTAACTTTTCCCCTTTTCTTGTTACTTTTTCCCAATCTTTTGGTCATCCTTTTTTTCAGGTGACAAAAGCGTGGATAAGCAAGTTGAGCCTCTGCCTGCGCACCTGCGTTGGCCTCACATGCAGGCTGATCAGGTGCATGGTTTGGGATTAAGGGAAATAGGAGGAGGTTTTGCAAAACACCATCGAGCCCCATCCATTCGTTCTGCATGCTATGTGATTGCTAAGCCATCAACCATGGTGCAAAAGATGCAAAACATTAAGAAGTTGAGGGGACACCGTGATGCTGTCTATTGTGGTATGGTTTTGTAGTGCTTTGAACTTGTACATTAACATTTTGGCTTTCTGCATTTCTTATTTAGATGATATTGATTTTTGGGAGTATGTTTACTAAATATATCATAGACCATGGCTACAGTAATTACCTTTCGATTTTTAGTCTTATTCGCTCTTATATCCAGTGACAGTTTAGCAAGCAAGAGACTTTCTTTTTTTTTTGTTTCAGAGTTAAAAAGGTGTTCTTTTTACTTATTTATTTATTTTGTTTTTGTGGGTTTTTGTTGTTTTTTTTTTTTTTTTTTTTGAGTAAAAGGTGTTCTTATTACTTATTTTATTTTATTTTTGTTTTTGTGGGTTTTTTTTGTTTTTTTTTTTTTTTTTTTGCGGGGGGGGGGGGGGGATTTGTTGGTGTTTTTGTGGATTTTGTTTTGGGGGGGGGGATTGTGTTGGTGTTTTGTGGATTTTGTTTGGTAGTGTCTTTTGAAAATTCTTCAAATGTATTATTGTTAGTGTCACTATTGGTATCACTGATGAAACCAACTAGGTAATCAATTCTATGAACTGTTTTATAATTGCAAAAATTAATAATAAATAAAGATTCTATTAGCTGCGTCCAAATATCTGTCAAATATTGTTAATGGTTTTCAATGCCTTGACAATTTTATGCATGTTGGCATATTTCTTTGAACAATTTATGCGGGCAATGAGATTGAAATGATTTTGCCTGTCTTTCTATAGCTATATTTGATCGCTCAGGGAGGTATGTAATTACTGGTTCGGATGATCGTCTTGTCAAGGTTTGGTCAATGGAAACTGCATTTTGCTTGGCAAGCTGCCGAGGGCATGAAGTGAGTTTAGATTGCATGCGCAAACATGTAGTATTTAGGTGTACTTTTCAAATCAATTTTATCTTCTCTATTTTAATATCGCCTTCTTGTTGCATGCTCCCAAGGGTGATATTACGGACTTGGCTGTAAGTTCAAACAATGCTTTAGTGGCATCTGCTTCAAATGATTTTGTTATCCGCGTGGTAAGAATTTCTACATCACTTTTAAGCGTGTTTGTTCTATATTATTCAATAACTATATAGGTACTTTTGCCAAATGACAAAAAAATCCTATACTTCACCCCTTTTTTTAAATTAGTATGTTTAACTCCGACAATGTTAAAAATTTTGGCTGGCTCACTGATTTTGTCAATTTCTTTGTCTACTCAAATAAAATATTATTTTGTCAATAACTGCAGAACATTAGCTCTCTCTTTTTTCCTACCCCTCCCTTATAACTCTCCCTCTGCTCACCCCCCTCCACCATCAATCATTTCCATTCAGACTATGGTGGTGGGTTCTAAGAGAAAAGGCCAGCATCTTTATAAATGTATTCTCATGGCTGGTCTCACTAGAGCTTGTGGCTATGTTGAAATTCTTTCCCTTTTCAAAGTTGATTTGATACATTTGGAAGCAAAATTCAACTTTCTTCTTTTTGTTGAATCAAGATAAGTAAGGTATCGTTTGGTATTGCACCATCAATCATTTCCATTCAGACTATGGTGGTGGGTTCTAAGAGAAAAGGCCAGCATCTTTATAAATGTATTCTCATGGCTGGTCTCACTAGAGCTTGTGGCTATGTTGAAATTCTTTCCCTTTTCAAAGTTGATTTGATACATTTGGAAGCAAAATTCAACTTTCTTCTTTTTGTTGAATCAAGATAAGTAAGGTATCGTTTGGTATTGGACTAGTAGTATTATAATTTCATGGGGCAGAAAACACATACACTTTTGATTATGCTTTTACCATATTTATGTGCTTTCAGTGAGCTGGCCAAAATTGTTAAATACAAAGTTGCAAGTAAAATGGGCTAAAATTGGAAGGCTGAGTTTTTGATGATTTGATAAAGCACAGTAATTTGTCAGCAATAAAAAATATATTGTTTGTTGGCAAAAATGTTACGTCAAAAGTTGAGGGTAAAGTGACCAAATTAAAATGATAACCTAAGAGATTGAAACGTATGCAAAGAACAGGATTTTTTGATCATTTGACCCGGTTTTCTTTTTTTGGGAGTCTGCTGCAGTGGCGCTTGCCTGATGGATTGCCCATATCGGTCTTGCGGGGGCATACTGGAGCTGTTACTGCTATTGCATTTAGTCCCCGGCCTAGCTCTGTCTACCAACTTTTATCGTGAGCCCTGCTTCTCAAATTAATGTTTGTTTATTGCTTCTTTAGTTCTTTTAAATTAGTCAATTGATCTGGTTTGACCATTTTACACTGAAAAGTTGAAGTTTATTAAAGTCCCTTTTCCAATTTGAGTTTCATGAAAATATTTCATTTTTCTCTGAAATTTTTGCGATGAGATATCATGACTCTGAATTTGACATCACGTAGCTACGCGTCAATAATTTAATTCCAGATGTATTTAAAATAAAATGATTCTCCTTTATTTGTACTACCAATCAATGGCAGATTTCATGAGCCAATAGCATCAAATCATCTCAATGTGGTCTGCATTATGAGGTCATGTGGCTATTTTATGATATATATCTTATGCTTATGTGGTGACCTGTAGGAAGACACCTTTGTCTATGTAAGTTTTATGTGTTTAATATCTGGAGCATTTCCCTTTCGGAATTCTTCGGGGATGTTAGTAATTCTGCTGACATTTGTAGGTCATCGGACGATGGAACTTGTCGAATCTGGGACGCTAGATATTCCCAAAGCATTCCACGAACTTATGTGCCAAAACCTTCAGATGCTGTTGTTGGTTAGATGATTTTGCATTCCTTTGTTAGGCATGATACCTGCTCATAGGAACAGCAGTAGTAATTTGGAAAACTTCTGCAGGTAAGAACAATGGATCATCTAGTAATGGACCCTCCTCGAGCAATGGTCCACCAAGCAATCAGATATTATGTTGTGCTTACAATGCCAATGGAACTGTCTTTGTCACTGGTAGCTCTGACACTCATGCAAGGGTTTGTTAATCATGTTAACTCTTGAAATGACTTTTTTTTTTCGGTCCATCTATTAAGGCAGTGTTTATAATTGTTATCTGTTTACATTGCTGTAACTCTAGTTTGATATCTTGATCATGAGCCAAACCTTGCAGGTTTGGAATGCCTGTAAACTTAATGCAGATGAGTCGGAACAACCGATTCATGAGATGGATATATTATCTGGTCATGAGAATGACGTCAATTATGTTCAGTTCAGGTTAGTCACTCTTTCTTATTAAATTATTTTCCCTTATTAAAGTCTTATATGAACTATTCTGCTTCATTGGCAGTGGCTGTGCTGTGGCTTCAAGATCTTTGTTGTCTGACACTTTAAAGGAGGAGAATATCCCCAAATTTAAAAATTCCTGGTATTTTAATATCTTCTGTGAATATATTTACTTTCTCCTTCAACGGTTCTTATGTCTCTTTTTTTGGGTGCTTGGACATAAAATCAATCTTCTGCTTTTTGACAAATGCAGTGGTCGCTTATTACTTAAAAACTTCATTGTGATCAGGTTCTGTCATGACAACATAGTTACCTGCTCTCGTGATGGTAGTGCAATTATATGGAGGCCTAGATCACGCAGATCCCATGTGAGATCCTCTAAATAAGTTTCCATCATTGTTTTCAGTGTTTGGCTACGGAGGAGTCATACTCTTTTTCTCTTTTTCCTATGAATTTTTCAGAATAATTTGGCTCCATCAGCTCTTTAAATTTTGAAATGCGGTAATTGAATTCAATAAATGTGCTACTCAGAATTTGAATGCATTTCTCTTATAATCCATTATTATCTTAGGGAAAATCTCTACGGTGGACAAAGTCATATCATCTGAAAGTTCCACCTCCCCCATTGCCTCCACAACCTCCTCGGGGAGGTCCACGGCAGAGAATTCTTCCAACCCCTCGCGGTGTTAATATGATTATATGGAGCTTGGATAATCGCTTTGTGCTTGCAGCTATAATGGGTAAAATAAGCATCACAACAATTAGCTTGTCTTGAATGGCTTGGCATTTCATATTTGATTTGAATAGATTATCATTTACGTATCACATATTTTGTATTAGTTCCATGGAAAATCATTTCCATGTTGAATTTCTTTATGGACAGGGTTTTTAAAGTCATCTATGACATTCATCTTAAAGTGAGATCTTCAGAGTGCTTGAGGTTGAAAAATGAACCAAGGAATGTATTTATGCCTTTTGTGAGGAGAAATGAGGCTTACACAAATTAATATAACATGGAAGGCTTCAATGGGGGAAAACCTCAAAACCATAGAAATGAAATCTGGAAAACTGGTTCTACTAATAGTTTGTTGCAAATGTAGATCCCATTCTAGTTAATTGAGAGAAATTGGTTGTCCACATTTAAAAATGTAGATCTGCAGATAGTCAGCTCCTATGGCACTGCATCTGAATCTTTGAAGGTGTTTTACTTAAAATTTATCTTCACCTTTGTGTTCAATTGCTTCTAATTTATGCAGATTGTAGAATATGCGTTTGGAATGCTGCTGATGGTAGCATAGTACATACTCTTACTGGTCACACTGCATCAGTAAGTGTCTCATTCATATTTTGATTCCCATCAGGCAAATATTATGCCAATATTGTGTCTATTATGCCTATTTCAGTCTCTTCTAGATCAGCGTTGTAATCTTCTCAACAACTTCATCATCCTTTTTACTCCTGCACTAGCCCTTTTTTTTAATGAATTTGACAGAATAAAATAAGTGTCTTTTTGTGCTCGAGATTGTATTTATCTTGGTGATCTGAAACACTTTCCGCATCTTATGTGTTTTCATCATCCTATGGTTTTTCATCAGGAATTTTATCTTTCTTTAATTTTTAAATCTTGCCTCAAGGATTGACTGTGTGATCATTGACTTTTTGGCAGTCTTATGTATTAGATGTTCATCCTTTCAATCCACGGATAGCTATGAGTGCCGGGTATGATGGAAGGACTATAGTCTGGGATGTATGTTTCTGGTTCCATAAATTTTTAATGAGTTACTGAGCTGCTTGTGTGTATGGCTTATATATAACTACTATGGTATTGTTATATATAGATATGGGAGGGCGTCCCTATTCGCATATATGAAATTGGACTTGGACGTTTCAAGTTGGTCGATGGGAAGTTTTCTCCGTAAGCGATTGAATCTTTTTTTTTTTTTTTTTTCTTCCGATTGAAATTCTTTTTTTTTTTTTTTTTTCGACACTGGTTTGTTTCAGGTGGAGATAGCATATGTAGACTTCCTTCCCTCTTAAATGGTTTTATTTCACTAGTTTGATTTATGTATTTGCAAAATGTGGTTTTTTTATTCCTTACAAACTTGCTCCTTTGGCCTTTTGATGTTTCCTTGATCAAGTTGTAAAGTCCCTGGACCATTTTTCAGCATCTTGAGGTTTTAGTTTTATAGAGCTGAGTAATAGAGACTTGTGGTCTCTTCAGTCAAATGAGATGCACAGGAGAGTTTCATGTTTAGGTGCAACATTTGGAGAATGTAATTTTTTTTTTTTTTTTTTTTTCGACACTTGGTTGTTTCAGGTGGAGATAGCATAATGTAGACTTCCTTCCTCTTAAATGGTTATTCACTAGTTTGATTTATGTATTGCATGTGGGTTTTATTCTTACAAACTTGCTCCTTGGCTTTGATGTTTCCTTGATCAAGTTGTAAAGTCCCTGGACCATTTTCAGCATCTTGAGGTTTTAGTTTATAGAGCTGAGTATGAGACTTGTCTCTTCAGTACAAAGAGATGGCACAGGAGAGTTCATGTTTAGGTGCACATTTGAGATGTAATTCCTTGGTTCCTCATGCTGCATGTGAGGCAATCATAAATTATATGCTTCATGCCTTTGCATATAGTGTCTTTTATGGCAGCGTTTAAAGATCTATTAAAGATGAACCAGAAAATATACATTCGGTTTTGCTTTACTAGTAAACTGAGTAAACCACTCCATGATTGGGTTTAAGTTTTTGCTATATGAACTTTGAGAGATGGTGAAAGTATTACAGAGAAAGAAAAAAGAGGAAGGGGTGAGTTAACTTACAATCACAGAGAGGTTTGATTTGCATCCAACACTAGCTTTCGTGTGTTCTTTGAACAATTTTTCTGAGTTCCTTGAATAAATCTACATATAACTATATAAACCTTCTTTGTTTCACAAGAAAGTGAGCTCAGCAAGAGGGCAAAATCATCACGTTATTAAGATTGCACTTACATTAACTTCATTTTTTTGGGAAGTTTGATATTTATAGCTCTTCACTCTTTGCGATATTAATGGGAACATTAAATCATTAGATGATGTACCAATGCATTTGCAGTTTCTTATTTTCTTCTCCTTTTCCCTCATGGATAATAAGTCTGTCTCTGTAGGGATGGAACATCAATAGTCCTTTCAGACGATGTTGGGCAGATACATTTGCTAAACACAGGCCAAGGCGAGTCCCAAAAGGATGCAAAATATAATCAGGTGTGGGAAATTTTCGTAATTATTTAACTTGGCCTTGAGCAAGTTATTTAATTGCTGTTTTTTATTACATATCTCTGCAGTTCTTCCTTGGGGATTATCGGCCCCTTATCAGGGATCCCGCTGGGAACGTTCTTGATCAGGTTGGTTCCTGTTTGCTATTACTTCCTTTGCAGTCATTTTTAACACTCATGCAACGGTCACTGTTGGGTTAGTGTTCAAAGGAACAAAAAAAGGGAAAAACTCAAGCCATTTACTTCTGGCGGTTTTCTTTAGTAAAGATGAATTCCATTCGTTCAGCAAGAAGCCCAATGGTGTCTACTACTAGATCCCCAACTATGTCAAATCCCTTATCATCTATTACTTTCATGAGTAGAAAATACAACTGATAAAATGATACTGAATAGAAAACAAATATTTTTAAAATTTCCTATTGCAATTGAAGGTCTTTCATCTCTTTTCAACTTAAGCAACTGATAGTGGGGTCAAACCTTTTGAAGGTTTATATTCCTTTCCACTGTTAACTTGAGATCGCTTGTGATGCAGGAGACACAGCTTCCTCCACATCGTAGGAACATTCAAGATCCTCTTTGTGATTCCAGTATGTTAGTTACATACGCCAGATTATTTCAGATATTTTCTGATGCAGTAGATCTCTGATATTTAGTGTTCAATGGTGCATTCTAGGCATGATTCCATATCCAGAACCTTACCAGATTATGTTCCAGCAACGTCGACTTGGTGCTCTTGGAATGGAGTGGCGTCCTCCATCCATAAAATTTGCTGTTGGTCCTGATTTCAGTTTAGGTCTGGATTATCAAATGCCTCCTTTGGAAGATTTGGATAGAATGATTGAACCACTGCCAGAATTTATGGATGCAATTTATTGGGAACCGGAAATCGAAATCCTAAGTGATGACAGTGATTCAGAGTATAATGTTGCGGAGGAATGCACCAGTGAAGGTGAGCAAGGTAGTTTTTGTTACAGCTCTGCCAGTGATCCAGATTGCAGCATGGAGGACAGTGATGGTGAACATAGTCAGAGAGATGGCCTTCGCAGATCAAGAAGAAGCAAACACAAAACTAAAATGGTGCTTCACTTATATCAATCCATTATCTGTTTCCCATCTCTTTCCAAAAGATAACCAAATGAAAATGATGTTATTGTTTCTAGGTTGAGTCCTCTGGGAGGCGTGTCAAGAAGAGGAATATGAATGAGCGTGACGGGTCGATATTTGGAAGCACTGGAGCTAAGAAATTAAAAAATGGCCAGAAAGTTAGTAAGAGGAAGTCTTCAAAGACAAAGTCATCAAGACCTCAGCGTGTGGCAGCACGCAATGCTCTAAATATGTTCTCCAAAATTAGTGGGACATCTACAGATAGCGATGATGAAGATGACTCAGAAAATGATACATCCAGCAGTGAATCAGGGATGCAAGATTCAGACACTCAAAGCAACATATCTTATAAATACGTACAGAATATGCGAGATAGATATGCAAGAGAAGAAAATATAGCTGAACCTCCTAAGTTCCCTGAATCTCAATCAAATGCTGGAAATAAAAAGAAATTAGTTTTGAAGTTTTCATTGCGCGATACTAAAAAGCCTGTCTCTCCAAAAGACAGCATAATCAATGCTGAGAGACAGAATGATCAGATGAATCCATCTCCAACACTTCATGAAACTGAAATTGAATTAAGCTCTAAAGATCCAGGATCATCTTCCTCAGATGTGTTTGGTTTGGAGCTGTCCCAGGACCAGCATAGAGTCCATATTACTGGTACAGGGTATCCTCAAAGGGTTGGGGATGACATAGATGAATCTGCAGTTGACAATGGAAACAAAATCAGATGGGGAGAGGTCAAGGTTCGGACATCCAAGTATTCTAGATCAGGAGATGTGATTCCAGGTGATGCACACAAGGAAAGCAGGATTGATGTTAATGGGTATGTAAAACCTGGAGTTTTTATACATCTCTTTTCATGAGAAAATTTGTATTATAGAATCTGTTTCAATGCAGGGATGAACAGTTTGAAGTGGATCAAGACGATGCAAGAACTGAAGCTGGTGAATGTGGTGCACAAATTGAAGCAAGTGAACATGGTGCTTCTGCAAGCCCTTTGAATAGAGCTCCTGATGTGGGAGACAAGATTTGGTCCGATTATGACAGAAACAGAAATTTCGATTCATTGGAAGCAAATGCATATGCTGCTGTAAACCCTTGTCAGGGATTGAAAGAAAACCCTCCCAAGCTAAAAAGATTAAAATTAAGAACAAAAGGGAGTTTGATGGGTCCACAAACTCCTTCCAACCATACAGTTATGAGAGCAGTGAATGATTTACATCAAGGTACATTTGATGTAATGTCTGAAAGTCCCCCTTACCAAGAGCAAAATCAACTTATGGGAATGCGAGCAAAAATTGAAGGTTCTAGCAGATCAATTTCTTCATGCAATATTCGTGAAAGGGAAAAGTCACATAAGAGTAGGGCTGATTTAGAACATCTGGATCGTGTTATGGAAGAAAATTCTTCAGATGCTATGCGTAGAACAAGATCGATGAAGATGAAGGCAACTTCACGGGAGCCAAATGATGTGAACCATGCCTTGAGGATGAAAGTGGGTCATAAATTGGTTGGGACATCAAATAATGATGGTATTGGGCTCCTACCTGAAGGAAGTGCGGTCAATTCGAGAATTACAGTAAGATCAAGATCTGCTAGAAACAGGCGAGCAGATAATGGCTCAAAATATTTGATTTCACGGAATTCAAGTTTCCCTGAGAGGAAACTGTCATGGCTTATCTTGTCAAAACATGAAGATGGCTACCGTTACATCCCTCAGCTGGGAGATGCAGTAGTGTATCTGAGACAGGTACTTTTAGTTTTTCTCTTGATTCATGGTTTATTTCTTGGAATACTGAGGTTTGAGATTGGCATCTAATTGCCAGTTTGAATATTTATTCTTGGCTTTGGTTATTTCAGGGCCATCTAGAGTATATTGAATCAACTCACTCACCAGAAAAAGGTCCTTGGAGTTCAATTATGGGACACCTTAGTGCTGTGGAAATTTGCAAGGTTGAAAGCCTTGATTATGCCCCATGTCCGGGCTCTGGGGATAGTTGCTGTAAAATCATACTCAGATTTATAGATCCTTCATCTTGTGCATTTGGTAAATCATTCAAGTTGACCTTGCCTGAACTGATTAATTTTCCTGACTTTGTTGTTGAGAAAACGCGGTATGATGCTGCTATCGGTAGAAATTGGACCCAGAGAGATAAATGCCTGGTTTGGTGGAGGAATGAGAATGGGGAAGATGGTAGCTGGTGGGATGGTAGAATTGTTTCTTTGGATGCAAAATCTAGTGATTTTCCTGACAGTCCTTGGGAGAGATACACGGTATGCTACAATACTGATTCACACGAAACCCATCGACACAGTCCCTGGGAACTGTATGATCCTAAAGTGCCATGGGAGCCCCCTCATATTGATTCTGAGATCACTCAAAAGCTGCTATCTTCTTTTGATAGATTAGAGGAGTCAGTGAGCAGAAATCAGGTACCTTTACTGCATTCCCCTTTTGGTTAAAATTTATAAGGAGTTTGAATCTAGAAGTGAAGTGAATTTGACATTATTAATATGGCATAGCACGAAAGGTTTTTCCTTGTGGTCTTGATATAATATTCTCCAAATATTTCAGGATAAATACGGATTCCAAAAGTTGAATGAAGTTTCTCAAAAATTGGATTTCTTTAACAGGTATCTATATTTCCCTTGAACTCTTACCTTAACTGCCCTTTTTATTTGGCTGTGTGAATATATTGGCCTAGGAGGGTCATGCTGATGGAGTTCCATAAATCTAGGGTTAATTTTTATGTAAAGAACAAATATATTATTGTAAGCAAATCAACTTCTTGTAGTAATATCTGAAAATTGTGAATGTGCCCAATTGTGAAGAATGTGCCCTACTTTACTTTCTAATAGGATATGCAGTTTATGTAGAAACATAGGAAGAGTTAACTAGCAACTGTATCTTCTCAATGTGATGTCAAATTAACTTTTTCTTTTGAGCCCGTATCTGAAAATAACTTTGAATTTTTCAATGAGGATGAGGTAGAAACTTATGAATAGACTAATCTTATTCCTGGCTGTCTGGGTTCTTGCAGGTTTCCAGTTCCTCTCTGTCCCGAAATTATCCGATCAAGGTTAGAAAACAACTATTACCGGAGCTTAGAAGCAGTGAAGCATGATGTAAATATAATGATGGAGAATGCCCAATCTTATTTTGCAGCGAATGCTGAGCTATCAAACAAGATGAGGCGGCTATCTGATTGGTATTCAAACAAACTGTCAAAACTGTGAGAGATGATGTCTCATGTTTTTTTAAAATTTTTTTTCATTTAATTTTTTTTTTTTTTATGTTTAACCTTTCGTGCTCGCTGATCCAATTTTTTAAAAAATGGATTATCTTTTACCAGCCATGAAGGCAATTCTCGATGAGAGGGAGCTATTGTCATCCATGTTGTCAAAATGGGAGGGGTTACTTAATCTGTGAGTTACTCTCACAATGTATAGCCTTATTGACGAGCATTTAAAATAGAAAAGGAAATAGTCTTCATAATCTGATTTTCATCTCATGTTGGAAACCTAAAATTTCTCCGTACCTACGATGGATGCACACACAAAAATGCCTTTCTGCATGTCCACTAATTTTATATATGTGCTTGAATTAATTAAAATTATTATTTGACTTTTGCCAATTATCTTGTGTAATTGTTTTCACCCAGTTTCGAAATTAATATCTGAATATTTGGAATTTCTATGGAATAAATGCTATAAATAATAACTCGAGAAAATAAAAAGGGAAAAATCAATTAAAGGAGGCAATGGTCAAAGTTGACATTTGCATCAGCAAGTGGACCATTTTTTTCCCTCTGAGTTCATATTAGAAATAACTCTTCACACCTTTTTTTTCTTTTTTTGAGTTTTAATTTTTTATATATATATAACTTTTATTTATTTTTTCTTTTAGTATCGAAAGGTTCACGGTTAAAAATTATCTGCACATATATCAATGGAAATTGTAGATTTACTTTTAGATTTTTTTTTTCTATGCCCCTTTTGGTTTAACTGTGTGCAGAGATTGTTGATAGCTTGTAGATCTTAATGTTAGTTCATAAATATTATTAAAATGTAAACTGATAATTAAAAATAAAATTGTTTTATCATTAATTTTTAAATTTTAATGGTAAATATATTATTTTATATTTTAAAAAATTATATAAATAAAAATATTATATAATTTAAAATTCTATAAAAAATCATTATTTTTAAATTATTATAAACAATTTAAAAATAATAATTTAAAAATGATAATTTATTAGTAATTATTTTTTATGGGTCATCAATTGTTAACTACTAATACCAAACATATGATCGAGACAACTTTTAACTGCTAATTAAATTTTTATCAGACACTTATAACTTGGTTGTAAATTTTATGTTCAAAACATCCGTCAAATATATGGATGAACTAATTAAACACCCTCTTGCAGTCTTTGTTTACTATCAGATTTTTGCACCATAGTTTTAATATTTTAATAATAAATTACTATGTTAAGTATTTTAAATAACTTTTTACGAAAATAATAAAATATTTTGCATAAATTATTGAAAAAAAAAATTTAACTTTAGAAGAATATGAAATGTACTTAATTTCTAATAATAAAATGCGTGAATAAAAGATTGAAAAAAAAAATTTTTGAAAACTTATTTCTAGTCCCTGAATTATGTCTCCGTCTAACTCTTTAGTCCTATCGGAAAAATGATATATTTTTTTTATTAATTGTATATAAAAGATCGGAATATCCTTATTATATGGATCCACATTAGCATTTTTAATTACATGTAAAAGGATAAATTAATGAATTATGTAAAAATTCAGGACCTGAAATAATTTTTCCAAATTCTTTTTACCAATACGAAAACTTTTTGGATAATTCAAATAAAAAAATTCCAGAATACTCACGTGCCGTATATTTGAGGCAGGCACAACCCAAGCCGCTCACAACAATTCCTAATTCCTACTTAAAACCATAAAACCCTAACCCCATAACTCCCTTTCGCGCTCTTTCGGCCGCCGCCACTGCCGCATCGTCAGTAACAGAAAAAATGGCCGGCGGCAAGATTAAGAAAGAGAAGCCGAAGCCTTCAAGAGCACCGTCAAATCACTACCAAGGAGGAATATCTTTCCATAAATCAAAGGGACAACATATCCTCAAGAACCCCTTACTGGTAGATACCATAGTGCAAAAATCGGGAATCAAAAGTACCGATGTTATTCTCGAGATTGGTCCCGGTACCGGTAATCTCACCAAGAAGCTTCTAGAAGTCGGGAAAATGGTGATTGCTGTTGAGATCGACTCTCGTATGGTGCTCGAGCTGCAGCGCCGGTTTCAAGGCACCCCCTTTTCTAATAGATTGAAGGTAATGATTTTTTTTTTCTTTTTTAATATTGCACTGTACGTTAATTGGTTGCTCAGAAAATTCTTGAATTCAAATGAAAAAAGACATTGACTTTATTTGTTTTCTTTTAACATATGAAAAAATTCACTTGGTTATGTGATCCAGTTATTTTCTAACTTTTGGTCAATTGTCTGTTTAGTATAGAATTTTGGTTATTCAGCAACTAGTTTTTTTTGTCTCTCATGGAAATTGAGAGCTGAATTGGAATGCTTACGGTACTACAGTACTATTATTTCTCTTAAGATGTGCTTTGATATTTAATCATAGTAATATTGCTTCAGCAACCAATTTAAGCATGCATTGTAAAGGGAAAGAGGCCTTCTGCATAATACAATTGAACAATGAATTAAAACTAATAATTTAGATGCAATCCTGGTTTTGACAGGTTATTCAGGGTGATGTGCTTAAGACTGATCTTCCCTATTTTGATATATGCGTGGCCAACATCCCTTATCAAATTTCCTCTCCTCTTACATTCAAATTACTGAATCATCAACCTTCTTTCCGGTGTGCCATTATAATGTTCCAAAGGGAATTTGCAATGAGACTTGTTGCCCAACCCGGTGACACTCTGTATTGCCGTCTATCTGTGAATACCCAACTCTATGCTAGGGTCAACCATCTCCTCAAAGTTGGAAAGAACAATTTTAGGCCTCCACCTAAGGTGGATTCCTCCGTAGTTCGGATTGAGCCTAGAAAACCACTCCCGAAAGTGAATCCCAAAGAATGGGATGGGTTCATACGAATTTGTTTCATCCGAAAGAACAAGACTCTTGGTGCCATTTTCAGGATGAAAAATGTCTTGTCTATGTTGGAAAAGAACTACAAGACCCTACAGGCAATACAGACTTCTCAAAATGGTTCCTTGGAAGGTACTGATGCCCAGATGGATATTTCTGGACTAGGGGATCATAAGGAAGATCATAGCATGGACTTGGATAACGGAACAGATGATGAAATGGAGGTGGAGGATGGTGATACTGATGTGGAGGTGTCTGAGTTCAAAGAAAAAGTTTTAGCTGTGTTGAAAGAGAGAAACTTTTATGAGAAGAGGTCCTCTAAACTCACACAAGAGGAGTTCTTATACCTGCTTTCTCGGTTCAATATGGCTGGCATACATTTTTCATAATCATTTGAGGTCGAGTCTCAGCTGTTACATTTTACTTTTATTTTCTTACTTTAATTCTATTTTGATAAAGTTTTGCCAATTTTGTTTTCCTTTGATCGAAACATTTTCAGTATGTACTATACCTTAATTCAATAGAAGAAATCCATTATGTTGATTATTTGTTGTTATTGCTATTATTATCTTTTGAATTGTTAAAAACGGTGAAAAGCTAGATACTGGTGGTGTTCTATCAAATTCTTTAAGTGGATGAATCTCTACCGACCCTCCAGGATGTATTAAAGGATGCAAAGCAAAGCGTAGAGGCTTGCAAATGGCAGGCTTTTTCCTAAAAATTATTTGCATTCATTCTCTATTTCTATTATCCTCCCATATGGTTACAGCTTTACAGGTCAGTGGAAGCCTATCATAGTAAGCAAGCAAATTGCATGCGTAAATTCCTGTTATAAAACCCCATAGTTACACTCATAATCTTTTTGTAATTGTATTTAGATACTATAAAATTGATCATCAGTTTTTTTAAATTTTTCATTCACTTTTTTTATATTTCTTTTTCATACACACAGCTTTTTTTTTAAACAAAAAAAAAATATATTCTTGAACTAGATCTCATTTGGTTCACTGTAAAAGATGTACTTCATATAAATAGCTATTCCAAGCTAACACATCTGTATTTTAAAATTTGGTTGAATTTTAAAATATATAATAATTTATTATCTTTTTGGTAATTGTATTTAGATACTAGTATACAAATTGATCAATCAGTTTTGTTTAAATTTTTCATTCACTTTTTTTTTAATATTTTCTTTTTCAATACACACAGCTTTTTTTTTTAACAAAAAAAAAAAATATATTCTTGAACTGAGATCTCAATTTGGTTCACTGTAAGATGTACTTCAAATAAATAGCTATTCCAACTAACACATCTGTATTTTAAAAATTTGGTTGAATTTTAAAATAATATAATAATTTAATTAATATATAATAAATATTTTAAATTTATAAAACATAAATGTTATGAAGAGTTAATTTATTATATATAATAAATATTTTAAATTTATAAAACATAAATGTTATGAAGAGTAAAGAATATGTCTTTTATTTTGTGGAATAACTATTTTATATATTCATATTTCATTTTCCGAACTAAAAAAAGGGACTCAAATTTAGAAAAATTTCAATTTAGAGGTGACAATTGTAATTTTAGCAATTTGAGGGTTCATCGTTGTTAATTTCAGAAAAGACATTGGCCGCTAAAGAAATATATCTTATTTATTTATTGAAATAACAAAAGAATTATCCGCCGTCCTGCTTCTAACAGTCGAGAGCTCCTCTGCCTTGAGTTTCCAGCTCCCTCATTCTCGGTCAGTTCTTCCTATTTCTCTTCTGTTTGAATTTATTTAATCTTTTTCATTTTTGGGATAAAAATATGTTTATTCTTTGGTTGCGATTCGTTTGAATAACGATACACTAGGCTTAAAGATGACAAGGTACTCAGATCAACGATATTGAAATTTCTTTAATTGAGAGTTTTCTTGCCACAATTGGCATTTTCATAGTCTTTAACCCAATTCTCTAGCAAATGATCTCAGCTTCTTCTTTTCCGGTTGCAAGTGCGACCTTTTATTACCAGTACAATCCTTTACATTGTAGGAGTTGTATGGATTATTTAAATTTGCTCTTTCTATGGAAGACAGGAAATGTGATTATATTTATTGTTTGAAGCTCTTGCATTGGAGGTGTAAGCATCCTTACCCAAAGCCCTAAGCTTGTCAGTTCTACTTCTTTGATAGTCTGATGGTTTCTATCTTTTAATGGCTTTTGCCAAACCTTTGCTTGATTTCAAAGGTATAAAGGTGTTTCTTTCATTTGTACAATTCTTGCATATGTCTGTGAAACATAGCCAGGAGTAGAATGATGAATTGCAGTTTGGGTTTCTAATTTATATATTTGAACATATGTTCGATCCTTTAAAAGTCAAATTAGATATAGGAAGAGGAAAAAAAAAAAGCTATAGGCTTTGTATGGTTATACCAATAACTGCTCAAACTCTAATCTCAATTTTAACTGTTCAAAATGCGCAGGCACTCCACGATTGCAATGGAGGCTCACGTTCATGTGCCTCGTGTCAAAGCTACGCTTAAACTTGGGTCAGAGATATACTCTGTTGATGCAAGTCAGGGCAGTACCATCTCTGAGGAATTGGTTTGTATGAAAGAGAAAAGCATGGGTATATTGAAAGAATTCATCACCAAACATAATGTTCCAAACGATGTTCCTGATGAAATGGCAGAAAGCTCTTCGGAAGATGATGAAGAAATCCAAGAGAAGCCTCATGTTAAATCAAAGAAAACAAAACTTACTTGAGGCTCCCTTGTTTTGGTCAAATCTGTAACATCCATGGAAAGCTTCTTTATTTTTCAAATGACTTAAGCAAAATATCAGGAGTAAGATTTTAGGCTGTTCTGCTGCATATCCCTTGTAGCTTTTACTTTTCTTGATCTTATATTAATATGTAATGTGATTACAATTAGACTATCGCCATTTGTGCTGCAATTCTAGTTTTCTGCGGATGCTTTACACAGACTCTCTCTCTCTCTCTCTCTCTCTCTCTCTCTCTCTCTCTATATGACATAGCAGTCTAGTTTTCTGCAACTCTAGAACAATGCATAAAGAAAAAGGCACCAACATAGCAGTTTCTTATATCAATCCTTCTAGAAATCAGCAAGTTTTACCTATTCAATTAATGGACTTGAATTGAGGGAAAAACTTGCATAAAGTAGCATATACTAGTTGCATATGCTATACTACAAAACTTCTACAAAAGATTACTGTGTATAGATGTTTTTTAACTAAAGACTACTCCTATAGCTAGCATATGCAAAAAGAAGCAAAAATAGATAAATGAATGAATGAATACAAAACAGATATAATAGTAATATGCGCCAAAGGATGTCTTTATTTGTTATTTATGCATCTAATGGCTTCAAGCAAAGGTTCCCTCTCTAGCGGTTTGTGCAGACAAAAGTCCATTCCGGCATCCTTAGCCTTCTTGCCTTCATCACCTGAAGTATGTGCTGTTAATGCTATAATGGGAATATGAATGTCATAAGACGCCTCCTCCTTTCTTATTTGTCTCGTTGCTTCCTTGCCTTCATCACCTGAAGTATGTGCTGTTAATGCTATAATGGGAATATGAATGTCATAAGACGCCTCCTCCTTTCTTATTTGTCTCGTTGCTTCATACCCGTTCATCATTGGCATCTGTTACAATAAAACACAAGAGGTTAGGAAACAATGTGTAGAATTTATATTTAGTTTATTCAATAATGCATTTTAACTTGGAAAACTATTCATCATAGATGAGGTAGCAATAATACATATAATCTCTACCTCACAGTCCATTAATATATAATCATATGGAGGCATGGAGTAATTATATTTAGTTTATTCAATAATGCATTTTAACTTGGAAAACTATTCATCATAGATGAGGTAGCAATAATACATATAATCTCTACCTCACAGTCCATTAATATATAATCATATGGAGGCATGGAGTAAGTTGTATTTCTCCTTTGGCCTTGTAAACCGATAATGACTAGCTCCACAGCTTCCTCTCCATTTTGACAGAGCTCAACAGATGCACCAAGCCGCGAAAGATTAGTCATGGCTATCTTGCGTAAGAATGGATTATCTTCAGCAACCAAGAATCTTAATCCACATAAGGCTTTGTCGCTGCTGCTTTGGTTACTGTATTCTTCTTCTATCTCTGAGGATCCGACTAAATACTTCGATTTCTTGTGTTTCTCTCTCCTTGAGCTACCTTCAGCAGCCATGTTCCCTTTGCAGGGTGATTTTCCAGTAGACAGGGGAATCACTGCTTCTTTTTGGCTATGTGAATGCGTTGCAGATGACGGTGCAGGATTTTCAACAGCTTTTTCACGTCTAATGCTACGTTCTTTCTCAGGTTTAGCTGATGAAACCCCATTTTGCAAATTACCCCCAAATTCAGGTAGAAGTCTAATTACCCGAAACAAGCGAGAGCCATGAAATGGTTTTAGCAAAATGTCATCATCTTCAAGGCCTTCGGGGTTTATGTTCCGCATAGTTGGCTTATCTAACCAAACAACTTTGCAAGAAGCTCGGTGAAGTCCTCTTTTAAATTCAGTTACAGCTGCAAAGAGTTGTTGAAATGGTCCTGCAGTAGCATCTATCACAAGCAATATAAAGCTTGAAGCACCTCTAACAATAATGCTTCTACTTCTATTAGAAGGCAGTCCTTGTTCCATCCCATCCAGAGCACTTAGAGGAATATCTTTCCGTCTACTGCTAGAAATTTCACTCCTCGAACCAGAATCTGATTTTCCTGAAGAGCTGTAAGGCGAAACATTCTGCTTCTGTTTTATCTTTGTCAGAGTAGAATGAAGGCTTTTCCATTTATTTACAGCTGATACTTTTATCCCTAACCTCTCCATAAATTTCTGCACAATCTTTTGCCTCTCTGCATTTTGAATCAAGAGAACAACATGAGATTCATCACTCCTGGGACTAGAACCGAGAATGGATAATCGAGGACTAGAATTGCGGATAGGTAGGCTAGGAGCAAGAGCTCTAACAGTTAGCCCTAAATCTTGATTTGTGCTGTCAGATACGGAAATATTTCTTATTTCAATGTCACCCCTTGTGTTGCTAGCCAAAGAAGTGCTCCCAGCTGTTGTAATAAGAAAAATATTGAACCTGAAGCAAGTTCCCTTTTTATTATTCTCTTTATCAATAATTGCTATCTCTCCACCCATTAAACGAACCTGAGACAGAATTAGAAACATTAGATCAAAGTGTATTATTATGTGATTAAATATAATATAGAAAACAAAACCAAGTGCATACCAAAGACTGAACAATGCCAAGCCCTAAGCCGGTGCCTTCTTGCCCAAAAGCTGTTTCTTTAACCTGAACAAAATTTTCAAAGACTGATTTTTGCTTCTCTTTAGGAATTCCTTTACCTGTATCGTCTACCTCAAACAGAAACTCTAAACAGTTTGGATTTTTCTTCACTGAATTCATTTCTTCTACGTCATTATTACTTTCTTTGTTCTCAGTAAACCAGCCAAAACAATATTTCCACGAACCACTCCTATTAGAAGCAATTATCTTATTCTCTAAACTGGGTTTTTGTGCCCATGCTCGAACTGTTACATGCCCTTCAGAAGTATACTTAACAGCATTGCTAAGTAAATTACAGAGAACCTGCTTCAGCTTTCCCCTATCACCTTTTACGCGAGAAAATCTAGTAAGAGATCCATCACATGGATCCAAAACAACTTCTACTCCTTTTCTCATACCAACAGGATGAAACAAATCAACTGCATCTTCAATAAGGTTGGCTAAATCAAATTCTTCCGATTCGACTTGCATCTTTCCAGCTTCAATTTTGCTTGTATCGAGAATAGAGTTCAATAAACCTGAGACAGAAAAATCATTTAGTATTCTAAAGCTGCTACCCATTAGTCCTGATATAACTTCTTTTCTTTGACAATTTTGTTTGATGATTAGGCTCTGACTATAATCAATTGACAGTGAGCTTACCTACTAGGTCTTTTGCACAGTCATCCATTTGTTGTAAATTCATCTCTAAATCAGAACCTGGAGACACTTCTTCATAGCTGATCTGTATCAACCCAGTAATGCCTGCTAGAGCAGCACGAATATCGTGGCTCGCGCTAGCAAATATAAGACTTTTGTTCATACTCTTCCTCTCTGCTTGTTGAGTTGCTTCCATTTGTTTTATTAATGCAGAACACAGGTGTATCTCTCTAGTTGCAGCCCTAACCATTAACAACACAAAACTAAGAATAGAAATGAAGACTGCAACGATCATTACCATCAATAGAATGAGAGCAATTTTTGTACTCCTGTGGACGGCAGCCATTAATCCATAGTATGGGAAAGCCAATGCATATACCTGAAATTCAAATATAGTTAAGACATAATTATGTAAAAATTAGACTAATTAGAGAATTGATTTGCTAATTTATTCACTAATCGGATCGATTCAATCAGTTTAATAAAAAATCATTCAAATAACATTAAAATTTTAGAATTATACCGATTGGACTCCCATAATTTCGAGCGGAGAACAGTAAATCCTATACTTTGTTTCTCCAATTCTCAAGACGGAAGGTCTTCGCATGCTACTGTTAGCCATGCATGAAACAACTCCAACATTATCTGTTTGGTCACCACTTGATTTCTTTAAGTTGAAAGAAACTGATTTTCCAGTTACCACCATTTGAGTGTCTGGTAGACCATCTTTAAGCACATCTCCACGTTGTGTAGCCAAGAACAAGCTCCCATCCAAAAGATCGATACCATGAAAGAAATTAATCAATTCTTTAACTGATAACCCTAAAGAGAGAACCCCTTTTCCATGTATACTAAAAGAATTAAGGAATAAAAGGTCTTGACCGCTGCTCCATTGATTTCCTATTGAAGCATACCCATTAGCGCTATTTAAGGCTTCTTGAATCCAACTTGCATTAACCATGATATAAAACTGACATTCGATGGCATCTCCGTACAGTTTTCCTGTGTCTTCGTCTGCCAGTTGCTTATACCAAATGTATTTCATAGACTCATTTGACTTGGAAGAATACATAGCAAAAATCTTATCGTTATCGCGATAATAAGCGAATAATGAGCCTTCTAATCCAATATATGATACTTGCAGTACGTGTGGAATTGTTGAAAATGCTTGAAATAATATTGGAGCTACCTACAAGACGATATTAAAATAAATAACTCAAAAAATTAAATAAATCATAATAAACCTTTAGAAATACAGAGATTATTGACGGAAATTCAAACCAATTGCTTAATCTGATACAGAAGGAATAATAACCAACCTTAAGATTGATGTCAAACCGCGAGAGATCAGTTCCATTGAGGGATGAACTGAGAATTCTAGACAAATTTGTTGCAGATGAGTTTATTGGATGCAGCAATTTAGCAGTATTGTCAATTTTAGAAAGCAATCCAAGTCGAAAAGTGTGAGCATTATCATCAACCTTGAATTTCATATGTTGAATGACCTTATACCACCACGTGATTGCTATACTGGGAAGCAGCAAAACTCCAATTGTCTACGTGAAAGCTTATAAGCATGATTAGTTTTGTTAATGAGAGAAAGTAATCGTTTCAAATGCAATTAAACATAACAACAACAACGGTTTCAGCTGGATAGGATTGACTATATATATTTATTCAAATGCAATTAAATAAATACTGATAATAATATAAGTTTTTTTATTTTAATGACATAGTCTCTAACATTATTTTCCTTCTAAAAGAATGAAATAAAATAAACAAAGTTATATATATATAAACGAACACAACTTCAAGTAGTATTACTCACTAGAAGGATGAAGATGAAAAGAGGCCGCCATGCTACAACTGAGTTGAGCTTCATTGAACCTTTGAGTTGGAAACAGATAAATTAAGGTTAATATATTTTCTTCATTTGTTTCTTCCTTTTTTTTTTTCTTCGCTTTGAAAGGAAAGTATTTCTTTGAAGATATGATATTAGGTTTTACGAGAAAATTTATTTAAACTGTGTTTCTATATGGGAAAGTCAAATCTAATTGCGATTTTTTTTTACAATTTTATTTAAGGAAGTCAAATATATAGAATATATATTTATATATAATTGAATTCTCTCCAATACTGAAAATAATGTTCACGTTTTTTCTTAAAAAAAAAAAAAAGAAAAAGAATATTCATGTTTACTCTTTTTAAGTTTTTTTTTTTTTTTTTTTTTATATATAGAATATATTATTTATATATAATTGGGAATTCTCTGCCAATACTGAAAATAATGTTTCACGTTTTTTCTTAAAAAAAAAAAAAAGAAAAAGAATATTCATGTTTTACTCTTTTTAAGTTTTTTTTTTTTTTTTTTTTTTTCCAAATTTTAGATAACTAGCTCTTTTTTTTTTTTTTTTTTTTTTTTTCCAATTTAGCTAACCTAGCTCTTTCCAATATATGTATAACTTCTTTCCGTTCTTGAAAAAGCAAAAGCATTATTTATTTATTTATTATGATTAATTTATTATTGTTATCGTATGTGAACAAAACAATGTAAAAAGGCTTTGTGAATTTATCTCCATAAATCGAAGTAATTTTTAACTAATTTTTAATATTACAATTAAATTAATAATGAAAATTGAACCATTTGAAAAATATTTTCTAAAGAAAACATTTACCTGAAAAACGTTTTTCAAAGACAAGTTATCAAGAAAAAAAATAAAGCCTCAGTATATAGATATATAGTAAATTGTATATGCATGTAAATATGTCGATAAAAAACAAGGAAATCATTTTATATATAAAGGAGAAACATATAGAGTTTTCGCTTTATGCTCTCAATATATTGACATTTGCTTCCATCTTACTTGTGAGCTTTTCATTTTTTTTATTCTCTTTTCTCCCATCATTTATTTTTTAATGGTGATTTGCATTTTATAAGTTATAAAATTCAATTATGGCATGTGAAAATTAATTGTTTTTGGTTATATTTTTATGTATTTTAAAATTGAAAAAAAAAACTATGCTTAATAAAAATTACCAACTTTCTGAAAACATCTCTCTCTAATTCAACACCGTTTGATCAATTAAAAATTAATCCATTTAAAATTTTTTCTCTCTATTAATCAATTTTTAATTAATTTTCTAAATTAAATTTAACTTAATTTATCTCTTTTTCTCAATGAAATTTTATGAATTTTATGTTACACGTATATATAAAACACCTACTGAGATTTGCGACTTACATATTCAAACCTCAATCTAATTTAACTACATTTTTAAGAATCAAATATGCATCTCTCATTTGAAAACAAGTCCTCATTTTGTTATTCAGGGCCATCAACATATCTGTATAAAATATTTTTCTACCTTCTTTAATAATTTTATGTTGCATATATGGTTTTTGGTGTTCTTTATTATTAATTCTTTATAAGTTGTATCTGTATGTGTTTTTCTTTTTTCTCATCTTTTTGTGATATATATATGACTTTTAATATTCAATCTCATCGACATATCTCTATCATTCTCTATCATCCTTATTAGTTTTGTGTTCCACACGTACCTCATTGTTTATGAGTTTTATCAGTTTCATAGTAATTTATCAATATCTATAATTATCACCATATGTATTTATTTAGTTTATATGTGTTTATAAATAATAAAATAAAATATATATTATATAGTCGTGCGAAGTGTGAGTATCGCTTAGTTACTAATAATATATTATAAGCATTTAGTTTCTCTTTTAAAGCATGTTGAAAAAAATTCTAGAATAATATGGAGTTTGTGATACTCAAATTTTGATAATTAATAAGGGTAACACGTGTATAAACATAATATTCCTTTTCCTTTTTATAAGTTTTCTATATCCATATTTGATTTATTTATATATGATCTAATCATTTTTTTCGATAATTGATAGAAAAATTATTTTTGTTTAAAAAATATTACAAATATGCTACCTAATACTAGGTACAAAAAAAAATTATATGACTATTAATTAAGAAACAGTTAAAGAGTTTTATATGACTTTTTAGACGTTGGTTTTTTTGTTTTTTATTATTATATATTTATAATATTTGTAAGACATTATATATTGTAAGACATACTACGAAACAAGGTTATCTATTAAAATGCTACAATGTAAGTAATAAAATATATTTACTCCAAAAGAAAAAAAATGCAATGTCAAATTTTCCTTTTAATTTGTATTTGTTACTTGATTTAGATTATATGTTACTTATTTTTGTTTTTTTTCCTGTTCTTGATTTAAAGAGGCAAATTAAACAACATGGAAGATAAATTTTATTAAAAAATAAAAGAAAATACCAAAAATAAAATAGAAAAGAAAGGATAAATCTTAACTTAAGAGATTAGAGAGAGAACCTTGTTGATTGAGTTTCAAATCCTTTTGAAAAGAGTCCTCCAGAGGCACTTTCTTATAACAAGCCATGCAAGTGTGAAGGTTAGTTTCAATGGCTACCCAATCAAGCTGACAGGAAAAAATACGTACAGTGGTGTGTCACAACTTACTCGATTCAGGCCGCTGATTTAGGCGTTAATATCCCAATTCAAGACATTCCTGTAAGCTGCACTAACATCCTAGTATCGTTGTCAAATACGAATACTTTCCTACAGCTATCAGTTCTTTTAAAGCGACATTAACAGTTTCAAATTTTTGATCTAATTTTGAATATAATACCAGCAATAGTAGAACATAATAGATAGAAAGTGTACAGGTTTCGTGTTCTTTCAGAGGTTGACTCGCTAGCTGGAGGTGTTATCTTGACAGCGGAGGATCAGGCTGCCATTATTATCTGAAATTGGTTTTGGTTCTGGTTTTGAAAGAAGAAAAAGAAATGGGATTTGATCAGAGGAATGTTATATGGCAAATAATCTATTGAAATCCAAGTGGATTCTGTGTTAAATGAAAATCGCAGCAAAAGAATATACTTCTAATGACATTGATGAACTTACCATTCCTGGGGGATAATAGTGTTTGATCCCACTGAGTCTCTGATCATTTATACACGCTGTGTTTTCTCTTGAATTTTTGACTTGCTAGCTAATCATTAGTAATTTTAATTGCGTTGTCTTTCTAATTCAATATCATAAAGGTAATTACTCAGCAATTTATTTTATATTAATTTTTAGTGAAATGAGAAAATTATAATTAAGAAAAAAATAAATAAGTTTTTATGATGAATCGTTCGATACTCTTATTCTTGATACTTTTATTCTTTTGAGTGAGAGTATTAGTATAATTTTTACTCGGAAAACAAAAAGAGTAAAATAGAAATAAATGATAATTTTTCTTTAATTGGCAAATAATCAATTGGATTCATACATAGTCCATACAGGTATTTTCCATATAGGAAGAATGCAGTGAAATTTAACCGTCCAAACCAACAAATCTGAAACGATGTGCTTCAATGTTGATTTGATTGAACTGAACTGAGGAGTTTGCTGCTATATATTTAAATAAATTTTTTCTACATTTTAAAAAATGGGTTTTATTTGTATCTTAATTAATTAAGGAAAAGTAAAGGTACGGATTTATTATTTAAAAAAAAAAATTCTTTTGTAACGACGAAAGAAATTTTCCTTGTCATTTGAACAAAAAATTTAGTTTAGATAGCATTTCTTTTTCGTTAGTAATCAAGCAAACAGCACCACTCCAAATTATCCAAATGGCATCAAGCCATCAGCTCAGTAAAGGATCAAACTGTTTATTATGCTTGCCACAAAACGCGCAGACACATAATTATCAGTAACAAAACCGACTCTGCAGATAATAATGATAGGAAATTCAACTAAACGTCCATAAAATGTCAGCCACGAACAATATGTACATTAACTCTCAAATACTTTCAGAAACAAACATATTACAATCCAAACCAAATACCTACAGGAAGAAAGTTACACTAGTCAAAACACCAACTCAATTATAGCTTCTAATAATCAAAATCTCTTCTCTTAAATTTCTTCTTCATCATCTCAGCCCAACTTGCAAGAACATTAGAAACTTCATCCTTGCCGGCGAACTTCATCTTTTGGGCCAACTCCTCCAGTATATCAGGCTTCCCAACTCTAGAGAAATCGGCTACAAATTTCGTGTAGTCAAGATGTGGAGCTTTCATTCCTTTATTTAACATCTCCTCCAAGTATTTACAAGCTTCACCTGATCTTCCCTGGCTTATAAGCCCCCCAATGAAAACAGTGTACGAGTTATCATCAAGGCAACACCCTCTCCCAATCATCTCATCCCAAACTTGTCGACCCATTTCATAGTTCCCTGTCTGAAAGTAGGATTTCAAGATCATGTTATAAGTGTGAATTGTAGGTACATTTCCACTTTGAAGCATCTTATTGTATATTATCAGGGCATCGTCTGGCCTTTTTCGACTAGTCATCAACTTGATAAGGGCATTGTAGGTTTGCCCGTCAGGAGGGCAACCCTTTTCTTTCATCTCCTTCAACAAGTCATAAACCATATCCATTCTCTTCTGTTTTCCAAACCCTGTAATCAAACAGGTATAAACTGCACGATCTGGCTTACACCCGGAATCAATCATCTCATCAAAATATTCCATTGCCTCTTCCATCTTCGATTGCTTGCCTAGATGCCGAATCAAAATTGTATAGCTTTGAACATCAGGTGATGGACCCTTGGCCTTCATTACCATAAAAAACTTAACAGCATCAGACATCTTCTTACTCCTTAGTAACCCTTCAAGCATAATATTATGTGCAACAATGTCAGGCTTAAATCCCTTATCAATCATCTCATTCCAAATCCTTCCTGCCTCCATCAAATTCTTCACTTTGCACCAACCATTAAGCAACACTGTGTAAGTCTTCAAATTTGGCGTAAACCTACCTATCAACTTTCCAAAAAGGACTTCCGCTTCTTTTCCAAGCTTGGACCTTCCAAGACTGTCGAGTAAGGAATTGATAGTCTCAACCCCTACTTTATACTTGTGCTTCTTCATTAACTCAAATATCGCAACAGCCTTTTTCCTCTCCTTTGCAACAGCAAAAGCTCTCATTGCTATTGAAAATGTTTCCATTGTCAAAAGCCCTTTCTCACCTATTTCTTCCAGCATTGATATCATAGTCTCAAACTGTCTAGTCTTTGCGAGTATACTCATCATTGAATTGTAAGTCCTCGAATCATGGGCAAAACCCTGCTTTTGCCCGGCCCAACAGAAAAACCGGAATGCTGGTTTTCTTGCATGACGGAACCTTTCCAATACGTCTATGACCAGATCTTGCGATAAATTGATGCCACATTCATCAAGAACTGCCTCCATGTTGCGATCTAAGGCAAACAATTCATCGATCACCTTGCATACCCTATTGACCTCCACAGGATCCGCACTTGACTTGACATTTCCACCTCCATTATCATTTTCAAAGATATCACTATCATTATTACCATCACTTTCAGCATCAGAATCAGCTCCACCGCCGGTGAAGCAAGAAAATCCCCTAGAAGTTAACTCAGAAAATTTTCCTTGTACATAAAAAGACGACAATAGCGAAGTTTCAATATTGATAATAAATCTTGATTTTGTAGCTAGTGACAATTTTTCTTGTAGATAATCGAGTGGAGAGGAGTGTGGCAAAATAAATGGAACTTGACAATAAGAATGATAGAGACTACGATGAGAAGAAGAATAAAACAAACGAGACCAGGGCAGAGAGCTACAACCAGGAAGGCACACTTGCTCTCCTCTACACCGTTTTCCTGCGCCTCTCTCTTGGAGATAGAAAAGCTTCTCGGCGGAGTAGATTTGGCCATGGAAACTTGATTGCGTTTGGGATTGGAGACAGCGATGAAGCAGAATGGAAAAATCGCCTGGCCTTTTTAGAGAGAAAAACATTTGGCAGCCATTAAAAGTAGTGAATAAAAGCAAAAGCAGTCGAATTATAAAGGGAGAGCTTTGAGACTGGTGCGGCGATGGCGGCAGTGGCAAGTCGAGACAGGTGTACCACAGCACCGGTTGATGCGACTCGGGCAGGTGTAACTAACGGTAAGGTTGTTGCTGGGTTCGGCTCAGAAATGGACAGATCTTACTGGGCCTAACTTGATGCAACTTCGGCCCCATTACATATTTTGCCCAGGCCTAGGGCCTGACCCACTCAAAATAACTAAACAAAACTCTCTAGATAATGGACCCAAATTCCCGCCAAAGAACGCCGATCGAAACACTTGCCGGGAATGTCCACTAAATTCCCGCCAGATTCCATGTTAGAGTTGAAGCCTAAAGCTACTTCTTTCAATCTCTCTGCTTCAGTTGTTTAGTCTCTCCAGTGACCAGGATTATATCAAAACTTTTCAGTCTCATTTCTTTCTCTCTGTACACCTTTTCACTTAATTTTATTCTTCTGGCGGCATTCTCTCGAAACAGCAGAAATGGCGCCGTCGCGTAGATCGAGTAACGGTAGATCACCGCTGGTCAATGCACAGCGCCAAATCACCTCTTTCTTCTCTAAAACAACCTCTCCTTCTCCATCTCCTGCTTCCACACGCTCCAAAGAACAAAACCCCAAATCTAACCCGAACCCTAAGCCTAAATCTCCAAGCCCTAGCAAGAGCCCTAGCCCTAGTACTCCTTCTCCTCTACAGTCCAATACCAGAAAACCACTCCTAGTCATTGGCCAAAGCCCCTCTCCTTCTCCCTCAACACCTGCAACCACCGGTCAGTCGTACGGCAAAGAGGTGGTGGACAAGAGGATTAAGGTTTACTGGCCGTTGGATAAGAGCTGGTACGAGGGTTGCGTTAAATCTTATGATGAGGATTCCGGTAAGCATTTGGTTCAATATGATGATTTTGAAGAGGAGGTGTTGGATTTGGGGAAGGAGAAAATCGAATGGGTTGAAGAAATTGCGAAGAAATTTAAAAGGTTGCGTAGGGGTTCTTTGGCTTTCGGGAAGACAGTGATTGAAGATGAGGAGATGAAGGATGTTGGTGATGATGAAGAGGATAATGCTGGTGGTGATGATTCTAGTGATGAAGATTGGGGAAAGAATGCGGAGAAGGGCGTCAGTGAGGATGAGGAGGATATAGATTTGGATGATGAGGAAGAAGAGGATGACGCAGAGGGTGGTAAGAAAGGAAAACAGGGTGGGAAGTGTGAATCGAGGAAAAGGAAGGCTGGTGGAGCTGCAAAAATGGATTCTGGGAAGAAGAGCAAGAGTAGTGGTGTTGGGAGCAAAGGAGAATTCAAGGTTTCAGTTGTGGAGCCTGTGAAGAATAAAGGCAGTAAGTTTTTCGCTTTTTTCTTTATTGTTTTGAGAGGGAGGGGTGTAGAAATTGTAGCTTAACCTGCAATATGAGCACAATGGATAAGCGAAGTCAATTATAAGACTGTGGTTTCTTGGATTGATTGCTAATACAGTAATACCGAAATTGATTCTGTGATACTTCCTCCTGTTAGTTCCTTAGTTTAAGAATGGATCAGTTTTAGGGTTTTTCAACCTCCTTAGACATGTTTTATTTTATATTTCTCGTGTCAGTGGCTGCCATCTGAATCAAAATCATGATTGATTCTTTTATTAGTTGCTGTGTTGATAAAAATCCGGAATAAGAACTGAGAATAATGTTTAAATATCATTCATTGTGAGTTTTAGCATGATTTGTTGCAGATGAGCCGTCTAATGGCATTGGTGATGCCTTGATGAGTGATGCATCAGAAAAGTTCAACTTGCGCGAATCTGAGAAGTTATGGTTTCTTGGAGCGTAAGTTCTATTCTCTCTTGAAGGTCTATTTGTTCATGTCTCTAATCACATATTTGAATAATACTGCATTGCAAAGAGAATGAGGTAACCCAACATTGCCTCTTTGTACATTGATGCTTTGCATGAGTATTTGAATGCACATATCCTAGTTCTTGCCATGAATGCAAACTCAATCTGTTCTTCAAATGATGTATAGTTTTCATCCCACTTGCTTACATGGCTTCTGAAACAGAGAACGGAGGGATGCAAAAAGGAGGCGTCCTGGAGATGCAGATTATGATCCAAGGACTCTATACTTGCCTCCAAATTTTGTAAAAAGCTTATCAGGTGGTCAGGTAAGAGCTTTCAAACAAGGAACTTAAAAGTAGTTAAGGTCTTTCATTTCAGTTTTCATTACTTTTCTTATGTGCAGAGACAATGGTGGGAGTTCAAATCAAAGCATATGGATAAAGTTTTGTTTTTCAAGGTATCCGCCCAAGTAAAATAAAGCTGTTTATACTTCATATTGTCAACTAAATATCAGTTTAATTAGTGCATTTAAATGATAATTATTTATTTGGTGGTGCAGATGGGTAAATTTTATGAGCTTTTTGAAATGGACGCGCATGTGGGAGCTAAGGAATTAAATTTGCAATATATGAAGGTATTTGGTTGTTTTAGGTGCCATGCTTATGGATTTTTGAATGTGCTAGCCTTGATTCCTTCTTGATTTTTATCTATTTCGTTTTGTTATTAGCTATGTAGTTTGGATATCTTATTGATTAGTTTATTAGATTCTTACCCTAAGTCAGTATTTGATTCCTATTCTGATTCTCAGGGAGAACAACCTCACTGTGGTTTTCCTGAGAGGAACTTCTCAATGAATGTCGAGAAACTAGCTAGAAAGGTTGGCCCATATGAATGTTCCTTTAGTTTTCTTTAATATCCTTATTTCACTCATATTTCTTCGGTTAACACATGTGGTACTCTGAGTAAGATTTCACTTGAGCTTTCTCGACAGAGCAGGGTTATCGAGTTCTGGTTGTAGAACAGACAGAAACACCTGAACAACTGGAGCTTCGTCGCAAAGAGAAAGGTTCTAAAGACAAGGTTTGTAAATATTTTATGAGACTTCTCAAATTATTTTGTTTACTGATACTTTTTTCTGCACGATTGGTTCCATGTCTGTCCTGAACCTGCCATAGTGCCATGTCCATGATCAAACATGTAGCCCTTATTGAGTCCATATCCAGCAAATACTGCAATTGTTTGAAAGTTAAACCAATAGCCAAGATGCCGATGTGCAATTGTACAAAATACCATTCTTTTAAGGGGAAAAAAGTATGCTGTAGCCAATTCTTTTGTGAATCTCTTATATCTTAAGTCCTGAGAAAACTTTTCCATCTCTGTTCAGGTTGTGAAACGTGAAATATGCGCAGTGGTTACAAAAGGAACATTAACCGAGGGAGAATTACTTACAGCAAGTCCTGATGCTTCTTACCTAATGGCAGTGACTGAAAGTTGTCAGAATTTGGAAAATCAATATTTGGAGCATTACTTTGGTATCTGTGTGGTTGATGTTGCTACTAACAGAATCTTTCTTGGTCAGGTGAATTAATTTTTTAAATAATTGTTTGGTGAATTAAGCAATGAATTTTTGATTATTGTTGATCCATAATTTATTTATACTAAATAGGACCTCATCTTTCCTGGGAGCCCTTTCATTTGATTGTGCTCTTTTGCCAGTTTGGAGATGATCTGGAGTGCAGTACATTGTGTTGTCTGCTATCTGAGCTGAGGCCAGTAGAAATCATAAAACCTGCAAAGGGTCTCAGTTCTGAAACTGAGAGAGTAATGCTGAGGCATACCAGAAATCCCTTGGTCAATGAGTTGATTCCCCGCTTGCAATTCTGGGATGCCGAGAAAACTATTCATGAAGTGAAGACCATCTACAAGCATATCAATGTTCAAGCAGCTTCTGAATTGTCAGACAAAACAGATACAAAAACAACAAATCTTCAAGACGGGTCAAGCTGCCTGCCAGAAATTTTGTCAGAGCTAGTAAATAAAAGAGAAAATGGCAGCTTAGCTCTTTCAGCACTTGGAGGCACACTGTATTATCTAAAACAGGCTTTTCTGGATGAGACGTTGCTCAGATTTGCAAAGTTTGAATCACTTCCATGCTCTGATTTTTGTAATGTTGCTCAAAAACCATACATGATTCTTGATGCTGCTGCCCTGGAGAACCTTGAGATCTTTGAGAATAGCAGAAATGGAGGCTCTTCAGGGTAAAACTGTTACATGCTAATAAATTGGTCAAATTTGATGTTTCCCTGAAACTTCTCTGAGGTATATTATATTTTTCTATGAAGGACATTATACGCGCAACTGAATCATTGTGTGACTGCATTTGGGAAGAGGTTGCTGAAAACATGGTTGGCAAGACCTTTATATCATTTGAGATCAATTAAGGACCGCCAGGATGCCATATCAGGTTTACGGGTAGGTTTCCGTTAGGTTTCGATTTTCTTGATTGGTAATGCTTTGGAAGGTTAATTATGTTTTAGTTTACATTTGGCTTTATGGATTTCAAATGGAGGCATGTGCTCTATTTTTTTTTTTTTTACTAAAGTAATTTGAATAAGATTTTAAATCGCTTCTTTTTTCGGCAAGTTTTTTGAGTTGATTAGGTTATGAATAAGAAAAAACTTTTAAGGATGAATTTTGAACATCTATAGAAGATACATGATTCATATACAATATCTAAGATTTGTTTCAAGGAATTGTGTCTTCCTCCTTGACAAGTCCATATATTTAATGATATAATTTTTGCTGAAAACTTGATTTCAGATGCTATCTTATTTCTTTTCATTTCCATTTGGAAGTTTAGATTTTTGTTAAAAATCTTGAGCTACAGATGGTTTAGCAGGATTTATGATATATAGTTTGATGATTTGTTCTAAGAAAAATGCCTAATTATCAAACTCATGCCATTTTGCATTTATGAAGTGCATGGGCTGCGTATAGAACCCAGAATTCAGTTAGTATCAGTGATCCCAAACCATCATGTGAATAATGCATGCCCCTTGTCTCTTCAATTTTCTTATTTAGGAAACAATCTTATTTCTTTGTTTCCTTTCCAAGTGCCTAGCAGTTGGAATAACCTATGTGCTTCCTCCTTTTGGTTTTATGCATGAAATTTTTACTTTTATATGTTCTCTCTAATCCTGGTAACCTTGCCTTTCGTGCATTCTGACATTGCGTCTGCTCTTTAGGGGGTAAATCAACCTATGGCGCAGGAATTTCGAAAAGGATTGTCCAGGCTTCCTGACATGGAGCGGTTGCTTGCACGCATTTTTGCTAGCAGGTATATTTGAGAAAGGAAAAGGACCATGCATCAATGTGAATTGTGAAGCACCCTTCTAATGATCACATGATAACTTTATTGCGTGTTTATTTTAATGGTGTGCAGTGAAGCTAATGGAAGAAATGCCAATAAAGTGATTTTCTACGAGGATGCAGCAAAAAAGCAGCTCCAGGAGTTCATATCTGCTCTACGTGGCTGTGAATTGATGGCCCAAGCATGTTCTTCACTTGGTGTTATTTTGCAAAATGTTGAGTCTACACAACTACACGATTTGTTAATGCCTGGTATAGTTGCTTTTAATGTTCTTCTATTATTTCACAATATGATGTTTGGCATCTCAATTTTGTTATCTGTCTGCAGGCAAAGGTCTTCCTGACACCCATTCAATCCTTAAGCATTTTAAGGATGCCTTTGATTGGGTAGAAGCCCACAATTCTGGTCGTATAATACCTCATAAAGGAGTCGATATGGAGTATGACTCTGCTTGTAAAAAAATTACGGAAATTGAGACTAGTTTGACAAAACACCTGAAGGAACAACGGAAGTTACTCGGAGACACCTCAGTAAGAAGTTTCCAGATACATTTTGGTTTTTTTTTTTTTCACACTCAACTTCTTTTAGTAGATAATGAAGTTCTGTCATCTTGTAACCTGTTACAGATCACTTACGTCACAGTTGGGAAGGAGGCATATCTATTAGAAGTTCCTGAACATCTGCGTGGGAGCATTCCTCGAGATTATGAGTTGCGTTCATCCAAAAAGGTAACTAGCTAATATATGACATATGGCCACTTTTGGAATTTTTTTCTTATCCCTGTAGAAAGGTGTGCCAACATATCACATTGTTGACCGTGTTGTGCTAATATTATCTTTTATTATTTGAAGAAAAGGAAAATCTTCCACTGTTTATTGACTTCTATTAATTTTTTCAAATATTTAATAAATGAAATTTTTGTTTGGAACCTCCAAAGCAGTTTTCTCTTCATGCTTGAAGTTTTAACGCTTAACCCTTTGTTTTCTTGGTTCCATGATGGGTCTGGTTACTCCATGTCTCTGCCCTAAATAAATATTAGATGTTTGATCAATTAATTTTTCGGTGCCATATCTTTCTCCTTTTATTTCTTCTAAAATCAGCTGTTAATACACGATATACATCTTACCACATTGAATTTTAATGTGCTAATTTAAGGTATGATATGTTCATATCTTGACATTTGGTTATCTTGCTTACTGTAACTTTGAAATTTAAGAAATCATATTTGCTGACTTTGAATCCAACTTCTGCTATGAGAATGATTTGCTGAGTTTAGAATTTCCTTTCTTGTCACTAACTTAAGCTAGAATTTCCTTTGTCTACCTGCTTCCTTCCACATGCAGGGCTTCTACAGGTATTGGACTCCAAATATTAAGAAGTTCTTAGGAGAGCTCACGCAAACTGAATCTGAAAAGGAGTCAACATTGAAGAGCATTTTGCAGAGATTGGTTAGGCGATTCTGTGAGCATCATGATAAGTGGAGACAACTGGTTTCTGCAACTGGAGGTTATACACCAACTCATTTTTTTTTAGTTTTACTTGATTTCAGAAAGTCTAGAAAGTGAAGATCTGAGATCTCCTTTCATGCGCTCTTTTCAGCCGTCTTTCCTATTGATTGGAGTTTCTTTATAAATGAGCTTGCCTGTGGTTCTCTCACTTCCTCTGCCACATACTCATGCACAAACAGACATGCAAACAAGCATGCTTGCTTTTGCTTCTGCATTCGATGAAAATGAAAAATGCAATCGTAATATCCAGTAAAAAGATCTCGCTAATAATAGTATTCAAGATTTTATCTTGCATCCTTGCCAATAATGTGTTTTCTGGACTAGGCATAAAGTCTATCTGAATGATTTGAAAGAAATCATCATTAGGATTGATGGTTATTCAATCAAACAACTTCTATTTAACTTGATATAATTTTAATTTGGTTGGCATGACTATCATGTTGCAGAACTTGATGTTCTGATCAGTCTGGCATTTGCTAGTGACTTCTACGAAGGACCAGTGTGCCGCCCAGTCATCCTAAGTTCAACAGCAAATGAGGTGCCATGCTTATCTGCAAAAAGTTTGGGGCACCCTGTTCTTAGAAGTGATTCTTTAGGCAAAGGTGCATTTGTACCCAACAACATTACTATCGGTGGTAATGGTGGTGCCAGCTTTGTCCTTCTCACTGGTCCTAATATGGGTGGGAAGTCTACTCTTCTCCGGCAAGTTTGTTTAGCTGTGATTCTGGCCCAGGTAAAATTTTGGTTTAGGTAATATATGTTGCCTTGTTTTTGCCCATATTTTTCAGCTTTTGTCCTTCCATAGGTCGGTGCTGATGTCCCTGCAGAGAGCTTTGAATTGTCACCTGTTGACCGAATATTTGTTCGTATGGGTGCTAAAGATCATATAATGGCAGGACAAAGTACATTTTTAACGGAGCTTTCAGAAACTGCATTGATGCTGGTAAGATTTCAATACTCATAGCTTTGCTACTCTGTAGAGCGATAGAAATATTGACATGCAAAAAGGTATACTTGGGGCTATCAGAAAAAGCCACAACCTGTTACTCCAACTAGTTCCATTTGACTGGCAATTTTATATTTGACCTGTGTGGTTTTTAACAGTCATCGGCTACCCGAAATTCACTGGTGGCACTGGATGAACTTGGACGTGGCACGTCAACATCAGATGGACAAGCCATAGCGTAGGTCCCAGTGACTGAGGATATTTGATATTTGCTCTCTCTTTGAGAAATTTACAATTTTAACCACTTCTCAAGATTTTAAATTCCTTTTAAATTATGTTGGGTTCTGTTATCCTAATTTCTCCTTTCTGGTTTTATCTGTCAGGGAATCAGTTCTTGAACATTTTATCCAGAAGGTCCAGTGTCGTGGAATGTTTTCTACTCATTATCATCGATTAGCTGTAGACTATCAGAAAAATCCTGAGGTAGCTTCCTCATTTTGGCCCCCTAAGATTATTTTTTAGTTTTCATTTTTTTTGTTTCTTTTCCCTCTAAAATATTTCATTAATACTACGAGTCCCTTGAGTTTTTAATTTTTCCTCAAATCTAAGCGGCTGCCTACCCACATCCCCCACCCCTTCCCCCCTCTCTTCTTTTTCTTTCTCCTCTCGTCTCTTCCCTTTACTTCCTCTACCATATTTTCCTTGACAAGATACACTATTCACTTTAAACAGAAATAGTATGCTGTATATGATAGCCCCTTACATTTACCCAAGGAAATTCTGTTCTTTCCCTCCTAAAATTACCAAATTTGGTCGCACCGCCTAAATCTCATCTTGTCTGCCCCTGCTCACAGTTTAGACTGATCAAGATTAATAATTGACCATTTCTCTAATCAATAATCAGAACTTCCTTGAAATGTTGACTGATATAATTTCTTTTATGTTTGGTACAGGTCTCTCTCTGCCACATGGCATGCCAAGTAGGAGATGGAGTTGGGGAAGTGGAAGAAGTTACATTTCTTTATAGATTGACACCTGGTGCATGCCCTAAAAGCTACGGTGTCAATGTAGCTAGACTGGCTGGTAAAGTTTTTGCCTCATTTATTGCATTTTTATCTGGAGTTTCCACACAGGATTGAATACCCTTGGTTTACGGTGCTTTGCTTCCAGTATTATTATTATTATTATTCAACACAGTAAAATTGGATATTTACCTGGGGAAGTATGCTGATGGGTGATGATTAAGTAGTTAGGGTCAAATTTCCAGGTTACTGAACAGAAAATGGCTTGTAATTGTTATCAGAAAATTTTAAAAAATGTGGCAAAAACCACCTGCTAACGATGCAATGAGATTCTATTTGCATTCTGTTGGTATATATTAGTATTCAAATTTGTTGGCAATGGTTTGAAGATAGGTGTTGAAGAATGAATTACAGTTCTTACTAGTAACTATTTCAGGACTCCCAGACTCTATACTTCAAAAAGCTGCTGCAAAGTCCAGAGAATTTGAGGCTGTTTACGGTAAACATATGAAGGGGTCTAAAGGAAATCTGACTATTCAAAGTAGTAATGAGATAGCAGTCTTCATCCAAAATTTAGTTGATTTCACTACAAATTTGAGTTGCCATAGATCCAAGAATACCGATATTGGCACTCTAGCTAAACTTCAGAATAGAGCAAGAGTACTTCTACAACAGAATTGAATTGATTTTGTCTTCCACATTTCAAGATTTGGTATTATGCCATCTACCGGCAGATTTTGTCAATACTGAGGTATGTAGAGAACTTGTATTTAGGCTTTTTGGGCATTGCTGATTTTTTTTCCCAGGAGCATTGCTTTCAAACTTTGGACTCATCTAATGATGTGGGTGGAAAAATTTGTAGCATGTAATTAAATTGGGTTTGACAATTAGGTCTGGGCCTATTTGGAATTGACATAGAAAATCACTTTTTAAGTTGGTTAACCAAATCTTTTGTATAGTAATTATATTCGCGAGCAAATATAAGAGTGTTTTTGTCTCAATCAAGTGGTGATGCTTCTGCCATTATTATGTATTGTTGATATGTCAATGAGGTGGGTTCAACCAACAAAGTGAAAGGTCGTTGGCTCCCATGTTTTGTAAAATGTCCTGATCATGCAAATGATTCATTCTGAAAGTGATTGTGTATGTACAAACACATTCGGCAAATGAATTATTCGTAATGGTGGTTTACTTAGTGGCCAGTTCTGCTGTTGAATTTTGCAACTTTTTAGTTATTGGGTTGGTATGGTTCTTAATTACTGACACGATTGGTATCTCTAAACCGAATCTTCCCATATAAAAATGAATTTTTATTTTTTTTTTTCCCATTTTGCCCACAAAAAGGGGTGAAGAATATTGACAAGATGAATGAGCATTGATGAAATGCTCTAATACAAATCGAAATAATGGACAAATTAATATTAAAATTTATTGACATGCATTTTATACCAAGTGTTGCTGCGCATCTTCATCTCCATCAGAGTTTGTTGACGTGTCATCTTCGTTCTCTTCTTCATCATCCAATTCCTGGAACATAGAGCAAAATGAAATACTTGGTTCATTTAAAGAACAAACAAATCTATTGGCTGAGTTCAAAGTGTCCAATGTTTTAACAGTGGCATAAAATGTTACTGACCTGATATTGTCTCTTAATGATTTTCTGAACCGCTGCAATTGTCCTAATCACTAGAAACATTGGAAGAAGAATCCCACTGGCCCTTAAGACAAGTATCTGAAGCACACACCAGAAATAGAGTTGACATAGTGACAGATAATCGAATTTCAGTTAAGTTGTAGTACGGTAGTTGGAAATACAAAAGAGCCACGAAAAGAAAACAGAATTTCTTACAGTGAGGATTGTAAAGGGGTAATCCTCTGTTCCGCCTGTGAGTGTTGCAAACAGATGTTTCAAAAGCAAAAGGGCCGTAAACTGCCAATTCAATTAAAACACTTTATCAAAACAAAATAGGAAGGAAGGAACTAAATATGTGAGACAAACAAAGTTATTTATTACAGAGAAATCACAATTTACCTCTTTCAATGTTTTTAATCATTTGACTACCAACCTGTGTCTGTGTGAGTTTCACTTTTTTCTAGGGTTTATACTTTTTTTTTATGAGTATTTTATACCTTTTCGAGCACGAGATTAATCTAGTAAAAATCATCTATTAATATTAATTTTAAACGATTTGAGCTATTTTAATGGGTTGAGAGTTGAGGATTGATTGAGAGTTTATACTCTCTAAAACTAATGAAAGTCTCAAAAATACAACAGCATGAGTATGACCCACGAAAAACAACTGTACTTCATTGGTCCAATTGACCCCATAACCATTCCAATGAAACACCCTGAATGAGCCGCACTTCAATTAAATGTTATTATGAAGTCCATGTTGCTCGGTCAACTAAACTACACCACACCACACTAATACTCCATTTTTGACCAAAGAAATATATTGCAATTGCCCTATTGGTATTTACGTTTGAAGCTAAAAAGTAAAAACTTTATATAAACATATTGTTATATTCCGTTGCCCATACTATTCAACCTCAGCATTAAAAGCTAAGCTTGTAATTTATTACTATAAGAGAAGAATGTATTAATTATGAATTCAACTTACAGTTAAAGCTAATGAACGGCAGTAAGATGCACTCCTATCTGCGGCGGACGCGCACTCAGAATAGGCGGAATCAACTGTTACTCCTTCTTCAATGGCCAGATTGCCTAGGCTTTCCGGATCATGTTCTCTTCTTGGAATTTCCACGCTATCTCTATCAAAATCATAACATCAATAATTTAACAAAAACAGTACATTTATTAAAATAATCGGAGCTGAAATTAGACATAGCAAGTTGAGCAAACAGACAACGAAGTCCTGGGAGCCCAAAATATCAGCAACAGTCCTTATGAATTATGGTAGAGCAAAATTAGTTGTAAGGCACCTTTATCGGAAAGCTAATTAGGTACCTCACTACCTGTAAATAATGTAGGAAGGTGACAAATATTCTAAGACGGACGCGGAGAAGCAGTTGGTGATAATGCCACGTGTAAACTTCTGTAAGTTATTATATAATTTGTTTATCTACAAATCAGTGAAATACAATACTCCATAGATATATGTACCTAATTGTCATTGCATCTACTTGCTGAGACTTTTTTGAAGGTGCCGTGTATCCTGGTTCATACTTCTGCAAAAATTTACAAAGAAAATTAAATTAATCAAGTACATGTGAGATATTTTTTTAATCAGCTCTTGGAAGAAGAACAACTTTTTTTTTTTCTTTTCTAAGATCAATATTCATCTGTTCGCAGCATAAATTACTGAATTTAGAACTGCAAAAATAGAATATCGGGATTTGGAATTATTGTAATTATATAGCAGAGAAAGAGATGAAACTTCAACATAAAGGAAAGTTGAATAAAGACAAGAACGGAGACTGCAGAGCAAAAATTCAAAGCCAAGGATAAAGTTTGATGTTTACAGAGTTTGAATTAAAGAAAGATAATAAATCCAATTTTGAACCAGAACAAGGAAAACCAAACAGAGAACAGAGACGTCAGACCAGAGCCATACAATTTGTTTAAAACTATCAAACAGCAAAAGTAAAAGAAGAAGAAGAAAACAAAGAGCTGGCCGGAGAATTCATTTTCTTGTTTACAACATCGGAAATTCATACCTGAAGACATATTTCACAAGTTGTGTTTCCTTTCTCGTTACACCATCTCTGTATGCAATCTCTGTGAGCGAACTGAACCAAGAAATCAAGTTTAGAAGACATAGACATATTTAGATAGAAAGAAAATTATGAACAGATAGAGAAAAAAAAAAATGAAAGTCCAAAAATTAATTAAATATGATAATACCTTAACAGTTCCGGAACAAGCACAAGGAGCTTCTAAGCTCTTGCAACTTTCAAATTCTGCTTCGTGGCAAATTCTACAGTGAGATACTGCGCAATTTGATTGCCATTCATCCACTAACAATACAACGTCTTCCATTTTTTTATGCTTCTTTTTGTTTCTATTTTTGAAAGAAACTCTCTTCCCTGTTTTTCAGAACTTTCTCTCTCTCTCTCTCTTTCTTTCTCTTTCTGCACTTTCTTCCCGACTTTAAAGAAAATGAATTATAACTGAAATTTCAAAACTGCCCTTATTATAATAATTTAATTTAATTTCATGTACCATATGGATTGCTGGCCCACTGGACTATTAATCCACGATCTAATCCGATTTAGCAAGGACCTAACTGTCATTGTATTGCCTTCTTATTGCCACAAAGCTACATGATATTTGTTTTTTCAAATTTTTCAAATTCATTTTTCCAAGAATCAAATTTTTAAAGTTCTTGTTATTGAAGTAATACTTCAAATTTCATTCAAAAAAAAAAAAAGTAATACTTCAAATTACATAAACTCCAAACTTTAATTTATTAATTAAAAAAATTTAATATATTGAAATAAATATTTATAAGTATTATTCTTGATGTACTTATAAAGAGAACTTATTCTTCATTTTGAAGACAAGATGTTAGTTTTTAAATCATAACTTACGATATCTTCTTCATCTTAGAATAATTTAATTTTCATACAAATTATGAAAATATAATTAATAGAGTTACATTAGAATATTTTCCTAATACTAATATCTTTATATTAAATATATTATGGAATCAGCTAATACATGTGGAAATAATAATCACTTTATATCAAACAAATCTATGTATATTTTGATAGTATGAATAAAAAATATATTTGTAATTTATTTTATAAAAAAAAATGCAAAATTTTGGTGAGGATCTTCTTTGGTAATTTAAATCTTGATCGGAGAATAAATTTGGTGGTGTTGAACATGCATGGACTAAATCAAGGCACACGGTTTTATTTTATTTTGCTTTGAACTGGAATCTGGAATTTGAAATGGTTGACCTGAAACTGTGCACAATAGAGATTATTCAGCGTCAAGCAATTAAAGCTGTAATATATAATTTCCACTTCCAGCTTTCTTTCACTTATTGGAGACTCCAGAATGATTGAAGCCAAATGAATTTTTTCCGTTTTTAGGATTCTTTCCTTGTCCATATATTTTTCTCTTCACATCTCTCTCTCTCTCTCTCTTTACATATATATTTCCACGTTCCAGGCTCTTTCACTTATTGGAGACTCCAGAATTGATTTTGAAAGCCAAAATGAAATTTTTACCGTTTTTAGGAATTCTTTCCTTGTCCATTAATATTTTCTCTTCACATCTCTTCTCTCTCTCTCTTTACATATATATATATATATATATATATATTCAAACTTGACATCGTTCAACTGTTAATTCAAATCCTGATTTTTAATATAATGTAATTATAAGAAGAGATTTACTCGGTGTTTGATGTTATATAACCCCAGTAAATTTACAATGGAAATTAAGATAAATAAAAATAGTGGTCTTTTTAAATATATATATATATATATATATATATTCAAACTTGACATCGTTCACTGTTAAATCAAATCTGATTTTTAATATAATGTCATATTATAAGAAGAGATTTACTCGTGTTTGATGTATATACCCAGTAAATTTAATGAAATTAAGATAAATAAAAATATGGGTCTTTTTAATTGAAAAAATTGACAAAATAATAATAAAAAATAATAACCTTTTTAATAAAAAATCATCTATTGATTGCGTATATAAAAATAAAAATGAATATACATAAATGTTTTGTTCTTGAATTTTTAATTTGTATTCCATCGTATATGGTATTTTCTTAATGAATTTTTCAGTTTAATTTTCTTCTAAAAAAATAATATGAATATATTATTTTTGATCGTTTTCCAATTAGATTACATACCTAATGGTGAGATTTCTATATTCCCAACTAAAAAGATAATTAAAAAAAAAAAAAAGACAAAGGGCAATGTCGTAATCTAATAAAATGATGAGAAATAAAAAATAATAGTTTTAGCGGCGGAAAGCAAATAAAATAATAATAAATCTGGAAACCATTTTCTGTACCTGCGTGTCCAATTCAAATACTATCTTTTTTTTTTTTGGCCTTTTTGCGTTTGAATATAAAGCCTGCGATCTCCAATTAACGGCTCTATCACCTACCTGAAATTTAAATTAGTGGGGCCGAACTGCTCAGAAAAAATAAATAAACAAACGAAACGCGCTCACCGAAAACACTAATATCATCACCGCCCGTTACTCAATGGGCCCGTTTTGCGACGCTCGACGATGTCTCTTTCTGTTTCTTTTCCCCTCCTTGCACTTTAACTTACAGAAAAATTTTCGGTTAAAAAGTTGAAAAAAAAAATTGTAATATCAATTTTTATTTTACAATTTTACAGCTTGATTCTTTTATTTGAGGATAAAATAAATATTCTAAAGTTTAAAATTTGATAATCCGCTTAGATAGCACAAATTGATGATAAAATCTAGTTTGTTCATCTATGCAAGACTTCTATTTACTTCTATTGGTAATGATAATACATGATGATGGATGGTGCTAAATAGGAAAAAAAAAAAAGGTAAATCTAATCACTGGAATTTAATTTTTTTTAATATAAAAAATGATGATTTAAATCTGAATTTACTGTTAAATTATATATGTACTGAATAAATCTGTCCATTTTTGATATGGTTATAAACTTAGATTCATATAATTAAGAGTTTGATATCTCCATTTAAAAATATTTAGAAAATTTTCTATATATAAAGAGAAACTATTTTTTAACAATATCGCCGATGATATAGTATTATAATATATTTTCTGACATAATTTAAATCCTAATGATATATTTGATTTGATGGCTTGATCTAAAATAAAGCATAAAAAGGATATAATTGTATTATTATTATAATGAAAATGGTATATATTAAGGATGGTGACATTTGTGCTTATCCCGTTTTCAATCTTATCGCTTATTAGTTTTGTGTGTCATATTAAGTAAAAGATTGGATGTATGTGATTAAGCGAGTGTCTGTGTCTATCGCTTTGATTTGTAGCCCACGATTGGCGAAGAAAAGGGTGCGATTTTGCTAATGGAAAAAGCAAGCGACGGCCAAATTGTAGGTTCGTGGGGACAGGTCGATGCTACTTGTTTATCTTTTGTTATTCGAGTCATGGTGTCCACGTCTTTTCCCCTCTAGATTATCTTAATTATTCGGATATTTAGGGGAAAATAAAAGATAATACGAGTGATTCAGAATTAAAATAATATATTAAGTAAAAGATAAATAAAATTATATTATATTAATTAATTTTTTTAAAAAAATTTTTCCCTTCTTCTAATGATATTCGCTGGCGAAGAATTAAAGTCATTTACCATATTGTCTCAACCAAATATTTAAACCGTTTTTAGTTAGCTAATTAGAGAATATACTTTAAAACATTATGTAGCTACAAAATAAAAGGTTAAAATTCTATATTAAAAACATAATAACGAAATATTATAAAAATAGCAAATAATTAACAGATTCGTCCCTATACATAAAAGAACAGTTTTGGAGGAATATCCAAAATGATGGTCAACAACAGCAGCTGATCATATGAATCATTTTGAGTAAGTGGGATCGTTTGGTTTAACGTTGGCCAACCTTAGTTGTAATAAAAAGTGAAGCAATTTTCATTATTCCTACCGTTAAGAGTGGGTTGGATTAGGAGAAGAAGAGGATAGTAGTTGGAGGAATCTTTGCTTCAAATTCAAAATAAATATGTATGCAAAGCATTGGGATGGGAATCTTTCTACTGTCCATTCTATGAACAAAACTAAACCAACCCAGTAATTAAGATATTATGTTTAATCCAATATAATATTTACCATTTAAGTGAAGTTATTACAAGTGGGGATTGGAATATTACATATGGAAAATTATGTCAATGGGGTTAGGATTTTTTTTTTTTTTAATATATATTTGATTAGACCTAACTTGGACAAACAAAGTAGGCCCTAATTTCTTATAGTCTGGGCCAAAGCGGAAAAGGTTGATGACCAAATGGGCTTGGTTTGACCAGCTGAACAATGAGGTATTAAACGAGCCTTATAGTTGGGCTCGAAATTATTTTAGTCTGGCCCATAACTCTGCTATCAGACTGGACCAATTCCCTACTCTCCAGGTCATCCGCTAATGACAAAACGATCAATGGATGAGAAAATGATGGAGTCGTAGGTAAAATAAAATACAAGTACTCAAAAGGGGACAACAAGTTCAAGTTGCCCTAAACGTAAGTATTGCAATAGACTTAGGTTTGGACCATAAAGAGGGAATCACTCTATAGGTGGAGACAAACAGTACTCGTAGGAGGGGTTTCCAGGAAATTGAGATTCCCTTTTTAACCGAGGAAAAGGACATCCTAGTCTTATTGAACTTGGACAAGTCATAGCTTGTTGTTATGCACCATAATCTAACTATAATTAAATAATAAAAGGCTACGGTGTGATATTTATTTAATATCTCCATTTTTACTTAGTTGGATAAGCTAATGACTATGACACCTTTGGTGGCTAAGGTTCCACTTGGCTGGTTCGTTGTTATGTACCATAATCTAACTATAATTACTTACACCCGAAGTAGCATGGAGAATGACATCTATCCGCCACTTTGCAAAGTAACCTGATATTCATTTAACTCTGGATTTTAATTGATTCTTTTTTGTCTCTCTGAATTTTACATATTTCAATCACTACTACATTTAGATATTTTATTTTAGCGATACTGAATTGTAAAAGTGCAAAAATTCTCTCACAATTTTCAATAGATCACAAGAATAATCAACCAAACTACATGAATTGACCAATCAGGCTGTAATACTGACCTTTGTCATCAAATAAATACTCGTATAGTACTTAACCAAGTGGTACAAGCCGTCGTTTTCATTAACAAACCAGAGTCAATAATTTACCCAAGTAACAGAAGCCTTGGGATTTAGGAACCCAAAACCAGAAACTAAAAAACCAAAGCCAACGCCGCCGCCTATAAATACAATGGATTGCTTGTTTTGTTATCCACATTTTAAGGCCAATAAGTTTCTTCAGATCAACACATACAATAATATCAGCAGTTAGGCCAGAAATTCGCAGCACAAAAATAATGGAAGGGTTTAACATGAAGAAAGATCGCAGAATAGTAGTTGCAGTGGATGAGAGCAAGGAAAGCATGCACGCTCTCTCATGGTGTCTTACTAATCTCGTCACTCCCAATTCAAATTGCTCTTTAGTCCTTCTCTACGTTAAGCCTCCACCTCCTGTCTATTCTGCCTTCGACGCTGCAGGTTATTTAATTTCCATTTCTGGCTCTCTTCCATTTCTCGCTCTCTTAACACTTCAAAATTAATTAATTAATCAGAATTCCAAATATTTAATTGATTGCAGGTTACATGTTTTCCGGCGATGTAATTTCTGCCATGGAAAAATATAGCAAGGAATTGGTGAATTCTGTCATGGAACGAGCAGAAACTGTCTACAGGAACTTCAATAACAATGTAAAACACAAATTCAACTTTTTTTAAAAAAGTTATGTTGCTGTTTGTGTCTTTGGTTATGAATTGATCTGATCATAACATGCAGGTGAAAGTGGAGAGAGTAGTTGGGAGTGGAGAAGCAAAGGATGTGATATGTAATACAGTAGAGAAACTTGGAGCTGACATTCTGGTTATGGGAAGTCATGGTTATGGTTTCTTGAAGAGGTATAAAAAGATAAATGTTGAATTTATTAAAAGAAGTTTTCTTGATTTAAGAATATCCCATCTTACTCATTTATCGGGTTCATCGTTGCAGGGCTCTGCTTGGAAGTGTAAGTGACTACTGTGCTAAACATGTAAAATGTCCAGTTGTGATTGTGAAGCACTAAGAAGAGAGATTAATTTAGTTTCTGCCATTTTTAGTATATGATTGAGGGGGATCATGGTTATTGCCAGCTTGTAGCTACCATGTATATACTGTTTAATCATGTTTCTATATAATTCGTACTTGGGTTTTTGCATAGTTAAACGACAAATGAGCCAAAGCTCAAGCAGACACTTTTCATTTCATTGGCTGTAGCATTAGCATCTACCATTACGTTTTCGCTTTATCATCTAAATTCTATCAAGACGAAAAAGACACAGATATTACAAATTACAGTGACAGATGACAATTGTCAAAACGCTTCCATTATTGAAGTTGTCCCCACCCGGAGGAAAATTGGGAAGCTTTTAGTTACGAGAACATCCTTAGTAAAAATGATCCTGTGCACACAACTTCATGTACGCTAAGAAACGCGGATCGTTGAATTTGGTGATCATGTTGATCAAATGGCTGATACTTGTGTTTGTGATTAATATGCGCTAAGCAGTAGCTGTGGAAAAAAAAAAAAAAAAAAAAAAAAAAAAAATTGGTTATCATGGTTGATCAATATGGCTGATTTACTGTGTTTTTGATTAATATCAGCTTAAGCAGTAAGCTGTGGAAAAAAAAAAAAAAAAAAAAAAAAAAAAAAAAAAACCTATAATAGTAGCAAAAAAAAAAAAAAAAAAAAAAAAAAAAAAAACCTATAATAGTAGCCAAATTAAAAGAGAAATACTAGCAAAGAAAGCATTCAGTCATGACTATTAGGATGAATGATAGAACTGTCAAAATGTAATAACTAAGCCTTCAAGTCAAAATGAAAGTCATATTCCAGGCCACCTGTTCTAACCAAATCATAATCAACTCTTAAATTGTATTAAATATCAGATTAAAAACCAAACAGATTAAACAAAAAATCAATACTAGAGACACCCAAACACAGTTCCAATGTCTATTCTTCCTCTGTTGCAGAATCACCGCTGTTCTTGTTATGCTTCCTAGCGTACCTCTGGTTCCTCAAAAACTTGAGATCCATCTGTAAAAATGAGAAAATATTCTAGTTATGAACAGCAGTGCATCAACCACAGTATAATAAAAATGATATTAGGAAAGAAAAATGGAGAGTGATAAAATGGAGAAAGGAGACAAACCCCTTTGGTAGAGGTGTGCCTTTGCCTTTTGGGTTTCTTGATCCCGTTTTTGTGAGCCTTCTAAGGCTGATTATGAGCTGTGTGGTTCTTCGACTTTGCCAATATGAACTCCGGACTATTTTACGAATTTTCCTTGAATGGAAAAATGGAAGGTAATCAAATTAGAGCTTACCGAGATGACTGGATTTGGAGCAAAAAGAAGCAAACCTTTCAGGCGAGGAAGATTAAACCGCTGTTGGGATTAGGGTTTTAGTTTGGCAAAATATAAGGACTTGGAAATAATTAGCATTTTATTGTTTTTTCTTTTTTCGTGGAATTTTTATCATTTTTAATGTCAGGACTCAGCTATCATAGAGGTATTTATTATGGATTCTGAACCGAAATCGAGCCGAAAATAAAGACAAAGTTCAGCTCGATTTAGACTCAGCGAGAACCCAGCCCATCCGAAACTGTCTATTTATGTCCATCGATAACTCTAAGCCCATTGGATTGGAGCAAAAGAAAAAGAAAAATAAAAATTAAAACACATGAAAAAAAAAAAAAAAAAAAAAAAAAAAAAAAAAAAAATAGTAAAAAAAAAAAAAAAAAAAAATAGTAGAAAAGAGTGTGATCGCGGCGGGCACATGCGCGAAAGCCTTCAAAGGAAGGGAGCAGCGGCAACCTTTTGTCCGCCATCAAAAAACGACGTCATATTCCACACATTTTGCGGGCCCTCCAGCTCATAATTAAAAATGTCCATTTAATTCGGCCAAAAAAATAAATATTCCTCTTTGGTTCTTACTTGTGTCCCATTCTCAACCAGAGACCCTGCAATCGGACGATCGGGTTCGTGCCCGGACTTCGAAGGATAATCACATATTCGAGCTCTCCATTCAGGGATCTGATATTCTCATCACTATCTACACTACAGAAGCCATGTTTCTCCTGGATTGGTTCTATGGCGTCCTCGCCTCTCTCGGTTTGTGGCAGAAAGAGGCCAAGATCTTGTTTTTAGGTCTCGATAATGCCGGAAAAACCACCTTGCTTCACATGTTGAAAGATGAGGTTCGATTGTTTGTTGATTTCGCCTTTGTTGGTTGTATAATTTAGTTGATTGATTACTGTATTCGATTTTACATTTCGAATTAGGTAACGGAAGGAAAGTTTGAGATCTCTTATTGCTATTGGCTTGCTGAGACTTACGAACTCAGGGTTTTCCAGTTAATCGGTCATTTTTTTACTCAAAATTTTTGAAAATTTAGCCAAACACTCCCACATATTTCTCACTTTTGGAAGTAGGTTTTAATTTATTAGATAAACATAATTGTTTAATTCGATTAATAGGCTAGTTTATAATTTTGGAATTTAATTGATTAGCAAGCGGCTTTTGGCATAGTTGAGTCGAAATTTGAAAGTTTCGTACAAATGTGTGTATGTATGCGTAGATGATTTTATAGCCTCTTCTTTTTTGACATCCAGCATATCATTTTACTTAACGGTATTTTTCATTCTGATCATAGAGATTGGTTCAGCATCAACCTACCCAGTATCCCACATCTGAAGAACTAAGTATTGGGAAAATTAAGTTTAAGGCATTTGACTTGGGAGGTCATCAGATTGCTCGCAGAGTTTGGAAAGATTACTACGCCAAGGTAAGTTATTGATAATAAGTTAGCCAGCATTGGCTCTATATATCTTGTGCACTGAGTCTACGGAAGTTCCTTCAGCCATTCAAATCTTGTTTAAGTATGTAATCCTCTGTCACCTGACTTAACCACTGACCAGCGAGTTAAGTCGACATGCTTTGACAGAACCATGTCACCTGACTTAACCACTGACCAGCGAGTTAAGTCGACATGCTTTGACAGAACCAAGGCATAATTTCTACTATTGCCTGAAATGATGAGGGCAGGCTTACTAATGTATGTTCTTGTTGATTCTGAGTTAAGTCGACATGCTTTGACAGAACCAAAGCATAATTTCTACTTATGCTTGAGATGATGAGGGCAGGGCTTACTAGTATGTTTATTCTCGTTTATCTGATCTTTTGCTGTGTGTTTGGTTTACATCTATACTTGAGAAATTCCATTCTTTATTACTCCTTTTTTGACCACATCTCTTCAGTGCATCATATCTTGAATATTTATTCATTACTTCAGGCATAGTTTCTTTTGCTTTTCAATTTCTGCTGGTATCACTATCAATTTATGTATGCACTTCGAGTCCGTCAGCTTGAGCATTGTAGTCCATGATGGCTTTTGTAACTATGTGCATGGTTGTACTAAAGTAACACTCTTTACAGTATGGTTCAGCTAGAGGCAAGTACAATTTGAATTTTTGAATTGACTCGGGATTGAGATTATGTTGATTTGCTGCTATCTTCCACCTCTTGTTGATTGCATGTCCATTATACCGTCTATAATTAATGCTGTGACTGGATAAAAGTTAGTAATTTAATGGAATTGAATATTGCTGTGGAGCATACGCTTGAACAAGCAATCCTCCAGGTATCACTATCAATTTATGTATGCACTTCGAGTCCGTCAGCTTGAGCATTGTAGTCCATGATGGCTTTTGTAACTATGTGCATGGTTGTACTAAAGTAACACTCTTTACAGTATGGTTCAGCTAGAGGCAAGTACAATTTGAATTTTTGAATTGACTCGGGATTGAGATTATGTTGATTTGCTGCTATCTTCCACCTCTTGTTGATTGCATGTCCATTATACCGTCTATAATTAATGCTGTGACTGGATAAAAGTTAGTAATTTAATGGAATTGAATATTGCTGTGGAGCATACGCTTGAACAAGCAATCCTCCACCAATTTAACCTATCACTCAAAGCAGAATGCTTTAATGTTTTATGCTTCTTCCCCGCCTTCGCATTCTTTTTAATTAACTATATTCCTTTACTATTTGTTTTTCTGAGGCTGGAAAATTAACAATTATGCTACACACTTATCCTTATAGTGTTGTGGAAACACTGGTCAGGACTTATAATTGTGATTGTTGCAATTGCCTTTCTTTTTCCAGAGTATTCTAGGACAGCTTTTGTAATTAATTTGAAGTTACTTACTGAATCCGCTTTCTCTATATTTCTGATGTTTTCTATGTTGAATCGGTCTGTTAATCTTTTGTGTTTGTATTGTAGAGTGTAGTTGACAATAAATGTTTAGACTTGCATCCTGCAAATAATCGTTTCCAACATGGACTGGCAATATAATGTGGTTTTTTGTGATAAAGGTGGATGCTGTGGTGTACTTGGTTGATGCCTATGACAAAGAGAGGTTTGCTGAATCAAAAAAGGAATTGGATGCTCTGCTTTCGGATGAAGCTCTTGCCAATGTTCCATTTCTCATCTTGGGGAACAAAATTGACATACCTTATGCTGCTTCAGAGGATGAGTTGCGATACCACCTTGGCCTAACAAACTTCACCACCGGCAAGGGGAAGGTAAACCTAGCTGACACAAATGTACGCCCCCTAGAGGTGTTTATGTGCAGTATCGTACGCAAAATGGGATACGGTGATGGTTTCAAGTGGCTCTCTCAGTACATTAACTGAGGTGATTGTCAGGAAGATGTTTGGCAGAACCATGAAGACCTCACCCAAGCACGCCATCTCCTACCTGAAAAGTTGTATTTACCCCCCTGTTTAAATTGGATGTATTGTGATCTGCATCTGTGTGGAAGGAGGTATTAATATCACTGCTCTGTAAAATTTACTTGTGGCAGCAAGTTGTTCTTTGCTCTTGTAGTTTGTCAATTGACTTTTGCCATCTCTTGCTGTAATCGTAATGTGTAGAGCCAGAAAATTGAAATTTCTATATAATGTCTTTGGGTCCGCAGTGAAGCATTACTGGGATGTATTTATTAGTTGTATCGTAGGCCAGTATTTGCTTAAGGAAATATTTTTAACTATTACATCGATACGGGAGGATCGATGACTGCATATGTGATGCATTTGCATCTGAAAATTCTTAATTGGCTGGTCTATTATTGAATTCACCATGGTTACGCACATGAGAATTGAACCTTGAAACTGACTAGTAGTGCATCATCTCTTGCCATTAAACTAGGGAATAATCTGTATATTAATGTTAATTTACTATAGAACTATTTTAATTTAATTTGTTAGGATTCTAATTAAGTTAATGTCATTTATGGAAAAAATAAATACTTTACTTGAACATTAATTAATTTAGATTAAATTTGTTAACAAAAAATTTCAACTAGAAGACTAATTTGGTCCATTTTATACCGTTTAATTCGTGCTATGAAGCTCAAACGAGTCGGCCATCATTCCTCGATTAAAATCGTACATACTGTTCCTGACCTGTGATATTCTAGTGAAAGGATGGGAATAGGAGAAGATTCTGAAATGCTCTAGTCTAGTCTCTGGCGTAGTCAATCAGCAGATTCGTAACCACATAAAAACAAATAAGCAGTGGCCCCACAAATTACCACAACCAGGCATTTGTCACATAATTGGTACAATACCGCACTCGGATTTGAACGCACACAACATTCACTTTACTAACTATGCTCACTGCTGCGTCAATCGTCATTGCTACGCTCAAACGCAATCGGTAAAAAGGAAACCCGCGTTTAAATCAACTTATTTTACACGCATTCCGCATTTCATTGGCCGGTCATCTCTTTGACGCTTTGACTCTTTCTATCTCTCACTCGCCGCTCCCTGGTCTCCTCTCATTCCTTCTCCTTTATTGTTCATATATAATATGGACCACTCACCGTTACTCCTCATTCATAAAACATCGAACATCAAACATCCAAAACAGGCAATAAGTAAAAGAAATCGCAATCTCTAATCTTCAACTTTGCAAATATGGGAAACTACTCTTCCTGCTTTTATATCCCCAGTAAAACTGCTAAGCTTATAGATTCTCAAGGGAACTTGAGGCAAGTAAAGGCCCCAGCTAAAGCAGCGGAGCTCATGCTCGAAGAACCCGGCCACGTCGTCTCTCCTGTGCAAGAACTCCGGCGGACCCGCCGGTTAATAGCTTTGCGAGCTGAGGATGAGCTTTTGGCGGGAAAGTTTTACCTGCTAGTTCATTTAAGTAAGCTTAACCGTAAGATTTCGGAGTCAGAGCTGGGGATTATAGAGTCTGCTGCTGCTGCATCTAAGAAGAAAAAGTCAAGCAAAGGGCGGAGGGGCGCTAAGGTTTTACCGGCTGTGGCTAATGAGGCAGAGAGTGAGGTTAAGGAAGAGCTGGATATGGGTTTTGCCTGTTGCCGATTGGAGAAATGCAGGCAATGGACTCCAGCTTTAGAGGCCATCACTGAGGAGCTTTGATTTTTTTTTTTTAATAAATATTATTGGGGGAATGATTTTCCGAATCGTTGTAACATATATGAACAGGGAAATCCAATAGGGAATATATTTGAATTGTGAAATAGAAGTAGAAAATTAACTCCAATCATGAATTTGTTTATATCATCAGCTGTTATTTGTCAATCATATATTCAATTTGAATATTTGAAATAATTATTGAATGAATGATCCAACTAAAATGGTAAACCTTTTTTATTGGCTGTATGGCACACATATAAACGACACAGAATTTTAACAAAGTGAAACGACATATAATCTTTTGATAGCGAATGGGTCAAACGTGGCCTAACATTTTAGGCCTTCTAGAAATAATGGGCGGCCTCTCTTTCATTAGTATTAGCCCAACCTAAGAGTCGAATTTCAATGTGCTAAAAAGGGGAAAAGAACAAATATTAATAAATCTCTGTTTAGATCTTGCTTTCAATAAATATGGATAAATATTTAATTAAATAAATATTAGCTCATGCTTGGTTACAGTTTTCTCCCTTTAATATGCACGCAGAATGCTTCTTCTATTGTACAGTTTTCTAATACATCCCCATATGACCAACAGTATAGTAGCCCTCGTGAGATTAATAGATGCTTGGACGGTCCAATTTTAATTTCTGATATGACATATTATATTATCCTATGGTTTTAATTAAAGACATTAGTTAATATAGTTATAGTTGAACCGTTCCTTGACTTCCCTTGGCTTCGTTAGGTGAAAGACAAATAAAAGGTGATAAATTTTTAATAAAATTCCAGGAATCTACCACTACCAATACCACCTCCATTGTATTGGACCAAGCCTAACGTTTGCGTATTACCTAGTCAAATATCACGGGACTATAAAATATGCTCCGAATTCTTGTTCTTTTTTTTTTTTTTTTTTTAGAAAAAAAAAAATATCACCGGGGACTATAAAATATTGCTCCGAATTGCTTGTTACTTTTTTGTGTTTTTTTTTTTTAGAAAAAAAAAAAATCAATAGTGATAAATAAATATTCCTATTAATTTTTTTTCTAAGCTTGTAACATTTATTAGATTTTTTATATATAAATAGTGATTTATGAATTATTAACATTTGATTCATTTTTTATATATAAATAGTGGTTTATGAATTATTAACATTTGATTCGTTTTTTATATATAAATAGTGATTTATGAATTATTAACATTTGATTCATTTTTTATATATAAATAGTGGTTTATGAATTATTAACATTTGATTCGTTTTTTATATATAAATAGTGATTTATGAATTAATAAAGCGTGTAACTTAATTATAATATAGGTTAATTCTTCTTTTTTTTTAAAAAAAAAAAAAAAGAAGAAGAAAAAACTCACTCAAATCGCCCAGCGGCCTAATCTTTATAGAGAGATTTAGTTATTACCAAGTCCACCATTATACATGTCACATGATGGAGCGGTTTAACAAACACTTCCCACAAGCAAATTCCCATAAATATTCTCTCAATAAGATGCCCCAAAACCAAAACTTCCTCTCCATTGCATGAGTTCTTCTCATCAACAATGGGGAATTACATAACTACCCAATCAACAAACGTCACCGGAAAAGTAATTCTATCGGACGGCAGCGTTCAAGAATTCGACCAGCCAGTAACCGTAGCGGAACTGATGCTAGAGCATCCACAACAGGTGGTGGTCGAGTTCTGTCCAAACTTGACTGAAAAGAGGCCAACTCCATTGCCAGCTGACAAGAAGCTTGAAATGAAGAAGCTGTATCTAATGCTCCCAATTAAAAGAGGAAAACCTGCTTCATTATCTTCAGAGGAAGCTAGACATGTCGTTTCGTGTGCAACCTCTCTCTTAAGATCACGGTCGTTTTTGTCTTCGTCGAGATTTCTTCCTTTGTTTGCTAGGATATGCCCTGCGGATGGACACAAGATTGTTTTGGAAAGGAAGGAAAGTAATAATGTGGAGAAGAGGAATCATGAGTCGTCGGAGTTGTTGCCGGAGATTTTGGAGAACCGACCGGAGTATTTGAGCAAGCAGCTTTCAGGGAAAGGGTGGAAACCTAGCTTGGATACTATTATAGAGAAGAAGATAGAGAAAAAGATACCTCACTGGTTACTTAATTTCCAAGGTTAATTAATTATTTAATTAAAAAGATTATTATAATTAATATTAGGTTCTGTGTTTGTTATGCATGTTTAGTTAAACAGTTTGTCATGGCATGAATTGTTAATGCTAAGTAGAAATGCATGTTTGCTTTGCTCGTGTTTATTTGCATAGAGAAAAACTAAATTATTATACCTGTATAAGTTATTATTGTTGAATAAGTTTTCTTAGTGAAGTATAAGAAGCTAAGAACATGTGATTAACTTATTTATCACTACTTATTAATTACTGGTTTATTATATGGCTCTATCAGAAAACAATATTTTATATTATTTTTATTGTTTTAACAAAGTATTTTGTATTAATATTTAGAATAAATTTGATCAGAACGAATAGATGATAAAAAATTATACCTTTATTTAACTTTTAATGAAAAGCTAATTAAATAAAAATAACTACTATCACAACTAATACACCGCTAAATAAGATAATTTTGCGAAACAAACTCTATAAACAGTTTTCTTACTCAGCGGGATTGCATTTCGGTCAATTTTTTTTATTAATTCCTTCATGGAGATGTCTTTTCACTTAAGAAAAAAAAATTCTTGAGCAAATGTTTGTTAAAGTTTCGGGTTCTCTCTCGGACCAAGCAGGCCCAAAAAGTTGTTTGGGCTTCAAGCCGTGAATTAGGCTGAATGTCTGTTCTGTAGCTAGCAGGCCACACTGGAGTCTTCTATGGGACATTTTGACGCCCTATATCTATTTGGATTGGATGTATGATATGGGTCAATAATATTTTTCAAAGTAAATCATTTTTCAAAAACAAAGGAAGCATTAATTTTTTTGAGATTGAAAACCAAAACATAAATTTCCAAATAAACAAGCCTATACACAGGCAAACCAACTAAAAATGTCCTTCCTGTTAATGAATAATCATTTCTTCTTCTTTTATTTTTTCTTTTAGGGAAAAAACTTTGATGGCAAAGACATAAATAGAAGAATGGGATGGGAGAAGACCAAATGGATAAGAGCAAAATATTTAACATGGGTTGTTGAAGGAAAGGTCCCACAATGACAATTTAATCAGTTAGATAACCAATCATCAATCTTCAGAATTATTACCACAATAATTAAATTGAAGGTTCTTTTTCAAGTTCCCTTTCAAAGCTTTCATAATTTCATTATTACGTTACAGTTGGTACAGCTTAGCATCCATAATTAGCCTCTCTTACCTTTATGTATCATTCATTTGCGATAAAGTCAAGTAATACAAGTTCATCATTTTTTTTTTTTTTTTTTTTCTAAGTAAATACAAGTTCATCATTTTTTTTTTTTTTGACATTAAGATAAAGAAATGGTTATTGGTGAAATCTTGTTTTCAATTTTAGGAAAAAACAAACAAATAGGATGGATTCATTTCCTAAAACCGTTTTTAACTATAAATAAGTTAGGAAATAGAATAGACCTATCTTTTTTTTTTTTTTTTTTTTGACCATTAAGATAAAAGAAATGGTTATTGGTGAAATCTTGTTTTCAATGTTAGGAAAAACAAACAAATATGGATGGATTCATTCCTAAAATCCGTTTTAACTTAAATAAGTTAGGAATAGAATAGACCTATCCCACTAGTTCAATTTAATAAAAATGGGTTAGAAAACTAAATAGGTTGACCAAATTTAGTTGGTTTGCTAATAAAAACTGTAGTTATAATTTATTAAAATCATGAGCAGATCGGATCTAAATTCCTTGATTTTCTCTCAAAAAATCTTGCTTGAAAACATCTAAGCTGTTCTATCCATTAGATGCATTATTGGAGCATAAAATTGTTTACTACTAACAAGAAAAACCTCCATTAAATTATAAACTCAGCCGCGTGTTCAAGCCAATTGCAACTCTGCAATCCTTAATTTTGAAAATCTCACTTGTCAGTAATAAAATCCAAATTAAATAGTCCTGTGATCCGTTAATTTACGAACAATTTGCAAGTGGAATAACAATCTAACATGTTTAATATTTTCTGAAAACATATTTAAATTTAATGGATTTGAGAATATAAATTATTTGGCTTGTTGCTTAAGTGATATATTTTGGTTAGTTTTGTAAAATGAACACTTGTTTGTTAGACTTTTTCGTTTTTTTTATATTCCTACCTTTATCCTTCTGTTGTAAATTATTTTGAATAACTGTTTTTTTTTTTCTAATATCTTTTTAAACTATAAATACAAATATATTTAAAAGCAAAATATTTAAATTTTATCAGAGGGGCTAAAAACTTTTTCACTATGCAGTCCGAGGGATTATGCATTCTGGTTTAAAACAAAAATACATTTACAATTTTTGAAAGAAAATAAAGAGCTAATGTTTTTTGATTCCATCTGGTAATGCAATCATATCACCGTACCCTTAGTGCTTAGAGTGTCTGAGTCTTCGTGTCTGACCTATCTTTCAAGTGAAGCTATTTTTATCTATCTATTTTAAGTTTTTAACTCTCTATCAGAATTCAGTGATTGTGTGATATATACGTATACTGATCAAGTGCAATTCAGACCACGATACCAAAAATGGGTATCCTTAATTAAAACTTATTATAAATTCATTGATTATGCGAATAATTATATGTTTTACTGCTACATATTTAAGACCATTATATAAATTCTGGTGCAATCTATCGACTCTATTCCACCTGATCTTTATCTCCCAAAAATGTACATTTGACGCTTCCCAGCCAGCCATTGGGAGAAATTTTCCGGATGAAGAAAATATTATTAGAGACATTTCGTCAATTTGGATTATCTAACCTCCAACTGGACCTACCAACTAACCAATCAAAAATTACCATTGCCAATCTCTTCAAAACGGCAGGTAGGTTCACTAAATTTTGTTATCCAACATCCACCCAACTTATAGCCCACTATACACAAAAAGATTTAAAAAAAAAAAGAAGAAGAAAAGAAAAAGCTTATCGCTTTTACTTGTGTTCTATTCTTTAACAGCTAAAGGACCAACTTGAATATCTAATCATCAAATTTTCACTTTCTTTCTTACATCATCACTTCCCTAGCCAATATATATGCACCACTTTTCACTTCCCTTAGCCTCCATCTTCATAAAAAGAACAAGAAACATTTTTCACCATTTCCTTCTTTCCTTCCAAGAAAATGGCTTCCACTAACAGACATTTTATTATTTTCTTGATTTTCTTTGTGGGTTGTTTTTATTGGAGAACTAGCAAAGCCATTGAGCCATTTGCTTGCGACCCAAAAGAAGAAACGACGAGGAACCTGCCGTTTTGCCAAGTGAAGTTACCAATACAGGATAGAGTTAAGGACCTCATTGGGAGATTGACATTGCAAGAGAAGGTTGTTTTGCTGGTTAATAATGCTGCTTCAGTTTCTCGGCTTGGGATTAAAGGGTATGAGTGGTGGTCGGAAGCTCTTCATGGGGTTTCCAATGTGGGTCCAGGCACTAAGTTCGGTGGGGCCTTCCCTGGAGCTACTAGCTTCCCTCAAGTCATCACTACCGCTGCTTCTTTCAATGCTACTTTGTGGGAGGCTATTGGACGGGTCAGATTTCTTTTTAATCCCTTATATATTCATTAGTTTATAACTTTATTTTTGAAAACAGAGCTGGATTGAACAGTTCTGTATTGTTTCTTAGGGAAGATAACCTTTTATATGTTTTGTTTTTTATTTTCCGTCATGTTAACCGCACCATGCTTGCTCGTGCCTAGTGTGTCTATACTAGAGCTTTTTGCTGCAATTTCTTGCTTGCTTAGGTCATTCAAATAATGAAAGGACCAATCTATTCATTCTTACGTTACAATGAACAAACCAACTAACAAACTGTGTTTTGTGGGCCATGAACACTATATATGTATCGTTAATAGTTTATAATGATAAAATTCCGAACTTTATTTGACGGTCCACAATTTTGTTGTCCATTTATTATTAATTCAGGCTATTCATTGCATGTCATGTCTAGAAAAATGATTCTCGCAATCCTCATGATTTGTCATTGGTTCTTCGATAAGTGATATTTAATAATAAAATCCTTTAATATACTTAAAAAAAAAAATTCCATTTTCATGTAAAGGGTACTTTTAGAAACTTAAATCTCTAAAAGAGAAAAAATCATTATATTGAATTTATTAATTAATTACCTGTTGCAACTTGCCAAGTTGCAATTATTTATATTGGTCACTAGAAGAAAAAGAGTGATGAATTATTAAAATTTGACAAATGGCGAGCGAGTTTTGGATTTGTTTTTATGTAGTTAAGAAATATAGAGACTTTGTAGAGATGCTAAAATACATCAAGTGGGCAGGTTGTGTCAGACGAAGCTAGAGCAATGTACAATGGAGGGATGGGCGGGCTCACGTATTGGAGTCCAAATGTAAATATATTTCGAGACCCAAGGTGGGGACGTGGACAGGAGACTCCCGGTGAAGATCCTTTAGTAGTCGGTAAATATGCTGCTAGTTATGTTAAGGGTTTACAGGGAAACGAGGGTGACCGGTTGAAGGTTGCAGCTTGTTGTAAACATTTCACTGCGTATGACCTCGATAACTGGAATGGAGTGGATCGCTTCCACTTTAATGCTAAGGTACACTGCTTTTATGATGAGAATTTATACGTGAATTTGATTGTTGGTTTATGATCATTGATTTTTATTGACAAGATGGTAATTTTAGTAAAAGGAGACGTACGTATAATTTATAGTAATTGAAAGGAACCAGAATCAACCTGTTTGGTTGTCTACTTTGGACATTAATGGCATGGAAGTTAGGACCATCAACCGTCAAAAATGTCGTTTTCTTTTTGCCCTAGCCATTATAGTTTTTGCAATTAACTTGCCATCAAATTAAGGAAAATAGAAATTTTTTCTTTGAGTTGTTTCCATAAACAATAATAATATAAATAATGTTAGATAATAGATAATCACGTGCTGTTAATCTACGGTTGCGAAACAGGTAAGCAAACAGGACATAGTAGATACATTTGATGTGCCATTCAGGATGTGTGTAAAAGAAGGAAAGGTAGCAAGTGTAATGTGCTCCTACAATCAAGTTAATGGCATACCCACTTGTGCAGACCCTAATCTGCTACAGAAGACTGTACGAACCCAGTGGGGCCTAAATGGGTAAGAGCCGTTTGATTGTATCATGTTGAGTAAATATTTTTATCATTGGAAAATTTTGCTTAATTTCAAAATTTTTCAGGTATATTGTTTCAGACTGTGATTCTGTTGGTGTTTATTACAATCAGCAACATTATACATCAACTCCTGAAGAGGCAGCAGCTGATGCTATAAAAGCAGGTCTAGATTTGGACTGTGGTCCTTTCCTTGCAAAGCACACGCAGGACGCAGTTAAAAGAGGGCTAATTAATGAAGCCCATGTAAATGGGGCTTTGGTTAATACTTTAACTGTCCAAATGAGGCTAGGGATGTTTGATGGTGAACCATCTTCGCACCCATATGGAAACTTGGGCCCAGAAGATGTGTGTACCCAAGCCCACCAAGAGCTAGCCCTTGAAGCTGCTAGGCAAGGCATTGTTCTTTTAAAAAATAATAATCATGGTCCTTCCTTGCCTTTGTTTACTCACCGCCATCGCACCATTGCTGTAATTGGGCCTAACTCCAATGTCACTGTTACTATGATTGGAAATTATGCTGGTAGGTTTTGCTTCCTAAGCCTAATCCTTTGTAAAGCTAGCAGAAAATCGGCTTAATGTTCTTTTTTTAGGGGTTGCTTGTGGCTATACGACGCCGTTGCAAGGAATAGGAAGTTATGCCAGGACAATTTACAAACAGGGGTGTCCAGATGTGGGTTGTGCTAGTGACCAGCTATTTGGTGAAGCAATTGGAGCTGCAAGCCAAGCGGATGCAACAGTTCTAGTGATGGGGCTTGACCAATCTATTGAGGCAGAGTTTAGAGACAGGACTGGGCTTCTTCTTCCAGGACGCCAACAGGAGTTCGTGTCTAAAGTTGCTTCAGCCTCAAAGGGCCCAACCATTCTGGTCTTGATGTCTGGTGGGCCAATAGATGTTTCTTTTGCTAAGAACGATCCTAAAATCTCTGCAATCTTATGGACTGGTTATCCGGGCCAAGCCGGTGGAGCAGCTATTGCTGATGTCTTGTTTGGAACAACTAACCCAGGTTTGCTCACTTCATACAATTTATATCACGAAATGCATAGATTTGTCCTGAAATTTACGCTATTTGTCTTGTGGTACCTCAAGTTTATATAATCTATTATGAACCTACACTTTTACATTTTAGTAATAATCATGTCACTCGTCAAAATAAAATGTAAAAATGTAGAATCATAATTTTAACTAGTAATATAATATTTCTGAAATGTAAAATTATAAGATTTTGATAGGTTTCTGCAAACATAAATATGTGGCGGGACAAATCGCTTAAACGTCAGGGTAAAATTTATATCATATGTCAATGGTCAGTCACGTAAAGTTGTTTCTTGCAGGAGGGAAGCTGCCCATGACATGGTACCCACAAGATTACATAACAAATCTCCCAATGACAGAAATGGGCATGAGGTCAAGCCAATCAAAAGGGTATCCAGGAAGAACCTATAGATTCTATAAGGGTGAAGTGGTGTACCCATTTGGACATGGAATGAGCTACACAAACTTTGTTCACAACATAGCTAGTGCACCCACAATGGTTTCTGTACCTCTAGCTGGCCACCGGGGCAACACCACCATATCAGGGAAGGCAATTAGAGTTACACATACTAAGTGTAATAGACTTTCTTTAGGACTTCAAGTTGATGTTAAGAATGTTGGGTCCAAAGATGGAACTTACACACTTCTTGTCTACTCTACACCGCCAGCTGGACTTTGGGCGCCACATAAGCAATTGGTAGCCTTTGAGAAAGTACACGTGGCAGCAGGGTCACAACAAAGAGTAGGAATCAATATACACGTATGCAAGTATTTGAGTGTCGTGGATAAATATGGAATTCGAAGAATTCCAATTGGTCTACATAGTCTTCACATTGGTGATATTGAGCATTCAGTTTCACTTCAAGGAACAGTTCTTGGGGTCATTAAGTCTTAATTTTTCAATTTTTCTTTAGATATAGACCAAATAATTCTTTCTAATCAAAATTATATACAGGAAATTAATCTCCATTAAGTATGATTACCTATTAAAAACTTGAAAGGAAAAATCTTCTCCCCATGTATTTGATTACTCTATTGTTAGTTATCCATTTTATGTAGTATAATTTAGAGATTGCTCATGTATTATTGTCAGAATGAAATCTATTATACTCTTTGAATCATTCAAGTTGAAATATGGTGATTCTTTTTATTATACATATAATTTCTTTTTTTTTTTAATATTATTGTATCTTTTGATATAATAATTCTTTTTCATCGCTGAAAGAAAGAAGCTAGTATCTTTTAACATTAGTAATTATTTTTTCTATCGATGAAAGAAAGAAGCTTTCAACTGTTAAATTAAATTATCCCCTACAAATTAATTAGTAATATGTATATATATATATATGAGGTTGTCTTGGTTTGATGGTGTCGTTCTTGAAGATTATCCAACTTTTCATGTGGAGTGCAGTTGTTCCTTTGTCGTAAGGGATTGGGTAGATAGAGACTTTACATAGCTAACAATTAATCATCTAATTGATGACAGTAATTGATAGGTTTATTGGTCCAACACCAGAGATTCCTTATGCCTTTGTCAGGTTATCCTTTGCAACTGAATTAGTACTATGATGCCTTTCGTCCGGTTACACTTTGTTTTCAGTCCAGCACTCATCATTACTGTTTTCTAATTATTTATGTTCTGTATTATTTTTCAGTTTTTTCCTTTTATTTTTATTTCATTTGGCAGGCCAGGCCACAAATTTTGATTTTTGGGTTACGCGCTTTTTAAAATTTAATATTTTCTAAATTTAGATTCAATCTATAAACTGATATGCAATTTACATTTCTTCTTTTTGTAATGTTATTCGACTCGTCAATGTAATACTGCCATTGTCAACTTAACAATCGTATTCATGTGAATAAAAGGAAAATTCTCTGTATAATTTTTATTTGCTTTTACATCAAAAAAAAAAAATATATATAGCATGCACTTTTCTTTATTTCACGTGACAAAAATTACTATATTGAGCGAGACAATAATGGTAACATATATATATAAAGTGTACAAATAACATTGCTCTATAAGTAAATAGCATTGCATTTTTACTAGCCTTGCAACCAATTATTTTTGGATCTCCAAATATTTAATCTAAAAAAAAAAAAAAAAAAAAAAAGTGTTTCAGGGAATAGTTTTAAGTTTTGCATAAGAGGTTTACGACATCCAACTATAAAATTAGACAGTCTCAAAATAACCATACTTGTATCTGAAAATTAGATTTTTTTTTTTATATATGAGGGAATTTTGCACTAAAAAGAAAAAGTGAAGTAAATTTTTTTAGCTATGCTATTCATTTTTTATATATAAAAGTAAATTATTATTTCGTTTTATACTCTTATTTTTAAAATTTAAAATTTTATTTCAGATATATTATTTAATCTTTCATTATTTTAAAAATTAAATTATGAAAATTAGGGTCTTAATTAGTGTACTTTAGGTATTTTGTATATAGCTAGAACGCTCTCCACAAATTGCAAATACTAGTTTATTAAAAATATATTGTTATGAATTATTTTTCTATAGAGAAATTCTCAACGTTAATAAACTGAGTAATTAACTATTTCAAGGGTTTTTATATATCATATGACTATCAAATGCATTCCATTATGTGCATATAATCTTTTTAAGAAACTTTTAGCAATTCATTAATAAAAAAAAAAATGTAATTTGAGTATATAATGATATTTCTATAGAAATAAGAAATATAAATATAAAAATACACTGTTTTTTTTTTTTTTTTGATCCAGTGAAAGAAATCAGTCTTCTGAGTAAAAATCGTTAATAATCTAACTGTATTTGAACCTTCAACTTTTTTTTTTTTTTATTTAAATTTTACCTTAAAAAAAATTCTACAAAAAGGAAAGACAAGGCATTAAATCAAAATCAGAGTCCCAACCCAAGATTTATACCAACTAATACAAAACTACCGACTTCTTATTTGGACCCAAAGATTCAATGGACAGATTTTTAATTTGTCGTAAAGAGATGACTTATTGACTCAACAAGTCCAAATAGAAAATTCATGGGGCTAAAATTTTTGGAAATTTACTTACATGTCTTTGATGGATAGCAAACTTGAAAAAGGACAATAATTTAGAACCTTCTTTACATGTAAGAAATGTCTTCTCCCTGAAATCTTTATGGTCAAGGTTTTCTGAAATTTCTCAACAAACTTTAAATCATTCATTTTCAATTCTACCTGTGTTCATATTCCAAGTTTGAAGAATACAATTGGTTCATGATGACCTTTTCTGAAAGTAAGAAATCCTATGATAAAATCCGGTTTGAATAATGTAACACTGATGATCTTTGAAAAATATCAACAAAACCCATAAAGAAGGAAACCTTTTTTATTTATCTTGATCAAAAAGCATCTTGCCTTTTATTTTATTTTCTTTCTTTTATTCCTTAAAAGAGGTTGGATGCCAAAATAATAATATTATAAATTATATTTGCCTTTTATTTTATTTTCTTTCTTTTATTCCTTACGAGGTTGAATGCCAAAATAATAATATTATAAATTATATAACACGAGTATTTTCCTTTTAACTCAACAAATTAATAAAAATTGTTCGTAATATGTATATTATTGTCATGGTCCCTAGAAAATAATCATCTTATCTCTGTCAATTACAGGTTTGAGGACCCAATATGATCAGCTTCAAAAATTATTCAAATTTTACAAATTTGATGGACAGATGACAATATCATAAATTTTCCATTATAACTTAAATTTTTATAGTTTTCTATTGGGTTTTTTTTTTTTTTTTTTCCCTTGTTTTTTTCCCATGAGATATTTAAGCATAAAAGATGTATTTCAAACCTGCGCGAGGCAACAGACTACCAGAGCAATCAAATCTCAAAATGTAATATTGTTCTTGTCAATTCTATAAGATAGAAGAATATGTAAGAGACCACGCGAGAAGTACGCAATTCAAAGCTTATAATAATTAAAATTTCCAAAATGGGAACTTGAATTTTTCTAGTACAAAGCTAATAACCTTTCTTCGTTTAGGTAGCCTGTATAGAGGTTGAAGGATGGTTAAGTTTTCTCTGAAAGTGAAAGTACAGAGAAGTTCCAATGTAGATGCAGCAGTGAGTGAGATAAGCATGTGCAAATGCTAAGCCAAGACAAAAATATGATAGTCTCAGTATGGCACTGATTTTGACATATATGGCCAACAATGTTGTCTATGAATCATTTCTACTTTCTATTTCTCTCTCATTAGTCATTACCCAATTAGAGAATCTATCTATCTATCTATCTATCTATCTCCAGTACCACTTGCTTCTGTACCATCCACCAGTACGTACTTAAGCTTGCTTAATTAATTAATTTCCCTCTATTAATAATAATTACTCAATCAGAGATTATATCTTCTTATCAGATTGTGAAGCTTTTGACATGCGAATAGACTTTTGGCAAGCAAAGGGAATGTGAAGGGTAGAGTGAATTCTGTGAAAAGAATTTTCCTTTCCTTTCCTTTCCTTTCTTTTCTTTTCTTCTCTCAATTGCTAGGTTTAGTTTTCCTTTATTCTAGGCATCATTTAAGAAGAAAAGCTTTAAATAAAGGCTGGCTCGCTAGGAAATTGGCTCCTAAAGATTCCACAAAAACCCTAAAGGTCTTATCAGCAGCAGCACAGAACTGAGCTATTCTCCAGGAACACTAAAACCTTTTCACATGTTTCCAATAATTGCAAAAGACTTTTCTTTTTCTTTATTATTATTTTTTTTAATCTTTTCTCTTTTTACAAGTTTTAGCTTTCATCCACTCTAAACTTTAGTATTTCACTTAATTTTATAGCAATGGACAGTCAAAATTTGAATTTCTTTGTTCTTGCATTAAATAATTATTTAAAAGAATCATGTGAATTACTGACCTGTAAACGAGATCTAAAATATTAGTAGTGGAATGTGAAATGAGATCCAATGAAGTTGACATTTTGGAATTTATTTTTCTTTTTCTTAGAAAAAAAAATAAAGAAAGCATGCATGTGGTCAAAGATATATAGATGTTGAATGGTACTATTGTGCATGGCTGTCAATGGAGAAGTTTTGTCAATGGCCCTGAATCCTAAGCCCCGACCGGTGTCTCTGCAACTTTTCCTTCACTTTTGTCGATGATTAAGCTATATATATTAGGCTGCTTAATTTTCTTGGATTAAACTAAAATATAAAGAAAGACAGCCTATTGCTTGCAAGAGATAGAGTTTCTAATGGGAAAGAAGAGAAATTAGTAATGGGATTAAATTAAAAAACGCATTTTTCTTGTATAAAAACGCAAATTCTAAGCTGCTGAATTATGATTTGTGTATATAAATCAAGAAGTCAAACTACCTATAATCTCAATTTTGATTTTATTAATAGTATATTAGATTATCTTTTATTGTTCTTATAAAAATGTACATCATATCGATATATGCAATAAAAATATATATATATCCCTTAGAAGAATCTAGAAGTGGAGTGCCATTGAATTGGTTTAACCTAAATTGTAAATAGAAATTCAAATCCCTCCAACCACTCCCACAAAGTTAAAGGACAAAAAATAAAAAATCTGATTTGTCATTTTACCAACCAATGAAATGATGCCAAGTCATAGTCTACCCCAATTTTAAAATGGAAATCGTGAGATCAATTTTAAAGTATTTAAAGTATTGGATCTCATTTATTTAATTTACACACAATTGGCAGTTAGGAGAAGAGGATAGATTAACCGTTAGATGCATGAATTATAGACTTAAATGCATTTTTTTTTACATTAATAAATATCAAAACCGCTAAAAATGTTAACTGCTGATTTGGGAAATTGTTATTTGTTCCCTTTAAATAACAATAATAGTAAAATATTGGCATTGTAAGACACGCCATCGCTATATTCTTTTTATTTATTTTTTTAAAGATGTTTGCCAGAAAAATGATTTTGAGAAATCAAAAGGATGTTATTTATGCCATCACGCCTTTCATGCCCTCAACAGTCAACATCCAACCTAATTTTCTTTTACTGAATTTAGTTAGGATATGCACATATTTTTATATATATATTTATAATATTTAATTTAGAGATAAAATGAAAACACGATATTAGTTGTTTTGATTGTTTAATTTCGAGTTTTACTGAA